AGAAAGGCGATATACTTTCTAGTCTTACTAAAGCTAAGTATTTTAATATTCTATTAGAATATATTAGTAATTAATTATATAGTAAATTCTCTAGCTAATTCTATAATTTCTTAGATAATTACTAATAGGCTATTTATCTCTATAGCCTTAAGTAAATAGATATTAATAAATTTCTAGAAGATAAGAAGCTTCTTTCTAAGTTAGAACTTAGAAAGAGACTACTAGAATAGCTATAGAATAAGCTAGTAGAATTTCTTCTCTAGAAAGCTAATAAGCTACTACTAATAAGAGCTTAAGACTATAAGATTAATATTATTCTAGAAAAGAAGCTACTATATTAGAATAATAGGCTCTTCTCTAGTAAGAAATTAAAAGTTATTAGAAAATAGCTAGATAAAAACCTAGATAAGAGCTTTATACGTAAATTCTATTTACGTTATACTATACCTCTACTTCTAGTAGTAAAGCTAGGTAGAGAGGTACGTATCTATTAAGACTATTAAGGTCTTAATAATATAACTATAAAGAACTAATACCTACTTCTATTAATTAGAGAAATGCTTAATACTCTATATAATACTAAGGTATATACTAAGCTTAATATTATTACTATGTTTAATAAGCTAAGAATTGTAGAAGGCTATAAATAGAAAATAGTCTTTATTACCTAATTTAGACTCTTTAAATTACTAGTTATACTATTTAGCTTCTATAATACGCTAGCCTTATTCTAGAACTATATTAATTATACGCTTTATAATCTTCTAGACTATACGTATACTACGTACCTTAATAACATTCTTATCTACTCTACAAATAAAAAGAAACACTAATAATACGTCTAAGACGTAGTCTAATAGCTTATTAATATAGGCCTCTAAATTAATATTAAGAAGTATAAATTTAAGGTTACTAAAATAAAATACCTTAGTTTTATTATCTCTCTAGAGAGAATCTATATAAATCTAAAGAAGGTCTAGACTATTTATATATAGATAACGCCTCTATACCTAAAAGACCTATAGAAGTTTCTTAGCTTCTCTAACTTTTATTAACGTTTTATTTAAAACTTCTCTAAGATATATTAACTACTAAACAAGCTACTATATAAAGACACGCTATAGATCTAAATAGATAAGTATACGTAAGCCTTTAAGACTCTAAAGATATTATTTATAATAGCTCTAGTACTAGTAATATATAACTATATAAAGAAGATAATTCTTAAAATAGATACCTCTAACTAGGTATTAGAGAGCGTACTCTTATAGTATAATAATACTAGCGTACTTCGCTCTATTATATACTTCTTAAGTAAGTATAGCGCTACTAAGTATAACTATAAGATTTATAATAAAGAACTTCTTACTATTATAAAGTTCTTAGAGAAGTAGCGCTTTAAGTTATAAGAGACTACTAAACTATTTAAGATTATTATAGATTATAATAAAGATACTCTTCTAGAAATAGGTCTACTAGTCTAAATTTCTCTTATAATTTAACTTTTATATTACATACTACCTAGAGAGTAAAGTAGTTAGACTAGACGCGTTAAGTTGTATACTAGGTAACTAACCTACTAAGAATAATCTTACTAATAACTACGTTAAAAACTAGATATAGATAATACTACTTCCTAAAAGATTTAATAAGAAGGTTCTTATAAAGCTTCTTTAAGATACTCTACTAGAAGTAGTAGTACTTATTCTACTAGCTATAGATAAACTAATTAATAATCTATTATAGACTATATATAAGATATTAGACCTAGTATAGAAAATAATTACTATACTAGAGAATCTATTAGTAAAGCGCTAGCTAAAATACCTTTAAAGACTTCTTTAGATTCTAATACTTAACTATAGAGTCTAATAAAACTATATTTAGTATAGAAATTATATATTTATACTACTAAATAATAAACTATATATATAGATTTTATACTATACCTATAATACTAGCTCTACTAGCTACTCTAGATAGGTTAAAACTATAGACCTTATCTACTATAATTACTAGTAGCTATAAATCTTCTATAATATTAAGATATACGTATAAGTCTATACTATATACGTTAGAATAAAAGTATCTAGACTTTTACTCTAAGACTTTCTAAAACTACTACTAGTTCTATTCTAGGCATAGTCTAATATATTAGTTAATTATATTACTCTACTACCTAAGTATAGGTTATATAGTTAAAAATATAAATATATTCTTATAGTAGTCTATTAACTTATATAAATATACTACCTTATTCTTATAATAAGAATTAATATAGAGAAGCTAACTAATATATTTATTTTATAAATTTACTTACTCTATAGCTACTCTAATAATATTATTTCTAATTATAGTATATAGTTTATTTTCTAGTTCTAGACGTAGCTTTCTACTTACTTAGAAGTTATACTTAAACGCTTATCTTTATTCTATCTAGAGATAGATAGATAAATAGAGTAAGTTAATAGCTCTATTAAAGTATACCTCTAGATCTTTATAAACTTCTACTAAGATAATTAGGTATAATAGTTACTACTTATAGAGTTTATAATAAATAATATTATATCTAAGACTATAAAAGTATCTCTATTCTTTATAAATTATAGTTTCTATCTAAGACTAAAGGTTAAGCTAGCGTAGCTAGTACTACTAAACTTATCTATTATATAAAAACGTAAGTTCTTTAAAGCTAATAACGTAGCTAACTAGTTTAGCTATATTTTATTCTAACTAAAAGTACTAGCTACTTAGTTTATTACTTAGTATAAATACTATATAAATAAGAGACGTAAAAACGTACTATAATGTTTAATAGAAGATCTTATCTACGTTAATACGTAGAATATAAAGATAAATAAGCCTATAAAAAAAAGAGATAATAAGCTTATAGAGCTATATAAAATATTAAAGATTTATAACTAATTATATATACTAGAACTTCTATTATATATATAAATCTTTCTAGTATTCTATAACTTACTACTCTATCTCTAGTATGTCTCTACGAGGCTTCTAGGTTAATAGGTAATTAATAAAGTAGAGTTACGTTATCTCTATAGAAGAGTTCTTAAAAGAGAAAATAGAATAGAGAAACTTACTAAAAAGTAGAAGTTTAATATAATACTAGACTACTATAATAAGTAACTAGAACTATAGTATCTTATTAAATAGAAGAACTATGCTATAACGTAGTAACTAGTATTAGACCTAAAGAGTTAGAATAACGCGCTACTAAGGTTCTATACCTAATATCTAGATAAGCTAGGTCTACTATAATAGATAAAAAGACTATAGACGCTAGTTAGTCTAAATTTTTTTTAATTTTATAGACTATCTAAGACGTATAGTATACTAGAAGAGAAGTACTATTATAGTACTAATCTATCTACTTAGTTATATAATCTTAGCTACTTTAGCGTCTTAGTATAGTAGATATCTACTCTACGCCTCTATACCTTTATAGCTTAATATTATATAACTTATTATATATCTTAAATTCTTATTTCTTATTTACGCTATAATAACTAGATAGTTAAAGATAATATAGATAAGTTAGATAGCTTATCTAGATTTATCTTAAGTAGCTTAGAGTTAGAGTAATCTAAATAAGATAGTAGTATTTAGTAGAGGCTTAGTATTTTTAGAGAGTTTAGTTATCTAGAGAGTTTAGTTATTAAGTATATTATAGACTATTCGCTTATAAAGTATATTAGTAGTATTTAGTAGAGACTTAATATTTTTAGATAGTTTACTTATATAGGCGGTTCGCTTATAAAGTACGTTAGTATATTAATATATAGTAACGTTGTATTCTCTATTAAGCTATTAAGCTTTGGCCGCAGCCTAAGCACCGGTTTTCGCCAAGAAGCTAGCCCATGGCGAAACCAGCCCATGGCGGGAGCCATGAACCGTCACACTTCCTGCTAGAGCTCTTAGTTGAAGGTAGTGTGTCGATCGTGGTTTATAAGGTTATTGCGGACTCTTGTTGGGGAGGCGTACATCCGTAGCATCATGCACGGGGAAGCGCTGAAGTTCGACGCGTCAGGAAACAGTAGGTCGTTTTAGTGTAAACACCAGGAGTCGATTATACTCGATGACTCGGTGTTCTAAACCGTTCACCTTTGATGATACTCTTCCGACTGCGGAGATTAGGCTGTGGCCACCCCTTTTGCTGGAACTGTATACGTAGTATACTCGCATCCTCCTTACGAACAGATCAAGCGGTTTAAGTGACTGCACTCTCTACTTCGATGACTCAATCTTCATTCCGCCGCCGTCTGCGCTCAGTTATCTAAGGCGCCTTCAGCCCTTCGCAGAAGCCGCGAATCGGTTGCGAAGCCGGTGAGACGAATGTCGACCGAAGCCCTGAGCGCGACCACATCAGCGATCTTATCAACAATCCAAGGCTCTCTGATGGATGCTTTGCGGCGGTTACATGGAGGGGCTACTCTGGCATTGCATCTACGACCTGCATCGCAGTGCTGTTCCATTGCGGAGAAGAAGATTGGCCTTGCGGGGAAACGAAAATGTGAGCGATGCGCGGATTGGGGAGAGATAGCTGCAAGTTGCGGGGGTTTACAAGGTTGAGCAGATGGGCACTTGGTACGGACCGATTTAAAATGTACTTTGACAAGCATTTAGCAATGACGCTCTATATTGCAGCAAAACTCTCGTAGATGTGACCCGATATATTTGCATCCATTATTATTGCAATTGTCTTTCTGCATTAGCTCTCACAATTGCCTATCTCCGGGGCGTAGTCTTTCGGTGCTTGCCATCCGCGGGAAATATCCAACTCGCAGGAGAAATATCCTGCCTATGCCTCTGGTGACACAATCGACTGCCAAAGATCCTCACAACACCATAAAACCATGACCTCCGGACGACGCCACCGTCGACTTGCCCGGAAACTTCACACTCACCGCAAGGCATAACCATCAGGAAGCTGACTCTTCAAAACCCTCACTCAAATCCATCTCTGTTAATGACTCGCCATCTTCCACCCCGCCTCCCCACCCTCCTTAATCCACGCACTACTACAAATCATCCTAAACAGTGTGTCCACGAGAGTGCGGAAAAGCTGGAATCAGCTACGCGCAGTGCTTTTCCCAGTGGCACGAGGCTCGGTGAGCGGGAGGAAAGGGAATGGAAATTCTCTTGATTAGGATACCTACAAACATCTTACCTGGCTAGCCTTTCACGAACAGATATATGCCCATTTCTCTAAAAGGGGCGACAGAACAGACTTTTCAGGCACACGGTTCCGGTCACCTTCTACCGCTGGGCAATTCAAAAGTTTGCCCGTGTCCTTGCTGCAGCCATTGTCCGCTATACTGCGCGATCTTATCCGAGTCTTTCGGGCCCCTTGGTAGGGTCGCGCGCGCAGCTACCGCCTTCTCATTCGTGCCCTTGGGGCTGAGAAAGAAGGCTGGGGGCCCGGGTGGGGATCGGGAAGGCCACCAGGGGCTCGCGAGGAGAGAGGGAGCATCTCTGCGCTGTGGGCGCGAAAGCGGAGGAAGCACGAGCGCTTTGGGGTCGTAGATCGTGATAGCCGAGATGGTAAGCCGTTCACAGACGAAATGTTGAGCTGTGTAGTCTATTGAAGGAAGCCGCCATGCGCAATGCCATTGCGAGATTCTTTTTCCAATACCACAGTATGAAGCGCGACGCGCCCGACGCCGCGTGTAGAGTTGGCCGTCGACTTGACCCCAGTGGAATTCTCCCATATTGCGCAAGTGCCCATAGCCCGTACGGTGGCGCAGACACGCCGACGTCTGCAATCGAGGCGCATGCGCTCACTCTGCGCAGAGATTGTGCTGGTGGTCGCGATTGAAGTCCGGGATGGTTATCGCCACTGACGCGAATATGAGAAGTCCGCCGACGTTCCGAGATATGCCCGTCCCTGCGGGTGTGGGGGGAGCGCAGAAGCTGTGAAATCTTGATTTGTGAGCCTCAGGCCATGGCCCCATGCAGAGTCTGCATGGCTGAGCAGAGATGTCAAGGTATTCTCGCGGAACTGCGGAACTGCGGAACTGCGGTTGGTGGTGAAGGGCGAAGTCCGGCATGGGCGCAGCTGCCTGATTCGACAACAGCGCGTCACATGGCCGGAAGGCGCGATCGCGGAGGCGGAGACGGCGGGCAGCTGCATTTCCAGTCGTGCCACAGCGAGGGCGACCAAGTTTGAGAGTGAAAAATCGCAGAGAAGGGCGACCCCGCAGAAATTTGAAATTTGGGGCTCGCGCGTGAATTAGCAAACTGCGAAGTGAGTGGCAGGCGAAGGCGCTCGAACGTTCTGGTGCCTTGATGTCATTGGCGCACCGGCCGCCGTGCGCACCCGCTTGTCCCATTACTCACCTTTGACCGTCACAGCCTCAGCTTGCCGCCTACGCCTGCCTCCCATATAAACCCGCCCGCCGCCTGCGCTCCTGCTTCTCCTCTACATCGCACTCTCAACACACAACCTCACCCACAACGACAGCCAACTCCATCCCGGCACAACTCCCACACCGCTCCAAGCATACTTTCTCGACACACAACAAGATGCAGATTTTCGTCAAGACCCGTAAGTACCCCCGCCGCCGCTGCGCCTGACCCGCGGTCGCTAACAGCCGTGCAGTTACCGGCAAGACCATCACCTTGGAGGTGGAGTCTTCCGACACCATCGACAATGTCAAGTCGAAGATTCAGGACAAGGAAGGCATCCCGCCTGACCAGCAGCGCCTGATCTTCGCCGGCAAGCAGCTTGAGGATGGACGCACCCTGTCCGACTACAATATCCAGAAGGAGTCGACGCTCCATCTCGTCCTCCGCCTCCGCGGTGGCATGCAGATCTTCGTCAAGACTCGTAAGTCGCCACTTCACCTCTCACCTTCCTCAAGCTCGTGCTAACATCTTCTCCAGTGACCGGCAAGACCATCACCCTTGAAGTCGAATCGTCGGATACCATCGACAACGTGAAGTCGAAGATCCAGGACAAGGAGGGCATCCCGCCGGATCAGCAGCGCTTGATCTTCGCGGGCAAGCAGCTCGAGGATGGCCGCACTCTTTCGGATTACAACATCCAGAAGGAGTCCACTCTTCACCTCGTCCTTCGTCTTCGTGGCGGCATGCAGATCTTCGTCAAGACCCTGACCGGCAAGACTATCACGCTCGAAGTTGAATCCTCCGACACCATCGACAACGTCAAGTCCAAGATCCAGGATAAGGAGGGTATTCCCCCGGACCAACAGCGTCTCATCTTCGCTGGCAAGCAGTTGGAAGACGGCCGTACGCTGAGCGACTACAACATCCAGAAGGAATCCACCCTGCACTTGGTGCTGCGTCTGCGAGGTGGCATGCAGATCTTCGTCAAGACTCTCACCGGCAAGACAATTACGCTCGAGGTTGAATCTAGCGACACCATCGACAATGTTAAATCCAAGATCCAGGATAAGGAGGGCATTCCTCCCGATCAGCAGCGTCTCATCTTCGCTGGTAAGCAGCTCGAAGACGGTCGGACACTCTCGGACTACAACATTCAGAAGGAGTCCACCTTGCATTTGGTGCTCCGCCTGCGTGGTGGACAGTAAGCGGCTGGTGGGATGACGGTGATAACTCAAGGAATGGCGTTCATGGCACGACTACGGCGTAGCGATGGATTTCTGCCGGAGATGATATTTCTGGGTTACATGGCCGATAAGGTCTTTAATGGAATGAACATGCCTACGGGCTGAGAGTTCACTCTCAAACAGTTTTGTTCTCATGCATTCATGATGTGATGATCTTGGGTCTGACAGCGTATGTGACACCGCGGTCGCGTAGTGCCGGCTTACGCCCAAAGCTTCCGTGTGCTCTGTGCAACACCAACTCTCCTGACGTCCAAACCATCAGTACCGCATCGTTCACTCCGCCATCGCGGCGCTCACAGTCTCCGCCGCCTGAGCACCTGTAATGGATCTCTCCCGTGTGCTGTGCCGGCGGGCGCCGTTTACCCCACCTCTGACGCCACGACGCGCGGAAATAGGTCTATCCCCGCCATAGCTCCACCCGCAAGGAGCGTCGGAGCTAGAGCATGATGCCATGCAAAGACGGCAGAAACTCTACCGAGTCTCAAAGCTTCGTATGCGAGTTCAATTGTCAGTCAGCACGGCGTGGATAGCCGGACTTTCGACCAAAGTCCGCCAGACGAAGAGCTTCAGGGCAGGCTATAAGAACGTGGTTACCCCGCTAGCAGCGAGTTCGATAGCGATACGACCGACCGAGATACCCCGGACGAGCTCTAGTGCAAGAGAACAGCGAAGGAATATAGCAAATATGACAGAGAAGAAGATGGAATACGTCAAGTGGGTTCCCTCCCCTCCGCGAGGCCCTCATCGCCTTCACAAAGCTCACTGGGCTTCTGGAAGCACTTTGACTGACAAGGGGACAGCCTGGGCAAGTCCGGCCTCAAGGTCTCGAAAGTCATTCTGGGCGCTATGAGCTATGGAAGCGACAAGTGGCAGCCATGGGTGCTGAATGAGGGGGACAGCTTGCCGCTGCTCGAGTACGCCTACAAGTGTGGCATCAACACTTGGGATACTGTACGTCTCTTCCCATCACCCCTCTCCAGCCTCACCACGCGAGGAACTCATTTCCTAACCAATTTCCATCACTAGGCGGACATGTATTCCCACGGCATCTCCGAACGCATTATCGGCAAAGCCCTCAAACAATACAACATCCCGCGCAGCAAAGTCGTCATCCTCTCGAAATGTCACTTTGGCGTCAACGAAGACAATCCCTCGCTCAGCGTAGCGGCAGTCTCGACCAATGATGCCGAGATGGTGAACCAGGTCGGGTTGAGCAGGAAGCATATCTTTGACGCGGTGGAAAAGAGCGTCGAAAGGCTAGGCACGTATATTGACGTGCTGCAGATCCATCGGCTGGATAGAGGGACGCCCAGGGAGGAGATCATGAAGGCGCTGAACGACGTGGTTGAGAAGGGGTGGGTGAGGTATATCGGGGCTTCTTCCATGGCGGCTTGGGAGTTCCAAGCCCTGCAAAATATCGCCGACCGAAATGGATGGCACAAGTTCATCTCCATGCAGAACTATTATAATCTCATCTACCGCGAGGAAGAACGCGAGATGGCAAGGGCTCCCTTTCCCCTTTCTTCCTCCCCTCCCCGCTAACCCGGCCATCGCAGATCCCATACTGCCAGGACACAGGCGTCGGCCTCATCCCCTGGTCTCCCATCGCCCGCGGCGCCCTCACCCGCCCATGGTCCGATCGCTCCACCAAACGCGCGACTACTGACCGCTTCCTCGATATGCTCGTGCACAGCCGCGAGGACAAGACGGACCAGGAGATCATTAAGCGGATCGAAGAGGTGGCGAAGAAGCACAATGTGAGCATGGCGACTATTGCGACTGCCTGGTGTATCAAGAAGGGCGTTTGCCCCATCATTGGGCTGAGCAGCAAGAAGAGGATCGAGGAGGCGGTGGAGAATATACACTTCAAGTTGAGTGATGAGGATGCGAAGTTCCTCGAGGAGGTGTATTTGCCTAGGGAGAGGCAGGGATACTAGGGGGTGGGCGATGGAAGAGCCTTGGCGTCTCTGCTTGTTGATTATTGCTGGCAGACTCGAGGGCGATCGAGAAGACCTGGACAGGATCGTCGTAGTCGGTACCTTCGCTGAGGACTTACGGAGAGCTAGAAGATACAATATTTCAAATTGGAAAGACTCCAAAAGAAAACCTCTTCAGTGCCAATTCAGAGTGCGATTGTGCGTTCAATATGCCACGAGTGCTTCTTCAAGCATACTCCCAGCCAGCCTCATGCGAATTTCGCCCTTCCAGTACGGGGGGAACGTTCCTCGCCCGCCATTCCGTAGCCAGCCAGCCCGCCCGCCAATGCTGACATACGTCGAGTGTGGTTGGCTGAACGCCTGACCGTCGCACTGCAGCATCCTATAAGCACGCAGCACGCACGCACAACATGCACGTTTTCCGTTACGCGCAGACCAAACCAGACACAGCAGCAGCGTGAAGAAAAAATTCTCCTACGCGTACCGTACATAGCGCCCGTTAGCTGTGTGTGACGTGCGAGGAGGATCATTGCATGTGCGCGGGTGCTATATTTATCCCGCGATTGTGAGGTCTGGACAATAGATTATGTAGCGAGCACACGCCCGCGCTACGTGGAAGCGTGATGTGACGATCTGCTTTGTATGTAGACTTATCTATGAAACATTACGGGCGTTTGAAAGGATTTATCCATCAAAGTGCCCGCCGCGCTGCAAGGCGCGCTGTTGCTGCTGGGGAATTATTGCTTGTTGCGCGGGAACCGAGTACGACGGGCACGGGGTAGGACAGAGGCGGTGAAAGCGCAGGGATTTTCCGTGACGTGCTGAGGGGTGGTGAAACGGGGCCAACCACAGCACTTCAATTCCAGTGCCAAAGCGTGCCCGTCATGTCCGTAGGATGATCAAGTCGTCATCTCGGCGTGAAGTGGCACCGTGAAAGATAGAGTTGAAGGCTAACAGCCTGTGTATTCGAGGCTATTTACAGAATCCTGCTCCTCATGCACCCCAAGGCAGTTGAGCTTCATGCCTTGTATCCATAGAAAGCCAAAGCAGCTTGTCGTCCCTCCAACGCCCAAAACTCCCATGCGGCTCTGGGCCTCGGAAGGACGAGCAGATGCCAGTCGCTAAAAGGTAGATGAAGATGTAGATGCAGATGCAGAGCGGATGCAGTTATAAAGATGATTCCGATTCCGATTCTGCTCTCCCAAGCAGCTCTCATAGATACACAATCGTGAGAAAGGCACTATCCAAGATCCAGCATTCCCCTAGATCCCCGAAATATCCCCGTAATGCAATCAATACCATTATCGGCTCTGTGAGGGGCCAAATGAAGACTGATAAAGATGCAGGAGTAGGGATGCCGGAACCTCAAGATCAAGATATGGATAGGAAAAACAGATAAAAGTGATGGAAGCCTCCATCATAGATTCCGCCATTTGCTCGCTATGCCAGTAAAACACAATCATGAGAAGGAAGCAAAGGAAAAATGGAGTAGGTAGGAGAAGAGTGATCGTACATCCAACAGTGAAGTTGAAGATGCCACGTTCATCTAACACCCTCTAGAATCGAATTTTGGTAAACCTCCAAACTCGGGGTAAGATGTAAGAAGAAGAGATCGTGATCACTTCCAATCATGGGACCATGATCATCGTCAACCGTAGCAATATCAGGCTCGCTCGCAGTGAAAGCCGTGCCAATCGCAAAAGGAAATATCCGGTAGCCGCCGAAAAGAGCGTGATGTAGTTGGATGGTTGGGGAACCAGATCGAGGTCATGAACATGGCGTGTCCAGGACGCCGGGGAATCAAGGCAAATGGTAATATCAAACAAGTGCAGTCGTCATCATGCTTTTGGTAGGGTCGTCAGCCGTGAAGCGATCGTAGTTTGCATAGCAGCAAACTTCTTTAACCGTGAAACCATTAGACGATAGGCTGTCGGGTCGGATGTCAGGCGGCAAGTGATGAGGCTTGTGTAAAATGGGAGGAAAGTAATGATGTGTGCAGCCTAGTGTCAATGGAAGGTAAAGATGTCTAGAGGAAAGGCCGTTGGGTAGAGCTCCTCAGTTAGCTCGGATGACGAGCTTGGAGAGGAACTTGTTCGACAACGAGTCGAAGTCGGATCGGTCGAACTTGCACTCGCTCCTTGACCGCAGGTAGGTTTCTGCACGTTAGATTAGCTCCGGGTCAAGTCAAACCGATGATGCTTCAGACTTACCATATTTGGTTACGTGAGCACGGACTTCGGTCATGGCATCGCACACCGCCGGGTTGGAGTTCAGCAGGTGGTGGTGTTTCCGGGTATCCCACTCGGTAAACGCGGGAAGCTTCTGGGAGATGGCGGAAAAGAGGCCAACGATGACACCCACGGGCGTCGACTCCATGTCGTTGCAGAACTTCTGCACGGCGGCCTGATCCGGTACCCGGTAGTTGCCGTCGAACTGGATGAGCTCCCAGACGGCGAGCAGGATAGCAGCAAGCATGAAGATGGTCGGCCAGTTCTTCAGCTTGTCGCCGCTGTATACGGACGAGTACAGAGCTGAGAGCTCCTCAAGCACGTCCTTCTGGAGCTCGCGCCACATGTCGGCAAGAGCGCACTTGACCTGGAAGTTGATCATGACGGGAGCAATGGTCTTGCCGCTGAACTTGGACTGCTGGTCCTCGACCTTGCCGATGATGTTCTCCTCCTCGCCGAGACCCTCAACCATGGTGACGTGGAGCGTCAGATTGTAGGCGATCATGAGCTTCAACGCCTTTCGGATAACCGGGAGCTTTTCCCGGCAGTAGAAACGGTAGGCGGTCTTGAGGATCTCGGTGACGAAGTAGGTGCCCTCAAAGTACTCATCGACGAACTGCTCGAAGCCACCATCGATGTGGCGATCCAGGTAGTCCGACAGCATTGAGCGTGAAATACCCTCCATGCCAGCAGAGAGCTTGGCAGTGTTGATCTCGAAGTGGAGGCCATTCAGCGTCTCGAACCAGTCAACGCCGAAGCACTTCTCGTCGCGGACGTAGACCTCGCGGGCCATGATGGGAAGGTAGTGACCGTATCCGTGGGTGATGTAGATGGGACGCTCCTGAGCCGAGAAGCCCTTGATGTTGCCGATGGAGAATCCGAGGCTGACGTGGCGCTCATAGTCGGCCTTCCAGTCCTTCATGAAGTAGGCGATGTCCTTGATGTCGATGCGCGTGCACGGGACCTGCCACAGACGAGCGTGGGATGGCTGGCAGCCGCCGCACGGATCACCCTTGTCGCAAGTCTTCTTCAAGAACTTACACCTTAAGCAAGCACGCAGTTTTCGGATCTCGTGAGCTTGCTGTCGCTGATCGGGCCTTAGAGGACCACGCCGCCTGCCGACGCGCTTCTCACCCTGTTGATCCTTCTTGGTAGAGTGGGCCGGAGTCTTCTTGACGATGGTCTTAGCGGGCTTGGCACCGACCGGGGACTTTCTCCGGCGAGATGGCGGTGAGCTGACGGCGGATGAGGTGGGGGATGAGGAGCTGGAGGTCGACTGCTTGATGTCGATGGGCTCAGCGCGGGCCATGGGCGGACTGACGGACTGGTTGGGTGAGATGTAGTTGTTGAAGTCCTGGTTATCCATTGGAAGGCCGTGCTGGCAGTTTGACGAGTGGGCGTGCGAGTGCGCCAACTCCAGGTTGTTCTCAACTTCGGACTGCGGCGAGTTCATCGGGAACTGAACCTCCTCGTAGCTGCTGAATGATCCGGCAGATCGCGGCGCGTCAGACTGCTGCGAAGAGTCCGAGTTTGTGCGGATGTGGAGGGATTGTGCTGGGTTGAAGATGATGTTGGCGGAGGTGTCGTTGGTAAAGTCGTAAGAATTGCGGTGACCGATGTGGATAGTGCTCCAACCATTGTCGCTGCTGCCCGTGAGAGATTGCACCTCGAGCCATTGCTCAGTCGGTGAGCCTGTGCCAACGCTAGCCGAGGTAGCGCTCGGGGCGGTCAGCTGGTCCTGCGTATTGGAGAAGTTTGACAGCTCTTGCTGGAAGTCGGTCATCTGGAAGGGTGCTGCCGTCATCTGCGTCATGTCCATGGTAGCAGCCGTCGTCATCATGTTGAACGGGGCGTTCATGGACATGGAGGTCATGAGGGCGGCCTGCGACGTGTTGATGCCAAAGTCCACCGGCGACGTCTGGAGCTGGCCGCCGAAGGTGCCGCCGAAGTCTGACGGATTCATCGTCATCGCCTCCGAGGCGTAAGCCGGCTGAGCGTAGTTTGTGGTCGAGCTGAGGTTGATCCAGTCAGCCAGCATCGGGTTCGTGGTCTGCATCGCGGTCGGGAAGCCCAGGTTGGTCGTCTGGAGGGGAGCGATTGCGCTGGACGTGGTCGGGAGAGCATTGCTGCTGGCGGCGCTCGTCGCAGCAACCGTGTTCATGCGTCGCTGCTGCTGCTGCTGCTGCTGCTGCTGCTGTCGGGCCTGCTGCTGGGCCTGCTGCTGGCGTCCATCGTGTTGCTGTTGCATGGCAGCGGGCGAGAGGGGGAGCGGCCAGGTCTGGTGCTGGAGGTTGAAGTTGAGCGTCGGGCGGTTCGGGTCGAACGACGAGTCGAAACCGTACAAGTCGAAGTTCTCCAGGTTGTTCTCCATCTTTGTAATGGAGGATGAGGGAGTGTTCGGATCTCAGCTGGGCGGAGCTCTGTGCTGAGCAGAGCGGTGTGATGTGAGAGGGATCGAGCGGGAGCGTCGAAGGGAAGTGGGCGGGGGGATCCGTGCGCTGGATCAAGACGGCGCTCGCAACTGGCGGTCAAGGCCACGGGACTAGCGATATGCACGCCAGATGCAGCAACACGACCAGCGCCGCGCGCGGCCAATTGCACGCCCGCCCGAGAGTGGACGAGAGGGCCGGCGCGCTGCGAGTCCTGATCTGCCCACTCCCGCTGTGCGGCGGGCCTCTTTGCTATTGCGTGCGGCCGCCCAACACCAGCAACGGGCGCCCGCGAGAGCTCTGCCCAGCACGCCGGCCCAAGCGCGCGCACTCGAGCGGATTTCGAGTGTGGGCGGCGATCGTGGCTAGCGAGGAAAGCTCAAACGGAAGAGCGTTCGCCCGCTGGCCTGCCAAAGCCCGCGCTGACAGCTGCTGCCGAGCCACTCAAGACGCCGGAGCACGCAGTGTGTCGCAATGGACGGCGTCGCAGAGCCTATCAGTCCACCCCGCCTCAGGTATCGGCAGCCGATAAGCGTTAGGCGGCGTCCGCCAGGATCAGCATCTGGGGAGAGCACTTGTCTCTGTATCGAGTCTCGAGTCTGCCCGGATCGATGCGATAGCCTCCTTCGTGCACGATGAAGCCCTTCTCCTCGCCGCACGGCTACGTGTGGCGGCGGGACGCTGCCAGCGCACCTATAAGCACGTCTAATAATATGAGCGTGATAACATAACGCGCGAGGCAAGCGTGTGGGAGGAGCGGCAGATGCGACGACGGGCCAGGGCAGGCGGGGCTCGCCACTCTGGAATGCCACTCTTCGACGGCACCTAAATCTCTCACTCACCGACTTCGCGAAAAGCGCCTCGCACCATCGTTCAAGCGTTCAAGCGTGCCTCGATCTCGTCGGCGCTTCCTCGTGCCTGCGCGCGCTCTACCATGGTTGCGTCGCCATCGACTCTCCCCTTTTGCCTCTCCGGGATGAGATGCCTGCACATCAGCGAGTCTTGTGTAGCACCGCTCACGCACATGGTGCCACTGAGCGCTGCCTTGCATCCGGATTCTCGTCAATCGCAAGCGTTTCAGGGCGCCGCGCAGTCGCCAAAGCCTTGGCCTTGCATGCCGTAACTCCACCTCAGAAGACTTGACAGAAAGCAGCCAGACCCTGAATCTTGTTACTGGACGCCCGTCGCACTGGTGCTACGCCATAGGTGACAAACATTCCTCGTGACTCTGTCTCCCGCTCGTCTGGATTTGCCTTTCCGATGCTCTTCCTTGCCTTGCTGCATTCCGGCAATGACATGCAGCTGCGTTCGCAGCCCTGGGTGAGCCCGGAATTGCCGAATCTCTTGTATCCGTCCAGTCATCTTGTGGATTATTGATATGAGTCGTAACTCGTCGTAGCCCGTGCCTGGTCGCACCGTTTTACCGACGTTGCCTACGGTTCTATTTCAACGCCAGAGTCACATTCGCAGAGGGTTGATGCCTGTTTCGTCTCGTGGCGCGGCGAGTTTGAGGTTACAAGAGCTGGATGACTGGTAGATCTGACAGAAGACCGACAGATGAAAGAGAAGAAGTGCATAGAGGAAGGACCGAATCGAAGAATTGCGAGCGACGTGCGTAGACGATGCAGATGGAAATAAAATGCCCGATGCTGTGGCCGCCGGAAAGGGAGACTGTCTGAGACATCATACCGACGACCGCGGCGAGCCTTCTATTGTCATGTCAGCGAGTCTGGTGTCGAGAGGCTCTGGGCTGTGATGGGCGTTCACGGTAGATAGGAATCGCAAGTCTTCCAAGAATGGTGTGGCAGTAGTGCGCGGGTGTTGTCAAGTGGGACGTTTTACGCCGAGGGTCTGTGGGGGCGTCGCTGCCTGGCGCTCGGCTGGCTCGTCGCTGCACTGGTCGAGTGCGGGCTTGGTCGGCGGGCTCTCTGAGCCCTGGAGGTGAACGGCAGGGCGAAGATGAATGGCATGACGTATTCGCAGATTGCGGTGGGAGGTCGGGTGCTCTTTCCCTCGGACTTGGTGGGCATGTCAACACTGCTGAAGTCTGGTTCCAACCATCCTCAGACTCTCAACAAATCACCTCGAAGACCCCCAAGACCGTTGGAAGAATTGAATATATCTTGTCAATCACAATGCTGCTCACTTCAAATCCATTGCTCAGGACGTCGAGTGCGAATCCAGGCAGGCGCGTCTTTGAGGCACAATGGAGAGGTTCGACACCCGTTATTTCTACTACGGTAGGTATCCTACACGCTCAATCGACGCCCAGCATCTGACTCGACATAGGCTGCTTGTTCTTTACAGCCCTCTGCTACCTTCTCGGAGTGGGAGCCACCCTCACGCGCAGCGGCGTATGGATACTCAATATAACCATTAGCCTCATCCTCCTCGTTATTATGCCCCCCTTCCTCTACAATGCCTTCCGATTCTGCAGATTTGTATACCATGAGACGGACTACCAAAGATACTTGAGCACCACAGGCAAACGCAATTCCAGAGCACAAGATGAGATTGGACTTTGCGACGTGGTCAAGATAGGAGACACCGTCGAACCCTTCTTGGATACTGCAAACAAACGTATTCGCGAGCTCGAACTGAAGAATGAAGAGCTACAGGCTTTAGTGGACCTGAAAAGAGATTTAAAAGCGTCCCCGCAGATTGCAGACCAATACGACACCCGGCACGCAGCCCACAACGAGCCGATAGAAGGGAATTCGGATGCATGCCAAAGTGCACCAAAAGTCAAGGGCATCAACAAGCCAGCGCAAACCCCCGCAACGGTATCAACGAACGAAGAGCTCCAAGCCCTAGCCTCCCTTGGTCTAGCAAAGAAACGCATCGCCGTCCTCGAAGCCGAAGCCAGCCAGACCCAAGCACAGCTCGACGCCGCAAACAGACGCATCGTGCAGCTCGAACTAGGAAACCAGCAGCTACGTCATGATCTCGCAGACTCGACTACGCACATAGACGCTAGCAAAAGCGCAGCAGAGAGGTTCCAGACCCGTTGCGGTGAGCAAGAAAGCCAAAGCGACGTATCTGCAGTCATCGTGGCGCAGCACCCGCAAGACGCTCCTGATAACTCCACGCCCACCGCTATATCATCAACCACTGCTACTTCAACGCCCGCCACAGAAATCCACGATGATGCGAAGAGATATCAGGATAATGGTGAAGGCGCAGTAGTTTCTGCGCCTTCCGCAGACATTGTCGCCGTTCCAGAGCCCGCACGGAGGAATACAAGGAGGAGGAGACGCTCGGTCACTGCTTCGGCGGCTTCCGATGGCAGCGCAATGCCGTTTGATAAAGAGCTTGATGCAGTGCGCAAGGAGATGTTAGTCAGACAGAGAGTGCTCAAGTACACGGATCCGGAGGTACTAGAGCTTGCATTCAAAAAGGCGCGGAAGCGGGGCTTGTTCGATAATAATGAGAATGAGAATGAGGATGTGGAAGTGGAAGTCAAGGTCGACAGCGCAGAGATGCCGCTGGAGAAGGGGAAGGTGAGGTATGATAGCTTGACAGGTGTGGAAGAATATCCGGAAGAGATCAACGTGGAGATGAAGCACAAGAGGAGCAGGACAGGGGTAGCGGAAGTGTTTGGGAGTGAGAACGAAAGGCAGCCCTGAATATGAGATTTGCCGCCATCTTGCATACCACTTGTTTGGTTCATACTCCGACGTCTTTCGAGAGCCTACCTAGCATTTTTCTAGCTTTCGTTTCCCAACAACTAGCTCTCCCGGCAAACCCCAGCTCAATAGCACAGCTTTCCAAGGGCTCCCCATCCCCCGAGCAATGCAGTCGCGCCCGTGAAAAGAATAATGCCACCGTACTGCCCATTAAACCCCCAATCCCTCCCATCTTTCAACCACCCATCATGCGTAACCAGCGCCACACTCAGCGGCCCACTAATCGCATTCCCTATCCCCCTTCCACCAGCTAACAGGCCAAAGATAAATCCCGTATCCAGCGCCGGAGACTGCGCTTTAAGCTCAGTAAGCACGCCGCTCCAGGTCGAACTAAAGCCCCCAGCAAAGAAGCCATACGTGACTGAAAAAGCAGCCACAAGCGGCACCTGGCTCGAAAAGCCCCAGAAGAAAAAGACAGCGAGTGCGGATCCGAGCGTGGAGACTAGAATCGTCGTCGTGACTCCAACGTGGTCGCCTAGGCTGCCCATCACGATGCCGCCAGGCACCGAGGTTACGTTGATGAGCGCGAGGACCAGCGTGCCCACGGTGGAACTGTGGTGCAGCTGTTGAACGGTGTACGAGGAAATGTATGTGTAGGGGAGGAAATAGCCAAATGATTGCAGGATGTTGCCTATTTGGAGCATCCAGAAGGCGGGGAGCCGGATGAAGGAGGTGTCTATGCGGCGGATGGTTGCGGATTGCGGGAGCGGGATGCGGGGGCGGAGAGAGTAGAGGAGAGGCACTGTCGTGAGGACCTGTTCTGCAGTCAACCCAAATTCTTGCTACTGAGGGACGAATAGGGGAAGGAAGAGAACCCACAGTGATAACGCTCCACGCTTGAAGCGTGATCGCAGGTCCAAACCTCTTTAGACTAGCATCCGCAGCGAACGGCAGAACAACGCCGGTCGCGGATTTCCCGGCCCACATGACGCCCATCGCGAGCCCCTTTCGGCGGACGAACCACTCATCCAGGTACAAAGTCGTTGGCGTAAAAAGCAGGCCGCACCCCAGAGCGGAAATGACACCCTGCGTAGCGACCAGTTGCCAGACTTGTTTTGAGAAGCTTGACAAGAGGAAGCCTACGGCCGTAAGGAAGAGTCCGATGGGACCGAACCAGCGACGGAGACGAGGCCAGCGACATAGGATGGCGAAGGTGAAGGGTGACATGAGATACATAATTCCCTAATCATCCATTAGCAATTCAGGTGATCTTCTCGACTAGGCTATCGACGGGTCGAAATGGGCTCACCGTCACCGTCGTCCCAATAACAGCCACGTTCGACGTATCACCATCGAGCTCATCCGGATGGCTCCCGTAGTACTCCTGGAAGACACCAAATGCCAAAGAGAAGCCTGTAGCACTTGTCAGTCCTGCTGTCATTAGTCTTGGTGCCTAGTGCTATGTACCCCAGACGGGTGCTTGGATTAGAGATGAGCCAGCTAGCACAAGCCATGCTGCTTTCCCGGTGTCCGTCGGTGGCAGTGGAGGCTGTTCGATCTCTGTCTCCGTGCCATTGTGCCATGTTGCTTCGTGATCGCTTGCACCCGAGCCCTGACGTGGGAACCGGGCGCTGTCAAGCTCGATGTCGGGTTGTACTTGCGTCTGTATTTGTGCCATGCTCGGAGTCGCCGTTGCTTGCTTAGTCGGGGAGACGACTGCTGGATGATGTGATGGTCCAACGCTTGCACGTTGCTTGCTTCGACCAGACAATCCCGAAATGAAATGGTAATAGGTAGAAGAAGTATTCTATCTCTGTTTAGCCCTATCGTCTGGCACAGGGCGGGTACGTGATGTCCTGGTGAGACAGTGTCACGGGTAACAAAATATTTAGAACAATTGGACAGATATAAGAAATGAATTTAGGAAACCAAGGACACTTTGAGCCGCTGCTCTTGGCTAGTCTAGCATATATATATATGTAAGTGTTTCATCACAGGGAGTTGAGCGTTCGTTCATGATCTTCGCTTCTGCGGGGTAATCCTAATGGAGATCTGCGCGCCCGGACAACTGATGGTGCTTACCATGACGGCACAACTAAAGATTAACTAAGACAATTCGCAGCCTCTGTCAAGCTCTGCAACGACGTCCGCGGCCGTATTCATTGCCGAAGGGGGACGTGATCATCACAATGAGGTTGAGGTGTAGAGCGTCGATTTCGGAGAGCGGAGAGAAGAAGCACTTCCCCGCTGCCGGCCTTCGGCTCCATAGGGTGCATGATCTGTACAACGCCGAACTAAACCATGACAGTTAATAAGGGCAGTGGCGCATAGCATGTAAGCAATTGCGTGCAGCACATCCGCAGAGCTGCTGTCGTTCCATACTCTTCTGCTTTCTCCCTATTCAAACGTGCGACAAGAGACCCTGCGCAGCGTCTCAAGAACCACAGAACCACCGGTTGTACTTGTTCAATTCCGCCATGGCACACGTCGGCGCTCTCCCCAAGATCCACCGGTATATCACGGCCCACAACAAGGAGGGAAAGGCGATCTTCAGCGACAAGTTCGACGAGGAGAGTAAGATGAAACCCAATGACGACGGCATCGCGTTCGCGCTCAGCTACACGACCAAAGGGTTTCCGGTCGGCCTGGACAACGACGAGGATCTGCAGGTGTACGAGCATTATTTGAACGAGGCCCCAGGCCTCGTAGTCTCGGGCGGGACCGTCCTCCGGCATGTGGACATCCCCCCCAACACGGCTTGTGCCATGCACCGCACGGTCAGCCTAGACTATGGGTGTGTTCTGGAGGGCGAGGTCGAATGCCTGCTGGATAGCGGCGAGAAGCGGGTCATGAAGCGTGGGGACGTTGCGATCCAGCGTGGGACGATGCATCAGGTACGTTCGTCGCGGGAGATCCTAAAGCGCTCTGAGCATCGACGCCGCTCGAAATGGGCGGTGCATGTTTAGTGTTGGCTCGGCATCTTCTGCTCCTCTGCCTTCTATGCTCAAGACCTCTGCTAAGTGGACGGCCGTCGCAGTGGATCAATCATAGCACCAAGGACTGGACGAGGATGCTGTTCGTGCTCCAGGAGAGCAAGCCGCTGAAGGTCGCGGGCGAGACGGTGGGCGAGGAACTGGCGGGCATGGCTGGGGTACGGCCCTCGGACTGAGCAGTGAGCCGGATGGCGGAGGAAGAAGCTTCCTGTAAACCGCTAGAGCAGACATCTTGAGACGCAAACCACAAACCAAATCAAGCCTCGGCTGCCAAGACCAGGCGCGGGCTAGCTCCCGATTCGGAAGCAACCCACTTCCAAGGTTCCTCTCCAAACACCCCTAAAATCTCTATAAACAAAGAGCCTGCGCCAGAACGATCCCGCTTGTCGTAGCGATGAGTGTGTGGGGAAGTCACACGCCATCGCATTACCTCTTCCGGCAAGCGAGGCAGCGAGAACAATAGTAGCGCGCCGACGCCCCCCATACCAGAGAAAGCCATTGTTTGGGGCCACTAGATGCCCATCCGAGTGCTGTTGAAATCTCGACGGCAAGACAGGAGGATGGCTGCCCCACGACCGTCTTCCTCTCGGACTCCATCCTCACGACTGGAGGGGATTCTTGCCGACACAGACCGGATCCAAGAACTGTCCGACTCCGACGGCGAGTACGAAGACATGGGAACAGCTACCCAGGAGGAAATGGCCAACATCGCTTACCTCGAAAGCGTGCGGATACCGATCGAGGATGGGCTGACGACCGAATCATCCGCCGTAACAGAGGAGACGCTTCAAGCTGTGCTTCCGTTCTTGGAAAGCAACCCCAATGACTTTCCACTCAACATTTTCGGTTTGCCCCAGCTACAACGCGAGAAGCATATCAACTTCTTGAAACATGCGTTGGGGGACTATCCGCGACAGTTTGCCATGATGGATGCTTCCCGGCCCTGGTTGCTCTACTGGAGTCTGCAAGGATTGACTGCCTTGGGCTACGACATTTCAGAATACCGAGAGCGGTAGGTGTCTATCATTTCCTATATGTGTTCATTTCAGACCTGATATGACTCCATTCCTTAATTCGGCTTCTGTCTTCTTACGCCTGACCTCCCTTCAGAGTTGCCCACACATTTACCTTGGCTCAACACCCCGAAGGCGGCTATGGCGGCGGTTACGGCCAACTGCCACATCTCGCAGCAACCTATGCTGCGGTGTTATCGATCGTCATGGTCGGCGGAAGCGAAGCCTACGAGTCCATCAACCGCAAGGCGATGTGGCGCTATCTTGGTCAGATGAAGCAACCCGACGGCGGCTTTACCATGGCACCAGGCGGCGAAGAAGACATACGTGGGGCATTCTGTGCACTAGTAGTCCTATCTCTGCTCAACATCCCCATCAAGCTACCACCGGATGCCCCCGCGCGCACGCACGGTCTTACCAGCTTCTTGGACAATCTGGGCGAGTGGGTGTCGGAGTGTCAGACATACGAGGGTGGCATCTCGGCAACCCCCCTTAACGAGGCACACGGGGCGTACGCGTTCTGTGGTGTTGGGTGCCTGTCCATCATGGGTCCGCCGAAGGAGATGCTAAACAAATATCTCAATATGTCCACGCTCATTCATTGGCTCTCCTCCCGGCAATGCGCTCCCGAGGGCGGATACAACGGGCGCACGAACAAACTTGTTGACGGCTGCTACTCACACTGGGTCGGTGGCTGCTGGTCGATCGTCGAAGCTGCCACCGCCAGCACGAACATCTGCAACCGCTCTGCGCTGGCACGCTACATTCTCTCCGCGGCCCAGGCGAAGAAGGGCGGTCTAATTGACAAGCCAGGGAAGAAACCGGACGCATATCACTCGTGCTACAATTTGGCTGGCTTGAGCCATGCGCAACATAGATACACCTACGAAGCGAAGGTCCAAGAAGATCTCGGGGGAGGCGATCTGGATGCGCCTTATTACTGGAAAGCACAGGGCGATTACGACGATGAGAAGGTTTGGGGCGACACGGATATCGTCAACGAAGTCCATCCGATTTTCGTGATTCCGTTCAAGGCAGTGCACGACTGTCGGAGGTACTTTATGGAAAAGGAGGGGTTCTAGCTTCGGACTGGCATCGGAGTGGTGAAAGACTCGGCTGGGGAGTGGAGGGACGTGTGGGATTCCAGATTGTAGACGTCCCACGAGCTGTACAAGTGGTAGGAGCATGAAACGGGACGGAAATGCAGGGGACTGTGCAAGCAGGATATTCCAGGCATGTGTCACCTTCGGTTCGCAGTGTATACTTCTCGCCACGATATAGACTCTATGTTCTAAAGCCATCTCCTTCAACAGTCTGCTTCGTTCCCTATGCCGGGAGCCTTCAAGCATCCATATATAGGGTGAGGGGCGGTCCATCGACAACCTTGCTCCTCAACGTGGCCTTGATGCCAGCATGAGCCGCGCACTCATTGTCATAGTAATCCATATCCTCCTTGTTGTCGAAGACGGTGCGGGCTACGAGGGTATATCCCTTGGAGCGGGGGTCGTCATGGGTGGGGTTCGCGGCGGCCATCTGAATGTATTGCTTGCCGTCCTAGGGCGTCGGTCAGCGAAGCTCTCCCAGCCAGATGTAATTATGGCATTGCACGGCATGATTGATCTGGGGAAAAGCAGGGTTATCCCGTCCATGTCGATGTGTCGACGTTGGAGCCAAGCATGTCCCTCGTCTGTTGGCGAGTGTGATGAGATTTGGTGGCCTGCATACCGCTGCAGGTTCGGGTCGATGTAGGCGGTGCTACATTTGGAACTGCGGGTGTTTAATGAGTCAGGGACTTACTTTGACGGCATCTTGGCTCAGGGTCGAGTACTTTTGTACGGCTTCCTGGACATGGGCCGGATCGGGGATCTTGAAGAGGGTCAGGCGGACGATCTTGGGCATGGTGGAGGATGCTGGACGGGGGGGAGCAATTGAGGGATTCGATATCAGGATATCAAGAAAGTGGGCCGGTGTGATGTGTCGAGAGTGATGCGGGAGCACATTGTCTCCTGGAATCGAAGCATATTTGTGGAGAGCAGCTTCGGAGCGGGTGTGGAGAGCCAGACAGGCTGAGACAGGCGACCATCAGCTTCGGTTCCCCTACTTTTGCTGAGGCTCCTCGGAGAATATACGGCGGCGCCACATACGAAAGATTAGTACATGGGTAGTTTTGCGCAGCAGATGGCGGGTCAAAAGGTACTCGGGGTCCGATGCCGGCGAGATGGCGAGACTCGAGCGCTGTGCGCCCGTGTCACATGGGAGCGTGGAGGCCGGATCTAGCGTCCCAGCATTCTTGTAATTCCCTCGAGGTAACTGGACCCTGCGATGCCGCGATGCCGCGATATCACGACGTCGGCTGTTGGGGGCGCCCCCGCGGGTGCTTGCGTGCGTGCGTGCTGGAGGTGGATGTTGCACAGGCACGGCACACGAGACCCCTCTTTCCGGGGAGGAGGTGCAAATACGGGAGCGCTCCGGCCCCTCCACACCCTGGCGGGCTGCGGCAACACGTCTGACAAGGCTGAGGAGGAGGTGGTCGAGCGCGGCCGTGGTTGGAGGGGGGCGGGCGAAGGCGTGAGAACCGGTGGGTCAGCGCGCTGGAAGCAGGCCGATTCGAAGACGGCGCCCACCACCACGGAGGAGCACAACCTTTCTTCCCTCTGTCTCGCGCCAGACGACGCTGCGGCGGCGGCGGCGGCTGTCTCCTCTCGCGCTCCCCTCGACGACTGCGTGTCTGCGGAGGGGCCCATACCTAGGTATCAAGCGCTTGCCACGCCGCGCCTGCTCACCGCCTTTCTCCTCAGCAATCCGGCGCGCGCTGCAGATTGCGCAGGCGGCCGTGGCTGGTGTCGCGCCTCGCCTCTCGCCTCTCGCCTCTCGCCTCTCCCCAGGTGCGACTCTCTTTACCCAGCGGAGCCATGCACGCGTCCCGCAATTCACCTGCCCCCCGCGCCCACATGCTTTGCAGCCTTCCTCGTCCAAGACCGAGCACCGACGCCAAAACGAGGCCGCGGGCGCGTCGACCAAGGCCCTCATGTACCTCGACCGTCCCCGAGAGCGTCTCGCGGCCTATCGTGCCTCGCCCGAGCGCGGCCGGGGCTCCACTGCGACCTGTCTGCTGTCGCTGCGCGCCCGCACGCGTCTCGAGCAGCCGCCGGCGCTCGTCTGATCGAGGCCTCTGCAGCAGCCCGGCTCGCCATGCCTCGCTGCTCTCATGCTACTGTATGCCTTGGATGCAAGTGCTGGCGGCGGGACCCTGATATTGCTGACGGGAGGGGGCAGCAGTTCGGATAATCTGCGTGAGCTGTTCGCCCGCATCGCGCTGCTGGGATGCCCTCCTCCACCGCACCTCTATATAAATCCCAAATACACGTTCCAGGAACGCCCCGTGCTGGCCCTGCTCCGTTCGCCAAGCATCCCGTGAGTGCCTGTGCACGCACTGCGCCGTCGACAAATCCAAATTCACGCCCGAGCCCCCTCAACCACGTCTCCGCAACGGCCGACTCATGCTCGCAGGCATGCCTTACAGCTAACAGCCGTTGGTCCTCGCCCCTTTGGGCGTTTGGCGCAGGTAGTTCGACCCTCCAAAGTATCAAGCGCCTGCCAACTCATCCCGCATTGCATGAGCACGGCCGTCCGGGGGGTGCAACGACCTTCTATGGTAACACCAAACCCCGTCGCTTCTCCCAAACCCTCCATTCCAGCAATCAATCTCTGCCGTTTGCCTCTGCCCTTCCCTGCCACCCCCAGGAAGCCGCCTGCTCCTCCTGGTGTGACGCTCGTCCCCTCAAGCCACCATGCTCTGCATCCTCACGCAGTCACGATAGCGTGTCAACTTGTCCGCCAGTAGTCTCATGTCTCCGCCGCGACTCCCGCGCTCTCGCCCAGTGCGGAGAGCGCTGTCAGCTGCGGCGGCCCCAGTTTTCCGCCGCGCTTGCTCAAGCCGCGTCGTCCTGGCCTCTGATCCCGTTCGCGAGCAGCCATTGTCATGTCCAGACACGCCCATTATAACACTCCCTCGCCAAGCTCGTCATGGCAATTCGGGGTCACGGAACACTGGATGGGGCTTGCAGCATCTGACGTTGCGCTGCTTCGCGTCTCTCCTCACTTGCAACAATGCATTAGCGGGCCGCCACAGGCTCGACGAGTACGAGCGGCGCTTGTTCGCATTGATGCCGCCTTCTCGTCTCGCCTGCCGAGGACGGAGTACTGGTACGTAGACATTATGCTTCTGTATCAGGCTGGTCCAGATGCCGATCGAAACGTCGACATACAGCCTTGACAAGCCGGCCCCAGGGCAGTAATCCCGATCACCAGCCCGTCCATCACGCTACTGCTGCAGCATGGTGGCGAAATCAATGATGTGCGCTCTGGCGAAGACCGGTGAAGCTGTGTCTTTTACAGTTTAACGTCTTTTGCTAGCTAAAAATTCTGGAACCCCAGCCGTCACTGGCGAAAACGCACGCCAACACATCAATATGGGTCCTCTCCCACAGAGCCGCAACAGAGCCCGCAGATTATTCATTTCAAATATCCAATTGCCTTCAGATCCTATGGCGGGCCACCTTAACGCGGTTGCATATCCTGAGATGCCCGCTGCAGCCGGCTGCTGCAATAAATTACACTCCATCCCACACTCATATGTTCCCCCCCCATTCCCCATTCCACCTTCTGCAGGCCACTCACTCTCCCTTGCTGTTGTTCATTTTTCGATAGCCGCTGTTCACCACCAGGCCAGCTGTCACTTCTCACATTGGTAGTTGTCAAGCCCCCGAAACGCATCCGCCGTCGTACGACAGGAGCCACGAATTCCTCTCTCGGCTTGATATCGTCGCCACCAACGAGCGTGTGCCAGTTCAGCAGGCTATCTCGGATCAATTCTTCTTAGATCGACGAGTTTGCATCGAAGCGCCTTTCTGCACCAATTGTTATCCATTCTACACGTCGACGGCCATCCACCATGTTCTACATCATGTACCTCACAGGTATGCCTCATCTGCTCTCCTTGAATTCCGGTCCTTGGGACCACGGCGGTGGAAGCCATGCAGGCAGATGTGCCCAAAATACTTCGGTCTTGTATCAATTGGTGCTAGAACACGAAGGAGGATGCCTCAACCCTCCTATCGTGTCGCTCCAGCACAGCGGCTACCGTCCTGCTGGGGTCAAGAACGGGGGCAGCGGCTTCGGCCTCCATTAAACAGCGTGGCCTGCTCAACTGCTGCCGTTCATTGACTAATCTCCTCTATAGGCCTTTGCCAGCGCCGTCACTGGCCGGACCCGCTCTTCTCAACGTACCGCACTCGCTACGGCTACGGATGCACCGTCCGTGTGAATAACAGGGAGTACTCCACGGATGTTGATTACGAGACGGATGAGCTGGCAAAGAACGCCGCTGCTACTCGGGCCTACATGATCTGCCGCAACTTCTCCGTCAATGACGGAATGTACCCCGGTCAGCGTCCTGGCCAGGGAGGCGTCGTTCAGGGGCTCCCTGTAGCCATCGGCACGGGAAGGAGGCATACCTGCTCGTCCAATGACTATGACAGCAATAGCTCAAGTGGTGGGACCAGCCCGCGGAACAGCGACTGTGGGCTCGACTCCGACCCCTCTGGGCGCAGGTCGAGCAAATCCTCCACCTCCTCTATCTCGAATTGCTTCTGCGGCCGCGGAACCGTGCGTGCATACGAAAGGTGCACGCTCTGCCTCCGTGATGCCGGATACAGATGTTAGACCGCATGTTGCTTCATCGCGTAACGGCGTCGACTGTTCCATAGCCGATCGTTCGGCAAAAGCGAAAACGATACCATAACGACCAACGACCCAAAAGACTTGAAGAGCTCAGGCTCAGCGATACCAGGATCATTACGACTTGCATCCATGCTATGACGACCTAACGAATGCCCAATGCAACGATTTCCATTGTTCAGCTTCTCGCATTTCCTTGGGCGGGGCTCCTGTTCAGTTCATCTTTCCTTCGCCACGAGACCTCATGTCACGATTATGATTCATGTCTCTCATTAGCTTGTTCCCTTGGCGGCACGCATAGCGACGGCACTGTAGCGTTTAGCGAAAATTCTTGGGTTGGCTGTCTCTTATTCAGATTGAAAACTGGCTTCTACTCCGCAACGCCATTCATGACAAAGAGCAAGATCACGACTCAGGTCATATATCTTTATGAACAGACTTTACGACGTCGATGAACAGATTGGCACCTTTTCGGGAATACCTTTTTCGCTCTCCACTTGGGTCGGACCTGCGTGTTCCTTGCTTCCATCTCATTCGATCTTGGAACAGTTGTTGAATGGTGCAGACAATCTATCAGTTCGTCCTTATTGGCAATAACCTCATCGCCCTACCCATGGCTCTAAAACTCGCACCACGTTTGGTGCGCCGGCACCGCTCTTTCCTGTCGATTTTTGCATCGGTGGCACGTGGGCCTCTAGTTGCATGTGCTCCCTTGCGGCTCTTGCGCTGTGTTCCCTACCGCGCCGTTCAATGGGGCGAAGATCATGACCCACGCCGTCCAATGCCGTCGTCCAATGACATGCGTCACATAACTTTATTTCGACGTCTCTTCGACAGATCCGACCACACTTAACTAGCTCTAACATTTGCTACACTTGTGTGGATCTTGTTCAAAGAGCCCCGCTATGTTTAAGGGTCCACCGACACCTAATTAGGCACGAATACCGGCTCCCATTGTCCACGACAAGATGGAAGGGACGTCCAATCACAGAAGCCGCACTTCCTATTGCTGGGTTGAGCCCCACAGGGTGGCGATCTTGTGACAGGCACCTTGAGGACCCTTCTGCGAGGCAGAACTGAGTCCCCTATCACTGGGAGAAAGTGGTTGAATGTAGACAATATCCTAGCTCAGCAAAGCAATACCGGTTGCGGTTCTCAAAAGCCCACGCCTACCATCCGACTGCCCTTCAACAGCCTTTTCGCACTCCTCTTCGAAACCCAAAGTAGGATCCACAATGTCATACCGTTCATCAGATACCACGAAGTGCTGTCGGACGATGCTTAAGAACGCGGACATGCAATCTCCCGTCCCTTTCCTCAGGTATCCCTCTTGAGCTTCAAACCCTTGCGCTAAGCCCTCCTCTCGGCATTCCGTCGATACTCTCACTGACAGATGGACGGCCCGCCCTGGGTAATGCAAGATGCCACTAGCACACCCCGCTAAAAGGGAGTGGCACGAGGAACCGGAGTCCATCCACGTTATCATGCACGAATGTCTGGGAGGCGATGCCCTTCATCGTAGCATCAAAGCCGTCCCGGAGGACGCACAGCTGCAGCCGGAGGACTTTGTCCGCGTGGGTGACGTGATCAAATTCCTCCTCTATGGGGTTACCCCTGGAACGAACTCCACGATGACGGCGAACACCTCGACAACGCTTTCAATGCCTCCTAGCATTCCTACATTGACGAGTGAGCCTCTTTCGATGCTCCCGGTTCCGACTGAGACGACAACTGCTATCGGCGTCTTAGCCGGCTCTTCTTTGGCCCCGGAAAGCCCTGCCGCTCTCACCACGCTCTCCACCCCTCTGACCTCGTGCGGACCGACCAGCTCTCCCGGCGGGTGGGCCAACGCCACCACTGCGAGTAGCTCTTCTATGACTGTTAGCGTCACAGCCGGAACGCCAGCCAACTCCACTACCACCGCGGCGCCCACCTTTCCCTCGTTCGTAAACAGCGCGTTCACGGTTCCAGGGCCAAATAATAGCATTACGTTCTAGTCCTCGGGCGGTTGGCCCGGCCGTCCGACCATGGCCGCGTGGAACAGAACAGTCTTGATCACTTCCAACAACGTGTCCTCCACGTCCGCTGCTATGCCTGATGCGGCCGGACCGCTCAATCTCCCCAGCATCCAAAACGGTACCACGAATGCAACGAACACATCCGCTTCCAAGCTAGCCCAGCGCCATGCCCAAGGCCACATCATCCGCCCAGCTCGCATCCAAGACGGCATGACAGGCGCTCCAAAACGTGCTTCTACAGCAGCGCTCCTCCACCTCATGCCAAACAAAGAAGTCCTAAACCCCTACGCCCTCAACCACAAACACATCAGTGACCTCCCCTCCTACACCACCAGGCACACGAGTCCCATTGCGGCCGAAAACCCCACTTCAAATCCGGTTTTCTCTAGCACTGCCCTGCCCTTAGACGCTCATGCCTCAGCCCCTTCGTCTGTTGTCGCACTCCGCGCCAGCACTCCTCTTGCGTGCTTTATAGGCCTCCTCCTCAGCATGCTCACCCTGCTAAGTTTAGTCTGCCTATTCGTAAACAGGAGGAGGGAGAAGGAGAAGCGGGCAGCGGAGGAGGAGACAGAGGGGGAGAAGGCGCAATGGCCCGTTGAGATGTTGCCAAAGTATGAGGGGTTTGGAGGAGGGTAGATGGAGGCGTTGACGTTAGTCGCGCGGCGGTTGTGCTGAGCGGAGGGGAGAATGGAGGGTATGAGGTCATGCCGCGGCGCTGAGGGCCGGTGTGTTGTTTCGCGTTTGATCTGGATCGTGCTCGTACGGGGTCTGCATATTCCTAGATTGGGAGGGACTGAAAGATATATGGTTGCCGTCCGCACACCCATTCATTCTACGACTCCAGGCTCTGCTCCGCTCCTAGCACATCTCTTTCCCATTGCGCTCCGACTTCAGTCCATTGCCCACCAATCCGCGAACGAACCAAAAGAGAAAATGCGCCATACAAGGGAAAAATTTTTTTGCAACAACGGGAATTTGCCAGTGGTCGTCCACCTAGCGAGCAAGTCGAGGCGAAAACATCCAGCACAGCGAGCGGATCGAGTGCAGGAGGGCGAGCAGCCAGCGAACAAGCCAAGGCAGAAACATCCAGCACAACGAGCGGATCGAGTGCAAGAGGGTTGGCAGCCAGCGAGTAAGTCGAGGCAGAAGCATCAATGGGAGTGCTAGGACACGTTGTAATAGTAGTGGGCACCAGGTGTCGCAATAATTCGTGTCCGCTTACCTCAGCAAACCAACACAAAACCTTCGCCCCATACAAATCCACACACAACGAAGGTTTTTTCATGGTTTTTCGCTAGGAAACTTATAATTATCGTACGTAAGGCTGTAGAGATGTATACAAAAGTCTATACAAGCTGTTTTCTTAGTGTTGTAGTTACAGAATCGCTGAGTTACCAGAGCGCAGAGCGTACACGCCGCCCATTGAGCCTGATGACTTGTTCACAGCGCCATGGCATCTCCTTGATAAATTTACGTATTTCTTCAAGCGTTATCTTGTCCCATTCTGCTTGAAGTATCTTCTTGAGATAGCGAGTTGTACCGTCCCACTCCTCCTCTAGTTGCTCTCCATCTTCAAGATCGTTGGGATGGGTCCTGGGTCTCCAGAGTCGACGCTTTGTACGTTCCTTGAGGATGTTCCAGCATCCTTCTGTAGGGTTGAGGTCAGGAGACTGAGCTGGATGGATTATTGTAACTATCCAGTTGGCCATCTTAAGGAGGGCAGCGTCGTTATCGGTGGAGCGAGTGCCATGGGAAGGGTCGTTATCCTCCTGCAGAACCCATGATTTTGGCTGCCACATTCGCGCTTTATGCACAGCCTTGATGTACTGAGGTAGGACTTTCTCAGAGTAGTACTTCTGGGTCATATGGTTGCCAGTAGAGTCCTGCTTAACTTTTGGGGGCTTGTTGGCCTCCCACTCCCTCACCCGGCTGTCGTACGTTTCCTGAGTCTCGTATTTCGATTTCCTGGGCTTTGGCGGAGGCTTGGGTGTTGGCAGCATATCCTTCTCATCATTATAAAAGCGCAGCGGTGATTTGTAGTACCAGTTTACATGGGCGTATATGTGAACTGCGCAGCCTGATTTAACCTCATCCACCTCTACAACGTTATCTGGGTCATCTCTTGTGCCTCTCTCCCTTAATATACGTGGCTTTTGAAGCCTCTCTGTAGGATTGAAATGCGCTTCGTCGGTAAAATGTACGAGGTCCCAGAACCCGATAATTGGCTCGTCCTTATAATCCACGCCATACTTAACACGGCGGCTCTTATTAGTATCCAAGATTGATTTTGTATAGCCAGCGACGTAGAGTTGAGCTTTATTTTTGCGCGTTTTTAGGTTGTACTGTATCGTGCGTTCTTTCTGGGTTATACCGTAGTGGCGAGCTTGAAGAAGGAGCGGTTGATTTCGGAGAGGATTTGAAGGTCCTACCATCTCGTTAAGTACTTCCTGGGGTATTGACCAAGGCCTCCCAAGCTTGCTCCCTTTTGAAGCTGCTTTGTTCTTTCGTACACGGCGTTTAGCAGTTGGTGTACCCATTAATTTCCTCTCCCTCATCCATCTTCTTCCAGTACGATCGGGGATGCCCAGCTCTTCTGCAACATCTGAAACCTTCTCGCCATCCTTCATATGATCGCGCCGCCAGAAATACGCCGAACGGTGGCCGGTATCGTACTCAGGTTGAGTTTTGGATTGTTCAGGAGTTCGAGGGCTTTCGTTTGACGCCATAATCGTGTAAATCGGGGCTGGTTTGGTGGAGTAGTATTATCGCGAATAATTGTTGTTCATGTTTTGACGGTTTGTTGATGGTGGGGTGGCTGAGGTAAGCGGACACGAATTATTGCGACACCTGGTGTGGGGTTGACGAGAAATGACGCCAGAATTAGCTCATTTGTCAACATCGCTCTTTCCTATTCTCACGATAGTCGCCACACCGTCCCGTGGTCCCATAGCAAGAAAAGGGCCGGTATGAATAATATATACATCCTACTTTTGGTCGGATGCTATGCATAGCGCGGTGCGTTCTGTACATGGAAGACAATCGCTCGACGGAGAAAAGATGGCCACCTTTTCAACTAAGGGCCAGCACTCTTCCTAGGCCGCGTTTAGGGCTGTAGATAATACTGTCGTAGATGTTAGTTGTAATAAGACTAAATCTTGGCTCCTTAACGGCCGCCCTAAACACGCCGTCTGTCCTTGCAAAAAGGTAGGTATGCAGGAGTAGGCTCCGCAAAAGTTACAGTGCTTAGTATTAAAATCTTACGCATTGATCGTAATACGCCTTGCTTTACTAGTCTATTCTCAATGTTCCGGGTTGTATAAATCTCAACCTACAGATCAAAGCATCTATCCCCTACCACGCCCTCTTCTACCTCGTCCACGCCCACCGCCCCTTCGCGTCGGACCCTGCGGCACTTGCCCTCTACTCCACCTCTCGCCTTCCTCACTGGGATCCTTCCACCTTTCGTCCAGCCCACGATGCCTCGCGAAGTCCTTCCGCGCCTTATTCTTGGCCAGTCCGGAATAAATGCCATCCTGAACTAATAGCTGCATGCCTAGGCCTTCCTCGTTGCCTTGCTCGTACATGCCAACATTCAAGACGTCGTCGTGGGGGTTGTAGGTGGACTTTAGGTCCACATGGCCTGTATCTGGGAAGCGAGTGAGAGAGACTAGTGGGTCGGGGTGCGGATCTAGCACCGAGGCGAAGGTGAGACCCTGCACGGCGCCTTCAAGGCCTGCATAGAGGTTCAGCGACGTTTGTGACGGGATAGAGAGGCTATAGACTGGCGAGTCTTCGATTCGCGGGGCGCGGGAGTACGCAGTGCGGTAGCCGTTATGTCGCAGCTGCTTGCGCGGGCTGAGAAAAAGATTCCAGCCACCGGAGATCGGCGACAAGGCCGCACCCGCGTCGTTGACTATAGCTTTATAGGTGTAATCCTGCCGTTTCGGTCGGGACCCGGGCGCCTTGGCCGAAAGAGGTATGCTATGGTAAGCATGCGAGCCCGGAAAGCGGAGGTCGAAGACCTTGAGCATGCTGTGCATTGAACTGCCGGCCACAAATCGCTCGACGCCTTGAGAAGTTAGCGAGTAGATGGAAGAGTCATTCGTCATGTCCCAAAATAGTGTTTCAAATCCGCAAGGAGAGCGCATATCGTGTAATCTGACAATGCCATCATAGCCTCCAGATAGAAAGATGGGGGTTGCTCCGGAGCCGCCGCGAGAGTCGGATAGGAGAGGCAAGATCGGATATACCGAGGTTGCACGCTGCATGCTCGAGTCGGAGATGGTTCCGCCCCAAAACTTTGAATCTAGGTTGAACTTGCGGAGGGGTTCAGACAGGAAGCCACTTGGGGTGATCTCGTAGACTTGGATAGGCTCGTATGACGGACCTAATCCAACTGCGATCTTGTCATCAGATATGAATTTGCAGGACCAGAGACGTCCGGCTCGCATTCCTGGTGCGATCAGTGTCACTTCGCTGAGGGCGTCCATAGAGTCATCGCCTGGGTAGTCGCGGTCGACGGCATACAAGGCGAGCGAGGAGTCGCCCAGGGTCGCCGCCACCAGAGCCTCAGTGGACGAGGAAGCGGATACGGAGCCAACCGCTCGACGGTCGGTATTGTAGTGCTGTTCTCTGGTCTCCTGGAGTTTGGAGGAAATGCTCAACAAGGTCAGCTTGCCGGACGCGGTCCCAAATACAAGCTCTTCCTCGGCACGTTTCTGATGCGGTCGAAGGGCTCTCAGAGCCGTGATGTCGTCCCGGCCCTCGACGCTATCGGGCATTTTGTATGTATACCAAGTATCCAAATGCCGGAAGCTGTCAAACGCATACCCGCTTTCAGCCGCTGAATCCAATTCTTGATACTCTTCCCACACCCTTGCAGCTTTGTTCCCCATCTCTTTAACTCTCATCACAACATGCGTGCCCGCAGACCATGCTAGGACCTCTCTTCTGTCCGTCCAAGCCCCAAACATCTCTTCATAGCTATCGACACTAGGTTGGTACCCCATTGTCTGGCCCTGAGGTCCTCTCCATCTCTTTCTTTCCCAAGTGTTGAGACTCGTTGCCTTTGGTGCGGGCTCCAAGTACCTCGCGACGAAGGCCTTGCGATGCCAGTTCCGATATAGCGTGGCCAATCCATGTACGACATTCCGAGCGTCGGAATCTAGGCCGAGGATGCCAAAGCGTCCCTTCAGGAAGGCCTTCCAGCCATCTAGCTTGGCGAACTCGCTCAACCTGCGGCTGCCCAGAGCAAGGTTTACGAGGTCCCGCGGGTGGTCGAGATGGTTGGCGACCAGCGAGAGCAGCTCATTAGGCAGCGCGTCGAGCGCTCCCATCGTCCTTCAATAGACCCAACTGCGGAAACCAGAAAGTTAGAAGGTAGAAGAGTATGTGTGAAATGGCGGCTGTTGACTGGAGTACGAGCGGTGACTCTTCAACACTACGAGGAGCTCGTATTTTTTGAGTCACCAGTATGGGTGCACTGACCACCCAGATCGGTGACACAAAAAATACGAGCTCCGCGTACTGTATGACGACAGAAGTTTCCCGCCGACGCTAACACGCTATCGATAGCAGGTCGCGGTTGCCACCCCAGAAAACGGCGGTGCTCAAGCAAGAAGGCGCGACGCCGCTCTCCCCAACCCGAACTTCATCCTTTCGGCAACGATACCTAGAATAACGTCCTGTGCCCGCTGACTGCATTGATTCGTGTTGCGTCCGCCGTCGCTCGTCGTGCATCGCGTCCACTCCGAATCCCTGGATCCCTGCCACTTGTTTCATAGTTTCGGCTGCGGCACGTGACGAGTCGCCAATCAAACACCCGTCCACTCGTTCACCTGCAACTCTCAGCTCTCATTCTTCACCTTCACTGGCGAAAATGCACCTCTTTCTCCCAGTTCATCACCCAGATGGACTAAATATCCGCCTTCACTGATCGTAATGGCCCCTGAGCTGCCGATTCTGGCTAAAATCAAACCCGAGCACGTCGGGGGTTTACACTTGCACCCTGGTCGTCCTCGCTGAGCCCTCCGGAGCTGACCACAGGCGCCAACACGCCAGCGCGCTCACCATCCCGCGGGGCCGGTGCGCGACGTTGCTGCTCCACGTACTGTGCTACTTGTTCTTCTCTTTTCCATCTACTAAGTACACAGCGTTCGCGACAACGATGCCCGCGATGTCCGACACCGTGGCGGACGACAAGAGGGTCTTCAGCCTCATGAGCGCTGTTGGAACTAATATGGACGGCCTGCGGCAAAGCATCGACGCTCTGCGGCAAATCCACGACCGCTGGAAGGATGGCAACGGCGCGTCGATCAACCTGATCGCGCAATTGACGGCGCTGAAATCGAATCTGGGCGAGATGCAGGACTGGATGAACTACGCCCTTAACGATATGCACCCGCAGCTACTCACCGATTTGGATCTGCTTATGACCTCGTGCTCCCTGCTGGTCCGGAACCTAGACGCTTTAGTCGCTCAGCTACAGCAGCCGGATCACGACCAAACAGACTGGGCCGTCAAGTTGAAGTTCAAAGTCGGAAGCCGGAGCATGAACCGGTTACGCAGCGTTGCGAAGCGGCAAACAGATGCTGTGAATCTGCTCCTCGCCGCGTGCAAATGGTGAGCCCCATTCGGCTTTCGGTCGGAGAGCCGCTGAGTCTGACCACACGCAGTCACACAACAGCACAGAGAAAGATTCTATTACACAAGAGCCGGCAGATTAGGAAAGAAGACGCTTCATCCCACAATACCCTAGTACGGACGTCAAAAGTAAACGGCGGTTGCATCAACGCTCTCACCCAGCTATCGCGGATGATACAATGTTTCAGGTTCCTATTCTACGCCAAGCTCCTTCGTCGAGGACCAGAAGAGCTCCCTACAGAGCAGGACTATCTCGACGCCGCAGCAGCCATGCGTTCGGAAGCCATCGACCGCCGGCTCGAAGAAGACGCCACGTCCCTCCGCCGCGAAACAAAGCTCGTACTCATGGGTCAAATCAACAGCGGCAAAGAGCTCATCATGCGGCAAATGAAAGTCCTCTATGCCGACGGCTACCCGCGCGAAGAGCGCCTCTCTTACCGCTATGCTGTTCGCTCCACTATCCGCCTCCTCATCCACTCCATCATCGACCTCCTCAAGGACACTGGCATCAACCTATCCTCTGACCTCAACCAAGACTTCGCCGTCCTCCTCTACGAAGTCGAAACCATCGACATAAACCGCGTCACCCCCGCCGCCGTCCACGCAATCGAGAATCTCTGGCGCAGCCCCGAGTTCTCCACCCTCTACATCCGGAACTTCGAAATCGACTTCCCGCAATATGCGCCATACTACGCGCACGAGGTCGCACGTATCGCGGCCGAGGGCTATGTGCCCACGGAGGCCGACATCATCCGCCTCAATCAATCCCTAGGCGGGATTAAGGAGCTCCGCTTCGACTGGGACGAGCTTTCCGTCCACCTCTTCAACATAAGCGGCTACATCCCCGACCAATTTCGCAAACGCTGGTTCCATCAGCTCGAAGGCGCAACCGCCCTCCTCTACACGGTCGACGTCTCCACGTATGACCGACCTTACCTCGGGCAGCCGACTGAATCCCAGCTGCTAGACGACTTCGCTACCTTCGAGTCATGGGCCAACTCGCCAAAATTCTCAAGTTCCTCAATCGTCCTTCTGCTCAACAACTTCACCCGCTTCCGCGAGAAACTGCAGCATTCCCCGCTTACGACGTTCTTCCCGGACTACGCGCCCGGGCCGGGCGATGACCCCGAGACTGCGGCGAGGCAGTATATCTTGCGGCGGTTTAAGGAGGTGAATCGGAATCGGCTGAGTATCTACAGCTTCTGGGTCGATCTCGATATGAGCGATAATCAGTATCTCTACGCTGCACTCAAGAAGACGCTGCAACATATCCAGCAGAGGAAAGCAAGAAGCGAGGTCTGGACCGCGAATAGCGCGGGCATGAATAGCAGGACCGAAACCGCCGGACGCAGCATCGTAGACCGGAGTGGGACCGTGACCACGGCGAGGAGTAAGGGGACGGTAACGCCCACGCTGGGAAGTCCGGTGTATAGCGGGACGGTAACCACCTTGACTGCGTCGCCACGGTGATGTGGGAGAAAAGTGTACCCGCCACGTTCCGCTCTCCTTGCGGCGTTTGGTTGGGCTGGCGTTTTCGGGGCAAGATGCGATATACCAGGCCCTGGGGCTATCTGTGTTGGATCTCATTACGTCATATGGGGAAATGGGTGGTCGATGGGGCATCTCACACGAGGCTTTTCCTTCAAACTTCTTATCGAAAAGGTCATTTGGAGTCTCATGAGCCGTAGTAAGGTCACGCACCAAACGAGAGTATAATTAGCTACCGAATTAGCTTTCCATTCAGCCGCAATCACCGATCAGTTCTCCCGACTTCCCAGCTGGCCCGCCAAAGAAGAATGCTGCTTCCAACATCTACCTCAGCTGCACCGATCCATATCTCGCCAAGAGCGGTGTGCCCTCAGCCCTTCGCTCACAAACAGACGCCTGTATTGTGCATTGCAATTACGCAACGCCCATACCCACAAGAACCAACAGCGCCACATTCATGACCACGATAACCCCCCAAATCACTACCGCAAATCCTGCCGTAAGCCAATGATTTCTCATTTGGACGTGCTGCTGCTCCTCTTCAGTGGTAACACTGGCACCAGCAGCTTCATCGCGTCGGACGGCTACTTTCATGTACTTTCCACGGCAAGTGAACCAAATCAATGGTGCGCTGACAAACGGTAGGATGACGCTGAGAGCGACCTGCGATCCCTCCAAGGCTTTGCCAAGACCCTCGCGACCGACAGCTCCGGCGATGATGATCGAAGGCGTGATACTGATGAGGCGAGTGATGAGGCGGCGAAGCCAGGGCTTTATGGTCCAGTTGAGCTGGCCTTCCGAGACGATCTGGCCACTTATAGTACATACAATACCTGCCGATGTACCAGATAACAGTAATGCCAAAGCAAACAGGGTGCCAGCAACAGGAGCGATAGACCTTGCGAGCAGATCATGGATGGAGAAGAGGTCCGCGCTATCGGCTTCTGGAAGGCCGTACAGCGAAGCACCAGCGACGATGAGGATGGAGCTGTTGACGAAGAGGGCGAATGTGAAAAGAGAGACCGCGAGTTCGACAATGCTGTAGGACATGCATGACTGTATAGCGGCCAACGAAGGTTTGTATTTGACCTCGTCATTAAGCGAATCTGTTTCTAGGAGCTCGGCGGAGTCGTTGGCCTCGTCGAACTCGCGGAGACGGGGCTGGACGATACCACTGCCTAGGTAGAGACTGTGGGGCATAACCGTTGCACCGAGGATACCACATGCCTGATACAATCTTGATGATGTGAGTTTGTGCTGCAAGTCAACCAAGGAATCTACTTACGCTTGCGACTCTACGAGGGTAGAAGAAGGAAGATAACCGCGGAAGACATCTCCAACCGGTGCTTTGATCCTACTCAACTCGAAGCAGAAGCAGACGACAACGCCGAGCACTAGGCACATGACGAAGAACTCAAACGCCCTCAGCGCTTTCATCGTCCCCGATGGGCGGTAGAAAATGAGGATGACGAGCACATCTACAATGGAGATGGCGCATCCGGCGACAAGAGGCACCTTGAGGAGGATGTTTAGGGCAATTGCGGTGCCAATAACCTGCACTGTCAGCAGTTATGGCATCGGGCGAGGAGGGCAACATACCTCAGCAATATCCGTTGCAATGATGGCCGATTCCGCAAAGAAGTAGAGAACGTAGTTGAGCCAGGGCGGGAGATGAGCCTTGCAATTTTCAGCAAGGTTCATGCCCGTCACAGAGCCTAGTTTGATGCACAGAGACTGGAGGAAGATGGCGAAGATGTTGGACATCAACACAATGAACAGAAGTTTAAACCTGAAGGAGGCACCGGCCGCAACATCGGTAGCGTAATTACCTGGACAGCAATTAGTAATAGACTCATGACCGACGGCCAGCGACCGGGCGGAACAGGAAGGGGCACACGTGATCCTCCCAAAGAAGCGCCGAAGTCCCACATGAGTCGGAAATGATGACGTATGGAAATGCGACAGAGCATGGAGTGGCAGACGTCAAGGGAAATGCGTACCAGGATCGATATACGCAACAGCGACCATGAATCCAGGTCCAATGAACTTCGCATATTTGCGTAGGACTCTCAAAGCCTGCTGGGAGAATCCACGACCCGTCGTGCGCCAGTTGGTCGCTCGGCCAGCACTCTCACGAGACGTGCCAGAGGGAGCGCCGGCAACAGCACCAGGGCCTTTCTCATTTCCGATTGCGATGTTGCCCTGGCTATGGAGCGCCGTAAGCTTGATGCCGTTATCCTCCTCGCCAGCGTTGTGTTGTTCGCTTGGTTCGATTTCGCTCGTGGAGCCGTTCGCGGGATCTATGCGGTGGTCTCTTCGCAGTCTGGCGTTGGCCATATGGTCCATATCAGCTCTCGTAGTCGCATCGGCGTTGAAAGCATTTGGGTTCTGGTTGTAGCCGTCTGTTACGACGGGATCGACGCGCGAGGGGCAATTCATTCTGGCGGAGGAGGGGTGGAGAGACTCCCCGGCAGAGGTGAGGGCGCGCAGATAAGTGTCTAGGTGTAGGAAGAGGGAGAGGGAAGGGAGGGAGAAGAGGAAGACGTCGAAGCTGTATCTGTGGGGTAAGCGGGATGATATATAGGTGACGCTAGCCCAGCGCCTTCCGGCGTGGATTCCGACGCAGCACGGTTTTCCCCGGCCGTGGATGTCGGGTGCCTGCAGCGCGCAGAATTTGCCGGAAGAAAGCTGGCCCGGGAGTGAGTCGGTGTGCTGCTTGGAAGCATTGCGTTGCATCGTCGAAATGCCACGACGCGCAGCCCGCCATCACGGTGCCCGGCCGCTTCACGCCGTGTGCTCGCGTCAGCCTCTGCGCTGCAGTGCGAAGCGGACAGCATGGCAATTAGCGCATGCATACCGGCAATACGCCTCGCGGCTTATACGGACGACGACTGAGAAAGGCTGATGCCGGTGACGGCGCGGTTGATTTTCTTTGTGGTGCGGCACAAAGGGTCCCGCAAGCCACCATCACAGCCGAGGAGGATCCGGACCTGCAGCTAAGGCGTGGCATGCAGAGAGCTGCATGAACGGCCTGCGCAGCCAGAGCTGACCCATGCCAGCATTCCTGATTATTTTCGTCACTGCTACGTGGGCACAGAACTCGCGGGGACGAGAATGGACGTGTCGACGGAACATCATGATGATTTCCGTGACAAAGGAACTGCCCAGGTGAATCAAGAGAACAACAGACTGCTCATCCAGAACACGACATTTGCCACATGGCCAAAGCAACAGCAAGTCAAGCAAAAGCGAAAAACACCATCTTCCTATTCAAAAAGGGAACCTCATGCACCGAAGCTACCAAGCAACTGCTATCATCCCAAGTAAATACTCCTCCCCTCACTATCAAGTGCGCCATGTCGGGAATGAACAAAGATAAAAGAAGGGACCCAAGGAACAAGAAGTGTTCGTCCCGTCATCAGTCATGCCGCCCCTCTGGTTTCGCAAAACAACCACTACCCCTACATACTGAAGAAAATGCAGGTCTAAAAGGCCCGGATAGAAATAACATGCTGTACCCGGTCATCCAATAATTGCTTGCGGGTAGGGGTTGGTCGTACCGGCCAAGTAAGCAGTCAAGTGAAAACAGGTAGTTGAGTTTCCGCATGAGCGCCTACAATCCGATCGAAATCTCGACCTCCCGCTGCAAGAGAAGCCCGAAAAGTGCCCACAAACACGACACCATTCGCCATAGAATGTTGCATAATGTCCCACCGATAGAAGTGAAGTATCAACAGAAATGTCGTCCGTTCCCTCATCCCTCATAAACGCCATGAAAATGCCCAGGCCTAGGATGCGTTCGACATGATTAGCGCTGGCAGAAGAGCTCAATCTCGCCCAGCTGCTGGCCCCCTGGATTTATGTCCTTTTGCTGCTCTTTCCATGTCTCGAAAGCTTCTTGCACGTCTTCGTCCGACTGGATGCTGACGAAGTCGTTGTCGTCCAGGTATTTCAGCTTGACTTGGCCCGAGCTGAGCGAAACACTTGTTGAGCGCTGCAGCTTTGCGTCGATGCGATCTTTCAGGGACTGGAAGCTGATATTCGTGCTCACAACCAGCGTCATCGTGCTTCCCGCGGCCGGACAATGCACTTTGACTTTCAGCTGCGTGGGAATGTTGGACTGACTATCCTGCGGCACTGGAGTTTGGATAGGTAGTGGAGGCGACATTGTCCGGGAATCCATTGAAGCTGGCGTCAACGTGCCCTGGCTGCGTTCGAAAGAAGACGCCGGCGTCATGGTCCTGGGCATAGGCACGTGGCCAGGGTCTCTGCGAGCCGGCCCGCCATGATAGTCAGAGTTTGCCAATTCCGCGGCAGTCCGTTGCTGGACAAGACGATCTCTTTGGATGGCCGGCGACTGCGTTGCTGCTCGCGGCGGCAGGCTGCTCGGAGAGTTGCTCGCGCTGCGATTTACGATCGCAGCATTGTAAGCATAGTGTGTGGGGAAGGGAGGCAGTTCAGGAACAGTGCCATGTTGCCCGTTCGGTAACCGCCGCCCAGGAGCATTAGGGTTGTGTATGTCCGGGCTACTAGCCGCTCTCAGCCGCCCTTGTGCTATTGATGCTGAGTTTGAAGTAGGTGGCAATGACGGTCGTTGCATACCACGACCTGGAGGATATTGGCCGGGTCCCATTGACCCCTCGCGAGTCATGTGACCGCGAGCCGGAGCTGTGTAGCGGTTGTTTTCCTCATAGGGGTAGCCGCTCGGCGGCGCCTGCCGCGGGAACGGGAACGTTCCCGCAGAAGAGGAGCTTGTGCGGACAGTCGAATGGGTGGACATGGGAGACTCGGCAGTAGGTGAGAAGTATGAGTCCTGGTTGGCAGAATTCGCAAGCTGCTGCGTGCGTAGCGTCAGCGGTGGCTGAGCTGGATAGCCCATAGGGAAACGTGGAGGAGGTACCCTGGGATCTGCCTCATTTGTCGGAGTTCCGCTATCTCCTGTCGTTGATCGAGACCGCGGGGGAACACTATAGTTGCTTTGCGAGTAGCCTGGCACAACAGTGTCTACGTCCTCGCCCTCGTCATCGTCATCTTCCTGATAAGGGTTCTCTAAGGTCTGATTCTGGAGGAAAGAGAACTGCGTGTCCGAAGGTTTTGAATGTGTCGTGCTGCTACTTGACCTAGCGTGGTCTTTCCAGACACGTCTTTGGCTGTCGACCTGGGTTGCCCATTTCTTCATGGTTTCCTCGGAGTTGAAACGTATGATGAAATTCTCGATGCCAGGGTCACCCTTCCAGAAGATCTGGCATGTATATGATCCTGAGAGTTGGCGTTAGAGACAGCACCCGTGACCGAGATTGTACGCCTTACCTGGTTTCTGCAGTGAGATGGTCTCCGTGACATTCTGCATGAAAATTCGACCTTTGAGTTGAAGCTTTGGCTTGCCATTTTTGGCTGTAGCGGACCTATTCATGTTCTTCGCCTTTTTCGCGCTGAGTTCCTTACAGCACAAGAGGATCATCTCGAACAGGTAAATCTTGTACTGAGCAGCTGTTAGCTTGAGATCCAACAAATAGTGGAGGTCAAAGTAGGTGTCAAGCAATAGCTGCTGGATGAGACTCACGCCTACCTCTCGCTCTTCGTTCTTGCCATTCATACCGTCACCTTTTAGAACGGTGTACTGGCCATAGAGAAGGAGCTCGCCAAAGCCTTCAATTCGATGGCCTTTCCAGTCTTCGACGAGTGACTTAAGCTCCTCAACGGCCTCAAGACGGTCTTCACGGTCGATTGCCGCATTAGTCCTCTCTAGGACGGCTTGAGCGGCAATAATGCCGTTGGATATATCCTCTTTTCGCTGCTCATCAAGGTCGCCTTTATCACGGAGCTCCTATTCTGGGGTCAGACACATGGAAATGAGACCTGAGAGAAAGAAGGCCTCACCTTCAGCAGCAGCGGGTATTTTGCCAGTCTTTGGAACGGTTTCAGAAGGAATGAAGTCAGTGTCGTGGTCGACTCCACCATTTGCTGCATATCCGACGACCCTCCGGTTTCCCTGAGTTTCTCGAACTCTCTGACCGCAATCTCCTCGCACTTCTTCTGGTTCGCAATGTACGGCTCGTACACTTTGAATGCGTCCTTGTAGAGGACAAAGAGGTTTCCCCAATTTTGCTCTGTGGCGGGCTGCGCGTTGGTCTGCTCGACGCGGATCAGGAATCGCCGCTGAAAGTCCAGAAGTGCATTCAGATTCAGGAAGATATCGTGGACCTTGTCGCCGGTGAGGATTCCCTTCTCTTCTACGAGCTTCTTGAACGACTGCAGGAGCTCCAGATGCTGGACGTATGTTCTTTCGGTCTTCACCAGCTCGTCGATGATGTGCTCGCGCTGTGTCCGCTTGATGGTGGAATTTATAGAGGCATTGTCGGCAGTTTCGGGCTCGGTGCTGATGATGCCCATTTGTAGGAGGATGTCCAGGACGCGGTTCACCACATTCACGACCTGGCTGCTGTTAGCACCAGCATCTCACCAATGCCGATCTTGCGATACTTACCTTGACAAAACCGGTGGTGTCGTCGCCGTACAGGTCCCCGATTATGAAGCATTCCTCCGAGGGGAACTTGAGCTCTCCGATGCAGGCCTGCAGGAACTTGTACGTGGCCATCTTCTCGCCCTTCTTCGCGTCGTTCATCTTCGAGGTGTCGACCGCTAGGCGCACCTTGGGGCCTAGGGCATTGTACACCTCCATCAGCGGGTAGCCCCGCCGGAAGGTCCTCCACAGCAACGTGACCGGGTCGGCATCGTCGTCTGCTTTGCTCTCCTCCTCGATGATCCACTGCTCAAAGCCGGGGATCATGCGCAGGCGCAGCTGCAGCTGCAAGCATCGCTGGAAGAGCGAGGTGTCCTTGTCGGCGCGCTTGTTGAGGACATTGTTGGCGGCCTCGATGGGCCCGCCGTTGACGGGGGTTGGGGGGAAGACGGGCGGCTGCGGGCCCCCAAACAGCGTCGAGCTGCTCGTGGCCTGGGTGCTCTGGGTGTCGCGCACGCTGTTGTGCGAGTAGCTCGAGTACTGGCTCTGGTAGCTTTGGTGGGACATGAGGCCGGGGCCGGCGTTGGAGTTCATGCGGGCGTGCGAGGCGGCGGTGGGCGAGGTCTGCGAGGTGTGGGCGCGGGCAAGTCCGGAGTGGAAAGCAACCTCCATGCTAGAAGCTCATCTCCTGCGGTCGCGGGTGCGGTGAGGGCGTGGGTGGCGCCGGAGCGCTAGACGCTGCTGGGCAGGGTCCGACGGGGGCACGGGGGTGGTGCTGGCCGGCGGGGAGGCGCGAGGCTTGCAAACGGGGAGCAGCGACGGCGCGCGATGTCGCGGCAGGCAGCGCAGGGCAAGGCTGGACGCGGCGGTCGTGAGGTGTGAGGTGTGCGGTGTGCGGTGTGCGGTGTGCGGAGTGGGATGGGGCGGCTGCGGTGGGCTGGCGGATGCACGATAGGGGTGGTGCCGTGGGCTCGTTTCACATCAGCGTCGGGCGCTCCCTGCCGGCACGTGACGCCACAACCAACAAGGGAGGCCGTCCTCGGGGCGTTTAGCCGCATCGAAGCACCACACGATCCAACGGCGCGACAGCCGTCGGACCAGACGTCGCAGCCTTCTAGACGCAAGCCTTCCCGCGGCTGTTGCGGTGCTCGCCCTCCGGCCGCTGTCCGAGTCTCACGCTGCGAGACGCCTGCAGTCCGCCATCGCCTGGGGCCACAGCTGCACTGACGCTCCGCATAACGTGGAGCCTCGACATCGAGCAAGGTGTCCCAGATCCGCGTCCTTGGCAGCCTCGCAGCACGTCCTCCTGACTCTGTGCGTCTGGTCACTTGCACCATCGAGCATCGAGGGGCGCCGTGCAGCTGGTGGCTCCGTGGGTGGAGTGCCCATGCTCGGCCTTGACAAATGCAGACGGTTTCAACACACGACGAACGGCACGAGCGACGGCTGGTACCACATCAATCCAAATATTGTTGCAACGCTGCCTCCATCAATAGGACGTATTGCCTCTGATCATGATCATGCAACGCCCCGAGATCTATACGCAACGGGGGCTGCTCCCAATGCAATGCCATACGTCTCTGTGCGCCCTTCTCCGTCGTAGTCCCACTTGCGGGCCGCGTCAGGTCCTGGACGAGAGCCTGGTAGGCGCGATGCATTTCGGGAAAGCGTGACAAAATGTGAAGCTGAAGACCAGCGCGCTGCACTGGCGATGCACCTGTGTTCCGCCCAGCTACCGTGACGGCGCTGCAATGGCACTGAAGGCGAAAGCGTTCAGGTGAGAGGACCCATCATGGAATGACTGCTTTGCCACCCAAAGCAATGCCGAAGTGGGCATGTCTCATTCGACAAGCCTGGCGTCGGTCTGTTCGAGCCGTCGCGGGTGCAACTCAGCCAAAGTGCAATGCCAATGCCTGTTTGCTCAAGTATCTCGCCCATGCCAGGCCGATGTCCCTATTTCGTTCCGTGCGCTGCCTGCACCGCGCTGGCCTACCTGGGTAGGTATGTTGGAGGCCGTTGTATTGATATCGCAGAAGTCGAGCAATGTCGTTGAGAAAAGATGAGTCCAAGACGGCTGCGGCTCGCGGGAAGGCCTTGGCGTGAAGGAAATGGGAAACATCGGGTATTTTATCGCCTGGTGCACGGACCTGCTTGGGCCGAAGCGACGACGACATCACCTGGGCACGACGCTGAGGCCTTGCTCTTGCTGGAACCTGCCCCCTGCGACTGCGCGTGCGACTCCATCTTCCGGCCCTCTGTAGGCCGTCTTCTTCTCGCCAGCCGGTGACGATCCAGCGGGGCGCCGTCTGCTCATGACCCCAACCTCAACGGCTAGGCAGCATAACGCACGACCCCGTGTAGCGTAAGGCGCGACGTCCGTTCGACTCCCCCCGCGCGTTACATAGAACCATCCATCATTTACCCATTTGCGCATTCCACGACCCGCCGCGCCTTCATATCGCTCCTGCCTGCCTAGACCGGCACCACCATGGCGGGCAACACAACCCCATTCCCTCCACCCTCGTATCTGCAGGCGTTCCGGCCCGCGTCTGCGATGGCGAACAGATTCGACGAGGGATATTCCGAAGACACGCGCAGCCAGAGCGGGAGCGAGATGCTGATGAGGGCCGACTCGCGGCTCGGCGAGAGCGGCATGGAACAGGACCCCCAATATCCCCTGCCAGACTGGGTCCTGAACATGAGCGAGAACGAGCGAAGTGGTGAGTTATAAGACTCTCGGTCTCAGTTCATGCACTGACGAGGCACAGAATTCGCCTACGCAATCCTCCGATCGCTGCGCACCTCATCCATCGCCGGCATAGTAGAGAAACTCAACCCCCTCCTCCACCTGGACCCCGTCATCCACCTCCCTCCCGAGATAACCTTTCAGATTTTCTCATACCTGACCCCAGAGACACTGCTGCGCGCATCGACGCTATCGCGAACATGGCGATCTCGGGTAATGGACAGCCCCCTGTGGAAGCTCCTCTTCCAGATGGAAGGCTGGAACTCCAACTTTCCTCAAGTGCGCGCTTACGAAGAGGGCGAGAGACAGAGACGCGTGGAGATCAAAGAAAAGGAGCGGAAGACACGACCAAGGGCTGCTGAGGACATGGACGTTGACAAACCATCCAGTAAGAAGCGGCTTCGAGAGCGACCGCTATTTGGCGACGGGACCTCCTCTGATAACGGGATACACGACAAGCTCGAGCCACTGTCTCTCGACAGTGCAAAAGAAGGGCACCCGCCCTGGGGCGAACAGCACAGTGTCGTTGAAGCAGATGAAATCCCCTCTACTAGACAGGAAGACAGAATGGAGGGAATCTCATACAATGGCGCGTCCCCGCTAGCGTCTCCAGCCGCAGATGGTTTGCGGCGCCGAAAGAGGTCTTCAGAGGCTGGGGAATCGACACCAACCACTGCCACTTCGTCAAGCTCCATGGATCCGCCCTTGCGCCCATCGCTTCTTCTTCCCGCGCCCGAACCGAAGATCAACTGGCAGTATCTCTACAAGCAGAAACGGCGTTTGGAGGACAACTGGGATGCTGGTCGCTTCTCGAACTTTCAGCTCCCACATCCCAACTACCAGACAGAGGCACACACCGAGTGCGTATACACCATTCAGTATTCTGGGAAATATCTGGTCAGTGGCAGTCGTGATAAGTCCGTGCGTGTCTGGGACCTGGATATCCAGCGCCTGGTGCTTCCTCCTCTAGTCGGTCACAAAGCGTCTGTCCTGTGTTTGCAGTTCGACGAGCGACCGGACCAGGATCTCATTGTCTCTGGCGGAAGTGACTGCAACGTCATACTATGGCAGTTTTCGACCGGACGAATGATTAAGAAGCTTGAGAAAGCCCACTCCGAGTCAGTCCTCAATCTCCGGTTTGACGATACATATCTCGTTACGTGCTCAAAGGACAAGACCATCAAAGTATGGAACCGGAAGGAAATGCTACCAACAGACGACACGTATCCGTTGTCGACCGTGAAATCCGGCGCTCGCTTCCCCTCATACATTATCAACATGCAGCAGCAAGCCGAAAACCAGCATCTTTACTTCAAACCGCTCCAGCCATATAACCTGATCATGACTTTGGAAGGCCATGGAGCTGCGGTCAACGCTATTCAGATCCTGGATGGACAGATTGTCTCCGCATCCGGGGACCGGAGCGTCAAAGTCTGGGACGTCCGTACGGGAGCCTGCTCAAGGACCTTCTCGGGTCATACCAAGGGTATCGCATGTGTGCAATTTGACGGTCGGAGAATTGTCAGTGGTAGCTCTGATGAAACAGTGCGCATATTTGACCGAGCGACCGGCGCAGAAGTCGCATGCCTGCAGGGGCACTCGAATCTCGTCCGCACTGTACAGGCGCAATTTGGAGATCTTCCTGGCAATGAAGAAGAACTTGAAGCTGAAGCCCGCGCAGTCGACCACAGCTTCTTTGAAGCGCAAAGAAGAGGACTCATTTCGGAGGAACTGACTAGAGCGCAACGTCGCCAACGCAACGCAGGATCCCGAGATCCAAAGGCATTATTTGCGTACGGAGCCAAGCTCCCACCCGGCGGCGGAGGCAGCAAATGGGCTCGAATTGTTTCCGGCTCTTACGATGAGACGGTCATCATTTGGAAGAGAGGCCCTGATGGAGCCTGGGAAAAGTCAAAGGTCCTGTACCAGAATGAGGCCGTACGAGCAGCTGGAGGTCGGCCGAGGCGCCCGGTTGCTCATGCTCACGCTCACGCAAACCATGTGAACCAAAATCAAAACCAGAACCAGAACCAGCAGCAGCAGCAGCAGCAGGGAGGGCATCCGCCGGCACAGCAACCGAACTTCCAAGCACTCGCGCAGCAGGCGCAGGCACAAGCCCAGGCGGTTCAAACCCTCGCGCAACAAGCCCAAGCTCTACACGCAGCTGCGCAAGTCATGGGCAGCACTATGAACAGCTTGCCAAGTGCAACTCCCCCAGCACCCCACAATGCAGTTTCCGCTCCCACCGGCGCCAATCAAGCGGCCGCAAATACTGGGCAGACAGCAGGGCCTGCACAGCAACCTCAACAGGCGGCAGCGCCGAACGCAGCGCCCCATCATCATCATCATGGTCCCCATCACCATCATCATAACTTTACCGGGCCGCTTAACAACCAGGGCACCTCTCGCGTGTTCAAGCTGCAATTTGATGCGCGTAGAATCGTCTGCTGCAGCCAAGACCCGACAATAGTCGGCTGGGACTTTGCCAACAACGACAAGGATATCGTCCTCGCCAGTCAGTTCTTCGGTGACTCTGTCTGAAAACGCGTTGTGGCGACGTTCAAATCACCGTCAACGTCTTGCTGCCTTAGTATACGAGGCGACGTGCGAAGCTGACGCAATGCGGATCTGGGACGTCGTGTCCCGGCCCGCTGACTTGGCATGCGGCTGTGTACAGAAGGGCCCTCACAAGGGAACACTCTGTGTAAGGCAATAAGCCGCCCCAAATTCTACGGATGAGTGAAATGGAGTCTTCGTGGGTGTGCTTGTCCGGCAGCTCCGCACCGACTCCGCTCTTCCTAGGCTCGCCCCGGTCCTCGAAAGCCCGCTGTCTTCCATGCTTGAGGATGCGGCGCAGAATATTTCATTGAAATTCCTCTTTGCGTTTGTACATTACTTTGGCGGATTGGCAAAGGCGCCATTGAGATTGCCCTAAAATGGGCTATGTTGGCGGGTACATTGCACCAGGACATTGCATCCACGCTTAGCATTAATGACATGAAGTTCAACAAGGGCGAATTTAACTCATCGTGTTGTTGTTTCGTCTCCGTCCCTGGGCGATGCATAGGTGTAATTAACCCCCTCGTTCAGTCCAGCCTAGTCCGGGGGCCCTCCCGGGCATCGGATCAAGCCAGAAGGCCCGCTTCCGCTCCGTAGAAGCTCAAAAAAACGTTGGCAGGAACGAATGGTCGTCCTCGCAATCCGTTACAGCGCTTCCGGGGGCTCAGGGTACTGTAAGACATTGCTGACAGTCTTGGCTATCGTGCGAAAAGGTTAATTCCACTTCATCCGTCGATTCGTCTTTGCATCCACCGAGAGTCGACTCACTACCTCCATCTGTACGCATGCACAGGCAAAGCCAGCGACATCAGCAGCCCAGGGGAATCCGGAAGCATATGTATGTCTTGCCGAGCGCCGTAAGGCTGAACACGTGGGATCTTTGTGCGACCGGAGCCCGGATGCGAGGGCGTTCCGCCCGGGATGGCTAACCGTATTCGTAGACGACATCGACATGGCCATGGCAGGAGGAGCCGGCTCCAGCAAGAAGGATTTCCGCGCCCGCCTTCTTGTGGAGAAGCGAATGGGGAACGTTTTGTCCGCGCTGCGATATTCGTCCGATGGTTTTCGACGCTGTCTTTGCGGTGGTGTTGCGGGTTGGACACGGTTGCTGATGGCTGGATGAGAATGACAACTCGCGATACCATGCTACCGACTTCCCCTTCCAGCACCCCCGGGAGCAGCGATGCGGTGTGTAGGCGCCAAGGCCGAGCGGACTGCGTGCACCATATGGAACGCACAGCGTAGACAGCAAGGCAGGCAGAGCCGCCCGTCTCCCGGAATCTGGTTGTTGGAACGAAACAGAACCGGGTGCGCTGCGCCGGCAGCGGGTGACTTCTCGACCCCGATTCACCGATTCACCGATGTACCGAGCCCGGAGTTATAGCTGCGAGAGCGAATTTGCGAGGAATGGTGATGCGGCCCTCGAGGGGCGGGGACCGGGCCTGATTGGCCGCGGCGTTGTTCGATCAGCGTATCCGTCGTATTCACCTGGACGTCGACTTTTCTGCTCCTAGTGCAAGCGAGCTGGACGCCCGGAGGCCAGCCTATCCGCTTCCCGGAGCGCGCAAGCCAAGCAGCCTTCCGCCGCCGGCAGCCCAGAAACCATACCGAGGGAGCCTAGGGCAGCGGCGGCAACCTAAACGGGGCCTGCTCTTTTATCTACTGAGCTCTCCCCTTGCGCATGGAGCTCGTGTGCAGCTTGCCTTCGTCTGTTTCTCATCCTGTACCGCCATTTAATAGCTTCTTTTCGTTCTTTGCCCCTCTTCTCTCTTTCCAGACTTCACCGCGGACGTCGATAAGGAGGCGCGTGCTCAAAGAGGAGGTGTGCGAAGATGAGTTTGGTGTGGAACTCCACGTCCAACGGTGACCGTGTGGCGGCACAAAATGGCGTCTCTCCGCGAGACGCGGTGCCACGCCGTCCATCCCAGGTTGGCGGGAGTGAGCATATAGGCTCCGATTCTTCGGATGCGTCAACCATTGCTGCCAACCTGGATGGCAGTCGCTCGCGAAGGAACACAAACAACGAAAGCTCGGACCCTAAAGCATCCACACTTACGACGAACCAGAACTCCGAGGCCGCCAGCGTGGAAGATGACGACAGCGTTGCGAGGAGAGAAGAGGCGGTCCACCGGTTAGCGAGACGGTATACGCAGCAGAGCGTGTATTCGACTACGCATCAGAATCCGTTCAATGCACCTCCCGGAGCGACTCTGGACCCCAATGGCGACAACTTCAACGCCCGCGCCTGGGCCAAGGCCATGTTACACCTGCACCTCGAGGACCGGAACGCCCCTCCGCTGCGCACAGCCGGTGTTTCGTTCCGGAACCTGAACGTGCATGGGTTTGGCAAAGACACAGATTACCAGAAAAGCGTGGGCAATATCTGGCTAGAGGGTCCCGGTCTAGCGAGACAGCTGATGGGTAACAAGGGGCGCAAGATTGACATTCTGCAGAATCTAGAAGGATTGGTGGAAGCTGGGGAGATGCTGGTGGTTCTTGGGCCTCCAGGATCTGGATGCTCAACCTTTCTAAAGACGCTTGCCGGGGAGACCCATGGCTTCTTTGTGGAAGACGGCTCCACTATGAACTACCAAGGTGCGTTGCTGAGTCCTTTGCAGACCTGAGGGAGGTCTAGCTGCTAACGACGCACAGGCATTAGTGCGCACCAGATGGCCAAGCACTTCCGAGGAGAGGCCATCTACACAGCTGAGGTCGACGTCCATTTCCCTATGCTCACAGTCGGCGAGACGCTATATTTTGCAGCTCGAGCGCGTGCACCCCGTCATATTCCCGGAGGAGCCACCAAGTACCAATTTGCTGAGCACATGCGAGACGTCATCATGGCCATCTTCGGCATCAGTCATACAGTCAATACGAAAGTCGGGAACGACTACATTCGCGGTGTCTCTGGTGGTGAGCGGAAGCGTGTCAGTATTGCGGAAGCGGCTCTGAGCAGAGCTCCGCTGCAATGCTGGGACAATAGCACACGTGGCCTTGACAGCGCCAACGCCATCGAGTTCTGCAAGACGTTGCGAATGGAGACTGAGATCAACGGTGCGACTGCTTGTGTCGCCATCTACCAGGCTCCCCAGGCCGCCTACGATGTCTTCGATAAGGTTCTTGTCCTGTATGAAGGCCGCCAGATCTACTTTGGTCCCACAACGTCCGCCAAGCAGTACTTTATCAACATGGGCTTCGACTGCCCAGACCGACAGACTGACGCCGACTTCCTCACCTCGATGACGAGCGCACTGGAGCGCGTTGTTCGTCCGGGATGGGAAGACCGCGTGCCCCGAACGCCGGATGAGTTTGCCCAGCGATGGAAGGACTCGCAGGAGCGGGCAGAGCTGTTGCAACAGATTGAGGCCTACGAACAAAAGTACCCCATTGGTGGCGAGCACCTTCAGAAGTTCAAGGAATCTCGAAAGGCGCAGCAAGCGAAAGGCCAACGCGTCAAGTCTCCCTACACCCTCTCCTACGCTCAGCAAGTCAACCTCTGCTTATGGCGCGGCTTCCGGAGACTCATGGCAGATCCCAGCATCACCCTAACGCAGCTCATCGCAAACTCAATCATGGCCCTCATCATTTCTTCCGTCTTCTACAACCTCCCGGCGGATACTAACAGCTTCTACTCTCGTGGGGCACTTCTCTTCTTCGCCATCCTAATGAACGCCTTCGGTTCCGCTCTCGAAATTCTTACCCTGTACGCTCAACGACCCATAGTCGAAAAGCATTCTCGTTACGCCCTATACCATCCCTCGGCAGAAGCTTTCGCGTCTATGCTTACGGATATGCCCTACAAGATCCTCAACGCCATCACGTTCAACCTGGTTTTGTATTTTATGACCAACCTGCGTCGTGAACCTGGGCGCTTCTTCTTCTTCGTCCTGATATCGTTCACTCTCACCCTAGTCATGTCCATGTTCTTCCGATCCATCGCGTCCTGCTCGAGGTCCCTGGTCCAAGCGTTAGCACCCGCTGCCATCCTCATCCTGGGTCTCGTAATGTACACCGGTTTCACCATCCCACCTAGCTACATGCTTGGGTGGTCTACATGGATTCGTTGGATAAATCCCGTCAATTACGCATTCGAGTCGCTGATGCTCAACGAATTCCACAACCGGCAATTCCCATGCGTCAACTACGTCCCGATGGGGCCCGGCTACGAGAACGTTGCAGGGAACCAGCATGTCTGCTCCACCATCGGATCGAAACCTGGCATCGACTCCGTCAACGGCGACGACTATATCAACTCGGCTTTTAATTACTACAATTCGCACAAGTGGAGAAACTTTGGTATCCTCTTTGTGTTCTTGTTCGGCTTGATGGGCATCTATCTTGCGGCTACCGAGTTCATCACTGCGAAGAAGTCGAAGGGTGAGGTCTTGGTTTTCCGTCGCGGACACAAGGCGATCAAGAGCAGCAGGTCTACGGATGATCTCGAGTCTGCGCCCGCCGGTCGCAAAGTTGCTGTCGACAAGAACGCCTCGGACGATATCGCGATTATCGAACGCCAGACCGCCATCTTCCAGTGGAAGGATGTATGCTATGACATCAAGATCAAAGGCCAGCCTCGTCGCATTTTGGACCACGTCGACGGATGGGTCAAACCTGGCACCCTGACGGCCCTCATGGGTGTCTCAGGTGCTGGAAAGACAACACTTTTGGACTGCTTGGCCACTCGAACCACTATGGGTGTCATCACCGGCGAGATGCTTGTGGACGGAAAGCCCCGCGATGATTCTTTCCAGCGCAAGACTGGCTATGCGCAGCAACAGGATCTACACTTGTCTACTTCTACGGTCCGCGAGGCTCTTGTGTTCTCCGCCCTTCTCCGTCAACCTGCGCACGTCTCTCGACAGGAGAAGCTGGACTACGTTGAGGAAGTCATCAAGCTGCTGGATATGAGCGAGTACGCCGACGCTGTGGTCGGTGTCCCCGGCGAGGGTCTCAACGTCGAGCAACGCAAGCGCCTAACTATTGGCGTGGAGTTGGCAGCCAGGCCTCAGCTCCTTCTCTTCCTCGACGAGCCGACTTCTGGTTTGGATTCTCAGACCTCTTGGGCTATCCTTGACCTTCTCGACAAGCTGAAGAAGAATGGCCAGGCTATTCTTTGCACTATCCGTAAGCCTCCTGTCTCCAACAGCATGTACTAAGCTAACCATATCTAGATCAACCCTCCGCCATGCTTTTCGCCCGTTTCGACCGCCTTCTCTTCCTCAAGTCCGGTGGCCAGACTGTGTATTTCGGCGAGGTGGGCCCGAACTCCAAGATTCTCATCGACTACTTCGTCCGCAATGGTGGACACCCGTGCCCTCCTGCCGCCAACCCCGCTGAATGGATGCTCGAGGTTATCGGCGCCGCTCCCGGATCTCATACCGACATCGACTGGTTTGAAACCTGGCGCAACTCGCCTGAGTACGCCAACGTACAGAGGCATCTAGCCGAGCTTAAATACGAGCGCTCTCAACAAGTCAACCTTCAACGCACCGTATCCGCCCAAAAGCGAGAGGACAAGGCCGCCTACCGCGAGTTCGCCGCACCCTTCGGGGAGCAGCTTCGCGAAGTCACCGTCCGCGTTTACCAGCAATACTGGCGCACGCCCTCGTACATTTACTCCAAGGCCGTCCTCTGCATCCTCTCTGCCCTCTTCATCGGCTTCTCCCTCTACGACACGCCCAACACGATGCAGGGTCTCCAGAACCAAATGTTCGGCATCTTCATGCTCATGACTATCTTCGGCCAGCTCGTCCAGCAGATCATGCCACACTTTGTCACGCAGCGCGCTCTGTACGAAGTCCGCGAGCGCCCCAGCAAAGCGTACTCGTGGAAAGCTTTCATGATCGCTAACATCGTCGTCGAACTCCCCTGGAACACGCTCATGGCAGCCCTCATCTACTTCTGCTGGTACTACCCCATCGGCCTGTACCGCAATGCCGAGCCGACCGATGCCGTGCACCTCCGCGGCGCGCAGATGTTCCTCTTCCTATGGATGTTCCTGCTCTTCACGTCGACATTTGCGCACATGGTCATCGCCGGTATCGAGATGGCGGAGACGGGCGGCAACATCGCTAACTTGTGCTTCTCCCTCTGCCTCGTGTTCTGCGGTGTGCTCGCGACTCCTGAGTCGCTCCCGGGCTTCTGGATCTTCATGTACCGCGTCAGCCCTTTCACATACATGGTCTCCGGCATGCTGTCCGTCGGCGTCGCAAACACGAATGTGCGCTGCGCCCCGAACGAGTACCTCCACTTCGATCCCCCACCAAACCAGACTTGCGGCGAGTACCTCGCGTCCTACCGGCAGCACTTCGGTGGCTATCCCGAGAATCCAGACGCCACATCGCAGTGCAGCTACTGCTCCATGGGCGACACAAATGTCTTCCTTGCCTCGGTGCACGCCGACTACTCCGACGTGTGGCGCAACTTTGGTATTCTGTGGGTGTATGTTATTTTTAATATCTTTGGGGCGCTGTTCTTCTACTGGCTTGCGAGGGTGCCCAAGGTCAAGAAGGAGAAGGAGGATAAGACGAGTGTAGGTGGCACAGCGGGAGAGCTCGAGGAAAGGGTGCTAGAGGAGCCGGAGAGGGTGGGGAGCGAGGTTGGGGAGGTGGGACAGAAGGAGGTGAGGGGAGAGAAGGGGGCGCCGGAGGTGATGAGGGGTCACGGGGAGAGGCCTGAGTCGAGAGACATCGAGAAGGCGGAGAAGGCGTAAGCGCCTTTATCACCACCATTCCTTCCCTATCTCGCACCCCCTCCTCGTCGCGGGGCTTTCCCTCGTCCGCCGAGGAATTTTCTTTTCGTTGTTTCGATATGGTACGATATCTGCCTCGGGGCCCAACGGGCATGCATCTCGATTTCCTTTTTTTTCTCCACGGGTGGCTGTTTCTCCTATCTTCCGTCGATCAAAAGACATAGAACCCTCATACTAGCGTGTCCGCTTCCCTGTTTCCCTCTGCATAGTTAGTAGTAATTAGAACCACTGGGGTCGGTATTGTACATAATAGAACGGGACGTTCAACCCACTTGAATCACCCCCGCCTTTGCCATGCGTTGCTCCATTAAACTTTGGAATCGTCCCACCACCTTCAGCCGATTTGCGCAGTAGCAGAACGCAACGCCGGTTCAAGCACTACTTCACAAGTTCCCGGTCCATGCACTGCCCTCGCGTAGCTAGATCTCTGACCCACGAAAGGCTGCTGAAGCCCTCCGGCCTTCCGGATGTGAGTAGAAAGGAGTGGTCGCGCAAGATGCAGAAGCGGTGAGGAAACGCGTTAGATATCGCATGCGCGTTGTTTCCAGGGTGCCGGATTTACCCCAGTCCATTAGAGGGCACTTTCAAACCCACGCCTCCCGGATACAAAGTGGAAAAGGCCAGCCCACAGAAGGGGGAAAGGAAGACGAGCGCTTTCCAGCTCATTCGGAACGCGAAAGAATGCTATGCTAGGCATATGCAGCCTGATTCGCCCTTTAGTAGGATGCCATAGAAGATGTTTATGATTTTGGTGGATTACTCACGCAAAGATGCAGGGCCATTCTTGCAGCGGCGTTTAGCGCATCCAACAGCATCCACTCAGGCAAAAATCACCACTGCAGCCCACCACGAAAGCAAAAACAAATGCCCTCAGGCGGAATCGAACCGCCGATCTTCGCATTACGCATGTGTACGAGTGCGACGCTGTACCACTAAGCCATGAGGGCTCCACGAAAGCCACGACTTTTGTCAAGTTTCTGTGAAGTGTGATGGTTTTCGAAAAATAAATAAAATATATACCAAGTTTAAAGGCAAACGAAGAGGCGCCGCAAAGGTGGTAGAGTAAAGATGGCATTTTCTAAACTGTGTGCGCTCGGCTGACTGCCGAGTGGTTAGTTAGGGGGTTGGAAGAGGGGTAAGTGGATATGAGTCACTATTCTTAGTAGCGGGCGAGCCAATCTGGCATATGGAACAACGCGCCGGGGCTCCCTCAATGTTGGAAGACAATCTCGATCATATAATCACGAAAGGAGCTCCAGCGAAGCGAATAGCATAGGAAAGCTTAGATGTTTTATTCCATCAGCGTCTGTCGGTCTTGTTATGGACTTTGTGGGCTACCCCACAGCTTCTTGAAATACGGCCTTCTCTCCTTCGTAGTAACATGGCTGAGGCCTCGGCCTTGCCGCGAACGACGCGAAATGTGTTGAAGGTCCGCAGGGTATGCAATACGAAGCCTCGTCTTGCACCTCGATACAACTAGAGTCCCTTCAGCCTCCTTGTTCCCACTATGAAAAACCCGCGACACACGCCACAGCCCGAGCGTCTAGCCATGTCTTCGTCTGTGATGGATGGCGCCACATCCGATGATCACCGAAGACACAGCAGCGCAAGGAACAACCCACCATCTCCCCTGAGCCGACCAGGAATTTCAGGCCTACGAAACGCACGAGGACGAGGTTCCAGAGCATCGATGTCGAATTCAAGTTCCACCTCGCAGCACCTTTAATGCCGCTCAGGCATTTGGTGTTGCCTCTTCAGATAGCTCTCCTGAACAATTGTTAGCACTACCCCCCATCGACCCCAGGTTGTGAGGACTCACCTCATCCAGCTCCTCCTGCAACCTCCCCTCCTCTACAACCACCCTCCTCACGATCTCGCTCACATTTCCCTCCAGGACCACTTTGCAACCCCGGGGCAGCCACCTGAGTATATGGAACGCGTTTGCATACACGCTGGTCGTGCCTGAAATCATCCTATCATCCGGGAACATGGCATCCAGAATGATCGTGAATTTCTTTAGGCCCCAGCAATACCGCAAGCCGAGACGGACTAGATCGGCGAAGCCATCGAGGATGTCGTGGTGCGACGGGATAGTGAGGCTAACAAACTTAATGAGGGAGCGCGAGCGCTGATGCAGAGCCCCAAGGGTATGAATACCGGAATCGAGCGACAGCATGAACTGATTGTCTGCATAGAGGACTTGTCGCGCTTCTTTGTAGACAAGAGAGCAAGTTCGGAGTAACGCGGCGTTGATCGGGTCGCGGTTCGTGGAGCCGTCAGACTCGCCCAAAGCGTGGCGGCGCGTGGAGCATTCACCACAGTCATTGTCGGACTTCTCATCTGAACGCTCCAGATGGAGAACGAGTGGTTCGTCTCTCTCCAGCGCCATACGGTAGATATGCACCCTCAGCTCAGCCGGGAGCTTCAGGAAGGGAAAGGCCTTCTGTTCCAAACGCTCTTTTTGGTTTTCCCCCGCTCCGTCTTCAGCCTTCTGCGATTCGGCGCATTCTTTCGAGGGCTGCGACTCGGTCAAGCAGCTTGGCTGAGGCGTAGGCAATCCAGTCGCGCGATGCGCACAAGTGTCCTCAACCGCGATAGCAGCGCTTGCCTCACTTAAGCGCTCAGCACCAGCCCTTCGTAGCCTCCTCCTCTTGTTTTGAGCTCCATCCACCAGATATCGTGTCTCAGCGGTCTCGTTGCGCACGCGTTTGCCCGCCATTTTCGTCGCCCTTGTCTCGCAACCCGTTGTAATCCGTGCCTTCCCTAAGTATTTGCGCTCCAACAAGACAGCCGGAAACTCGCAATGCCACTAGCCGACAGACTACCCCTTATCGCTTCCACACAGCCGACAGTGAATGGGGTATGATAACGCGTCGCAAAACACGGTGCGAACCGGCTGGCAGGCCGTTGGCAGCCAGACTGAAGGTAAGGTACGTACCGATAGATATCCTCCGACGTAAGATAGATAGGCGCCTAGAAGGCGGCCGGAATCGATAGGATACTCGAAGCAATGGTGTGAAGGGTGTCTGCGCTCACGAACGCTGCTGGCTTCTGCGTGAGTGACTGAAGGCGGCACTGTCTTGTCCGCGATCTGGGAGAATCTTGGCGCGCTAGTCAAAATGCGGTTGAGCCATGTCATGTGTCATCCACGGTTCCGTACGGCCGGGTCTCGTTGATCAAACTTTGGGAAGGAGCGAACCACCAAGGTGACATACGAAACCCAACATCAAATAGGGCTCTGAAGCTCTTGAGGAACACGTACATTGTCCACATTTTCTGGAATTATGCTTGACTCTGCACAATTAGGTAGCTGCCTAGGTACAACTACATAATGCAATTTTATCGTTCCCACCCCCGCGACGAAGCTATTCCACCGTCTATCAATCGAAAGAACTACACAGTTTAGCATCGAACCTGCTATGCCATCAGTACTGCCCACACGCCGAATCGAAAGCGAAATGATATCTCCGCCGTGTAAGATAATGATATAGTACGCCTACACCATCGAGCGTGTAATGAGAACAGCCGGCGCGCTCACTGCTCCACCGCCCACTATGCATGAAGCTTTTGAGTCGCTATCCCAATGAACGTACCGAAGTGAAGACCCACCGCAGAATGGGCATAGCCAGCAACGCTCTAATATCGCACATAAGAAACGTAAAAATCATCCCGTCTGTTCCCTCGCACTTGAGCTTTGCCATCACAAGTCTATCAGATTGCCACTTCCCGGCTGCCGGTTGCTCTGAGGGGGAGCTCCACCAAAGGGATTCGCGCTGCCGTAAGGGTTGGCTCCAAAGCCGCCAGCGGGGCCCGTTTGTGCAGGCATGATGCGGTTCTGCTGGGGCATACCTGTGAATTGAGAGTTGAGGAAGGGGTTGTTGCCCGTGGCGTTGGCGTTGATCCTGTTCAGGCCAGAGCCGGCCGAGTTGACGAAAGTCCCAGGGGCAGTGTGTTGCGCCGGGATACGGAGGTTTCCAACGTTTCCAAAGGTATCCTGACCTTCGCCGCTCGCGAGAAGAGAGTTCAGCTGGGCCTTGTGCGGGTCCATTTCCTTCTGTGGTTGTGCGGGCTGCGGAGAAGGTATTGACACTGGAGGGTTGAAGTTTGTGTTATTGAACTGCGTCTGGGTCTTTTGCTCAAAGAGAGTATTGAGCGTCGGCTGCCTCTGTGGTTGCGCAGATTGCGGGCGGTTGAACGATTGGGCGAATGGGTTGTTGGATCCTGTAGGCTGAGGCATAATCGACTCTTGGGGCTTGCTGGAGGCCCACGGATTGTGACTGCCGGGCTGAAGCGTGTTCTGTTCCTGCTGCTGCTGCTGCTGCTGCTGTTGTTGTCCCACGTCGCCGAATCCGTTATTGAACTGGCCGTATGGATTGTTCATGTTGAATGCCGTCTGTTGAGGCTGCATGTACTGCTGTTGCTGCTGCTGCTGCTGGTTGAATGCATCGAAACCGGCCTGCTGCTGCGGCTGCTGCTGGAAGCCATTGTAGCCACCATAGCCATTCTGGAATCCAGTCGGCTGCATGCCTGTCGGCTGAGCGTAGGCATTGTTGAGAAAACCTGTGTTCTGCGGCTGTTGCTGGTTTTGGTCCACAAGGTTTCCAAACCAATCGACGGCGCCCTGTTGCTGATAGCCCTGATTGTTGCCAGTCGGTTGGTAAGCCGCCGGTTGGGTGGTGGTGGGAGTGTCGCTAAAGAGGAGATCTGCGTTGCTCTGTTCCAGCTCCCTTCGCCGCAGCTCTTCCTCTTCTTTGCTCAGCTTGATGGCTTTCGCGAGATCGTCATCGTCGCCATCGGTCGTAGCATTTCGTTCGCGGCGCTTCCGCTCTTCTTCGGCCTCGTTCTTGCTTGCTTCAAGGGCCAGCCTCAGCTCAAGATCCTCCTCGTTTTCCTTCCGCGAGCGCGGCTCCTGTCGGCGCCTGTGAGTGTCCGAATGCGCCCCTGCGTGATGTCCGCCACCGTATTCTTCGATGCCCGTAACGCGCGACTTCCACGATTTCCGGTCGGCTCGCTCGGCGCGCAGTCGTTCTTCGTCCATGATTAGGGCCGTGAGTTCCTTAGCCGCGATCCGAACTGCTCAAGAGTTAGCGAACGTCCCCGGCGCGCTCAAGCCGCGACCTACTGTTCTGTCCCACATCACGGCCATCTTCGTCAATGTACTGGAACTCGCGCAATGTCTTGATGATGTAGATGTTTTTCCGCGCCCATGTCACGACCAACTCCGAGCCCTCGTGCAGGCAGTAGTCGAGCACCTTGAGCGACTTCAGCACGTGGCGCCAGTTCTTGCCCTTGTCGTTGAGCCGCTTGTCGAGCATGTCCATGACCTGATAGAAGTCGGTGGAGCTAGCGAACTGTCAGCGCAAGACTACATGCGTCTGGGAGTCGCCGTACTTGTTAAAGGTGATTTGGGCAATCTCAGCCATGTCGGAGCCCACGGGGCCCCACGGGTCGTTGCTGGTCGCTATAGTCATTAGTCTGAGCGCGACTTCTGCAGTTCAGGGTCTCCTACCATTGCGAACCTTGACTTCGACCGCGGAATAGCCCTTGGTGACATTCTTGACACTCCGAACGACCTTCGACATTGTGGAGGCGGATGGACAGCGTTACGCAGTCCGGAGCAGTGTGGCGCTTAATGAATGTCTCCACTGTTTGCGACGTGGAGCGAAGGTTGTGACAGAGAATGTGCCCGGCGAGTCGAGAGGGTGCGAGGGTTCGGCGCTGCGGCGATGCGGTTGGGTATGATGCAAAGGGTCGTCCACGACGCCTGGCTTGGCAAGCGAGCGGTTGTTGCCGGGGAGGAGTGCGCGGTCGGTCCGGCGACGGGCTGTGTATAGGAATGCGTCTCGTGACAGAGTACCGGCGGGGCAGTGAGGGTGGCGGCTCTGTCAGTGTGGGAGCGACGGAGGTTCAGGGTGCAGCTGTCTTCGTCACTGCGGTCTGAGCGAGGCTGGCGGCTGGGCGCCCACCCACCTGCAGCTTCCCACGGCTGGGTTCCGCGGTCCAAGCGTCCCCTACACGCAGCTGCCTCAGGTGCTGCACGACTGTGTAGCTGAAGCTCAGGTAGTCCGGCTACTCGCATGCGCAGAATTTTTGAGCCTCTTCACGTCCTATTCTGATGATTCCGCATTAAGCATCCGGACAATGCGCGGAGCTTACGCATCGCTCCGGCCATCACAAATCGCGCTCCACGCTTCACCTTTCTCGGCCCGAGTTTTCAACGCAGCAAACTGCACATTTTCAAGCGCATCGCGCACTATGTAGTAGTCTAAGGCGGATGGAGATCCTTCATTAAGTACCAGTCTAGAGAAATGTGCCTGTGTGCATAGGAAACACCAAAAGAGCCAGCGAGCCGTCGACGCCCTTGCCATTCTTATAAAGGGACGCCCGACTCCGCCCATCCCGGAAGAAGCCCCGTGGGAAAGCAAATGACACTCACTCGCCGCCATATGAAACCAGATGAGTGAAGAATGCAACAAAGGAGATGATCGTCGGACAAGACAAAGGAGACTCCAGAAGGGACAGGATCGAGTGGGAATAAAACTGTCGACGAGACCCCGCAAGAGCCCATGTAACCGCCATGCAGGATCGAGAAACTACGCCGGCCGCAAAGAAGGAAATTTTTGGTTGGAAAACAGGGGTATAAATCCTGCCGTGAACACCGATGGAATGACCTCGAAACTCTCGACTCGAACTTGTGTTAGTGATACAGGTAGAAACAACAGTTTACTGCACCGCCGAAGCCCACATCTCGTTCGTCATGCGCTGCTGGTTGGGATTGTAGTGATCCGGCTCAGTGCTGTTGGGGCGACGGATGTTGTTGTTCTGATAGTACATGTTCTGCTGCGGGTGGCCATACTGCGGCTCCGGATACACGTAGCTGCTGTCACCGGGGCCCGGAGATGGCAACGCCTGCTGCGACGGCGACTGCCAGCCCACCGCCGACATGTGCGGGCTGCCAGTGGCGCTGCTCGTGCCTCCGGACTGGTTGTGGTTGGCAGATGCCGGCGGCTCCAGGATCGGGGGCGGGCCGTATCCGCTCGGGTGGGAGGTGATGGCGGGACGCGAGTTGCTCGCAGTCGACGTGTACGACTGGGAGGTCAAGGCCGGGGAGGCACGCGGGCTGGGCTGGGGCATCTCGTTGCGGAGATGGGGCGGCACATTCATGTTGCCCATGTAGGCATAGTCAGAGGCCTGGCGGTGCATACCTGGCACAACGCCCGCAGGCATTCCGGCGGCGGGAGAGAGCGACAGCGGTCGGTCGTTGGGAGACGGGGTGTTCAACGGCGAGGCCGTCTCGGAGTAGTCCTCGGCATCGGAACGGGCAGACCTGCTCGGGGCCGAGGCACGTGAGGCAAGGGCAGCAGCAGTCGCAGCAGCCGCATCCTCGATGGTGCCGGTATGGTGGTTCTGATGGCGGGTCAGGGTGGTGCGACGCGTGAAGGTCTTCTGGCAGTCGGCATATGGGCACTTGTATGGTCGCTTGCCAGAGTGGATTCGACGGTGTCGCGCCAAGGAGCTTGAGTCACTGAAAGGCTGCACGAGGTTAGGGCTGGCGGTAGAACAAAAGACGCCGAGGAGTTACCTTTCCGCAACGCTCGCACATGTGTGGCTTCTCGCCGGTGTGGACACGTTGATGGACCGTCAGGGCTGATCGCTGGATGAACTGCTTACCGCAGTTGGGGTACTCGCACACGTGCGGGCGGATGCCGCTGTGGATGCGTTCTGGTAGCTGTCAGTGGCGCGACATTTTGGCGTGTAGGCCCAAGCTCCTTACCGTGACGTGCGAGGTCACTGCGTCTCGCGAAGCCCTTCCCGCAGGTTGAGCACGCGAATGCCTTGGGCGGGCCATTCTCGTTGGCAGGACGGCCACCCGGCTGCTGCGCCTGCTGATCGGGCGCCTGCTGCGGCGGATACGCGTGCTCTGGCGGATTCGGAATGTAGTTGTTGTTGTTGAGCAACGGCATCGGCGTCTGCATCTGCGTCGGCGACGGATATCGCATGCCGTTCATGTTGTGTGGGGGCATGGGCGGGTACGATGGGAGCTGCTGCGGCTGCTGCGAGGAGTAGCGGGACGAGTCCGAAGGGTGTGGTGACACGCCGCGCTCAGAGCCGTTCTCGGACTTGATGCGGCCGTTCATGTACGCCGGCGGGCCGAAGTGCTGCTGCTGGAGTTCGTGCTGCATGGCGTGCTGCATGCCGAAGGGCGTTCCTGTTCCTGTGCGGGCGGTCAATCTCGCGTTCAATATAGTTCCCAGCTCCATCACCGGGGAAGAAGTGCTGCGCGTGCCGGCCGGCGGTGAAGGAGCGCGGCAGACCTGACGTGAAAGGGACGGTAGGGAGCGCACCAAGAGCTTCAGCGAGGGACTGGCGGTGAGCCTTGCGGGCGGCGGCGAGGTCGGTGGATTGGCAGCGCGTCGCGGTGGTGGTGGCCAGCAACAGGCTTCAAGAGTGGTGTCGAGGTGGCCCGTCCGGCAGCGTCCAGAAGAACGGAGGGACCGCGCGCAGGTCAATGCTGAGGTTGCACTAGGGCGCGAGGGCGTCAGCCAAAAGGAGGACGACCGCAAAGGAGAGCGGAGAGAGAACGCAGCGTGTTCGCGCCCGACGTCGACGGCCTCGCTGTGACGCTGGCTACGCTGGACGACTCGAATAGGGGAGGCGAGGCGGTGACAGCGACAGCGGGACTGGGGGCGGCGGGAGCTCGCTCAGGGCCAGCGGCAAGCCGTACGTACCTGTAGATGGTCGCAGCCCGCGGGAGTGCCGGGCAGACGATGGTGATGGGGATGGGGGCGTGGTGGTGAAAGATACGTTGGTACTTCTTTCCTCCGTTGCGCGTGTTGTGATTTCGCCGCTACGCCCGATGCAGAAATCGGCTAGTTCCGAGTCGCTTCGCCCCCCAGCAGGTCGACAGCAGGGTGCAGAGGCCGGAAGAGACGCTCAGGCCAGATCCCGCAGAGGGTGTGTCCACGGGCGAGGGCGTCCGCGCGCTGTTAATAAGGCGCCGCCGGACCTCTGCTGCCTCGTTCCGGCGCGCTGAAACCCGCAAATCTCACCCGCTCCTGATTCCGCCAAAGTAATCGCCAGAAGCCGCCGCCCTGCACACCAACAGGGATGACTAACGGCCCGCTGACGACCAGTTCAGCTCTGCCGCGATCCACGAAGCCCGGGCGCGCTGTTGGGCTCGTTCCGCCGCGCGGTGCTGGCCAGACGGTCTGGCGCCGTTGCGCGCTGGTGCTGCTGGCCCGGAGGCGTGGCTGCCCGCGCTCTGCTGTGCGAGCCCTGACGTCGGGATGTCGAAACTCGAATCGCTCGTCGATATGCGGGCGGATGCCGTTATGCTGCGTCCTGCGGCCGTTGGAAGGATGGATCGGTGGCTGTACGTCCAGCGTCAGTCTGTTCCAGCTCGGAAAAGGCGCATGCTGGCTGACTGTGCTGCCGCTCCAGGGACGTGGAGGCGCGGGATACAGTCTGCAGATGCAGTACTCACCTGTTGGGCTCTTCCCCTGTTCTGGGTCCTTTTTGCGGCGTTGGTGGTAATGGAGCGGCCGGGTATAAAGGGCCGCTCGTCGTCTCGTCGTCTGCGTGGGACGGGAGGATGAAGAGGCAGCAGCGTGCAACAATAGCAGGACTTGTGTCACGGTGCGCTGCAAAGGCAGACGTGCGGATAGTTCGAGCGTGCAGGCATCCCTCCAAATCGCAGCAGAGCAGGGGCTCGTCCAAATATGTACATCACGCGTGTTTCCACAGCATCAAGATGGCAGTCGACGCGCAGCGCCATCCTTGCGGCCCGCGAGCAGTCACAGCGCCAGGGCCTCACCATGACGATTCTATGCTAGTCCTCCGCTGCCGGCGGGCCAGGACGGCGAAGGCACCGCCCTGGGGCCTCGCTGAAGGCATCCGGTGGCGCTCGCATTGGCAAATTGAGATGCACACGATGCACACGATGCACACGTCTACACAGGAGCGGGCATCGATGCGCGCGACGGCAATTGCATCTGCGGCCAGACAAGCGCGCCTCGAGCCGAGCGGATGAGTCCGGCGGCGGCATAGCGGCCATGTCAAATGCATTTGCGGCTCGACCATTGTGCATCGCGAGCTGCAGCAGAGTGCAGCGTCCAAGCGAGCACTTGATGGTGTTGACGTCGCAGGTGCTCGGGGCAGCTTTCGAAGGCCGCTAGAAGGCGTGGAGCTTCCATGGCCCATGCGGCCGCGACGCATCCATATCCATGCACCACAACACCCCCTCGAAGGCTCAAACCACGGAGCCGCTGGGGACCAGAAACGGCGAGGGCCCCCTGGACCGGCCGCCCAAATTTAGCCTGTTGCGAAACATGCAGCGCGTCCGCAGAGGCGGAGAGAGTCGAACGCTCTGCCGACTGTGCTGGAGACCAGAGGCCGAGTCGACCGGCAGCCTGCAGGAATTCAGCATCTTCGAAAAAGAGGATGCGGCAGCGCGCAGTCTGAGACACCCCTGAGCCGTCGTGAACGGCAGCCTGGGCACTGGCAGCGAGCGCAGGCCAGGTGGGACAGGCACACGTTCCAACTGCGCGCCGCCGTCGACCACGAGGAGGCTTTCAGCTTTCACTGCAGGTGCATGACATCACAGCAGAAAACGGGCATTGACAATGTGTCTTCTCTACAGGCTCCCACCCACGCCATTCGCTGCTAACTGTTTCCTCGACAGCAGCCTAATTAAACCCGGCATTTGGCGTGCATACACGCACAGTGTCCCTATCACGACCTTGTGCTTAACCGCCCCAACTCCATCAGTCCGTCACACCGCAGCTGCTGGCCATGCTTCCGATCGTTCGACACACGCGCGTTGGCAGTCCGCACTGAAGCCGGCAAAAGAACGCACATCCGCGGGATCACTCCCGCCGCAATGCGTGCTTTGTGCCCAAAACATACGCACGTCAGGCAAGTCAGCAGTCGGCCCAAGTTATACGCCAAGCACGCCAGATTGACTCGATTTCAACAGCTACAATACTGTGCTAAGAAGAAGTCGGTCGACTGATGCCAACCGAGTAGACGCCGCTCCACCAAATTGCAGGAGGCGGGCGACGAGATGCCCCTTCGTGTGTTCCTGTTGGCCACGGTGTGCATGAGTCAATCAGGCGAGGAGAGGGTGACAGCGACAGAGCCCCGAGACCTTCTGCGAGGCTTCCACCAGATCCGTCTGTGCTCTCGTACCACGATTTCAGATGCAAGCGGCTAGCCGGGCCCACTTGGAGCCGCAATGCACGCTTCGGAGGGCGATCGTCTCACTCCCGCTCTCGCCATCGGCATCCACTTCGTTCTCAAAGCAAATGCGAAGCCTGCATCTTCATGCGCCGCTCGGGACACAGGCATGTCTCCGTCTCGGGGAGCGACGGCAGTAGCAAAAAGAAACAGGAGCTGCATTTCTGAATGGCGCATCGCTCGCTAACGAACGAATGCATGCAGTGTACCCCGGCATCGACCTGTCAGAAATGCCCATTTAAACTGCGACAGGACTCCAACACGCACGGTCGTTTCACCACCTCCCGTTCGTCGTATTTGGATTGTCCCTGACGCTTTTGGGCCTTTACGAGCGCTATTCCTGTCCGCAAAGCCACAACGTGCGTCAGAACTTTGAGCGCTCTGCCTCATGCCCGCTTGTCACTGGCCAGCCGTTGCGGCCCCAGCTCACCGTGCAGCAGTTCCGACGCTGTCTCTTCCACCAAGACCCCAGTCAGGGCGCCAAAGCATGGACAGCTTCGCCCATCCTTACCGTAAGGCTCCGAGAATATCCAAGCGCCTTCCAGAAGCCTTCTTCATCTGCTTTAGCGAGACGCAGGCTGGTGCAACGCAATCTCCAGAAGATTGCCCTTTGCGACCATCCAAGCGCACACCTGTCGCAGAGTGCGGCGTGCGTCGGGCCCCTGTTTCCAGAAGATTACCCCTTTTACCAGAATCGTCCGCGGCACAGCACCTGCGTGCTTTCCGGGGGCCGACGGACGGCCTCATCTCCTAGTCACTCCACATTACCTCCTGCAGGGTGGCCAGTTGGAGCGGGCTAGCGCTCCCCAAACGACCGTATGCCTTCGGGCTGGGAACTATCGCGAGTCCTAACCCGCATTTCCTCCTTATAGACGTTGCGGTATTTCCGGGAGTCTACCTCATTCTACGGTAACTAGTAATAATAAACGTGCGTTCTACCGCACGAATGTTCTAAAATCGACGGGGTCGTGCCGATCCTTTCTTAGCGCACCTGCTTTATCCTGCTGCATGCAGGCATCCTTATGGAAGACATGTTCGCATGCTTGCCCCTTTTACCAGACGAGCGATATACATGTGCTCAACGAGGACATCCCTAGTTTCCACCGTAGTCCGCAATTCCCCAACAGTCAATTCAGGCCAGCTCTGGCAGGTCGCCGCAGCGTGACTTGCGCATACCGAGGAATTGGAATACGCACACGTCCTCCCGCTCCCAGGTCTGAAGGATGATCAGGGCGACTTCCCGCGCGGAAACGTTTATGCGGCCCTACAACACCGACTTCCGGGATTGTCATGTCCACCCTTGCAAGACGAGGACATTTAAGAGTGCATACGAGCGACGATTTTGATCCTTGCGGTGGCCGAGAAGTACCAGAACATCTATTACTGAAGCAGAAGCTCTGCGGGCACAAGCATGGTCGAACGATATTCCGCTACCATTATGCGGAAGTCTAATCACTGGATATAGTACTCTACAAGAAGCGACTCTAGAACCACGGCCAACCATACGACCTCGTCGCACAGAAATCCAACAAGTGACTCTCCTTCCTATATCATCGAACCCCCGAGAGACTTCTCGGAGTGAGACCCGACCTATCAACGGCGGATGTGCCGGTCGAATGCAAGCCCTCGGGCACCATCACACCCTAATCACGCTACAAGCGGATGTTGGGAGTCGGTAGGATCACTACTTTCACCGCCTCTTCTTATAGTTGGGCAGTAACATAGAAACTCCTAGTGAGAATAGGAATGCTAATCGTATTACTCTCCCAGCATGAGCGATTAGTACGATCGCAGACCGCTATACACAGTGACCGAGTAAGTACGCCACAGCTAATCGTATTACTAGTCTAGCTGGACCCTGTCCAACACCAACAGTGTATGCGCCAATATGCTCGTCTTTGTAACACCGCCAACGCCTCAGCAAGAATACAGACCAGGCAAACAGCATGACACACACTAACTTATACTCTAGACCCTCGGCACGCCCCCAGTCCCGAACAACTCCATCTTCACCCTTTCGCTCGGCACTCCAAAGCCCTTCAGCTTATTCTCGATATCCAGCATAAACTGCGTCGGCCCGCAGACGAAGTACTGTGTCTTGTCGTTGTCCGTGAAGAGCAGCTCTCTGCCGACCTTGTCCAGATCCACCTTGCCTCTAATGTTGTAGTCCTTGCCCTCGATCTCACCGTCCTTGGGCTCCGAAGAGAAATACAGCGCATGAAGGTTTTCGTGCGCTGCGGCCAGCTCATCGGTCCGCGTCTTGAACGCTCGTACCTTGTGGTTCCTCGCGCCGTGGATCCAAGAAATAGGCCTCGCGGCGGTCTCCTCCACGAGCGTATTGAGAATGCTCGACAAGCACGTCAGGCCTACACCGGCTGAGATTAGGACAACGGGGCTGTCCTTCTCCGTCTCTTTCTCGTCGAAGAAAAAGTCGCCAAATGGATGCGCCAAGCGAACCACGTCGCCCACACTCTTCTTGTCGTGGAGGACATTCGATATGTACCCTGGATGCGTCATATGCTTCGGCTCGCCAATCTCAACACCCGGCTCTTTCTTCACGCTGATACGCAGATAGTTCTTCCCCGGCGCATCGCTCAGACTGTACTGCCTCGCCTGCCACACACCACCATCGAGCTCGTCCACGAAAACATTCACCGAGATGTACTGTCCCGGCTTGAACCGAGGTAACTTCAGCCCCGCATCCACAGGCTCGAAGTAGAACGATGTGATCTCCTCCGACTCCTGCTCCTTCCTCGCGATCTTGAAATCCTGCCACTCGTGCCAGTAGCTCGTCTCGTCGTACAATGCCTTCTCTTTCTGGATCATGATATCGGCCAGCTGCCAGTAGGCTGCGCCCCAGGCGCCCATGATCTCAGATGTCGCTGCATCGCCCAGGACCGCCTTCATCGTCTGCAGCAAGTGCGTCCCCACAATCTCATACTGCTCCGGCTTGATGTACAAGCTGGCGTGCTTGTGGCAGATGAGTTCCACCGCCGGGCCGAGCTTGCCCAGATCGTCAATGTTGGCGGCATAGGCGTACAGAGCGCCGGCTAGAGCGCGCGGTTGGTGGCCGGTGGCTTGGTGCGTGTTGTTGAAGATGTTCTTGAGTTCCGGATGTGCTGTCAGCATGTCGCCATAGAATTTCCGTGTTATGGTTTCGCCATGCTGCGCGAGGACGGGGACTGTTGCCTTGATGACGGCGGCTTGCGAGGGTGTCAACGCGGGAGCCATGGTTACGAATGTGTTGGAAAAGAAGCGAGGTTTAGAGATGTTATACAAGGACGCCGGGATTTTGGTGTTGATGATTGGCAGTTGATGTAAGTACTCGTTAACTCGAAATCGACAGGGTTTTAAACCACTGAAAAGCATATCAGAACCCAGTAGATGTTTTCAACGACGATGATGATGAAGGCCTTCTATCCAGCATCCCGTCCTTCACCTTTTATAACCCTCCTTCTCCTCTCCCTTCTCCCATCGCAAACATACATTTCCGCGGAAAATCTCCCATCTCTAAAGATATATCAGCAGATACGGAACTGAGTAGTTGAGCAAGCTTCGCGTGATGACAGATCAGCTCACCCATGCGCCGGAATGCAGGCCTTCAAACAGGCCGTGGGGCCTACCATCGTAAATTGTTACGTAGTAGCGCGCCAATTTGACGCAGGTTGCCATGTGTAACATGTGTGCGAGCCGCGTCTCCGCCACTTCCGGCTGGGCTGGGCTTGCTTGTAGGACAGGTACCCGAGGACTGCGGACGTAGAGTTCAGGGGCCAAGTTCGTGCGTAACGGCGAGAGTCGGAACCCAACTTTTGCCTCGTCTGGCGCAGCCGCCTTCCAGCAATTAAGGAATGGATTACGAGTTCCCCATGTACTCGAAATGTATCACAAGTAAACTTGAGGTAGCCTCTTATCGCACCATGCCATTCTGCAATCTGCATCCTAATCTTTCCCCTCGTCCATCCTTTCCCAAACCAGCCCCGTCCCCAACCACCACCTTATCTCAACCACACCACCGTTCCATCCTCCACAATACCTATCCCATGGCACTACATCCAGACTCTCTCACAAACTCGCCTCTCCAAATTTTCGATACTCTCCGCGACGAAAGGTACTCGCGGTATGACTAAAAGTCAGCCCATAAACGTGCCATCTGCTTAGCGAAAGCGCCGATTTCTCCCGGCTGGCGGTAAGCATTTTCGGGAGCAGAGGTATTGGGCCATGGGCTCAGATATTCCGTCGGTCGCGCGGGAATGAGAGTCGGAGCTGCTTGAAAAATCTGGTGTTGAGGTTTCTCCGCGGGGAGGGCGGAAGGGCAGATGTGGGGTGGTCTGGATGGAGTTTAGCGTGCCATGTGCGCTCCCCAACGGTTGACCTTTCTACGTTGAGGTGACATTGACATACACTTGGTTATTTTCTTGAATGCTTCCAAGGCTGCGTTGCGATCTAGTATCATCAGAGTCGACGCTTTGCGGCTACAGCGTAATGAATTGGATTATGCCCTGCTAGCACGAAGGGAAGCAAAGAGCCCTCTCAACCACGCGTCTACAGAACTAGAAACCACCTCTAACGCGTGTAGTCATACCAAATCACCTCCAAGCAGCAACCTGTCCCCAGAAGAAGCCCGGGACACCGCCGTTCATTGGGACATCATCGCATAAGCATACATGCCCATCGGTAGTCCCGAAAATGAACCAATGATGGTCAGTAAAGTTCGAACTCAGCAGATTTCTCCTGAATGTAGAGGGCGTATCGGGCCAGATCGAAGTCGCCTTGCGGCCGCAGTTCAAAATCATTATCAACCGCACTTCTCTCGGAGTGGTTCGTTCTGCATCGAAAACTATTGAAGTGCTACAAGCTGATTTTGACATGTCTAAGATGCTATGAAGTGCACCATAGAGACGAAGTGCTAGAGAAATGTCCCAGGAGAAAGGTACCAATTTAGAAGCGAGATCGTGAGCATCCTCAGTGCGGAAGTACTCCGCCCTTCAAAATCTCAATCAGAAATATTATCAGTTAGTCTCCCCCGTCCCTTGCTGAAATTGGAAACCATAGCATTGGTCCACCCTCCCTCTTCACCAAGCCCGTCACTTGCGCCTCACCGGCGTCGCCTCAATAGCGAGCGCAAGGCCTACACCGACCACTCCTGTCGCTAAACCCATCAAGAACGTGCGACCAGCTCTCCGAGCCATCCCTCCTTGTTCATCTGAATACAATTCCACACGCCAACCCTCAGCTTCCGCTGCCATCAGACAGTGATAATCTTCAGCCGCCCTCAGACGTCGATCAGCCATCTGACGTCGATGTTCTTCAGCCAGAGCAACCAGAGCAAGCCAAGGCGTCCGACACATAGGGCAAGTGTCGCAGGCCGGCTGGCGAGACTTCGGCCAATTCATGATGCAGTTGAGGTGGAAATGGTGGCCCTTACATCCGGGGATGTCCTTGATGAGAACGGCGTATTGTGGTGGTCCGAGGATGTATTTCTCCGGTAAAGGCATTTTGTAAGTCTCGTAGCAGATAGGGCAGACGGCGCTGGCATCCGGAGGAGGCTGATAGATGTGCTCGAGATGGTAGTTAAGAAAAAGCTCGAAGACGAAGGCGGACGTTGGTGCCTGAGTCGAAGTCGTCTGCCTATACCACGGGATAATTGTCGGACTGCCGAGGAATGTGACAGGCGCTGAGGTCGAAGTCGGGTCTGACATACTGTGTTGTGGGTTGTTTGACAAGGGAGTCGAGTTTGGGTATTACCGGTTCGCGCACGGAGCATTTAGAAGAACGCAAGAAAGCAAGACTTAAAAACGAGGAGCTTCCCTGGAGACCTTCGGCTGGTAGTGCAATCCCGTGAAAGACTGGCAATGTCGAGGTCCAGCTGCTTCTGTTCTGGTGTATGCGTCATCTAGCGCCTCTTGCTGTTGTCGAACCGAGCTACCCTCTCGATACGGTGTGCTCAGTCTGCCATGACCCTTTCAACCTGAAGCATCCTTCAAGAAACGTAAAAGAATGCATGACGGCAAGGACAAATCGAGAAACAGAGGAGGTCCTCTCTCAGTATGTTTTCGAAGGGTTGCCCCGGAAAAAGAGTGATCGTGCGAGCTGAGCCTGACATGTGGGGGCGTGACCATCGGAGCTCGTTTGTGGGTTGAGGCGTGTCAGGATAGACGTGTACTTATGTATTTAAAGGTCGTGTCGCTCGTAGAAATGGTTTCGCCCAGCATTCGACGGACTCAGCCGAGCAGAAGTCGTCGGGTACGGCGGTTTATCTAGCCGAAACTGCCCTTTTGGGCAGCTTTGCAACTTCCATCGATCACAGGCTCTCTATGGGCTAAGGGCGACACATGGCCCTGCCTTGTCAAACTACTGTTAACGGCAGCAACTTCAATCAACAATCGATCACTGCGCTAACTCCGACCCTTCCCTTTCACCACGGTGGCATCGACTCGCCATTCCTATCCGGCGTATTGTACGCATTGCTTATTTGGCATTCGGCCCCGGCCACGTGGTCGGCCATCTCCGTGTGACGTACGTATCCGCGTGCGAAAGCTTATTCATCACCAAGCTTCTCCGAGGGCTGCAACTTCATCCCACCCTTACGTTTTCCATGATTCCCATTTCCTAGATCCTTCTGTCCTCTTATTTTCGCCGTTCCTTCATTTCTAGCGCGCTCTCTCGCCGTCGTAATGGTTTCCGTCACGAACCCGATACCCCGCCTTAGCCGGATACACAGACATAATGTCCATATCTTTCAGTCCTCACCTCTCGCAGAGCTCTCTGGCTCTCTCGGAGACCTCGGAACGCTTCTGCCGCTCATGACAGCGCTGGTTATTACTGGATCAATCTCCCTGCCGGCCACGCTCCTCTTCACAGGGGCTGCGAACGTCCTCACCGGCGTCGCGTTCGGAATACCACTGCCAGTTCAGCCAATGAAAGCTATTGCTGCCGTTGCGATCGCTCGAAAGTTCTCACTTGAAGAGAACGCAGCTGCTGGTCTCGTCGTCGCCGCCTTGGTCGGCATCCTCAGCGTGACTGGGCTGATCAACTGGGCAAACCGGGTCACACCGGTTCCGGTCGTAAAAGGCATCCAAGTGGGAGCTGGTCTCTCCTTGTGTCTGAGTGCAGGATCGAAGATGCTTGATCCCTTGAGCTGGACGGGGCCGTGGTGGGGAGACAACCTGATTTGGGCCATCGCGGCTGTGCTGCTTCTTCTATTCACGTTTGCCTACCCAAAGCTGCCGTATGCTCTCATCGTCTTCATCGTCGGCATAATGCTCTCGATACTGTCTCCCAGTAGCAATACACCGGTACCGGCGTCAGATATAGTCATCCCCATTCTTCACCCTTCCGGCCGCGACATTTGGAAAGCGACTACAACCGCGTCCCTAGGCCAACTGCCGCTAACGCTCCTAAATTCCGTCATTGCAGTCTCGGCGCTCGCGTCTGACCTCCTACCTGCGCCTCCTTATCCGGCTGCTCCATCCGTGACCGAAATTGGTATCTCGGTCGCATCGATGAACCTCGTCGGCTGCTGGTTCGGAGCGATGCCCACTTGTCATGGTTCTGGAGGCCTTGCAGGCCAATACCGCTTTGGTGCTCGCAGTGGATCGAGCATCATCTTCCTTGGTTCGCTCAAATTTCTGCTTGGTATCATCGCACTGTTCAAGCCCGGTCCTATTGTCGGTGTCCTATCCAACATCCCTAAGGCACTCCTTGGTATTCTGGTCCTCGCTGCAGGGGTCGAGCTCGCAAAAGTTGGAGAGAGCGTCAACACTGACGCGAGGGACCTGCGCGTCTTGGACCGTGATAACTCGTGGGATGGCAAGGGGCTGAAGGAGCTTGATGAGAACGAGAGGAAGGAGAGGTGGGCGGTAATGCTCGTCACCGTTGCAGCTATCCTCGCCTTTAGGAACGACGCTGTTGGTTTCATAGCGGGTCTTGTCTGGCACTGGGGTTTCAAGGCTGCAAGGAGCATGTGCGAATGGAGAGAAAGACAACAGGGCAGACCATTTTGGAGATGGGCGAGTCACCGGTCTGAGGAGCGTACTGGATTGCTAGCCCGTGAGGAGTCGGATATGGTTGCTTGAAGATTAAATACCCCTGTGATAGTTTGGCATAGCGACGGATAGTTGCATGTTGGCATTTGTCGTACGTAGTATCATTGCAACAGAGATTATTTCTTCCTATCAAGTTCAAAATAGTTCAAAAGTGCAATTACTAGTATCGTATATTCGCTTTCCCGTCAATGGGCGACCGCAAAAGTCGATAGAGCGCTAGTCTTGAACAGGTCTAGTGCACACCACCAAATCTCAACTCCGAGGCTTGTCCCAACGTCTCTTCCATCCCTGTTCATCCACAACACACAGCTCTTTGACCAGATGCGAAGCGAGGCTATTTCCGTCTGGAAGACCGTCATGGATGATGAATTACCGATAAACAGTGCGTCGTGGCCCGCGGTCTTCTCTGCAAGATGCCTAAACGGCTAAAGTGACTCAACCCCTCCGCGATGGCGAACCAGGGATATCTAGAGTCAAGAAAGTCGATGATCGCACAAGATGGCAACCAGGAAAGGCATTCGAGACTGTGGCCAGCAATCACCGTTGGCAAAGAGCACTAAGAAGAGAAGCACCCATTGCTCAGGAGATAATCTGCTCTTGCAGCAAAAGCGACACAACGGTCAAAAAATATACTTGAATCCCTGGCGAAAGGCCCAAAAGTCAAGCGAGATTGAAGCTATCCCGTCCTAGCCCCGGACGCTGGCCCCTGCCGAGAGATGATCTACTCTATGAGTGGGAACGAGCCCCCGGGAAATAGCACGATCTAGAATGCTTGTTTCCGATATCCTTCTATTCTAACTGCTAATGGTGGCTAGCGTATAAGTGCTGCATGGGGTCGATGAACGCCATTCCGGGTCACCGGAGCCTCTCAATATATTTATAAAGATTCCATGTGGATGCCATCACATTCGCGAACCAGCGCTGGGTCTCCCAAATTTCATTCCCATCACCGGGCCCCTTTTCCACCTCCGTTGCTTTCTTGGAGGATGATAGCCCTTACTTCTTTCGTGGCCATTGCGGCTGGTTTCGTCGCATTTACGCAGTCAAAGCCATTGGAATCAAGGGCTGCAGTCGATGTCTCGAACGCCAAATCGTCTTTGACCCTCATCTACCAGAACAACCTGAACCAGTCGGACGACAAGTACCATATCGGAGCTCTCGTTCTTGATCCGGTTCCACAGTCCGGTGCCGCCGCTGCCTGCGCTTCATTGAACGAGAAACTTCTACCCAAGTCAAACCTCCAGCAGCACAAATCAGACTTCATCAACGCACTCTCCTACCAGAATTACGCGGACTACTATAATGCCGGCAACGGATTCTTCGTTGATGACGGGGTCGTGACCGTTGATGGCCAGCTCAGGTTCGCTTCAGCATCCGCCCATTCTCACCAACAATTACCCGTCCTATGCACACAGTCTGCAAATAATGGCTCCTCCAGTGCCGGGCCCGTCAATGGCAGCCAGGTTTCAGTGGCATCGGGAGGCAACACCTTCGTCGGCTATCGGAACCAAAAGTCATTCCGGTTCTTGGGCATTCCGTATGCCGACACACCTCAGCGCTGGAAGTACTCTTCACTCTACTCGAAGAGGGGCCAAACTATCCAGGCGACGGCTTATGGTTCCCAATGCGCCCAAGGAGGCTCCGGAAGCGAGGATTGTCTCTTCTTGAACATCCAGACGCCGTACATTCCTAAGGCTGACTCAAAGAAGAATCTTCGCCCGGTTATGTTCTGGATCCATGGAGGCGGCTTCACGGGCGGCAGCGGTGCTGACCCTCTCTCCGATGGCGGCAATTTGGCCAGCAAGGAAGATATCGTTGTGGTCAACATCAATTACCGCCTTTCGACCCTCGGCTTTCTGGCTATCCCTGGAACGGATATCAAAGGGAACTACGGTATTGCGGACCAAATCGTCGCTCTCGAATGGACTATCGCAAACATCGCATCCTTCGGTGGCGACCCAAAGCAAATTACCATTATCGGCGAATCTGCTGGTGCCGGCTCGGTCCGGACTCTCCTCGGCTCACCACAGGCGATTGGAAAATATCAAGGTGGTGTTGCAATGTCGAACCTCGGTGGTGGTGTTACACTCGGCCTCAATGGCGACTACGGGACGACATACTCAAGCTATTACACCATCAGCCAGTCCTATGCCGTAGCAGGGCAGCAGATATTCGCTTCGGCAGGTTGCAACAGTAGCGTCATCTCCGCTCAGATATCCTGCCTCGAGAAAGTACCCGCTCTACAGCTTGTCGGCTTCCCCACCGTTGCTCGATATGTCGTCCAAGACGGCAAATATGTCAACACCGAGCAACTTATCGTCTCGAAGCGCAACGCAAGCACGGCCCACGTCCCCGTCATCTTCGGCAACACCGCCAACGACGGCGCGTCATTCTCCACATACCCAAAGACACCGGTAGCAAACCTTCCCCAAGGCCTCCAAGCCGCTCTGGGCATCAACTCGACATGGGCGCAAAAAGTCATTGATTCGGGCCTCTTTCCCTACTATAATACCGGCAACATGACCCTTGATTCATTCAATGTCTCCCAGCGCGTCGCAACAGACAAAACTTTCCGCTGCGTCGACGAAGCCACCGTCTACGCAGGTAGCGAAACCGGCGCCTTCGAAAAAGCATATTACGAACGCACGATAAACGGCTACGACCCTAACAATCTCGGAGGACCGAAAGACAACAACCCTAACAACCCGTACTTCCGCTTCCACGGCGCCGATATGCCCTGGGTGTTTGGCACGCTGTCGACGATCCGTGATCCGGCAGACTTGTACTCCGTGCAGCTGGTGTCCAGCTACTTCGCAGCTTTCGTAAAGAACGGGGATCCAAATCCGGATCTGGAGTATTTGAGAGTGAGAGGGTACGATAAGGTGGCTGAGGGGGTGAGGAGAACGGGCAATTGGGAAGAGGCCAGTGGAACGAGGGGAGAGGTCAGACATTTGGATTGGCCGGGGTATAGAGGTGGATTCGTCGATGTTGCGCAGTGTAGCTGGCTGGGGTACCCTTTGGACTACTATCTGAACGGTGGGAAGTGAGTGTGGGTGGACTCAGTGCTCTGCCTAAGAAATGAGCAGTGCACACAAGAATGATAAGATTACTTCGAACTCACAGCGTTCCCGTCGCTCAGCCTTCGCACGCTCAGCCTCTTGCTGGGCATCCTATGAGTCCCTTCCAGCGTCTCCTCCAGCACATCGATATGCTTCTTCTTCCGCTCAATCATGCTCTTCAGCTCTGCTTCCCTCCTCTCCCTCTCCTCCCTCCCCAGTAGGAGATTTCTTAACCACTGCCTGAGGTCAACGGGCTTTTGCAACGCTTGCAACTCCCTCTCACTTCTCTCGATCTCCCGGACGAGGCCTATTTTGGCGGTTAGGCATGTTATTTCAAGGGTGACGTAAAGGGTTTTGAGGGCTTTGGGGGATAGTTGGTCGGTTGATGTGTCGGTCATGTTGTGCGGTTGGTCGCGAGTAGGTTGGTCGCAGGCGATTTTGGTGTACGTACGAAAGAAGTGGCAAGGGGAAGGTTCGCTGCCGAGAGGTGTTGAAGCTTTAACTAGGCAGGTCGGTTTGCGGACTTCACAGCCGGCGGTTTGTAGAGCATTCAATACGTATGCCATTGACACTGCACGCCCTCCGTTACTCATTCGATTATTAATCCTCGTTTGTGCTTTTTCGTTTGAAGAGAATGCTATCTTTTCGTAACTGTACACATCCATGGAGTGTGAACGGGCTACGCTGTGCGGCAAACGGTCCTCCCTAGGTTCGATCACAGCCATCTCTGGAGATTCGGAGACCGCGACTGAAGCAAGGGTTCGAGAGACCAAACACTTGAAAAAGAGTTGCAAATGAGTCATGAACTCTTCAGCGAGCCCAGGTAGTGGGCACGGACTCGAGATGACTAATCAGCTCCATAGGATCTCAAGGCTCCCACCGAGGCAGCGAGGATCGAGACCTCACTCCAACCACCCTTCATCATCAACCTCCATCATGGCCGATCACGCGATGCGAACTGTATACTTCTCCCGCCCTGGGCACCGAGCCTCCAGCGCAGTGCATCCGTACACCTTTTCATAATCGATCGATGAGGCTCTGAATCCATTCATGGAGCGGTTTCTCTTTCGCTAATCTGCGAGATGCGGCGGCACATTGATTGCCTTAACTGTTGGCCTCTGTGAATCTAAATAATCGGTCGAAGTAGCCCTCTGCGATCGAGCAATACACAACCCTTGCAGGGGAGAAGGCCAACATGCCGGGCTGTCTCGCCATTTCCTCTTTTCCGACTGATGTGTGTCAGTGGGGTTTCCGCTCATGTGTAAACTTCAACGGGCAAGGATACACGCAACTAGATGGCAAGTCACGTATATCTGAAAAATTCAATGCCGAGCAAGTGTTAATATAGCGGCAGTGCCGCGAGATCCGCCAAAGCCATACTTCTATCTACGGAGACCAACCGCCACTATCAGTCACACCTCTCTTCCAAGCAGTTCACGTAAAGTTGTTACTGAGGCTCAACAGCCGGCGGAGGAGCGACAGGTCCCGCGCCGTGCTGGCCAATCTCTTTCTCAAGCCGCCAGATCTCCTCTCTAGTTGCCGTCCACTCCTTCTCCAGCAGCGGGACCCGGAGCCTCTTATAATCCTTCAGCATCTGGATATTTAGCTCCTTGTCGCTGATGGTTTCTTTCAACTCCTCGATCTTAGCGCGCAACTCGCCGGGTGTCCTGTATCGGGCCATCCTGGTTCTCCCCTCCAGCAACGAGTCGGTACTCTCGAGTGACTTCCTGGCTTCGGCGATCTCGGCGGTGAGGCGCGAATTTATGCGCTTGGTGTCCTTCTGGAACTTTTCGCCTTCGCGCTGGATTCTGTTTTGCTCGCTGATGAGCTCTATCCGGCGCGCGGGGACTGGGACCTGTTAGTGACGGTTGGGTGGGCGAGCTGTGAAGAGTGTGACTTACGAGACTCGGGTCGTGGGCGCGATGGCGGGAGATTCAACTGGATACCGAAAGGTGCCGGCTCCTCGTATCTCTCTCCGGTTTCGTTCCCTACGAGGCGTCATTTAGGGACGGGATCCAGCTGGTGGAGAAGAGAACTTACACTCGTCCCCAGGCACGAGGTCCTCCATAGTCATCATTTGGCCCTCAGCGGGCTCGGCGGCACTAGGAGCTTCAAGCTAGTCAGTATCTCATGAATGTCAACTATTCAGGCTCTGAGCGCTTACCAGTACTAGGATTTCCGCCAGTCATCTTTACCAGTGTTGTTTCGAAGCACTGGGAGTTGGAAGAGGCTATAATAGGTGTCGAGGTATATTTTGAGTTCGCGGTTGTAGCAAGAAAGAGGCTATAAATCGTTGGTGGGATGAGGTTTATATAGGATTCTCACACCGTCGTTCACCGCGGCCGCCGCGCGTCGTCCGAGCGCAGTAGGGTTCTCTGGGCGGGGTGGCAGAGGGAGAAAGGTGGTGAATCCATCAGAGCAGGTTGCCCGAATCGTGCGAGGTAACATAAACTTGAGGATGTTCACCCTCGTCCCTCCTCCACCTCTCGGTCGAGGTCACCGACTACGGATGAGGAGGGAAACAGAGAGCTCATATAGCTGCTCGGTCGGCGCTGAGGAGTCACGAAATGAGATCTGGAAGGGTTTCTTGTACCCGTGGCGGCTTGCTGCTTCCTGATTGCGATTGACTTTCGAGTCTTTGCTATCCGTCGATTGCTACCTCTAAACTTCGCAGTAGCCTCAATTAGGTGGCCTCAATCAGGGCACTATGACACCCCAATCGAAAGAAAGCTTGCAAGCAATTGCTATCCGCAACCGGACCTCGACCAAACAACACATCTCAACAAATCCATTAAGCAAGCGAGACCGATCTATTCAGCTCCTTACGCAAGAACCCGAACTCCTGCGCCCAGGATATCGAAAGCCTTCAATCCGCCCCTTCTAAAGCCCAGCACTCCATGTGTACCGCAACATTTATCCCCATGTCCATACCCCCATGCCATCCCATTACTTCCCCCTCACCATATCCTCAATACTTCCGTGATACCCACACCGCCTCAAAGCCTGATGAATAATCCGATTCGTTCGCGCATTCATAGCCCTCATCCCACCCACCTGCCTCTCGACCCCCCGCGCCCAAACAGCGAACGCAGCTCTCCGACACACACTCTCTCGCGCCTTACGCTCCTTTTCCCACGCGGAAATGGACTCGGGAGTGGAAGTGGCGTCTGAATAAGTTGGTGTCCGTGGCGGAAGGGGGAGGGCGAGGGAAAGAGGAGCTGCCTTTGTCTCTTCTTCCCACGCGGTGTTGGAGTCTGGGGATGTGCGTTAGTATGGGCCGGGAAAGAGGAGAGAGGGGAGATAGGGGCGCTTTGATATGTAGTGGGAGGGTGACTTACGCATATCTGGGGCTGCGGAGGCTTGGGATGTTGCGGTTGTGTGCGTGTTGGTCGAGCTCATGGTGGGAGCAGTGGCGGCAATGGGATGTTGTGACGAAGGACAGTTGTGGTGGATCTCGGGCATTTAGGAACTGAGTCGGAGAGGTTGTTGGCTTGAGCTGGAAGGGTGTAGAAGTAGCGGCATATGTAGGTTAGGTGGGTAGGGGAGGAGTGAAATCGGTCACTCACTCATTCGGCTGACGCTACTTTCCTCGACGGTCGACGCTAGCACGAGCATGCGCTTTCACGAGCCTTGAGCGGGATTTGAAGCTGTTGAAGTTGAGTATTATCGATATTGGCCATGTCGACCGAAGAGCACGACCAGCGTATCTCTCCGAGTTACCACTGCCGCTCTTTCACCCCGTCTCTCATAATACCTCATGAACTACATAATCAGAAATGTGCAAAATGAACGATATACACAGCACTATCATCCTAGAGGGTATCAGGCGCCCAAAATCAACCATAAAGATGCGAGGCCCAGATCCCCCAGCCGGTCTGCGCCAAAGAGCAGCAAATATCATGAAACGCCGTCCTCTTCCATAGATGCAATTTCGATATCCTACTCTTCCCAGGGGAAATCCTGCGGATCTATTCTCGTGCACGTCAGATACGGCAGCCCGCCTTCTCTCAGATCGAGCTCCAAGAAATTCCTCATCAATGGCTTCACTGTGTCCTTCGCCTTGTTCTTGATCTCTTCTATTCGTCTTTCGAAGCGCTTTAGATTATCGCGGTTATAATACTCCGGATTCAGCTTGAGGAAGCGCTTGCACTCGTCGTGGCCGAGGTAGCTGCCGCCTCCTTGCCCAAGAAGCCGGAATATGCGACCAGTATTGAAAGGTGGAGGAGCGGGAAGCGGCGCATTCTCTCCGTTCCGCGAAGGTTGTCGTGGCGACTTTAATATTGGAGCGGGCGGCGGCGTTGTGTTCTCTGCGAGCCATTGTCTGAAGAGCGATATAGCCATCCACTCCAGCCAGTTGTTCGATGGCGTGACGCGCTCGCCTCGGCTTGTGGTGAGCGTTAACCGGAAGAGCTTGACCTCGATCTTTGCTTTCAGCTCGTCCATCTCGTCAACCTTGTCCTCTATCAGTTCCAATACGGACTCCGAGATCTGACCACGGAGCTGATTGATCCCTTGCGGCCACTGTCCCACCACATGTACCATGGCCTCCGAGAAGATGGCTTTGCTTCGCGCCATAAACCCTAGCTTGAGGTAGCTCGGGGGGTACTTGGCGATCTGCTTCCATAACCGGCCCTGGAAGCGCAGCAGATGGTGGTCTACCCGCGGCCCAATGACCTCGAGCGCATCGTACATATCCGCGAGCTGGAGGAGAGACTTGCACTCTACGTAGGCATTGGCGATGTTTATAGGATCCAGCGTCGGAGGGTAGTTGTAGAAGACTCGGAATAGGTTATCGTAGTCTCGGAAGGTGTCATCGTCGGGGTCAGACTGGCTGGCGGGCACGTGGAGGGAGGAGAAGTTGGCCATGCTCCGGAAGAAGCCCGCCTGCGGAGGCGGAGGCTTGTTGCGCGCCGGCGGTGGCTGCGACGGCGGTGTTGAGTCGCCTCCAAATAACGTAGGCTGGCCTTTCTGCATCCTAGTGAGCGCGCGATCGTGTGTAGGGGGCATAGTATACGGACCTTCTGGATCAGCATTGGTATCTCTTCGTCCTTCGCCCAGTCCAGCTCATACTTCCACCTCTTCTTCTCCTGCGGTGCGCCCGGTATCCTTGCCAGCGCCGCGGGATTCGCATTCGGCGCGCTGCTCGCCTCTCCCGCATTCGCCCACTCGTCGCTCAACCCCGCCTCGAAGAAGCCCGAGCACTGGGTGAGAATCAGCTTGTGAAGCAGATAGCGCTGCTCTTTCCTCCCGTTCGCGATTGCGATGTCGACATCGCCCGTGTGTGTAAAGACGGGGAACTCGTTCTGCGGCTGGAACGACGAAGCGCCAAAATGCGACCGGTGCGGGCGATGTCTTCGGACGGTAGAGGCGCGGGAGGAATGGGACGCGACCGAGGGCGGGCGGCGGATGGCGAGCGAGCGCTCTGCGCCCTGCGAGTCCGGGTAGGAAACCATGCGCAGCTCTTGAACTGAAGCGTGGTGTCGGAGGCACGTCGAGGGCGGAGAGGGGCGCGTCGAAACCAGCGTGGCTGCGTGTTGTGTTGTTCGCACGGCGCGATGCAGGGCAGGGTCGGGATGCAGCTGTCGGGGGGGGGACGGTTGGAGGCTGGTCTGTCAGTCTGCAGCGCGAGGCCCGCCGTCTGGCCCGCCGTCTCGCCCCGCCTCAGTCGGCGGCGGCTTGCTGGGCTGGCTGGGCTGGCTAAACGCGAGCCCGCTTTATCGATTAGCAGCTCGTCTCCGGGGTCTTGCGGTCTCGTCTCGTGCAGTTGGTGACGAGCGTTTCAAGGTTTCAAGAGCTGCGCAGCGGGAGAAGCGCAGTGGCTGTGGCGACCGCCTTGCCTCGCATGCAGCCCGTCTGCGCTTGGAGGCATGCAGCTTTCGGCGGCGAATGACCGCTGATATCCGAGCCAAGCCTGCATTCAGCCTCGCCCGTCGACCGAGGCGTGGCCACGCGATTGGCAGAGATTTTGGCGGAGCTGCATGTGGACGTGTGGTGTTCGCCCGTCGCGAAGAGGGAAGAGGGCTCGACGAAGCTCAGGTATATACAACTAATTGGCGAAGAGAACATTAAATACAGCTGCTCCTTCTCATAAACAAAGAGAGCCCAAAATGCTGTGTGCACAAGCGCGCCCCTAGTAGCTTTGAGTCAGGCCATGCACCTTGTGCCGCTGGATTTTCTCCAACCCGTCCATAAACGGCCGCAACACCTCTGGTATTGTCACAGTGTAGTCTTTTTCGTTCCACTGATTCTCCAGCATCGCCGCCAGTACTCTCGGAACAGCAAGAGCCGTGCCGTTCAAGGTATACGGGAAATCTAGCTTCCCTCCCGCCTTCTCGAGACGCACCCTAGTGTGCAGACGCCGGCTTTGGTAATCCGTGCAAAGCGACGTCGACGTGACCTCGCCCCATCCCTCGTGCTTCTCTCGTCGAGATGGAAAGAATGCCTCAACGTCTCGTTTCCGCGTTGCGCTCGCTCCGAGATCCGTCGTTGGCATCTCCAGCACGCGGCAGTGGAGGCCGAGAGATCCCAATATCTCCTTCTGAATGGACAGCATCTCGTCGAAGATAGCCTCTGAGCTCGAGCTAGCCGGCGTCGTAAAATGATTCTGCTCGTTGTTATCCGGTAGCGTCCAGGCGAACATCTCCACCTTGGTGAACTCGTGTACGCGGTACAGGCCCTTCGTATCAACCCCTCGCGCACCGGCCTCCGCGCGATAACATCTGGACACTCCCACCGTCTTGAGCGGTAATTCTACATCCTCAAACGTCTGGTTCGCTTTCATGCCCGCAAGAGGAATCTCTGCCGTCCCCGCGAGCGCTAATTGCGGTTTCGCCTTGTCCTTGTCCGCTTGCTCGATAGTGTACACTTGCTGCTCTCCGTTTTGGTCTCTCGGCTGGAATCCGCATGCCGAAGAAATGTGCGAATACACCATTGAAGGCGGAGAGACTACCCTCCACCCTCGCTTTCTGGCCACGCTAAGGGCATACTGGATCAGAGCTTGCTCCAGCATCGCTGCCTCGTTCAAGAGAAAGTACCATCCCCAGCCCGATGTCTGTCCAGCCCCTGCGAAATCCAGCAGCCCAAGCTCCGAGCCGATGTGTACGTGCGATCTCCAGACTCGGTCGGATAGGGAAGGTTCTGGCTCGGGGTGGTCATTGATGTATCCGATGACTTCGGGCTCCGTGCCGACGGGTGTATGCGTGCTGCTTAGGTTCGGTAGGGCCTCTGCCAGATTGTCTATCTCTTCCTGCAATCGTGTCTCCTTTTCTTCTATGATACCAAGCTCCGCCTTCAAAGCCCTCGCTTCGTCGAGAACCGCTTCTTTGCAATGCTCTCCGCGCTCCTCACCAGCCTCCCATTTCCCTGATCCAGCTTTGGCAAGACTTCCACGTAGCTGATTGCTCCGTTCTCTCAGATGGCGGGCGCTGTGTTGAAGCGCAAGCCATTGTTCGTGGAGCTCGATGATTCGCCATGGCGCCTTTCTATGTGCCGAGTAGTTGCGGTCGACGCAATTCTGTTCGTAGAGCCCGGGGTTCTGCCGGATGTGTTTGATATCGATCGCAGGCTTGGGTGCGAACGCGGGTCTGGTGTACGCGCGGCGGGTAGAGCACCGTGTCTGAATGGCTGTTTGCTGGTATTGGGGCGGTCGGGTCTTACAGGCGGGACAAGTTCGGAAGGACCACCTGAGGGCTTTCATGGCGGAGCTTTTCCCCGCGGCCGTGAGTCTGGAAATAGTGGAGGAAGGCAATTGAGACACGGTAAGGCTGCTGTGTTCACCAGAGTGCTTTATGCGGTGCGACGGACGGAGGGAGATAGAGGTCCACGGGTGGAATAAAGCACCTCAGGTCATCTTTCGGAAGCAAGACGGAAGCTCCGCGCTAAGACGATACCCCTGTCCCTCGGTCCAGACTCGACCGCGTCGCGTCACGCTTGCTCCCATCTCATGCCTCATCTGCGATCCATGGACGGGCTGGCGGCGAACAGCGAATCCTCGTGAATTGAATTTAATACGTTGTTTTGGAACCCTCTCTCATTGCACCGACTCCCATCTAGCATTATCCTCAGCACGCTATGGCTCCCAAACCCCGCAAAAGACCGGCGGATCCTCTCTGGACAGATCACGCGACGTCAAAGGTGTCCAGAACCGATTACTCGCGCCTATCACCACCAGTGCCCTTACATAGACGGTCTGTTTGCACCAGTTCCCCCAGGATACCGACCCAAGCCTCTTCAACAACACCGAGGTTCGGCCAAAGATCGGCTGCAGGGCAAATAGCCCAACCACATCTTTCCACTCCGCACAGAACAACCACCCAAGGAGCATCCCCAAGGCTACAGCATCAACCAGATCTACATGTCGGCCAGGGCCAGAGCCAAGCACAGCATGGTTCACATTCGGCTCAGCCAGTCGTGTACAAAGCCAGGATTATGCACGCGCCGCATCCGGACAGCAGAGTTTGTCAGGACTTCCACTGGCTCCCTTACCCACTAGGCCTTATGCCTTTTGATTCGTGGCACAAGCTTCACACCCGTCCCAATGTTTATCCTCCCTTGCCTTTCCGTTGCCCGGTCTGTCGCGCGGAAAGAAAACCTACTCCCCATAACCGCAAGCTATTCCTAGTCGCCGAACGATTGACCTGGGAAGAGGGGTTGGGATCGGGGCCAAAGAAAGATCAGAATGAGGAATTGAATTGGGAAGTCAACTACGAGCTTGGGATCCTGGAACCGTTTGTGGAGGATCCCGAACAGGTGCCGGGCGGAAAGCACAGTCAACAAAACAAGTTTTATCCTTACAAGAATGAGTACGAGATGGTGCAGGCACTGAATCTCATTTTCACGTCAGACAACATTACGGAAGTATCGTGGTCTTTGTGGATCGGCCTACAGATGGATCTGCAGAAGATGCTGGACGTACAGGAAATTTCGGTATCCGATAAGGTCTCTCAGGAGAAACCCTCAGACGTGCGCCGGCCGCTCCAGCTGGACAATGGAAATCATCCCCGCACAAGTACTCCCAATATCGACGAAATCGACCTCACGGTGTCACCGAACCGCGTGTCCAAGCATCCAACGAACGCGATTGCCTTTGGCATACCCACTCCGCCGTCATCCTTTACAAGGCGAATCAACAATGAAAATCTACCTCCCTCCCCTACCAACGCGGCTCCCTCATCACAGCGAACTTCCGCGAACTTCCCCAGGGACATACACGCTGGATGGCCCTCAAATCTGCCATCCTCCCCCAACAAGGAATGCATTACCAGTTATAAGACATTGCAGGACTTTTACTCGCTTCTTGATCGAATCGAGCGGACCTCGTTCGTGGGAGCTCTGTTTCTTGAAAAATATGCCGAGCGCTTGAGGGACGACATGTGCCGGAAATGCTGGCTCAACCGTTACATTGATTTTAATGCTCTTGATTCGTAGCTGTATTGGTTTTTCTGTTACGTCTTTATCTAGCGATACCCCCTTTCTTTGAGATTTGAACGTAGATCGCAAGCTGGTGCTGGAGTTTGCAGGTCGCCATCTTCCTTGTACTTTGGAACGTAACTATACTTTGTATGATTACCTCCGTCTCCTCAATCTGCACCGCGGAGACTTTCTCGGGAAACAGACGTTTCCACAAGGGGATACTCTCGGGGACGGGAAAGGATATCGGACTTGCGGCTTGCAGCACCCTGCATGACGCCTCAACGATGTGGCGGTGCACATAATTGTCTGGAACCAAGCTAGAAATGACGTGGTCCAGTGCGCGCCCCAATGGAGAAAGTGACTCGAGTGAATCCACGTCAACTATACGCGTGCACATGAGGCGTGCGCTACCTCGCTAAAGGTATCCCAAAGTGACGTCCGCCCCTTGTTAGGCGCCTTCGCGCCTTTGTTGGGGTAAGTCGCTCGGGCACAAGACACCACGCGGAGGCTGACCTGCGGAGCTGACCCTCAACCTCCGTCTGCCTAGGCTCTGGGCGCCGCCGCTGCACTCATAAACGTCCCCGGAGTCCCCGTTCCTTCACCACCGACGCTTCCTCCGCTCGTGGTCGATTTCCCGCTATCCAAATCGATCGTGCGACCTCTGACGCTCCCCACAAGAGCTACCCCTTGCGTCGGCCCTCCCGTCCACCCCGCAAGTCCGCCGTCACAATGCACGACCCATTCCCTCTCCCGCGGTCAGAAGCGCTAGCAAAATACGTCGAACCCATCGCCGACTACCTCTCGCTCAAGACCCTCCCTCTCCACATCCACGAAGTCCTCTTCGCCTTCCTGCTGTATTCCGCGACCAACGTGTACATCGCGCCCACTTTCTCGCGCCTCTTCTTCCCGCGGATATACTCGAGCCTCAATGCGCGCACGAAACTCAACTGGGATGTGCACATTGTGTCGTTTGTGCAGAGCACGCTGATTTGCATACTGGCGCTGTGGGTTATGTGGAAGGATGATGAGAGGAGGGAGATGAATTGGCTTGCAAAGGTGCATGGGTATACGGGGGCGGGCGGTTTAATTCAGGCCTTTGCCGGGGGATACTTTGTCTGGGATTTGGTGATTACGTTGCAGAATATTGGGATCTTTGGGCTAGGCATGCTGGCGCATGCTGTCTCGGCGCTGTTCGTCTTCTCGTTGGGCTTCGTAAGTTCCCTATCGACTTCCCTGTAAGAGAAGGCCGGAGTATGGGGATGCTAACATGCAGTACAGAGACCGTTTGTAAACTTCTATGCGCCGACCTTCATCCTCTACGAGCTCTCCTCGCCTTTTCTCAACATTCACTGGTTTTGCGACAAACTGAACATGACGGGCTCCAAAGTGCAGCTCTACAATGGCATCCTCCTTCTCCTCACATTCTTCTCCTGCCGCCTTATGTGGGGCACTTACCAGTCCGTCCGCGTCTTCTACGATGTCTACCGCGCAATGACGGCTGGCGAGCTCATGCTACACGATCCCGAACTCGGTAAACTCGGCAACGGCACCGTAGTCCCCGACAACCTCATCCCAACAAGCGAAATCATGGAGTTCGCCGGAGATAGGACTGTCCCGTTGTGGCTCGCAGGCTGCTATCTCGCGTCCAACATAACGCTGAACGGACTGAACTGGTTCTGGTTCGGCAAGATGATAGAAACGATCCGTAAGCGGTTCGATCCGCCATACGGCACGCGGAAGCCCGAGGTCAAAGAGTCCGAGAAAGAGCAGGTTCTTGTTGAGGGTATTGACGTTGATACGCCGCCCCCTAGTATGCCGGGTACGCCGTACGTACCCGCGGGAGCTGAGACTGACTATATTGGCGCAGTCAAGCTGAGCGCCACGGGGACGCATCTGGAGGCGGAGAGGTTAGAAGTTAGGAGTCGGACGGGGAAGGCGGCACAGCATACGGCGCGAGCTGCATAAGGCGTCGTTCTTGGTTTGCGTGTGATGGCGTGTTTGTTGGATTAATGGGTTAAGGGATGTCTGTTCGCGTTTAGAGCCTTGCCTATATACTTTTCTAATGATACAGAAGTCTCGTTCTCCGTAGAACAATCAGTGCTCAAACCCGCTGGAACGATGGGCCATCATCGTGGTCATATGTGTCACCGAGAGATGCATACATTCGATCTTCTCACTATTAATAACTAGTCCAATTAAACTCCAGGTAAGGGTGAGCAACAAGATGGAGCGGGACAGTGTCGAGTCATCATGCTCGGCTGAAGCACTTCGAGCTGGCGAATGCGCTTCTAAGTGGCAAAGAAAAGCCGACGCTTGCACTGGAGAGCGGCGAGGAAGTATGATCTTAGGTTAAATTAAGGTTTCTCTGCCATGTGGGGTTTGCAAACTGGGAAGGAGCAGTGGACGCAAGAGCGGATCAACAGCTTTGGAAGGAGCGTCGCCCTCCCACGAGTGTTAGTAACATCTATCACGAAACCTACCAAGTACAATCAGATCATGGATGCAGTTGCGGACTAAAGCTGGCGCTCGATGGTCCGGCAATACCTTCATTGATCAATCCAAATCGGGCCTTAAAACTGTGTCCCGAGACGTTCACCCCCTTGAGATGATGCATGGCTCCCTGCGAGGAAGGAGCGGTCTCCCACAGCCTGGATCTAATGGTCTCTGTGGTACCCGATCTACTCCTCTGACCCATTCTAACGCTCTGCGCCAGTGCTACTACATGTGCTTACAGGGCTTTGATACCTCCATGAGACTCTTCGTTGTTACCAACCAGCTATGCCCGATCGCCCATGGACAGGCGGGAGGATGGTATAGGCGGTTGGCGGCTGCACCTGGGGCTTGCTTGACGGTTCGCCGTCGCCGCAGCAAGCGTAGGTTCAAATCCTGCTCCTCTTACTTAACTTCGCGTTTATTGCTGCAGAGAAATCTCTTCGTTAAATAAGGATACTTCTTTAAAAGGTAAGGACATATAGGATTAACATCTAATAAAGGGTAGTAACCTACTTCCTTAATCTACAGTTTTAAATTTAAAGAACAAAGGTAAAAAAGAGGGAGTTTTTTTATTACTTCGCGTAGTTTCCCTTTATCTGCCCTGCAGGAAAATTGTAGAATACTTGCATAGCTCTTAAAGAGCTAGGTCAATTCAATGATTTCAGCCAGCCATGGACAGGCTGTACTGGGAGCAGGACTACGAAAAGACCCTATCCTCCTCCAGCCCATCAAGTGATGCTGTATCCGCTCCCAGAAAGAGACCGGACCAGGCGGGTATGGCCTGAGAGGTCTCGTCCGGCCAAATCGCGAAGGTCATCTCACACATGATCGCTCTCCAGCCGCTCATCATCACCTGCACTCGCTTTCCAACCGGCCAAAGCGAACTTGCCACCACGCCCAATTCTTCAATGGCCACGATAGATGCATCGAATCGCCTTGGCCTTTGGCCTCGCACTCCCGAGCCCAATACCACTTCCACGCCTGTCTCCACTCTCTAGATCTGCTGGGAACGCAACAGTATTCTCTAAAGAGCTACTCACGTATTCAAGCAGCCTGGTGTGCGTCACATCCCGATCCACAGCCCACAAAGCTTTAGCTCAGGATGGCGAAACCGTCCCAGGCCCACTAAACGGAACCCGTCGCAAAGATCAAGGTCGGTCCATAGGCGGTGATTGGATTGAGTTGATAAGGCGGCTGAAGGGGGGGGGGATGCATTCCGGAGTGGGAAGGGAGATGAGGATATTAAGCAACGCACTGAGGATGGTAGAGGATGCACGAGTGACGGTGGTGGTGGGATAGATGTGGTCCACGAACTTGCTTGCCGGGCGAGGTCCAGCTCCCCCTTTGGTCGCTTTAGGTCACTAAGGGACGGAGAGAGATGCGCAGAGGAAAGGCTCCCTGGAGCAGATGTACAGGAACTATATTATTGTGACTCCTGAAGCTTTGCGTCGCCTCGTACGTCGCGCACATTTTCCTAGCGTTGGCCCGCTAACTAACCCAGGGCGAAGTGCGCGGCCCTATCAAGTTTGGTGTTCCGTTATTGCGCACGGGCCCAGAAAATTTGACTCGCTTAGCCACGTCCAACAAGCGGAGGCGTGGCGCGTTCGAGTCCGACATCCCGCAACCTGGAAATCGTCGCGGCCCAGAGTGAATAGATCATAATTATGTATATATATTATTCTATTTCAATTTCCTTCGCCTTCGGGCATTTGGTCAATTTGAAACGATACGTGAGTTCCCTTTCGCCTTCAACAAATGTACGCTGACCAGACACAGAGAGAAGATTAGCATGGCCCCTGCACTAAGGATGACACGCTCAATCGCAAGTTCCCCCCTCCCTAACAAATGGATGAATGCTAACAGAGTACAGAAAGAGAAGCTACCATTTTTTTTTAGAGATTTATTTTGCTTTTTGGGTGGCCGAGTGGTGGTCTTGGGTTCGAGTATGGCAATATTCAAAAGCATTTTTTTTGGCGTAAGCGACTAGCCAAGTACAGAATTAAAGCTTGGCACTCTGTCGGGCATTAGTACCTTGCGTTATCCGTCTCTTTTCCTGTCTGTATTACTGTCGACTGTAGCCCCAAGCCTTTCTTCAGCTCTTGCAAATCTTGCTTTGCTCTCACCAGAGTGCTAATTACCGCGTAGCAGATCAAAATGAACGTAAATATTTCAAAGCGCGTCGAAAACGCACCGGCTACGGCCACCCCTTCTCCGCCGACCGCCCAAGCGGATGGATTGTCCACAGGTCTTGTGGAGTCTTATAGGTGCAGTTAAGAAATGTGGTGCGTTCGAGTATAGAGAGAAGATTAGCATGGCCCCTGCACTAAGGATGACACGCTCAATCAAAGAGAAGCTACCATTTTTTTGGGAATATTTTGCTCTCGAAACTCGCCCAAGCGGATGGATTGTCCACAGGTCTTGTGGAGTCCTATGGATGCAGTTAAGAAATGTGGTGCGTTCGAGTATGGCGAGCGTAGGTTGCTTGGCGTGTCTTTTCTTTTTTCCTTTTTTTTTACTTTTGACGCACGTAAAAGCCAGCCTGGAGGCCTTCACAGGTGGATACAATGATGTGTATAGTCGGCTGTATGAGCTTGTTATTATCTGTACGGGTCGCCCTTAACTTCGGAGCCGATAAGATTGCATCTGCCTCTTGCCCAGGTGCGGTCTCGCCGTATAATTAAGATTCCAGGTTGGCTCAGCGAAATATACGTCTCGTTGTACGCACCCACGAAGGCCTCCAGGGTAGCTGTTACCCACCTCGTATAGCCGGAGAATTCCCCGCCGCAAGGGCCTGCCGTCTTCTCTTCGCTAATCCTTGGCGAGTTCGAGAGCAAAATATTCCCAAAAAAATGGTAGCTTCTCTTTGATTGAGCGTGTCATCCTTAGTGCAGGGGCCATGCTTTAGGCCCCGCAGCCGCGGCTGCGGGGTCTAGGACTTCGTTCGCTCTGCTCTGAAATGGTCGGCTCAGCTTACCTGCTTCCCGTCTCCTCCCTACCACAGCAGTTCCGAAGTAACAGCCATCCTGGAGGCCTTCGCAGGTGCGTACAACAGCAGTTCCAAAATTCCGCACCTGTTTGATCCGCCTCAGGCTCTTGGAACTCTTCTCGATGCCTGTTACATCCCAACTCTTCACGCCTTGCCCGAGGACGCGTTCGATCTGGGCGAGCCAATCACATGGTCTAGTCTGTGGCTATGACTTACCGATACAGGCATAACTCGCCAAGACTGAAAGTCCTAGATGAGGCGGAAACCCATCACCACCGACCTTTCCGTATCGCGATGTAAAATGCTGCTTCAGATGGCCGACTTAACAGTAGAATCAAACAGGATAGGCGACGGATGGCGCCAGGCGCTGGGGTTCGCACTGCACTTGGAGCTCACGCAACTGTGCCTTCTTTCTTCCCTTCTCAAGATCCTTTCTAACATCCCATCTCTACAGCCGGATCTCTTACCTCCTCCAAGCATCGATTAAGCCAGAATGCCTTATAAACAACCTTCCACAAAATACCAAACTCTCCCACGCATAGCGGAGGACTCCGACACAGAAGAACTACTCTCTAGCACCGAGGTGGACGTGGAATCCGTCCCAGGCGACGAAAAGAAATGGCGCTCAGCAGATGGCGACACCAAGAAGCATTCAAGGATTAGGACCTACGTAGCACGCTTTCGGCACTATCGCTGGCTCATCGACACGTTCCTCCTCCTGGTCAACATTGCGTTGTCCTTGCTGCTGATGCGCCGTTTTTGGACTGAGAATGCGAGCGGCGGGATTCAAGATGGCGGCGATTTTACGGGCGCTGGGCCGGAGTGTGTCCAATACTATGTGAGATAACTACCGATATGAGTCTCAGTTCCCACGAAAATCGTCAAGTTCGACGCGGATCCAGACTTCGTGCCTACGAATACCTCTGAGTTCTTCTCCGATGCGCTGCTCGCGAAGTGGAACACTATGATGCCGGGTACATTTCCCTTCCCTTGTTCCGCCTCCCTTGGCATAAAGAAACTCAGAAGCTGACTAGATCAACAGCGGGGACAGGATGGGGCCATGTAACATCCGAAACCTTCTTCATCACCTCCATGACACACCAACTACACTGCGTCTTCATGATGGCCCGCATATACGCTTCTCTCGTCGGTAACGTGGCGCAATCGCTTCCGAGCGACTATCACACTCACTACCTGCACTGTGTCGACTATCTCCGCCAGGGCATAATGTGCTCAGCCGACCTAGCCATGGAACCGCATGAGCAAACTGATGCAGATGATAATGGGCCGGGAGATGGGAGTTGGAATGGACATCATGGTATGTAACACTCACTCACGCATACCGCCGATCGCAGTTTTGGAACAGGAGGTAAAAGGAATGCTGATTGCGGTACAGTCTGCAAGGATTACGGCCATGTTATACCGTATTTGGAGGGTGAGTTCTCGCTAGAAGGCGGTTTGATTAGTGGATGATGGCTAACGGTGTGCAGAACAAATCGCTCAGGGTATCCGAAAAGTCCTGCCTATTGACGACTGATCCTAGCTCGGTATATGTCGGTGATGAGCTACCGCGCCTAGCTAGAGGCGGTGCGGCTTCCCATGTACTGCTCGACTTGACAGAGCATAGCGTCCTGAAGCACATCAGGAGGTCACATACAACAATTGCTCTACAACATGTCCCCGCGCGTCTTGTTCTCGGTGGTCGCGCTGTGATGCTGATCCAACTAGGTAAAGCCGAAGACCACGTCAGAGACAGCTAGTACTTTTATTATTACCTCCTACTCATGAGCAGAGATGCATGACGCCATCAATATTACACCCACAGACACCCTTCCATCGGTCTATAACTCCTCGTTCGTCGCCGTCTCAGGGCTTTACTTTTACGCCTAACTGGGAAAAGGAATACCTTCTCCTTCGCTCTGTGCTCGTAATGCCCGCCATGCAGTGAGAAAAGTGTTGCATTATGCAAACATGAACCGCTAATAGAACAAGAAAGAGTATAAACCTCTCAGTCTCTCTCGGTAACCGTCCACCTCCTCTTCGAGCCCCTCCCATGCTCAAACACTTCTTCCCATCGCGGTGGCCCCCAAAGCCCATTTCCGCTAGCCTGCGGCTTCGGTGCCCAGAGACCCTGACTGCTGCTCAAACTCCCTGCTCTCGCCAATGAAGAGCCCATAGTACTCCGCAACGGCGCCACACTATCCTCTTTTTCTATCTCCTCATTGCCATTCAATAGGGTACTTGCTGGCTTTGAAGTCGCCTCTGTATCGGGAGCGCTGGTCACTGCGGGGGTTGGGTTCGAGGTGGACTTAGGTTGCTGGTGCTGAAAATTCAGCACCATATCCGCACCGGGGCTTCGTCGCCCATCGCTGCTATTATCCAAGGACGGCGCGCGGAGGCTCGACCAGAGCCCTGTGGAGGTCATTGGGGATGCGGAGCCGCCAAGAAGCCGCGAGCTTGACCCAGATGTAGAGCTGCGTCTCATGCTGCCCAGCGAGCTGTTCAACCCACTTCGATATGGTTCTCCGAGCGAGAAGGGCGAATCGATAAGGCTGTTTGGGGTGTTCGTGCCGCCGGATCCTGCTCCGAAGCGCCGTCGATATTCGAGCGATGGGCTTGCCGCAACAGCTGGGGATTGCGGCTGCGGTGGTTTTGATGGGTCCACGCCGGGCCGAAGGTGGTCGAGCGAGGCGAGCATTTTCATCTCGTACGTGTCAGCCATGCCCGGATCTACAACTGACGGCCGTCGCTGGTATATAGTAGAAGCGGACGGTCGGCGCGGTTCCTCTCTCCGAACAGCCATCGAGAGTGCAGCAAGCCCAACATCGATGAGCACAGGCTGGTTCGAGATAGCACCGAGCAGCGCATTGCAGCCCGCGCCATGTGTGACCAGTATCAGAACCAGCTCCTCATCGTCTTCCATTTCCGGGTCTGCCATTGGGCCGGGGTCTGTTTGAGCGTGGTGGTGAAGAGCTGCAGTAGGCCGCTCCTTAAACGTAAAACCCGGGAACTGGTCTTTGGGCGGCATCGACCCATGCTCTCTATACCACTTCATCATGCCAGCGAGTCCCCTGCGGAAGCGCTTGTGCATGGTGCTCCACTCGTCGCCGAACTCGCCGCCATCGCCCCAGTCCTGCGGCGCACGCATGCTGTCCCATTGGAAATCGACGTCAATGCAGGCGTCTCGCGCGTGCGAAACGTATCCTCTGGGTATCGGATCCGAAGTAGAGACAGCGTATGACGGTATCGGCGGGTCGTATATGTGCGCGGGGGCCTTGTGTGCGGTTGACAGTGAAGGGGCGCCTGTCTCTCTCGATCTCGACCGCTGCCGGAAAACGCTCCCTTGACTGCTCGATCGCTCGCGCAGCGGTAGCACCTGGCCCAAGCTTCCCATGGTCGGAAACGTCCCATCCTCGCTACCTTTCCGGCTGTTGGGAGAAGACGAGGCATTGCTCTTCACCCAGCCGCCCGGGAAGTGGCCCTTGACGTTGTGCGCGCTCGGCTGGACCTCTACGTAGTCTACTCGCCGCAGAAGGTCCGCTTTGGCGCCGGCAACCATCATCGTCGAGTTCGGCGGCGGGGTAATATCCTCGAAGTAGTCCGGCGAGAGCCACTCTCCTAGGAAGGCATCAATGCGTAACAGTATCTTCTCCGGTCCGGTCTGTGGCTTCGGGAACACCTCCAGATTCGGATCCGCAGCTGGCTCCAGGACCGGCACAGGCTGCACCGCCGGCGACCTCGAACGCGGAGACCTTGCCAACGGACTCGTACCCAACAGGCCATTCCTCTCCTTGGGGGGCTGTGGCACCCTCAAACTCATCGCGCCCGCATCCTTCGGCGCCTGGAACTGCGAGATGCCCGCCGCGATCGCCGTGCTCGTCTGAACACACCTCAGATACGGGCTCGAATGTATGACAACCTTATGCTTCCTCTTCCTCTTCGGCACGCCCTCTCCCTTCGCCGCCTTCTCCTTGTCCAGCGCGCTGAACTCGAGATGCGCCAGATCCGCATTCGGGCCGTTCTTCGCCTCGTCCGCCCGCTCGTTCTCGCGTGCGTGGAGCAGCGCAGCTATGCGAAGCCCGAGGGCCTTGCCTTGTGACCAGCCGCCGTATGTGAGCGGCGGATCGTAGGGTGTTGGCGAGGTGAGGTGCCATTGCTTGTCGGCGGCGTCGAGGCGGGCGCCATGCCTGTGGATGTCGCACGAAAATTAGCTACAGCGAACAGGATGAGGGAGAAGATAGAGGCTTGGTAGGCTCGGCGGAGGTCAGGACGCACCGCGCGATAATGACCACGTCCGGCCCTTTTGCCATTGCGGAGGCTGCAGGCGGCGGCGCCTTCCGGGCAGCGGCGGCTTGCGGGCGTGCTACAGACGCATGCGATGCGGGGCTGGTCCGGCGAGAAGTGTCGAAGAACTCCTTGGCTGCAATTCTCTCCCATCGGCCGGGTGAAAAGTCAGAGGTCGCGAGGCGTGTTGGACAGTCGACGTGCACAGGCGGCGGAAAAGCTATGTCATGGGTCCCACTTCCGCACGCAGGGTCATCGCCTTGTACGCCGCCCGCAATTACCTCCGGAGAAGCACGACAAGCATGATGCAAATGCTTGCCTCACGGCATCTGGCTCGCACGTGGTGAGAAAAAGTAATTCACGCCGATAGCGTAGTGGTCCGCGATCGGAGTTTACGAGGCTGGGGCGTGATGGTGGGGCGAGCGAGCTAAGCTCTGCATGATGAAAATGGTCTACCTAGGTATAGCCGCCGGGCGCTTATTTGGCATGTGATCGCGTAGTCTACGTCTCTTCTACAATATCGGGGGCTACTTCACGTCGTTGGGGGTGTATGAATTTCCAAAGTCAGCACCCTGAAGTTTTGAATCTTCAGCGAGGACTGCCGTGGACAACCCCGATTGCTGCAATAAAATCCCTCAACTCCTTGAAATGACTGACAATGTCCACCCTTATGCATACGTCCATCCGCTACCTCCTTACTCTAGATACTCCCCACTCGTCTCCTTGTGAATGACGTCAAATAATGGCTTCGCAGAAAACCACCCCGCCCTCGGCGTCCCTACGGTATTGTACGTGAATGTGGCTTCTTCGTCTCCAATCTTAACCGTCTCGCCTCCTCGTCCAGCAGCCGCAGCATCGGCCATGAGCTGCGCATGGCAACACTTTTCCAAGGAAACAAACCAAAACACCGCCTCTTCAATCGTGCCGCCAACGGTGAGTAGGCCGTGGTTCTGGAGAAGTGCGGCCTTGCTGTTGCCGAGCGCTTTGGCGATGTTCTTGCCTTCTTCCTCTGCGAGCACGATGCCATTGAAGGAGGAGTAAAGGACGTGATCCTGCCCGGCCTGTAAGAATTCTGCTTGGGTCCATGTGCTTGTGGCGAAGGCTTACGTTGTGGAACGAGCACGAGTCCTGCGTAATGGTGTCCAGCTTCCGGCCAAGAGCGCAGAAAGAGCGGCCATAAATACTGTGCGAATGCGCGGCCGCATTGACATCTGGGCGCGCCTGGTGGATGGCGGAGTGGATCATGTACGCGGCGCTGTTAAGCAAACGGACCGGGCCGCCGTCGATGACCTGGCCTTCTTCGTTGACGAGGATGAGGTCTGAAGCCTTGATCATGCTGAATGCAACGCCGAACGGGTTGACCCAAAAGGTGTTGGGATCGACGGGATCTCGCATAGTAATGTGCCCAGCGACCCCCTCGTCGAAGCCATATTTGCCGAATATCCTGAAAGCGGCTGCGCTGGCGTCAGTGCTTTGGCTGAGTGATTTACGATATCATGCGCGCTCTCCTCACCTGCTAATCTGCCCTTTAGATACGCTCGCTCCTTGTACGCATCATCGAATTTCGGGGGACCTGGAAAGCTGGGCATCTTAACCTTGGCCTCGGCCTCGCTCAAGCCGGGCTCGTGAGGCGCAACATCGGAAGGTTTGGACGCATCGCCATTCTGGTGCGGCTCGATTGCTGAAGGTGGCGGCATTGTGGACTTCCTTTTCCTTGAGAACAAAAGAAAAGACTTGGGACCAGAAGAATGACGGCTGACGAGACCGGAGAAGAAAGGAAAGAGGGATCTGACTTGAGCACACCGATTCGTGAAGCGTCAGCAACACCTTTTGTAGGAGTTAGCTGCCTCGGGAACAAGCAATGACACCGCGCCCTACCCCACAGTAAGACGGATAATCGATTAGGAACAGGGTTGCGAGATGCCGTGTGACGTCGCTAGCTGAAATCCGAGGCTTCCGCCTCAACAGCTGGTGACTTTGCCGGCATTGGACGAACCACTGCGGGGGCGGGGTCGCCGTCGGGATGGAATCGGGAACGGAACGCACTCCGGAACGGGTTCCGCGAGGCGAAGTACGTCCATCATCTCGCACTTTTACAAAGATACCAAGCTTCCCGCAAGGAGGTATGGAATGGGTATGCTAGGCTGCCGTGATTCTACCCTGCATTAGGCTCGTGGGTGTGGATGAAGACGCGGCAAGTAGATGAGGGCCTACCTAGGTCGACTCTCAAGGTGTGAAATTCTCCGGATTTGACGACGTAATAGCCAGCTTGGAGGCCTTCGCGGTGCGTACAATAACATGACGACGTACGTAATATCCAGCCTAGAGCCCTTTGCAGGTGCGTACAATAGCAAATATAGTTAGCTATCAAGTAATCTTACCTGTGCGGCAAGTTCAATGTCTCAGACGCAGCGGATGACTAAGCATGCTTGGCACATCTCCTAGTCAAGCTCATCCCTTCTCGACGTAGCTCTCACTCTTCAATGCTTATAATACCTCTCGCTGTCTTCAATCCAACACAAATCGCGCATCGAGATTTCCGTCGATGTTTGTCTCCTTGCTCCAGATGTTGGGCCTTTGGCTGGCCTGTGCTATGTGACCATATTAGAAGGACTGCTTCATCAAGCTTGACGACCATGAACCAACCCCGCACGAGGCATTCCAACGTGCAGCATGAGATGCGCTCTTTTTGCATTCCGAGGTTCCGTTGACGGTCCCAGGACTATCCAGACTTCAGCCTACTCACGTGGCGCGCAAATCCGGTTCAAGGATACTGCGCGGAGGTCGTTACCAAGAATGGATACGTTCAAGATATCTCCTGATAATTGGAACGCCTGAATTACACCAGCTCGCTTGGGGGCCTATGAGAATGACGCATGAACGCGTTGTTATCGTGCGGCTGAGCTGCAGCCCCATCACATCTCTACTGCCATTGGCTGCCAAGGGACATGGCTTCATGGAACCCGCGGAGACTGATATGGGATTGCTGCCTATATTCCATGGCTATTGTCGACTTCCGCCTTGCTAATGATCTCACGTAGACGTTTTCCTAGGGAACGCACGGTCGTAAACGATGGCCTCCTCCCACAACCCCACTTTGGCTCGACCTTCGAGTCAGTCGTCAGAACGGCCGACGCTTCGAAAGCACTCTACGGGCTTTAGCAGTACTACAACTGCAGTTTCGCCGACGTCCCTGTCTTCTGTCGAGCTGAAAGAGCTCCATCTTCCTGGGCAAAGTAGCCAGGCCCCTGCCGGCAAGGCTGCCCTAGTTGGCCGAGACGACCTTCACAGCATTGGGGCGCTAAGATTGCTACCGACTTCATCATTAATAACGAAGGAGATTCTTGAGAATGACGCAAATTTTGCGCCCGAATCTCGCATCGATGTGGTGAGAGTCTGTTGTCAAGGGTGGAGTAGCATGCCCGTCCGACGTGATGATAGCGCTCCGGCTTACTTAGTAACCAGGTTGGGTGGAAGATCAAAATGATGATCAGATTGAAGCGGCAGTTCAGGTACGTGTTCCAGCTTGATATAAAGATCTGAGGAGATTGAGAATTCCACCTAGACTATCCTTCGATGCCCTTGCGGCAAGCCGAAGTTCCTCGCGTTGTAAGTCCTCATGGCGTTTTGTTATTGAAGGCTAGTTTTTGGCTTACGTAGTCCCAGCATGATATTCCTCGAACATCATGATAAGGCGATGTATGGTAATCAAGCAAGCGTGTCTCACAAAACAGCCCTCTCTATGTTTGACAAATTCGGCATCCACAGCATGTTCCTGCCTCGCATACTGGGCTTTCCGGACTACTGGTCCGCATTCCCGAGCGAGCAGTCAGACGGAGGAGTCTGCGCTTCATATGGTATGTGACCCCTCGCTCTCATAGCATCCGAGCACCATCTCACACTGCCTAGAATTCTACTGCCAACATCCCCGGTGGGCCCAAACATCTCGCTATGACAAGACGAAGCACCGTTCGCCCTGCTCGGTGCATCTCCACTACAATCCGAGCAGGAAACTCACGACGTACCTAGTCTCTTCGTCAAGAAGCGAAGACTGGGTGGCATCCATCAAGCAGACACTCATACAGCCGAGAATGACCTCGATTGAACATGCCAGCATCCTGAGAGAGGTTACTGAGAGCCCATTTGCGCTTCACGCGATTATCTCCGGATTAGCCTTCTCTCAATCGCAAGAGTTCGTTAGGTCAGTCCGCGAAAAACTGATGCTCCAGATCAGGAAAGTGAACGACTACTCCGAGCTTACCAAGGATGTGATGGATACTACACCACTGGAGAACACGATGAGGAACCGTGCAATGCTCGAAAACATTACCAAGGAGCTGCATTTGGTGTCTCAGACGGCGGACACGGGCATCGCGAATGCGGACATGTCGCTCAAGCTTTGCCAGAAAATGCTGAATGCATATATGCGGCTGTCGGACATACAAGGGAAGGCGTCCAAGACACATGCGTTCCGATCGACGGAGGATGCTCTGCGGTATACGTTGGAGTCTATGAAGTGTCAGAAGGACTGGCTCATCAGTTACAAGGCGCGGAAGGATACGGCGATGAACTTCGTGAGTCTTCTAGTTCTCCCAGGATCCATGGTTTTAGTGCTGATGTGATTACAAAGGTCTTCAACATGGTCACACAGCAGGATAGCGCAGCCAACGTAGACATCGCGTTCAAAATGGCGAAGGACAGCTCATCAATGAACGCGATCACTATCCTGACCATGATCTTTCTTCCCGGGACCTTTGTCGGTGTATGTTTGCTTCACCGCCTTTGGGTCTCTCTAGCTGACACGCTCTCCAGGGTATATTCTCCAGTGAGGTGTTCGATATTAGCACGGATGGACGCCCGTCTGTCAATGCGCTCTTCTGGCCTTTGCTGGGATTATGTCTTACGTTGAACGTGATCACAATAATGTTGTGGTACAACAGAGTCGCCTTGGCTAAGCTTTCGGGACGCATCAGCATGCTCTTGGGGCGGAAGAAAGATCGAGCGAAGAACGAGAGTCCCGTATGATGCCTTCCTCTTCCATCCGTCTTCTTTCCTACCCCTCATCATCAACGGTATGGGGAGACAATGTTTAGGGAGCTGAAGGGCTCCAGGATGATGGATGCGTAGTGAAATCTAGTCACAAGCTCAGGCCGCAAAATGCATCGAATGTACAGCCTACATGTGCGCGGCCACAGTCCATCGAAGACGTGTGACTCGGTCCGTGCTTCTTTGCGCGTGCGGGAGCAAGACAGGTCGTGTTGGTGGGTGATGATTGGGGACCATACCAGACATGGAGTCAGTGCTTTTCTTCTAATCATCTATTCCCCCCGCTCAGGCATACTTTTTCGAACAGATTGCCTTCGTTGGGCACACTTCGAAGTCCCCAACCTATTCTTACATCCATCGCCATGCAATCCTGTCTTTCCCGCTGATCCCATCTCTAATCATCCGGATGTCCTCCTACGTCCTTCTAATCTCCTCAATCCTTCCCTCTACCCTCGGTGCAATCGCCTTCGTCCAATCTACGGAAAACTCTCCCTCCTCCAGCTCGTCGCAACATCTGGGACTCCCCTTCAACCCGGCCAACCTCCACCACTTCCGCATAACCCTCCTCAGCACATCCAGCTCCCTCTCGCTAAACCGTATCGGTCGACTATCATCATAATGGTCCTCCTCATCCGTATCCGGGTCGGCTTCTGAATCGCTCGTCGCGGGGCTCTCCGTATCCTGCTTCCGCAACCGCACGATGTGCGGGTGGCGCGGGAACTTGGGGGAAGTGGGAGATTTGGTGGTGGGCGAGGCCGGGTAGACGGCATGCGTGCGTTCGATGGAGGTTTGGATGGAGGAGAAGGCGCGGTCCATGGACGGGCCCCAGCGCTTCCATTTGCCGAGAACCTTGAGGGACATGAAGTACTGGCGAAGGATGGTGGAGATAAGCACACCGTTTTCCTCATCGACGATCTCTTTAGCGGTGCCGCCTTCTTCTTCGATGAGCAATGACGCGTAGCCGTCTGGGTTGTGTTAGTCAGCGCTTCAGGAGTTCGAAGGTGGATGTGATTGGTGAGGAGACATACCCTTGCCCCTGCCCATATAACCCCTAGTCGCGAGCACGTACTCTTTCTTTTCGTGTAGGGGATCTTCGCCGATCTGCACGCTGAGGATACGTGAGTTCGGAGGCTGCGAGTAGTCTACTTCGAAGCGGATATTCGAGACCTGCGGGAACCGCCCTTCCAGCGCCGGATAGTTGGACACCCCATTCTCCAGTGCATCCCAGATCTGCTTGCCTGTAACCTTGAGCACTACCACCGGATCCTCGAAAGGGAAGCAGTTCACAATATCGCGTAACCGTAGCACGCCCGGCGGGTAAATCTGGTCTCCACGAATCGTGCCAGCGGCCATGATACAACAGTCCGCCGAATAGTAATACCTCATGAGATCGCAGACAAAGTTTCCGATATTCGACTCTTTGGTCCGCACCGTCGTAAATCGAGCATCAAGAGGTGCTGCGGTGTACCCGATCGGTTTGTCTAATTTCTCCCTCAACTTGCGCGTCAGCCTCTCCACCGTCTTCACCGCATCTTCGTTTTGTGCTATTGTGCTCACAACATCCCTCCTCGTTATCTTGAAGTCCCAGCCTCTACCGCTTGTCTTCCGCCATGCCTCGATGTATGAGAGTTGCTTGAAGTCGGTGCCTGAGCGTAGGACGTGAACCCCATTGATGAAGCTGTGCGCGTAGTAGTGGTCGTGTCCGCCTAGCACGATATCAATCAGTCCGCCTCCGCACTTCTCGGCCAATTTGTTATCGTTCGGTTCGCGCTGGTGCGTCACCGCCACTATGATCTCGGCACCCTGTCTCCTCAGCTCTGGAATCAGCTCCTTCGCAGTCTCCGACGCGCTCTTGTATATGATATCTGGCGGAAGAGAGTTTATGGTATCTAACCATTCCCGTTCCGCCAGCCCAATAACGCCAACCTTTACGCCGTTCGAGGAGGTAAGCATGACGGTCTTCCCTGCATTGCCGAGGGGCACGTTGTGGCCGAGCGCGGGGTCGAAGACGTTGGCGAGCAGCCAGGGGAAGGTGCATTGGGAAGTCAGGTGGCGGTATTGCTTTATACCAAAGTCGAGATCATGGTTCTAGAGTCAATTGAGGCCTATGTCAGCGGTTGCGGAGCTTGAGAGAGAGCGGAGCGCTTACCCCAACACACGCGACATCAGTCCCAATTCCGTTCAGGATAGCCACCATATGCGACCCTGAGTCCAGTCAGCTCTTATCGACCTAAAAAAATACTCGCTGCAGCTCTCTTTGCACTCCTCCTTCCTACGCTGCACGCTTTGAAGAACATACCTTTCGTTACGCTGCTCTCCAAACTCGGATTAAATGCATCGCCCGAAAAGAACGTCAAAAGCTTCGACTGATCCCGAAACTCCTCTCCATTTCTATACTGGTTTACCAGCGTCTGGAACCTCGCAATTCCACCCACAGGCTCAGCAGACGAAGCGTCAACATGGTAAACATCGTTGTAGTGCACGAAGCGAAGGTCTGGCGGGGCAGTGGGCGCGGGGTCTGGCTGGAACGTGACTGTTTCGTCGGCCGGAATGGGCTCTTTTACCGTCATTGCTGCTGCCCGAGACGTATACGGAAGCAAGAGAAGAGGGCTTTGAGCGGGAGCGTTTTAGCAGTGCGCCGGGCGTTTGTGTTGCGTGTTTGAGCTGGCGGTGAGTCTGACGCTGCCTCTTGGCGGCGCGGATGCCGATTTCAGGGTCCAGCTGTAGCTACCGCTGTAAGAGGGGCGACGTGGCCAATCATAGCTGCGCATTATCAAGGTACCACGCATGGCTGGCTGATCGCGGGGATTTGAGCTCTGAGGCTGTTAGGAACGTCCATGTCGGCTGACTTTGGTATCTAGCTCGTACAAACTTCATTCCACAGATGCAAACCGCCGCTGGTATCCACATATACGCCGCCGAAAGGGTGAATGAAGAATAAGTGAAGAGAGTGGGAAAGCCGGGCGAACACCGAGCTGAACTGAACTGGCAAGCGTCCACGATCAGTGTCGATTCGCCGGGCGTAGAAGGAAAGTTCAAGACAGAAAGACGGTCAGCGCGTTGCCCGGAAGCAAGAGCAGAATCGTCGGCCGTTTGATAGTGACGTCGGCGTCGGAGGGCCTTCAACCTCCCAAACGCCGCAAAGCACAAGCCCAAACATCACAAAGCATCCCACCCATCCCAAAGACCCAACCTAGCCTTGCCCTTGCCTTTAGGACCCGGCCTAGACCCAGAGACTGGACCCGTCCTAAAACGCCCTGAACTCCTCCCTGATTCCTATTGTCTGCTGCTTCCCGGCCGCCCGCCCTTGGCAGTCTTCCCTTTCGCGTGCGCCTCTTTGCACTCGTCGCTGCAGAACCATTTCGACCTGCCAGCGGGTACCTTGTCGAGGTTGACGCATGGGAGATGGAACCACTCGCGGGGACACGAGTCGTTGTCGCAGGCAATCATGTTGCCGTACGACACCTCGTTGCAGTAGCAGTAGCGCGGCTCGTCGCCGTCGGTGTCTGGGTCGTGGAACTCTATCTCTGGGGCGACGGAGCTCGCACTTGAAGATGGAGGGCTCGATTTTCCGTTCGCGGCGGGCTTGAGCGCGGGGGACGGCAGAGTAGCATTGCTAGTGGACTGTGCGTTCTTCTTGTGTCCTCGCTTCGAAACAACACCAGTCGTAGTACTGCTGTTTTCTGAGGAGGTGTTTGAGTTGCCGTTGCCGTTATTCGCGTTGCGAGTGCTTCGACTGCGCGCCATAGGAATATCGGGGAAGGTCCCCACGACAGGCGTGGCCGTCTTGGACGTTCGGCCTGCTCGCGTTACAACCGGAGCGGGTGCGGGGATGTCAATCTCCATGCTCTCCGCTTCCTGCGGCTCTGTTTCCTCGTGTTTCAAAGCTGCGGCCGATATCGATTCGAACGGCGGAAGATCGGTGGTGTCTTTGGGGGTGGATGCGCCCTTTGTAAACGCATTATCGCGGTTGATGCCGGCAGCCTGTTCAAGCTCTGCAATTGCGTTGCTCGTGGTCGCTTGCTGCAGCGAGTGAGATGACGACGGACGACGGGCGAGAGGGGGGTCTTGGGCCGCTGAAGCAACCGAGTTCGCAGTCGAGTTCTTCCTCGCGCGTGACGATGCGGGGCGCTCGGCATTCGTGACCGCAGCTTTGGAGAGAGGGAAGTTTCCAGCGAGCGGCGATGACGCAAGCGGAGGTGAGTACACTGGCAGCGGATGTTTGCGTTGCGTGGGCGCAGGACCCGCTCGCGGCTTCCGCTTCACCGTTCCACCACCCTCCGCCCCTGGTGTTGCCCGCGGGCTTGTCCCGCTCCGTCCGCCGGCCCCAACAGCCTTCAACGCGCCGCTCAACGATCGCTCCATGGGCAGAGCTGCCGCTGCCGCAAGCGCCTTCTCTGTCTTTTTCCTCTTCCCTGCGGGCACAACCCCGTTGCTCGTTATGCCCAGGCCGATGTTGCGTGTGTCGCTCGCTGATGCGTCTACTGCTACGGCCTTGCGCTTCTGCGGCTTCTTGGCGGGCCTGTCGTCGAAGTCTGAGTCGACATGTTGGTGCCGGTTCCGCTTGTTCGCGAGCATCGCCTCGCGCCGGGCCTCGCTTTTCGCGGCTATGGAGTCAGCATCGTGAACGTGCTGGGCAGCTGCGGCCAAGTTGTTGGCCGAAACTACCTCTCGCCTTTGCCGCTCATGCGATGTCCCGCCCTTTTTCTTCTCTTCCTTGTCTGCGTAGGCCCAGTGCGTGAGGCTGCCGTATCGTGCTTCTTCGCTGATCTCGCTGTCGATGTGCGGGTAGGAGTTGCTCATACGCGCGAGGCCCTTGTCCTTGGTGGTCTTAGCCCCGCCCAGGACCACGAGCTTCTCGTCCAGCGTGGGCAGCATGTTCGCGATTAGCATGCGCAGACGGAAGAAGAGCTGGCGCTTCTTCAGGTCGGCCTGCTCGTCGGGCGGGAGGCTGTTGAAGTCGGCGGGGAAGAGCTGCTGGTAGTGGGCGGCCGGGTCCTGCATCGCAGAGCCATTGACGCTCGCGCTCGCGCTGTTCTCCGCTCCGGTGGCATTCTGGGAGACCTCGCGGCGCTGCGCCCTCGTGGGGACGGGCAGCTGGGCGATTTCGCCGAGCAGCTGCTTGAGCACATGCTCCGGGTCGTGCATCTTAGCCTCCACCTCCTTGAACATGGAGAAGTGCTTGATGAGCTCTTTCGGGAAGGCATCTACGGCCTGTGTAAAGTGGGTGAGTGCCGGGAGGAAGCCCGGCGTGGTGTTGGAAGCTTCGGGCGTCTGCTCCAGCCCGCTCGCGGTGAGCCGGCCGGCGAAGGTGCGCGCATAGTAGTTGGTGGGTCGCACCGTGGCGCGCCCTTGTCGCGTCGATTGACGGCGGTCTGAAGCTGTAGCAGCGCCTACTGTGCGCGAGCCAGCTGCCGGGGGCATGATGGGTGCGCGGAGCTGGGTGGCCGCAAGATTTCTGGGGCTGGGACAGGATGCCGCGAGCGCTCAGCGCAGCGTGTGAGAGCAAAACTAAAGGATGTGGGCTTTGCGGGCGACGTGCGGGCGCATCTTAAGCGACAGGCAGGGTGCTGCTTGCGTGGCGGCTGCGTGCTTGCGTGTTGAAGGGTGAGGGAGAGAGGAGCTGGCCGAGCGATCTTCACTCCTCCCGGCAGCGTGCGATGACCGCCCGCGGCACCGGCCCGGAGATCGGCCCAGCGATTTTCCGACGCGCGTCTTACTAAGCGGCGCCTGTCCTCCTCTGGCCGGCAGCCTCAGGCTTCGCGCCTTTCATCGAGACCTGAATGAACAAAGGAACATGTCCATTGTTGCCAACGCCACTATGCATCCTGAAAGAGCAGTCCCATCAGGCCCGGGAGGCGTGTCATTCCCCGGCGTGTCGTCCCTCAACTTCCCACCCCTCACTCAGTTGTGCGCGAATAGCCCGTCTTCATTGTCACTTGTTCGCGGCAGCAATGGTCTGGCTTATCTATTCTATCATCTTCTTCTATCTAATCCGGTGGATACGATCGCTAAGGGTTGATCCCGGGAATCCCCCGGGGCGACTCGTCGAATCATTCGGACCCGAGCTTCTCAGGCAATATTTCGCAGGCTCTCTGGAACGGGGTCCTGCTGGTGATCGCCCTCTTGACGATTTTGGGCCTCCTGCCCGGCTTGCTAAAGAAGAAACTCCAACAGAGGCTGAGGTCACCTCCCCAGAGCCCACTTGTGAACCTTGCCTTCGACGTTGTGGCGTGTGTCAAGGCGATCCGATACACCATTGCCAGACGGGGCCCTCGGGCGGAAGCCCTGCCTCATGGAGAGTCGAAGATGAGAAACTAAAGCACCAGCGAAATCTCCGGGCTCTGGAGGCGCTTTTTCAACGCAAGCTGCGGCAGGCAGAGCTAACCGTGCAGTCCGTCTCGAAGCAGCTGAAGAATACTACCGAACAGCTCCAAAAGGCGAAGGAAGGAGGTCAAGCAACCGCATCCGGGTTGGCGCGTCCGGTGCTGGCAGCAAGAGCCCCTAAACCGCTGGCACGCGTCACTTTCGAGAAATGGCAGCAGACCGACCTTTTGAAAGACTTTTTGCTTCTCGATACATCAGTTGGCGGTCTTGCTTTCGAGCTGAATCGTCACATCAGCCAGAGCAGTCTTCTTCAGTATCGGATTCACGAGTTGTCGGACTCGTGCTTTCTGATTAAGGGCGCGCCGAAACAACTCTGGACAAAACAGAGACTGCTGCTGCTCCGAGGGGCAATCTGGTCTATCCTCCTCGGCACCATCTTTTCCCACGAATTTGCAGTGTTTGGGGACCGCGCGCGAGATCTGGCACGAGAGTGGGCCATTCCGGATGTCGACCACCGTTCCTCGACATGGCGATCCTTGACCGCTGAGATGTTGCTGGTCAGAGCTGGTATCATTCAGTGCGATGCAATTGGCCCCTCGAACCCGACGGCTAGTTTGAGAGATTTGTTAGTCAAAAGGCATAGCATTCAAGACTCCGTATCGGCCATGTCGGGTGTGTTAATCAAGGGCGCATCCCTGAGGAACTCTGAAACTGGCGGACCAGAGTCTATCCGGCGGGCAAAGGATCTCTTCAAAGACTGCGATCAACACGCGCGAGCCAGCCTCCATCACGCGCAGGCAGGCTTCATCCGAAGTCTAGAATGGCTCACGAAGCGGTTCTCTGCGAGAAAGCAGCTGTCTTCTGAAGTGGAAAAAGTCCTCATCAATGCTCAAGTCCTCGCCCTCCAGCTGGCAGCGCAGATACATTGCTTCGAATTCGTGATCCCGACTGTAGACGATATGCTTGGAGATGTTAATCGCTGGGCAGAGGAACCCCTCCTCTCGAAAGCCAACTGCTGCTCAAATATACCCGACGGTCATATAGCCTTCACAGTCCGTCCGGGGCTGAAGAAGTTCGCAGACGCCGATCTGAAGCAGATGGCAATCCTTCATTCTGCCCAGGTCTTCATTTTGGGTGAATCAGTTGAAGACAGCCCAAGGAGTAGAGGTCCAGCAAGGTCAGAGCAAATAGTAGGCTCTACTCCTCCTAGGAACACTGCGATACCGCAAATTAGAGCCGAAGCAGGCGTAGCTACAGCTTATCCCTTACCCGGAAACCATTCATCCGACGCTATCCAAGCCACTGACCTTAAGGTATCGTTCGAAGAAGCTTAGATGGCCAACATGGCCAGTGGGAGAACGGGACTACCCCAAAAGAACGATAACAATTTTCGCGAAGTATTCAACCGACTCGCCGGAGATATCGAAGAGCTTGCGGCCGGCCTCGAATACAACCAAGGCGACGGTATTCCGCTATCATTACAGCCTTACACCTTATCTCAATCTGGCGACAAGGTACCATGGGGCACCATAACCAAGAACATCTACTTTATGCAGTCTGCTATATGGGCTATCCTACTTGACACCGTTTTCAAGACTCCATTAGCGGTCTTTGGAGACGCGGGGACCATCCATTACAACACTTGGACGAAGCTTTATGCCGATCCCGACCCCCAAGATCCGGTGCCCCTTTCCCAGAAGAGCAACGAATGGAGGCACTTCACCGCTCGACACCTAATCGACTGCCTTGGAGGCGAAGTGGTCTTGAACTCCCCATACGCCGTAGCCTCCGCCGACCATAGTCTCCTCCAAAGTATCCAGACGCTTAAAAACTTAGTCTTGAATCGCATCAAGACGCTCCTCTCCAATATCAGCTATAATCCAAATCCTGCTGCAGTCCAATGCATCATGGGCCGAGCCTTCCTCCTAGCTCTCAAGCTGTCGATCCGCAAGGCCCATCTCGGGATCTGGTACCCTTCTCACGGCTCGGCATACATCCCGCACCGCGACGGCAAAGTGCCCTGGCTCGAAATGCATCGAAGCATCTCGGCTGGGTGGTAGAGTAGCATTCATCCTTCGCCCAGGACTGAGACAATGTGGTGGCTCCAGCGGCGACAATATGCAGATCGAGACACGCATTGTTCCACCGTTGGGCTACATCGAGAAAGCCATACACATCCAGCCCAGGAAGCCCACGCCTGTACCTAGATCTCCAAACAATGGGGTCGACTTTAGCAAGCCAGCGCTCCAGAACCAAAGCAATCCCTTCAGCTTTACCTCGGGCACCTAACCATCAACGACCGAGCGACCAGGACGATCGCAGGAGGCTTCATCGCACGGAGGCAGGCCGGATAACGGCACGGAAGACTCAAAAGGTGGAGATGTGGCGGGGAAAGCTTTGAACCAACCGAAGCAAGTACGGCTTCAGGGTGACCCCGATGATTGGTCGGGTGATGCTTGGCCGAAGGAGGTCCTAGGGCAGGAAGAGTTGGTGCTGCTGGGCCCCGAAGAGGAAGATGAGGTGTTGTAGCATAGATTGATCACTGGGGCATACTGCATTGTCTTATCCTGGACTTTTGAGTTCTGTATCAGTCTGGTACATCCGGTGAGTTACATTGTTCTCTCGTTCGTTCAAGGTCTGTTTGCTTATTCAAGTCATGATTTTCGTCGCTTGGTATTCCTCTCGTAGTGCTCAATGTAGTCGTACACATTCGCACATTTCATGAATGACAGGCTGAACAAGTGGTCTTTACTCGTTGAAGGCCTCCAGGAGTGGCTTTCCATAGCTAGAAGTGAGATATGCGAGGACGCGAACCGCGACGTGCGGTGCTCCCCAACATCTCGGTATGCAAGTGATGCACTGGTTATGCTAACATTAGATGCAGGTGAAGGAGCATTGGCAGCAGTGGTTACACTCGCCGCTGTGATTTTTCAGTTAGGCACTATGAAAAGTAGATGATCACTTTTGCTTAATTCAACACCGTCTCAGCGCGGCAGGGGAACTATTACTCGAGCGGAACTCTAAGTCACGTCTCTTCATATGATCCGCCTGGACAAAACGGAGCGCAGCTAGTGACTGCAATGAGAAAACTCTTTACAGCGCCGACGCAATCCATAGAGAGACTGTTCCCACTCCCAGTGAGCTCCCGTAAGCTAAATAAGGGACCCAACCTCGCTCGTCTCTCCTCCAGCCTAACCCTCAACGAACACCAAAGGAGGAACGAGATCAAGACGCTGCTCCAGATGCCTGCCATGAGCATCGCCCCATTTGGCCAGTCCCGGGTTCACAATGAATGCCACACGCCCCTTCTCCACCCCTTCGCTCTCGTGAATGATCGTCAAAGCCGGTGTCTCTCCAAGGGCATACACGTCTCCGATCTCTGGGTAGACGATCTGTAGACGCGAGCGCTGGAGCGCCATCTGCAGCGCAAGTCCGAATGCCTTATTCACGATGCCTTCGACATGCGAGAAATCCTTTCCTGGCGAGAGGCGTGCGAGATTACCTTCAATGGCATTGCGAGTCACCAGCCGTGCACTCATGATGCTGTTTTCGAGACCCTGGTGCGCGTGTGTGACAGCGCCGCGCGTGATGACGTCCCGGTCCACCATCTCTGTAAGTTGCTCAACGGTTGTGTACTTCCATCGCTCCGCCTCTTCGGATGGAGTCGGCCATTGGCCATCATGCTGGATGCCGAACATGAATGTGAACATGTCGCAGATGGTGCTGTAATCCCGGCCAAACAACCTGAATGGAGAGTTGAAGACGCAGACGATAAGAACAGACCACACAAACGCCTCGATCATGTACTTCTTATGAGACCGGGCCGCCCAATACCCCATGTCAACCCCGGAGACCAGGAGAGATGAACTGGCTTCCTCTGGAATGATAGTATCGGAAGACATTTTCATGCTTCGGCTAAGGGACTTGATCGAGGAGGCGAGCGCGCGGAAGTCCTGAGCGAACTGCTCGTCAGACACTGCCTCTACCTTCTCCACGCTGGCGAGCAGTTGCTGCTGTAGCGTGTGGACCTCGGAACGGAGTCGCACAGCATCCAGTGCGTCTTCTAGGAATGGGCCGAGGACTTGGTGCATCGCCGCTGCGCCGCCGCCTCTATAACGCATGCCATTCGCAGAGGCGTAGGGGAGGAAGTACTTCTCAACGATGTGCTCGTAACGTTGCTCGTGATTCCCATTGGCCCGCTGGAGTCGCCTATTCTTTGCTTCGAGTTCTCGATACAGGTCGTTCTGATTCCGAAGAGCTTGCTTCAGGCTCTGCATCTCCTGTGCACTTGCGGTCGCGGACTGGGCGCGGGAACGCTCTGGCTCTCCGCGTGAAGCTTTTGTCTTGTCTGGCTGCTGCACCTTGCTTGGAGCATCTTCGGCAGGCTGCTGTTCTTCTTCCGTCTTCTGTATCGTTTGTTCCGAGGAACCAGCTTGTTTCAACGAATCATTTTCCTTGCGGTCTCGATGGCTCTCCGGCGGAGTAGAGGGGCTAGCAGCCACAGTCGAAGCGGCAGACCCGCCGTCCTGATGACCGCGAGACCGCGCTACGGCTGCAACTGTCGCCCAAAGCTGATTGCGTTATTAGAAGCATGGGAAACTGAGGGCGCGACAAATACTTACCATCTCCTTCATGATGAGCGACGCAGATAGAGTGCGAGGAGCAGTGGCAGTGGAGAGTTCGAGCGGAGGCGAGCGAAGTCGATTTAGACAAGGTGAAGGTGAAGGTGAAGGTGAAGGTGAAGGTGGAGGTCATTCCGACAACTCCGACCAGGTGAGTGACAGCCCGTCTGCAACTGCCCTTGTCGTTGTCGAGGCAGCTACCCGAGCAACGGCGCCCGGTCCGCCGAGCGTTATCGCAGTCAATGAGCCCGCAGTTTTACTTCGTTCCTCTCCTCCTTCCCTCCCCCGTCGCCCTCGCCTTTACCGTAAGACGCCTCGTGGGACTCGCGTTAACCTCTTCATAGAGGCTCTTACCGTCGTATATTACCGGAGCACGTACTCGAAATAGTCATGCTGGGGAACCGGCTTGTTATCGGTGAGTCTCGTGAAGCACACCAGGCGCTTCTTTGCGAAGCCCATCTGACTGAACTGCAGGCCTGGATTATGGCACAACGTACACAGGTAAGTAGCTGCCCGAGGCACAACAAGTGCTCAGCATTACTGCTCAGCATTACTGACACTTGCAGGTGTCTCCTTTTGTGAGACGTCAAACACAGCCTCCATCGAGAACCAGATCTCCGTGGTCCAGGACTGGCCCTCCAGCCACACGATGATCGGCACGAAGGAGAAGGTACCTAGCGAAATCGCATACCCTCCGACCGGCATTCGCTGGGGCTCACTCATTCCGCCCCACATGCAGCGCCATATGTGGACCAAACTCGAGCTCGACAGCCCTCAGAAAGGCGAAGCTGCGAAGATCCGTCAAGAGCTGTCCTCAGCAGGTGTCGATGCGGGCAGTGGCAAACATCCTGTTGATGTGGTTGCGGATTTCCTTGCAGAGGTGAAAGTCCACCTGATCAAGAACTTGAACAACCAATACGGAGAGGGATTGTGGCGCACTTTGCCGATTACGCTGGTGATCACTGTTCCGGCTGTCTGGTCAGATGCCGCGAAAGATCGCACGTTGCAAGCTGTCCGCAAGGCCGGTTTCGATGTAACCGAGTTTCCGCAGTTGAAGCGTACAATCACCACGACGGAACCCGAGGCTGCCGCCATATACACTATCAAAGCTCTGCGCGGGAGTGTCAAGGACGAGCAGCTAGCGGTCGGCGATGGCTTTGTCGTGTGCGACATGGGCGGCGGTACCGTCGACTTGATTTCGTACCGAGTTGCAAGCATCGAGCCCACCATTGTTGAAGAAGCAACTATTGGCATGGGAGCTCAGTGCGGAGGAAGCTTCGTCGATCGCGGTTTCCTGCAATGGTTGGAGAACAAGGTTGGCGTGGATGATTTCGTCAAGGTCGCGAACTGTCGCGCAAAGGATCTGTCTCGCACGTCTCTCCCGGCAAAGCTGGGGAAGATGGTCCAAGAATTCTCACTGACGGCCAAGAGTGGATTCACTGGAAGTGAGGAGTACTATCTGCGTTTGCCGGCTCCTTTGAGTGCAATTGATGATGAGGATCGGGGAATGTGCGATGGGGAAATTCAGGTTACCGCGTAAGTAGCCTAGGACTACTCCGTACTAAACCTGACTAACAAGACAAACTAGATCAGATCTGGAGGAGATGTTCGCATTTCCGCTTGGCCAGACTTGCGAACTTCTTGTGGAACAGCTTCAGCAAGCACGCGATTCGGGCAATGCTAAGGTCAAGGTACGATGCTCCACACCTCAATTCCAGCTAATACTAATCAAAAATCAAGTACGTTTTCATGGTCGGGGGTTTTTCCGAGTCCCCGTACATGTACCAGAAGATCAAGAAGCTGGCAGCCGCTCACGGCATTGAATCTATCAGGCCTGCTTATGCGTACGCACCCCTGGCACCCTTCTGGCAGCGCTGAACACTGATGAAAGGCGCAGATGGTCTGCCATCGTCCGCGGCGCAACGGCAAAAGGTCTCGAAGGAGATGGACGCACCCCAGTCAAGTACCGCAAATGCCGCCGTCACTACGGTACTTCCTGTACGCAGAGCTTCGTCTCAGGCAAGCACCGCCAGAACGACTCCTTCGACTGTCCATATACGGGGGAGAAGCGTGCTGACAACCAAATGAACTGGCTCGTCACCAAGGGAGAGGACTTGGCCACGGGCGAGTCAAAGCACGCCTCACTGGAGTTCTACCAGAACTTCTGGCCACGTCAGAATAGAAAGATGAAGCTTCGGTTGCTGGCGTCTGACGCCGCAATGCGTCCGGGTCGATCAAAGGATAAGGTGTGTACACACAGTTCGCGGAAAATGGACAACCTTACTAACCAGCGACAGCGCGTGTACAACGTTGCCGAGCTCACCATCGATCTGAATTCGGTGCCAGAGAGCGAGTTCGCAGCGATGCGAAGCCCTTCAGGAACGACGTTCTATCGTCTGAATTTCCAGGTCGAGTTCGCGGTCCAGTCGGCCTTGGAGTTCTGGCTCTCGGTCAAGGGGGTGAAGTACGGCTCGGTGACGGCGACCTACAACTGATCGAGATTTGGGTTTCTCAATAGGCCTTTTGGGTGGCATTGGGACAAGCCTTCTGGCATTGGCATTGGATAGATGATGGAAGGTTTTCGGCGGAGTTTTCCAACATCGCTGCGCCTGTTGCCGAATGCATCGAAGGGCTACTTCGTAGCTCAGCTCTATAAAGGAGGAGCCGTTAGGCCTCCTAGAAAACTAAACCTATCAGATATTTGTGATTGCTTTGCTTTCATTGTGATCTGAAGCCCCCTCGGAGGACGTATCCCGACCCTTCATTCTTTGATCGAGGAGCTCGTGCGAGGAATGTCAGATCAGACCGTCCGACCCTGAGCCGTTGACGGAGAATTTACTTCCCCCCTCGACCCAAACAAGCACATACAATCCCTCCTAATCATTTCCAGCATTTCTACAAGATGGCGGCCCTAAGGCCCATCCCAACGCCAGCCTAGGCGAAGCGGGCCGAACTCCCAATAGGGCTGTAAGGCTCCAACATCTTAAAGCCTCCTCTTTCGAAATCGGGGTACCTAGGTAGCAGACCTCCCACTGCCTGATCGTCTTACCCCTTTTCATTCAACCATTATACCAACATCCTTAGACTGCATACTCTTCGGGTTTGAGGAGCTCACAGTCGACTGGCAATAGACTGAGTACGTTGCGAGGCAATGATCTCTGCAGGCCCGTCATCTCACTGCCGCTGCCGTTAGGCCTGTGGTGCGGCTAAGGCGCATTCGGGAACGATTTAAACTGATGCCATCTTCAAGCTTCGGGGGCAGGATCCGGCGCCTCCCGAGCCCTGGAACATAGTGTGTTGTGTGTATGGTGCGTACGGTGTGTATGGTGTCTCTTGCGTTAGGGAATTCTCCGGGTTCAAGAGCTCGTCGCACCACTATACCTGCTTTTGTGCGCACCTGCGAAGGCCTCCAGGGTGGCTGTTACGTGCGTCGTTATATCTGGAGAATCTTACACCGTGAGCGTGCGTGCATAGTGTGCTTATGGTGTGGAGCCCTGGAGGTTTGAGAGAATGTCCCGGCTATGCCTATCCTTTCTTGCTCGATAAAATGACCATGAAATGATGCATGAAGAATTCTTGGGCTAAAGGGAGATTTGAGAGAGCCAATGGGTACGAAGACATGATACCAATACAATGTTTTACCCATAATAAGTTAAATATCTATGGAAGTCCCTGGGATAAATCGTATTCATCATTGCGGTTCAGTCCCCCCTTCTACACACCCCAGCTTAGCCCTTATTCCAAGCCCCACACTCACGGAGCAGACCCTTGATGCTCTCAATCATCGCACTAGAGACATTCGCCTAACGTGGGGTATTAATATATGTCTCAGAATGGCATCCATACCGCAGAGTTGGCTTACCATCTCCAATTGCTGTGCGGCTTTCGTCATAGCCTCCAGGTCCTGACTCGAGGGCGTATCCCGCAGCCGCTCCAGATCGTTACCGATCTGCTCGAAGACCTCGCGGACGCCCATCCTGACCTCCTCCCGGAGCTGACACCTCATCATTTTGCAGGCGTCCTTCAGCCCGTCGTGAATCTTTCTGTAGGGTCCGTCTTCCACACAGAGCCTTTGTCGAAACCTCTCGCAGCGGTACTTGTGATACGTCGTCCATGGGTTTTTCGACCTCGGTCGGCGTTTAGCGTGTCTATAGACGCTCTCCATGGCGCTGCTGAAATAGTGCCCACCGTTATCTTCGCAGGCATGGTCGCGCTCGATTCTCGTGAATAGTCAGACACTGAGAAGACAATTTGTAAGAGGAGGAGCAGCGAACCTGAAGGAGGATTGCATTGCTTCCCCAGCCTTGTCAACCACTGCTTTGGCTTCCTGTTTTCTAAGCTCAAAACCAAGCAAGAAAATCCCAAGCTCCCGAGAGGTAGGCGTCGAACAGCTAGCTTTGGAAGTATAAGTCATCTGCAAGGAAGAGGCTCACCTCGTAAATGTGGATCATATCACTTATGGTCTTCTCGATGCTTCCTTTCATATCACCCAACATGTCCTAGGTGCTTGCCATGATGTCCTCAAAATGGGTGAAAGAGTTTCGCGGACGCACTCAAGGAGCGAATCATTCCAGCTTGTTCTACGTATCTTCGGCGTCTGGTGGTTCCCTAAAGACTTGTTAGTACCAACCACACAAATTGTGGGGCTCTAGCACCTACCGTGATTGCTTACGAACACCATGTGCTGCACGTGGGTCCACTATTATAGATGAGCATATATCAGACTACACTTCGTGATACCAAACTCACTGGTTTTGCCTCCCATTTGCGACACAGCATGTTGGCATGCTCGATCCAGCCTGGTATCGAGTCCACTACAGTGGTTTTAGCGAAGCACAAGCAATTGCGACACATAACTTACTAGCTGTTTTTAGAAGCAAGTCCGTGGCCTTGTTGCCGAAGAGCTTATCTGTGCCGGAGTCTATCATACTTAGGCAGCGCTTGTGAACGGTATCAGCCTACTTTCTTCAAGAGAGTTGCACTCTCACCTCAAGTTGTCCTTCGACTCCCCCTTCAATTGACCAGACATCGGTGGCGATAGGCTGAAAATTTGCCAGCTCGATGCTGTTGAGCAGCGACGGTACGGTCAACTCAACATAGTGGGCGAGCTGTTTCTGCCTTGGCTGGCAAGGTAGAGCAGTTATGAACCGCTTCAGAGAAGGGATGCCTGAGCACTCGGGAGAAATAGAAGGTCGGTCGATGGCAGGATACCCTTCAATCCTCAGCTGGTATTCTTTTGCAGAGATACACACGGCGCGTATTCGCTGGCCGGGAACCCAGTTGGATATCTTCTGGCAGACACGGCGATTTCTCTCGTTGATGAAGATTTCGCGTTTTCTAACGCAACTATCAGCGACTGTTGACATACCTGAGGTTACGGTCAACAGGCTTACTTGAAAGCCACCCAGTTCTGTTTATATCTTGCACAAGAGTTTAGTACAGCGATTGCATCAGGGTAATTCAACTTACTGAATGAGTTGAAGATATTGCGAGATCGTTGTACATTGCTGCCGCTGTTGATTCAACTCTCTTTCTTTCTCGTCCAAATATCTCAACTGGCTCAGCTCACGAAGAGTGAAGTCAGTATCCATGACAGAATCCGTTCGTACACTCTTGGATTTTGTCAGTGGATGTATCTATATGAATCCGGGAGTCTTACGTTTGAGCATGTACAGCAGACCAACACCTCATGTCCCGGTCCTGATCTCCTGATAGTCTCCAACAGGTGACCTTTGCCGTGACTTCCAGTCACGATGCGACCGATGGCACTTACGACAATCGTCGCTGAACAGAGCTGCAAGTACTCCCTAGCGGCGTCAACATTTAGATGATTAACATCGTCGAGACCTGGGAAAAATCAACTTCATTTGATCGCCTTCAGGGCTTGGAAGAACAAACCAGGTAAGTCTACAAGAGTAACGTTATGCTGCAGAATCGGACACTCCGAGCCGATTCTAAGAACGTTAATCAAAGAAAGATGCTAGTCGGAACTGTTTACTTCACAAGCTTCACGAAAGGCCATGGGTCGAATGGCATGATCCCGTCACCGGTGCGTTGTCCATGCGTAAACGGCATCAGTCGCTCCCAAAGCTTCGCTGTTGACTTGACCTGTACGAGCAATCTCTCAGAGAACCTTCCCAGCTCGCGGTAGAGTAGCTTCGCCCATCTCAGTACTTCGTCAAGAGTGTCGGTATTGCTTGGATCTTCGGCGTGTCTCAGAAACGTCCTCATAGCTGGGTCGTCGCGGAACTCAGGTCGATTGGGAAAGAGGGCCTTGAAAACAACCTTCGCTGTCTCTGCCTTCTCGTTGGTTATGTCCGACAGCTCCTCTCCTTAGTCGGGTATAACCCGAGGACCAAACTCCTGAAACACCTAGAAATCCTGTCGGTGACTGTACGCCAACTCAAGAGTTCGATCTCTGCAATGTACTTGAAGTCATCTATACCGGAGGAGTACGAATATTCGAGCGGCACCCGTGTACAGCTCTCGCCGCTGTTTCCCTGCATTCTATATAAGCATGTTGAATGGTTCTGAGCGAGACCGGCGCTTACCACGACCACGAGACTCATATCCCCGAGGAGTGTGCCAATCAGATGGGACTTTCCTTGTCCGGTGTCTCCAGAAACACCAACGCGTATGGGCTCAGCCCGGCAGGGCGTGACATGTTGTTCAAGAGTTTGGCGGAGGGTACCCATTGATCGGATCCGGGATTGATCCTGAGTGATTGCATCCCTGATGGAACGCACAAGATTTTCCGATGCATCTTCTGCTTGCTTGAATGATGGCTGAAAAATCGGCAAGTTAGGCCTTGTTCCGTTGCCGGGTCGTGTTTGATGATTTTCCACGATTCAGGGAAAGCAGCGCCTAGTTCGTCAAAGCTATGCGGATCTGTTGTACGAATAGATTGAAGATCAGGCCTTTGGACTGCGTGCGGTGCTCGCGCTGAGTGCTGGAGTGCTCGGGGACCACTTGCTGCGCTGAATGGTGCCCGGGGCCCGTGGGGTGCGATTGGTCCTGCCCTAGGCCGGGGAGGTAGGCCCTCTTCCGCCTTTGGCCAAGCAGAAGTATCCAAGAATGCGGGTTGTGGGGAAGATGATCGGGTCCTTTCTCGAGGTGACCACAGGTCTGGCTGACGACTGCTTCTATAACCCCTTCGCTCACTGCGACATTGTGAATCTGTATCCCGCGTGCGACTGTTGTGGCGCGACGGGCGGTAGCTGTCGTACAGGGGAGGCGACCGATAGTGGTAAGCCATGCTCGTGGGTGCGGCGAAAATGTCTGTCCTGGGGTTAAGTTAAAGCGCGAAACTATGATAATTCTGGAGTGTGGTATGGCTCCGTTGGCGACTGACTGAAAAGGGGATAGATTGAAGGCAGGCACAGGTGTGAGACTGTGTGCCGTATATAGGACGAGCTTTCGCCTTAGGAGGAGAAAGAAGTAGGCAGGAGGTCAGGAATCAGGATGATGAATTGGAAGCGAGGGGAGAGTCCACCGTGGGGAATTTCTTGCCCAGTTACGGAACCTTCGAGGTGCATAGAAACCGCAACACAGAGTGCTACGACTCATGCAGCATGCCGGCAGATCAATGTGTCTTAGAGCGGTATCATTAGCATCTACAAAGGCGACGTCATCAACCATCAGGGCTAACGGGCAAACTGGCCGCGGTAACTAGCCCACAGGAGACGCAATGGTAATAAGCAGGCCAAAGCCGGCAGTCATGACAAGCTGTCATTGGTGCGAAGGGTATCCAAGGGGAGGTCGAGTTGTGGCAAGAAGCCATGCCCAATTGGTGCTAGCTCCTTCGCTATCATCGCGGCGGACGATGAATTCTCACTTTTCTCAAAACAGCTGAACCCCGCATCACATCCTTGGATAGCTCTTCGACCAACAACCAGAGCTGGAGCTTACATTTTCTTAGAGGGTAATCGGAGTGACGTGGCTCGCGGAAAATGTGTGGTGCCGGCAACCTACATCTAGTTGTACCCCGTCAACAACACAACGTGTTTGGACGTGCCTTCGACTCGCCTTTTCGAAACTTGTGGTCCGATGGGTAAGCTGGCATGGCTGCTATCGACATGGAAATTCCTGAGCCGAAAGCGCGTGCGGTGCGTGCGCCATATCCCAATGATATGAACTGTATGGTGAAGGATTAATATATAGGCTTCCAGTGAGGTGGTAAGGTGGCTACAACGCGTTGTTAAGCTAAATTGGTCGACACTGGCGGGTCTAAAGGGAAGACGATGTCAGCACTTCGAATGCATCGTGCTGAAGCCGCGTTCGATCGCCGGAACGCTGCTTGAAGGTGAGGTGAGGTGCTGTTCTCGGCCCGAGTGAGGTCGGGAGGCTATACTGTGTCAGTACTAGTCCGATGACATAATCCATGTCTCCAAACACCGTGACGCTTTAACCCCCAACAATCACCAAGGGTACGAAAGGGCCGTCACCCAGCCGTCCTAGGGCTCTAATGAGTCCACATTGGAACGGAGTGGTTGATGCAAGTCTGACAGCACTCTGCCGTCATATGACGCCTATTTTCAAAGCTCGCCACCTTCTAGGAGAAAAACGGCCTGATATGGATGGGCTGTATCCCAATGATACAATCAGCCAGCAGCCATTCTGATAGACGGCGATTATGCAGGTGGCGACCGAAGGAGCATTAGGTGAGGTCGGCGGGCAACCCAGGGAAGAGGTACCCGCGCCCTTTATCAGCCCTTAGAAGGTACCACCTGGGCGCTCTTGTCACGGCAAAATCAAAATCACAATCACGCTTCAACACAAGGGACCAAATGGTTCAAAGACACCTATCCCTCACCGGGACCTCAAACACTGCCCTACGGGGCGCGCCAACCCAGCCGACAGACGGCAGTTTCTTGACTATTGTCAACTTTCAATATATTTCTTATGTCCTCGCACGGAGGAGGATTAGGAACCGACAGGCTCTCTGTATGGGGAGCAGCTGAACACATGAACCGCTCTCACAGCCCACGGGCAGTGCTTAGCGCGTCCCCAATGCCCCACGGGAGGCTCTCATGTACAATAAGTACTGGACGTAAATCAATTCCAACCAACCAACCTGGGCGCTCTTCCACTTCAAGAGCTCCTATAACATTGGCAAGTCAAAGGAAGGAGCGGCCACTAGCTCAATTGCTTCTTGACTTCCGTCTTGTTTCTCCACCTCCGCGACAGCCCCATTCTTCGTTCTGTGCATTGAGAGCCCTCGCTTTAGCCGCAGTATTATATTTCTTCGCTTCTGCATCTTCTATCTCGCTCGAAGATTCCATCAAACATTCTCGAGCTTGCATTCGCTATCCCGACCGACTTAACCAGACTGCGTCCCATCATGCCTCCCAAATCTCCCGTTCACGACCCGGAATCCTCTCCGAACCCCGAGAAGTCTCCTGTTCTCAACCCAGAGTCCCCTCCGACGTCCAAGAAGTCGCCCAAGATAACCATGACCAAAAATGCTGTCATGAAGTTCTGGCGCAGTTTCTCAGGTGACGGCCGTAAGTAGAACCCGCATCGTGAGCATGTACAATGCTTATCCTGAGGCCCTTCAGCCGCACCAGCTCCCTATGCCTATCACGGGGCAGTCATACCGATCGCCGTTCGAAACGAAAATGAAATGCGATCAGGCTTGGTCGAAGTCACCGTCGGTCCCACCCGTACAAAGGACAGCGTCTTCTACGTCAGCCAGGACTTAGTGCGCAAAGGTGGACCCTACCTCGAGGACAAGCTCGATGCCGTATACAAAAAAGGCAGCCAGCTCTTCGCAAAATGGACTTTGACCTTGCCAAACGACGAGCCGGACGTCTTTCAGACCTTTTGCGCACTCACGCCTCACGGAATGGGCGATGTTATGCAACAGGAGCAACATCGGAAGGATTCAGCATTCCCCCAGGAAGACGCCAACCTAATCCCACTGTCGGTCCGAGTCTATGCCTTCGCGTGCAAGCTAGGACACGAACACGCGTCGGAACTTGCAAAGAGGGCCCTCTACATGATCTAGGATGACTACGTAGGGTGCCCCAGCCCCGAATCCAAGAAGAGGCAGATCCTCAAGCCGAGGCACGCGCGCTATGTCTTCGAGAAGGTTGGGAGGCAGACCGGCTTCACCCAACTATACGACTTCATTCTCGGGTTGTCCGTCCAGGAGGAGTATCTCACCAAGATGGAAGCGCCGCATGTCAAGGTCGCTTGGCGCGAATTGCTCCATGAGTACACGGACTTTATGGCCGAGAGGAATAAGCTGCTGAATACGGTAAACATTGATAGCAGGGATGAATTGCTGAGGCCCTTTAGGCCGAAATCCGTGGAGGAGATGGTGGCGGAGGGGGCAGCGAAGGTGTCTGCTGCGGAACAGCACTGAACGCGTTTATGGGTAGTTTTCAATAACCTTTCATAGTCCATCCTCTCTATGCCCGTGCTTACGGTTGCTCTCCGAGCGAAGCCCTGTCCAAGCACTCCTATTCTGCTGATAGTCACTAGGATCGACGCGATCACCTCTGGTGCCTATGGAGCCTCATCAATCCCCATTTGAAAATCCATCCTTCGAACCTGATTTTCAGTCGGCAACCACGACATGTCCGCCACTGCCAGGCCGGTCAGTGCCACCCCTCAACCCACAGTTTCCGCCGCAATTCTACCACATACCCAGCAAGAAACGAAGAGCCAAGCCAACCAGCTTCCAGAGAGTTGAAGCTACAAACAAGATCGTGCAAGATGCCCTCCAGTGCCAAGCCGTGTCAGACATCGTCGTCCCTCAAGCAAAAGAGAAGGACACGCCCTGGAGGAAGGACTTTCTGGACGCCTTCAAAGCCCGCTCAACTAACAAGAGTGAGCTCTCTGAGATCAAGGAAGAGCTCAAAGAGCAGGGCAAGAAGCTAAACAATCTCGAGGAGCTAGGAGCCAAACTGGAGGCTGTCGAAGCAAGGCTCAACGTCGTCCCTTCCGCATTCAAAGCCCAAAAAGGCTTCATCATCCCGAGTGAAGAAGAGGGCGCACGCCCAGGACAGTCCTCTCGAAGAGCGGCCTCCAAAAGCACCTCGAACCAGCACACCCAACCGCAAGTATGTATTTGCATTCCAGACTAGAGTCGGAGCTCCTTGGCCCGTCACACCTGCGAGTGGTAGCTTCATATACTAGTATGTACTAACTCTACTAGCCCCGAGCATGCTTCTGCCGACGGAGGAGGTGAAGAGCTAGTTGCGCCTACCACCAGTCACTCTCACCCCATCCCAACCTCTCAGAACTCCCGACGATGCACGCTCACCTACCAGCAGCTGCTCCAGATCACCCACCGCTTCCCCATGATCTCCATGATGACCCGCCGGCTAACACCCACGCGCACCCGATCGTCGCCGCCCAAGTTCAGCCGCCGGTCAGCAATAACGATGACGTGCCCTCACTCGTCGAAGCAGAAATAGCGGGCAAACCTATCAGAGGTTCTTCGGGAGGCAGGGGCGTGCTTCTGCCCCCATCAGTGCTCAGCGCATTCGTCGATACCATCGAAAGCTGCATGGGGAAGGTGAGTGTGTCGGGCTCATCGAAGCCAGGCAAGGACACCTGCTTGCTGCAGAGGAGAGACAAGAAGCAGAGCACTTGGGACACCACCGACCACCATGAGGCTCACAGAGAGTACGTAGCCCGACGGACATACTGCGTTCAATACACAGGGGCGATGTTCAAGGTGTATGCGCCATCTGAGAGCAACAGGAGGGCAAGTGAGGAGCGGGAAGTCGGGGTGTGGGCCTCATCGACAATAGCCTGCCGTCCTTTGCCAGGTAATGCGATTGAGAGATGACTGTGGATCGTACGCTGAAGAATTTCAGGCTGAGATATGCAAATATGAAGCTGATGGCAATGCTTGATGCAGATGCGAGGGCACGAAGGTATGAGGATGTACAGTAGGTGAAGGTCAAGTCAATGTATCCACTTAGTCATCGACTAGGATCACCCGCCGGCCAGCCCTGAACATCCTCGCCTTGTTGGGGGCTTCTGTCTTTCCATACTCCTTTCTGTGTGTTTAGAGTATTTGGGGATGACTGTAAGCTTTCTGGGGATGTTTCGTGTGCCAAAGGGTTTGCAGGCCCCTTTGCGTCCCCTTTGCGTCCTTTCAAAGCTAATCTTCAGTAGGTAGGGCGTGGTTCCTACCCTTCCCAACCTCGCATTCACATCACGCCGCAGCCCGCAGAGGGCCCGACACCCAACCCACGGCGCAAATCATCCTGCAGCCTCCTCATATTTGACCTGACAGCCTGAATGATCGGGACCTGGACTGGACCCACGGCCATGCGGCGTGGCAGTAGTTTCTTGGCCCGCTTTGTGGGCGTCCAGTAGGCGTCATAGTTATCGTCGAGATTCAATGGCGCCTTCCGCTTTTTGGACGAAGCGGTCGATGCGGTTGAGGTCATGGAAGTCGTCTCTTCATCGGACATGGCGGTGTTGCCGTCTTCATCCACGTTGGCGGGAGCGATAGGCTGTGTGAGATCGGTGTTCGAGGCTGCTACCACGGGGTGTTGTGATGGTAAAGGTGCAGCACTTGCTGGTTCACCTGTTGATAGCACAGGCCGAAGGATTTCAGGCTCGTTTTGCGTTCCCGATTGCTCCTGTTGCGGTGTAGTGTTCGTTGCTATGGCCGATGACATTGGCTCGAGTGGAGTCTGTGCCAACTGTGATGGTGTAGATGCGGAAGCGGAAGTGGTGGTAGATACTGACGGCATATCAGGTACATCATCCGTTTCATCCATAGTGTTCTGGTCCTGAGACTTCGTAGGTTCTTCCTCGGTTTCCCTTGCGCCCAAACCGGCGTTCAATTCTGAAGATTCTGCTGACCGAAGTGTCGGAGTAGCAGTGGCGCTTTGTCCATCAGGCACGTCATTCATCGCTACGTCTTTGTCGTGGCTCTGCCCGAGTTTCACGCGCTTACGTTCTCTTGCAATCATTCCCATATGCCGCTCGGTATCCGCCAATTTCCTCTTGCCTTCACCCGCAATACTCCAGAACGCAGCAGTTGGCGTTGGGAACCTCTTCAGGTACTCCTTGAGCTGCTCAATCCCCAGGGGATCAAACTCGCGCCGCGTCTTCTTCATATCGGCCAGACTAGTCGCTCGTGGTAGCTTAACCTTGATGTTGGCTGCGTGGTTGAGCAGTCCATCCGGAATCGCACCCTCAAAGTGCCAGTCCGACATCTCTTTAACGCCCATTGCTAGCCCGAGGGTATCGAACTCAAAACTATCCGTCGCTGTAGATGGTGGGGCGATAATTTCGGGTTCCCATAGTTCCTTCAACCGCACACTATCGCTCTCGTCCCGAGTGCTCCACGCGACAGCGAGGAGGCGCGAAACTTTGAGTTCCCTTTCTTTCCTCCTCGCCTCTTTCCGCCGATCCCATTCCAACATTCTTTCAATCTCAACAACCACCGTCTTGTTAATCCTCGCTTCCAGCTCTCTCAGTATCTGCTCAACCTCCTTGATGGACCTCCATGCTTTCCACTCCTCCCTAATTTCCGCCCACAAAGCAATCTCCTCCGTTGTATGCCCGGGAGCTGTTCGAGGCAGTGCCTCTTCCTCGTCCTCATCACAATCGAGTTCGCACTCCCAGACCATTCGCACAAGCGTAGTCTAGAACATAGCAGTAAGCTAAGAGCATGCTTTATCCGCAGCCGTCGAACTAAAGCATACCTCCATATTACGCGACACCATATCCCGACGCCGGTTAAGATAGATGTCGACGTCGAAGAATGAGGGCGTGGAGGAATGCAGGAGCCGAGGATGCATTTGTCTAGCGCTATGATGAGGTCTTCGACGGCCTGCGAGGAGTGGCGAGTGCGGATGGGTAAAGTGGCTTTCCATGAGTTCGGCATCTTGTTCCATACGTAGATTTCGTCTTAGTTGAGAGAAGTTGTTAGATCGGACAGGGAGAGCTGAAAAGCTGGACTGCAGAGCGCGCGAAAGTTTAGGGTCTATAAGAAGTGCGGTTGCGGTAGATGAACTGTTGGTCCTCGCATACCTCGAGCTAATTGGGAAGTGAATTCACACTGGCTGTTGCTATGACCGGGTCAAAGTGTGGTAGCCTGTCTGAATGAGGAACAACAGGTAACGGCTTCACTCATCCCTTGAGGTGGAAAGGGCCATTGCTCGGATAGATGAACTCCCCTAGTCGGGCTTCTACGGAATGTGAGGTTAAGAAGTTGTTCCAGAGCCGCATTGTAATGGAAGATGACAACAACACAAATTACTTTGCCATCAAGAAAGAGCACTCATTGAACACTAGAAGTAGCATCCTCATTTTGCATCTAACCAATGCTACTGAACCAAGCAGTGCTATGCAGAAACAATCCGTCGCGGCCCTATGCATAGGGCGCAGCAACCACTTATTAAACGCCGTGCCATCGTAACAAGAGGGAGAACGACGCTCCCAGAACCCCCCATAACGCCATGTACTAACATCGGTGGTGCAAAAAGCAGCCGAGGCAATATAAACACCGTCCCACAATATCAATACAGAGACCTTCATCCTACTCATCAGCCGTCAACGCCATGAGTCTCCTTTGCCAACACCGTAGACCCAGCTAATAGGCTATCCGCCGTATACATCATGAACCGCATCCCTGTTCGTATCCAGAGCTCGTCAGAGACCGGGGCGAGGAGTGGGACGCGGGCTTGGATTATAGGTCCAAGCTCCCTCCCTAACAATACGCTCTCTTGCCGCGCGCTCCTTCTGCTTCTCTTCCTCTGTAAGCTGATCATTCGTCCAATAGGCACTGCTAGTCCGCTCGCGGAACCGTTTGTGCCTCTCCTTATTCGGGAAGACCTGCTCCATATTCAACGGCGCAATAGGACCGAAGATCTGCTCGGGATCGACCAGCTGCTGCTGTGTCAAGAGTTCGCGAAGGTTCGGGGTATTCACCCACGAAGGTTGCTCAAACTCGTTCTCCGAGTCCTCATCTTCAGAGTCGGTCATGATCTCTGGCAGCTTGATATCCTCGCCGTTAGGATACTGCGGCTGTGGGGGCTGACGTAGTTGAGATGGCTCGGCGAAGGGAATCTTGCCCTTTGCGAATTGAGCATGTGCAGGCGTAATGGGGTTCATCTTCGCCTGCTGCGATGGGCGCTTGGCTGGTCGATGGAGTGGCTCATCATTTTCGGGCTGGAACGGACGTTTGGCGGGCTTAGCAGGGTTGACTGGGGGCACGATGATCCGGTTTACATCCTGAACTGTCTGCATGCGGGACACGGGCTTAGCAGCCGCGAGGTCGGCGCGAGGTTGAGGCGCAGGGGCTTTCGGCTTCTCTACCGGCTTCTCAACAGCCTTTGGCGGCTGTGGTCGACCCATTCGAGAAGCCGACTTAGCGGCGACAGGGGCTGCTTTTGAAGACGTTCCCGACTTTGAAGACAAAGCCGAAGCAGGCCTTGCAGTTGGAGCAACTTTGGGTGCCGCTGGAGCTGGCTTCGGCGCGGGAGGACCCATTCTAGAGGTGGCAGGTGCTGGGGCGCTAGGGGCCGCTGGAGGAGCATTTCTCGACGCGGCTGCAGGAGCAGGTCCGTATCGGCTGCTGTTGAGATTGACCATGATCTTCTGAGGCTTTGCCTTCGGCAGAGTGTCCTTGCTAGAAGCTTTGAGAAGCTTCTTTGGCTCTCTCAGCTTGTGCGCGGTGGTTGGGAGGTTACTCTTCGGGGGAGGCGGTGGAGGCATCTCGTCTGCCGAATCAGGCTCCTGTGGCCGAGGCCCGGTATTCATCCGCGTCATTCCAGGTCGAGCCTGCGACTGATGTGAGACTGAAATGGGAGTTTTCGTCGCCGCTGCCGCCGCCTGTCTGATGTTCTGCTGAGAAGACATAGCAACTGGCGTCTTTGCAGCTGCGGCTTTGGTCTTCTGGTAGTGCGCAGCAGCCTTGGATTGCTCTTTCTCCCGTAGCTCCTTCAGTCGATCCTCTGCGCGTTGCTTCTGTTTCATTTCTTTTTCACGAGCCTCCTTCTCTTTCTGTCTCTCGCGCTCGGAGGAGCTGCGTGTGCGGCGGCCATCGTCCTTCATAGGACTGCCAGGTCCTGCGGCGACCTTTGCCGATTTTCCGGATTTGTCGGATTCTTTTGAAGGGGAACGCAAATGAGAGAAAAGCGTATGGCTAGCTTTCTCAGTGCGCTTCGGGCTGAAGATGTCCTCGGTGGAGAACTGGGCCTTGAGCTTGGGTCGCATCGGGCTTTCAGTCAGCGCATCAAGCTTCACTTGGGCACTTGTTGCGCTAGAGCCGATAATCTTCTCCTTTGCCGCACGAAGAGCTGAATAGAACTTAGCCTTTGACGCACTGAGAGGGCCATCCATGTATTTCTTACCAGTCGGGGAGCCAGCCGGAGTGGTTGACTCCACGACTGTCGAAAGATCCGGGTTGGAGACGGAGATAGGCTTAGGAAGGATTGGCTCAGCTGCTGGACGCGTGTCGGCCGAGTAGCTCTTGCTGAACGGAGGCCGCGCGGGATTTGGTGCCGGTGCCGTGGTCCGGATTGGCGATATCCAATCATCATCGTCATCATCATCGTTCCCAGGCTGGGCTGCCTGAAGATGCAGATATGCTGATTGAGAAGCCTGTACCGGCTGGGATGGCTGCGACGGCTGAGTAAGTTCCTTCGTATGGGAAGAGGCAAAGCTCGTTGCCTGTGAGGGCTGCGAAGACATGACATTCTGGCTGATCCGCTTGGGCGCCTCGTTCTGCTGCTTGAGCATGTTGATGCGCTCGTATAGGCGTTGCGTGGAAGTCTTGTTATGTAGCTTCGTGGTCTCGGATTCCTCTCTCCGGAGTTCCGGTCGTTCCTCTTCCAAGTCCATTGGGTCATGGTGATGAGTGTCGGTTTGTGGTAGTTGAGAGCCTCCAAGGCTCTTGCCTCCAGTAAATCGACCCAACTGGCTGCTGCGAACCTTGCTTTGGTCGACATGGCTCGTGCGTGAGATGCGATTGCCCATGCTCTTCTTCGCAATCAAAGGCTCTCGTGCCGGCAGAGAGGCAAAAGTGAGACTACTCTTCCTAACAAGCGGTTTCACGGGGCTGGAGCCATCCGACGGCGAGCGAACGTCATCATCGATGTCCATCTGATCGTCGATCTCGTGATGAACTACGGTATCATCGTGTTGCTCTTCGTCATTCGAAGCGATTCGCGTATCGACCGGGCCAGCAAAAGGCTCAGAGGGTGCGAAGATACTCTTGGGCTCGGGTGCGTGGGCGCGTTGATTCGCGGTGTCGAGGGCGTCTTGCGTATCGGCAGAAATGCTGTATTGCTCCGATATGATCCTGGGTGGCTGAGGAAACTCGGGAATGTCGTGATGGATAGCAGTCTCATCATGAACTGAGCTCAGCTCGTGCCGGATAACGGTGTCCTGCACATCGGATTGCGACGTGTCCGGCCTGTCGTCATCGATATCCATTGCGTCGTCTTTGAATTCATGGCGAAGATTCTCCTGGGAGGCATTCTTACTGCCAAACGCCTCCTTCGCTGAAACAAACGACTCGCCGGTATCGCGTCGCTCGTCGTCGGCGCTAATGGAGCGCCCGAATGACTGCGTTGCTTGTGTAGGCTGGGTGGATTGCGTGCCTCGAGGAGAAAAGACATCATCGCCATCTTGGGTCATGACCGTGTCCTGTGTAGAATGCACTGGACTGAAGTGGACGGGAACAGTGGTGTGGCTGGTGGCCGGCCGGCTCTCTGGCCTGACTGGACTACTCTGCTGGTTCTCCTTGCCCGTGCCGAGTGCTTTCGAGAAGAGGGGCCGTGGTACGGGTGACTTCACGTCTGGAGATTGCGCGGGAGCGGCATTTTCCGTGTCCTCGGCGATTTGGAACCGCGGCTTTGCGAGGTTCTTGTGCAGGTTGTTTCGTAGGCTCTGCTCGGCGGGGCTGGGTCGCTTCTGCGAGTTCGCTGAGAACAGGTCACCGAGAGGCTGCGGCGGTGTTAGTGCTTTCATCGCAAACGGGAGGAAAGAGCGCACCTGGCGAGGCTCGGCCGGCTTCTTGCGGGCCGTACGTGGCGTCTTTCCGCGTAGCTTTCCGGGTGTTTTGAACACGTCCAGGTGATTCCTGCAGTCGCTCTTAGCACCAGACGCGCGCGAGAATATGCCTGTCGCCACATACTGTCCGTTTTGGGCGAAGATGTCCCCCATATGCTCGTTGAGCCATTCCAGCTCGTTGCGCACAGAGAAGCCGAAATCTTCCAGCTCTTGCGCCACAAGGTCATTCGACTGGTGTCGCTCGTCGAGCAGCCATTGCGCGGACCCAATGGCGGGTACTTTGCTGCGTGCGGCAGCCATGGTGGGCGTGCGGTGCGGTGGTGGATCTGGCCAAAACACGCGCTGGCGACGGGGTAAACACAGTCAGGATAAAGATGAAATGTGTGCCAGGCTAGCTAGGCATTGCGTGTGCACCTGTGTTAGTAGATCTGGGCAGCCTCGAGGGCGTTGGCGGTGCAGAGCGGATGTCGTGGAGAGGTCGAGGACGATTGTTGTGACCGGGTTGAGCCCAAACAAACGAACCGTCCACGATGGCACGTGCGCACGCTAACCGCACTCGACCACCACCCCTCTCGATAGCTTGATAACGACGAGCGAGACCGTTCAGGATGGCTTCTGTATTGCAGACGTATCAATCGACGTCGACTTATCTACAATTGTGTGGCAGAATGCCGTCCCCGGGACACTGGGCAGCTACGGCCCGCGGCGTCTTCTCCGCTTCATAGGCCGAGGATATAGATCTGGAGCTTATTCCCGTCACAGCACTGATCGCTCCATCTCGTCTCTTCCACCTCAATTGATCTAAAATCACCTGTCCTTCGGCCTGCAAATATCATGACGTTCAGTCTGTTCACGAAAGCTCCGATGCTAACAAGAGCTCCACGCATTAGCTGCCACCTTTCCAGAGCGAAACCGTGCATACGCCCATTAACTCAACCAAGATGCTTTTCCATAACTTCTGCTCGTCGCCTGATGGAGATTTCCGGGTTCACCCAAGAGCAGCTCGATGTACGGGAAGCCGTCTCGAAGATATGCTCGAAATACCCCGACGTTCGTGTCCCATCGCCACTTGCGGTTCGACGCCGGTTGACTAAGCCTAGGAATACTGGATGGAACACGATAACTCCGGCGAATATCCCCACGACCTGCACAAAGATCTTGCTAAAGATGGCTGGATAGGTATTGCGCTGCCCGAAGACCTTGGGGGTGCCGGCTTGGGGATTTCGGAAGCCACCATGATGCTCCACACCATCGCGGAGTAGGTTGGCCCATGGCGTCCGAGTGCCGTTGCTCATTTTTCACAGAAGCGGAGCTGGGATAGCGGGAGCTCAGTCGATCCATGCTAATGTCTATGCTACACAAGTATGAAGGCTGAACCCCATCTTCTATCAGTCTAGTAAGCTAACATACCCAGCCCGTTGCTAAATTTGCTACGCCCGAGCAAAGACGACACATGCTTCCGGACTTGATCTCAGGAAAGACGAGGACGTGTTTCGCCGTGTGTGTTTCCCTTGGGCTGTATTCCGAGCTGATTTGCACTGCTAATCTGTCTGCAGGACCGAACCAAACACCGGCCTCGAGACCCTGAAGCTTCGTACGTTTGCCAAAAGGGACGGCGACAGCTATCTGATATCGGGCCAAAAGATGTAAGCAGACATTCCGCAGTGATCAGAAGCTTCAACTCAGCTTTGTAGATGGATATCTTCTGCGCAGGTCGCCACCAAAATGGTTCTCCTCGCTCGAACAACCGCACTGGAGGACGTTAAGAAGCCATCCGAAGGCCTCAGTCTCTTCTTCATTGACATCGATAAAGCTGCCCCTGGTATCGAGTTGAAACGAATCAAGAAGATGGGCGGACGAGCCATCGATGCTAATGAGGTCTTCTTTGACAACTTCCGCATCCCTGCTGATACCCTCATCGGCAAGGAAAGTCAAGGCTTCAAAATTGTACGTAATCAAATTCAGTCAAAGAATAGATACTAACCGAAGGCAGGTGCTCTACGGCATGAACGCTGAGCGATGTCTTCTTGCTGGGGAGGCTCTCGGCATCGGCTATGCAGCGCTGAAGAGAGCAACCGATTATGCTCGTGAACGAAACATATTTGGTCGGCCAATAGGACAGAACCAGGGCATTCAGCATCCCCTTGCCTCGGCGTACATGCATCTTGAGGCAGCGAAGTTGGCCACATATCATGCCGCGAAGCTTTACGATAATAGCGGAATAGATTCTTCTATAACGCAGCACGCTGTTGGAATAGCATGTAATTCCGCGAAATATCTAGCTGCAGAGGCTGCCTTTACTGCGTGCGAACGGGCGGTAAGCTAGACTATCTGAGACTGCCCAAGCTCGGCTAACGCTGCTAACTGTGATAGGTATTGACGCATGGTGGAATGGGTTATGCTCAAGAGTACCACGTCGAGAGATATCTTAGGGAGGTTTTTGTTCCTCGTATTGCTCCTGTCAGTCGAGTAAGTCGAGGCAACCCTAACGGCAGCAGGATGCTTTTTAACCTTGATTAGGAAATGATCATGAACTACATCGGCGAAAAGGCTTTAGGATTGCCCCGCAGCTATTGAATGAGTCGGCTTGAGATATTCTCCCATGCAATACTCCTTTATCACACGTCTACACATGCCTTGAGGGTGGACTTGGCCTATCCATGCTCAACCTCTCAATATTATTGCCATAGCTCTCCCACAACATCATAACCATGAAACACGCCTGCGCTAACCTTAATATTGGATCCCAACATTTCTCACGATTGAAATCACCTCCGACACCTCCCTCCTAATTCCTCTCGTCTGCTCCTCATTCATCAGCAAAATTCACAATGGATCACCCAACGTCCCACGACGGCTGGCCTCGAGAACGCCTTCCTTCACTTTCTACTCCGGAAGACCCTTTGGAGGCCTACAACCTGTACAGCGCCGTACTGTTAGCAGTAGACGAGCCAGCCACGCTCGCGCAGGCCTCCAAAGCGCCAATTGAGCCGCACAAGCCTGCGCAGAAGGTCTCCTTTGCCTCAATTCCTTGCTCCCCTACGCCAACAGCTCCTATTGTCCGCTCACCAACCCCTTACGCACCCGAGCGGCAAGATCAGCTTCCCGATGTGTCCAACCCGCACCATCGGGCCGGCTGGCCATTATCCTCTGGCCTGCGAAGGGTACCTATGCGACCTCTCAATCCCTCGTCCTCCTCAGATGCTTACAGAGCCTACGAAGCCCGCAAAGACCCCGTCGCTGCTCTGGGTCTGGGCGGGCCGCCGTGGCCAGACGATCCGGTCAATCGACCCCTGGGCCCGATCCCGTCCCAGCGGAGGCATAAGCGTAACAATGCAGTCTCCTTCGTTCGGCCAACGGAGAACCCTTTGAAAGGAGCACCGGAAACTACGGAAGCTGTGGCTGATAGCATTCGGGAGAACCTGGCCTTCTTCGCTGAAAAGGAGTCTGAGTCCAAGGATACCTCGCCCCCTACTACACCTGCTCCTATCGGACCTACCGCTCCTAGCCCTTCTAGATCCCCTACTATTCCTGAAAACCACTTTCGAGCCTATTGGGATTACAACCGGCTCTGTGTCAGCCCTAATGACTTCCACATCGCCCTCCAAAGGCGCGAGCAAGCCTGGCATGAGCAATGGGGCACACCAGCACCGGGCCAAGATTACGAGAACATACCAACATCAGAGCTGTGGTTCAGCGCATGCGAGCAGGGTAGGTATCTCGAGGAGAACAGCCACGCCAACAACAACCTGACGGTGGCGAATGAGAGGTTTGAGATGAGTCGTAGGAGGACTGAGCATTGGCTTGAGGAGGCACGGAGAGCGGAGGAGGAGAGGAAGAGTGATGAAGGTGTGATGTCTGATGCCAAGCAAGAAGGGGAGAAGGTGGAGGCGGAGAGGTACGTCCCGAAAACCTTCAGCGACGACGATGACGACGACGATATCGATGATGAGCCAAAGGCCGAGCACCCTTTCATCACCGCCTATAAAGCCTTGCTCCAGAAACGAAAGGAGGAGCGGGAGGCGGAGCTGGCCATGGAAAAGGATCAGGATCAGGATCAGGAGCAGGGACAGGGCAAGACGGCTCCTGCGACAAAGAATACTAGTGTTACAAAGTCAGATCTAACGTCTCTGCCCAAGGAAAAAGAGCAGGAAAAGGGCAAGGAGGACGCTCCTGCGACGGATAACGCTAGTGCAAGGAAGAGGGGTGCGATGGGTTCTAAGGAGACGATGGGTGGGAAACAAGAAGAGCCACAGAAGGCGCAGAGAAAAAAAGGGGTGAAGATTTCGGTGTGTGCCGGTGGTGGTGAGGCAGGGCGGGCGGGGGACAAGATGGCGTGGGCTACGAAGCCTGACCTGAAGACCCAGGCCGGGGTGAAGACGAAAGACGTGCGAGCCAAGAAGGCCGTTGCAAAGACTGAGGCCGCGGCGCAGATGGAAGATGTGCCGCTGGAGTTTTTGGAGGAGCAGTGGGTGGAAGTTGATGCGGATGCTGTGGAATGGGAAGTCGTGCAGAAGATTTCGCATCGGGGGTCAATGGAGTAGGCAGTCCGCAGTCTGGTTTGCTTTTGGATGTTTGGGGTTTGATCTTTTTATGATAGAATTTGGCGTGTACATCTCTTTCGTTGATGAAATTGGATAGAGTATTGAATATTTTTTAATTGGCTGGCTGATATCCAGATGGAACGGAGGGTGGTAGAAATTCAGACTCGCAACTTGACATGGTAAAGTATCATTACATAGGAGCAGCGCACGCAACGCAAAGCAATATAATTAATATCTTCGTCTTCGAACAACAATTCCCATAGGTGATGCTAGCTTTGTATCCGATGTTCAATGCTGTAGGGCCAAATATCCCAGGGTATAGTCCCAGCCTCTTGCAGTAGGGAATTCTCCAGGTTTAAGGGCTCGCCGTACAAATAAGTAAGATCGCTCAGCTAACTATACGTTCTATTGTACGCACCGGCGAAGACCCCCAGGGTGGCTGTTACGCACGTCGTATATCCGGAGAGATCCCCCACCGTGAGAGCCAGCTAACGAACGCCATTATGCCTCAGTCCTGTGTCCATGCCCATATGCGCTATGCGGAATAACCGATGCGTTGCTGATCTATATCCTCCAAGGAAAGCCATATCCATACTGTTAATATCCCATTCCCAGACCCGTACACCGAAAATACGCTTCATCGTTCATAAGTCGGCGCCTCGTGCACAGGCGTCCCCGCCGTCTCCACAACCCCAAACAAGGTCGCTCCTTGCCCAGCACATTCCGGCGACATCGAATTGTTTGGTGAATGATGCACCTTATGTGGACTCCACGCTTTGTGCTGCTGCTCATCGTATGCCGCTGCGCTCATGCCACTCATAAACCCATTCGGATTAAACTCTGTAACACCTGGAGCTGGTCCTGACTGCCCGCTGATCCATGATTGATGGGCGACAGTGGCGGCCTCGCGTTCGAGTCGTCGGTTTCGCAGGATGAGGTAGACGATGCCCCAGGCGATGGCGCCCAGGACTATGAGACCACCTATTGCGCCGCCGACGATGGCGCCAGTGTTGTTTGATTTGGACTTGTGCTCGGTGTCCTGCATAGCTGTCGGAGATGTAGTCGCGGGCACATCTGTCGTCGTGCTCGACGCGGTCGTCTTAGTCGGCCCCGAGCCTTCTGTCCCCGAAGCCTGCAATTCTGAGCGTGCTGCAGTAGTGACCATTCCACTCCATGTGCGCTCAATAACCATAGTAGCTGCCTCGGCAGCACATCCGTACTCGGTCAACGTCGTCGTTCTCTCCGTCGAATAAACGTAGAGCCACTCGTAGCAATTCGGCGCCTCGGTGCCGGTGCATTTTGCAATGTAGCCGTTGTCAGAGCAGACCGAGTTGGTGCAGCTGGCGGACATCAAGCTGCTGGGGATGCATGTTGTGGGAATGCTGCATGCGGACATGTCATTTGGGTCGCAGCAGCCGTGGACGCCGTAGTAGGTGTTCGTTGCGCAGACATAGTCGGAGTTGTAACATGTTAAGGATGATGCTTTGGAATGGTTAGAACACGGGTCTGAAGGTGTTCAAGTATATTGCTGCGCTGTCGGCTTACTGGAAATGCCGGATATAAATCCACATGTGTTGTCTAGGCCAGCGCGCCTGAAGAGCTCGATGGCGCCGACATGTGGTGCTTTAGTTGGAGCGGGACTCCAGTTATCTGGTGCCGGAACGACGAGAGTTGGCTGTGGAGGTGCCCACGGGAAGGCTGCGGCGGCTGCGAGCGCTGGTGCGAGAAAGGCGCATATTATGTGTGTAAACATTATGTTAAATCCATCCGGGCGGATACGTGCTATGCAGGTGCGTGGACCTCAGAGCGTCATGCCGTGCGAGAAACTGTAGACGATCAGCGTATAGCTGAAGCGAAGTGTGAGGAGTGCAAAAGAACGCGGTGATCAGGCGAGGGCAGCTGTGTTATGTACAGAAAGGCTGAGCAGCGCGCAAGCTCAAGCCCGCGATGGTTGACGTTGGCTGCAGCCACCACTTCGGGGCGCTGCCCTGTCGATCGAATGGCGTTCGTTGCGGCATCGTCGTGAGCCCAGGGTCATGCTGTGGTACGGCATGATGCGGGCTGTAAGCGTCACCTTGGGAGACCGTCGGGCGAATAAAGAGCATGCTGACTGCTCAAGCACTCCCTCTCCAACCCGCCGGGCCACACGCAGAAAAGTGAGCTCGCTAAAGGCAAGTGGTTGGAGATGTGAGCTGCTTCGCCGCCAAGCTGCGGCTGATTGCTTTGGGTAAAGTCTGGGCTGACCACTCACAGAATGCGTCTTGTGCAGTGCACAAATATAGATCACAAATATAGATCCACAGACGTAGAATGGTTGAGAGCATCCCTTTGAAGGCGCAGAAGAACCCGAACTCTAGAACGCTATCCGATAGTTGCTCGGATGTGTGGCTGGCTCGTTGTCTTGAGCAAAATCGAGCTGCTGGATCGGCGACAGGGAAGCGACGGTGGTACAGGCGCCCTTGAATGGGAGCCGCAGAGCCTCATGGAGTGGAGGCTGTGCGACGAGACACCTGAGGCAACCGAGCCTTGGAGAATCGCATCCTGGCCTCGATCAAGGGAGGACTCAAAGCTCTGACGCCCCGCATTGCCCAGGAAGGCTATGGTGAACACCCCTTCCCATCGGACTCTTGCGGCTGTACACTGATTTTCTCGTTCTTGGATGGGGAAGTCCAGCGCTATCTGGCATACGCGATCTGGAGGATCTATGGACGCTTCTATTCTCTCGGAGAACACCGCCGCGCGTCGGTCCACATCGCGTGTGCGCAATATTGTCGAGCCCGCGGCTGAGTGTTCCTCGCGTCAGTGACCAGTTCCAGAGATTGTGGAGCGTGAAGATATAGTATAGTATAATCTGTCGATGAGTATATTTTGCAGACGTAACGAGAACCAACTCTTGGTACAACTGCAGCTCTGCAACCCTAGGTTGGTATTCCCAAACGTCTTCCTAATGCCAAAGTACAGCGGTGACTCCTCCGATGCATAGATGCCTTGATATAGCAACCTTCCGCCGTATCGCGAAATATACAGGTGATGTACAGGATCCGAGAGGCCGCGGTATGTGACCTAGTTCCGCTTGTGGGGGCCGATAATCTTCGGATACATGCGCGAGAGGTGGTAGTTGATGTTGTTCTTCTTCTGGTTTGGATTTCGCTGCATACTGTGAGCGACTGCTGCCACAGGTATGAGTAAACACATACCGGCGAGTCCATGCATTGCCGTAGCTTCTGCTCCAGCTGTACACAGCCCTGAATGCTGTATCCTGACGACGCCCAGCATCCTGTGATAGGAACATCAGCAATCTGCCATATATCTCCTCTGCGCCGTCCTCGTATAGTATCCTCCTCTACGGCACATCGTTTGCCATTCTACGGCGCCTCATTCCAAAATGATGACCACCAAAGAGCACAAACTAGTAGACATACCCAAAACCGATGACATTATACCTAAGCACGGATTCGCCTCGGGCTTGTTCGGTCGTCGAACGCGGAGCTTCGGGAGCGGCGGTAACGGGCGGTGGGTAGCGGCTTGGACGGTCGCATTTTGCGGTTTTGGCACCATTGCGGAGATGCGCGTCGACGGGGTATCAGAAAGCCGCTGGAATGGACCGGTCGGCACCGTGGACGAAGTGTGCGGAGATGCGTGAAGGCCAGGCGGGTGTTGAAGCTCTCGAAAAAGTGCCAAAGCAGCCTAGCGCGGCAGCACCCCTGCTAGCGTGCACTGGCGGGTCTGTTTGTTTTGGTCTCGTTGCCTACCACGCCGACCCATGCCACTGTCACTCGCTACAGAAGGCCACCATTCTTCTGCCTGGATTTATGACTGCATGTCGTTGCCATTGCTATCTGACCGAGCAGTTCTATCCTAATACCGCCGCAATGGCGCCCACACCGCGCGGGACCGCGCCGTCGAGCTTCGAGCAGACATGGGACGACACCGATGCCGCTTTCCTCAACCCGACTGCCCTTCCTATAGCCAAGGTGCCTCGGGCGTGGGAGCGTAAACAAGAGACAAAGGTCACGGGAGAGGGAAGACACAAGAAAGTTTGGCGCAGATATTCCATGAGGTCGCGTGCAGCAAACACTGCGACGCCGGACGAAGACGAGGAAGAGGAACAGGAGCGCGATTCGCGGTCAAGAGCCGTGAAGAAGCTACAGCACATGAGCCCCAAGGCAATGGAGAAGTCGGCCACCTTGCGAACTGGCAGAAAGCGCACGTTCAAAGCTACGCGCTGGGATCGCAGGAAAAGCGTGCTTCCGCGTAGGCGTCCGTCCGATACATGCTCAAACGGAATGCTAAATAGCTCATAGGCAAGAAAACAATGCCCACCGAGCCCTCCGCTAACAATGTCGAAGACACGAACGACTCTCGCGATGAAATTCAAGACACAATCCATGTAAACGTCAGCAATAGCAGCTTTCCCGAGGTTGACATGCACGAATCGGGGGATACAGCGCTTCCGCTAGTGCTACCACCCGATGGCAAGGACAGAAGGGCAACCTTTACCTTCTCTGTCGAAGAGGATCAGGATGAGCGTCCCGTTCGCGAAGCTGAGGGCATCTCGGCCTATCAAGGCGACAACCGCCCTGCCTCACTCGAACCCGAAGCCGATCAGGACGCTACGCTTGTCCGATTATTCCGCTCTCCGGCCAAGGTCGATCCTCTTGTCGCACCCGTGGAATCATTTGAAGTCGTAGATTGTGCTCGGCTGCCCCGACCGACTGAGGCTGAAGCTGAGAAAATCATTATTCCTGCAGATGAGCAAGACGAGACCTCTGAGGCATGCGCCGGAGACGCCGCAGTTCAAGACGCCGTTAAGGCTTTGGACATGGAAGAAGTTATCTCCTCGGAACAGGAGGGTCTCCCAACACGAGAGGCAGAGGGGGAGCGGTACGCAGAGGAGGCAAAGGTGGACACTCATGCGGTGCAGGTGGTTCGGGTGTCGTATCCTTCGTTATTTGACGATGAACTCCATGAAGGATCAATAGATCCCCCCAATCATCCCGAGGAAAACGGGGACTATGGAGTGTCCGAAACTACGTTCGCTTTCCTTGATCTGCAGCAGGAGGAGGGAGACAGCGGCACCGATTCCGACACACGGGAAGAGTTGCCCGAAGAGGAGAACTTTACAGAGGCATCCCTGCAGCTGGACCTTCAGCAAGACCAAAAAACAGAGCAACAACGAATCCAAACGGGATCATTGGCCGCACCAGAAGCGCAGCAGGAGTTGACGGCGAACAACGCTACAATAGCAGAAGACGCCACTTCGGAAAACGTTGCAGGTGCTACCCATCAGGAGACGGCGGACACAGAGCGTCACGCCACAGCTGGAACCCCAACCACGGAAACTCAAGAAATCGCGGTAGACGATATCGCCGCCGGGCTTACTCTGGGTCCCTCTGTGCCTTCTTCGAGGGAGCCTACGCCGCGAAAATTGCGATCCCCGTCGCCGCCTGCTGCCGCTGAGCCCGGACCAGAAGACACCACTATGACGATAGCTTTGGACGACGACACAGCGCTCTTGAAAGACTTTCTCTCGCGTGCTGCGGCAAACAGGGCAAACAAAGCCGCCAGCATGGCGCGTCGCGAATCTCTTCAAAATCGGCGTGACTCAGATGTCGTGCGTCATGCACTGGCATCTCCCCGCAAGGTTCTAGAAGACAAGGACCCTAACTCTCCCTCGAAATACGATAACGACACCACGCTGGATTTATCGCAGACTCTCACGCTAAATGCTGCGGAGCAGCATGCTCCTTTATCGCTATCACAAGACCAAGCAGACACGGAGGGCGTTGAAGACACGAAAGTGCCACGCAGCTCGAGGAGGTCATCCCGCACACGAAAATCTCGTCTTCCCGCTCCAGCGTCAGCCGCGCAGCAGGTCGGGCCTCCTAAGATCGCAGTCGGGCGCAATGGCAGTGACCATATCGTGCTTAAGAAGACAGATGCGCAAGAGCTGAGTCTCCTGACGCGAGCCAACACCCGCAAGAACAAGCAAGGTGCAATGGCAGTCGGCGTCCGTCTTCTGAAGCTTGCGAATGACGCCGCATCTCGTTCGGCAGATGACCTTACCATCGAAGCTGATCCGGCGATGGTGAACGGGAAGAAGTATGTTCGCTGGGATGAACAGTTGGCGTATTATCAAGAAGGCACAGACACCATGGCAAACATGCTGGCGGAAGCAGAATCCCTCGCCAGCCCAGATGAACTCAGCTTGCCGGCTCCTGTGTCTACTCCCAGCGTGAAATCGAAGTCAAAGTCATCGAAGGACAAGAATTCTACGCCAAATATCCGACGCGTTCGTGGCCTAGGTACTGCTAACGGTACACCTGGAAAAGGCCTCCTGGCCACTGTATCTCTCCTGCCCGATGCTGTCCAAGAGGAGAAAGACGCTGCTCAAGCGCAATCGCAATCGCATTCACAGCATCAGCGCCTCCCGAAGCCTAGATCCAGCAAGCTGAAGAAGATGCCCGTCGCCTCAACTTCTACCCCGGATCCGGCACCCTCAGCGCCCATGGACAAGCTTCCAGTTCTAGACGTCGTGCCTGTAGGCATTGAACCCACTAAAGCCGTCACAAAAGAACGAAAAAGCCGGCTAGCGACGCCCAGGAAAGTCAAGCTACCGCAGCCGGGGTCTGCGGTCGTTGCAGACGGGAAGGAGAACCAGCGAAGGGGTAGCATTGCCGCCGGGACGCCTAAGAAGGGTATCCCGATGCCAGCTGTTGTTGTACCCTCGAGTAAGGGCGTGGAGACGGGGCTACCCAGACGAAGAGGACGGAAGCTGTAGCACAGCGGCGTGGGTTGAGGAACGCGAATTGGGTGATTGATGGATATTACGAAGACTTATACATTCTTTTTCTACTGGCATATAGAGCGGTTTAGCGATGGGGTTCACAACATTTTGTATACCGCGATTGGAGAGGCATTGCACATTGGGCGTTCGAAGGATTACGGCTTTTATCATTACTTCCGTCTCCTAAGCGTCATGCCTGCCTCCAGGGCGCAATGCATACTCTGTCTATCTTTCTACGCATTCAAGTTTGTCCCGATCGCTGTCTTCCATCCAGACTTTGTACACCTCGGCCAGCACAGTGAAAGCCATTTACAATCGCGATAGGCCTAGAAAAGCCCATGGTATCCGGATCCTCGCCTTCCGCAAGCACACATTACGCAGAGTGAGTTGATCACTCGTTCTCTTCCTGAACCGCTATCACAGAAACGGGCCCTCCCAGGCATCCCTCTTGATCTTCATCAGATTACTCTGCTTGTGTGGAAAACTGATCTCCCTCTCTTTGTAGAAGCCCGCGTCGAGCAGATACTGCGCCAACCTGTTCACGCGTTAGAGTGCCATCCCGACCTTCTCTCGAGCGAATTCGAAATTGGACTTACTTCTCGTTATCAACCCTCGGCTCCAGCATCACCGTGTCTGTCCTTAGGTCCGACAGGAAGCAGAAGTGCACCAGTGCGCTCAGCCACACCTTGACCCTGTGCTCTCCTCTGAATTCTTGTTCTCCAACCAAGCAATGGAACCCGCGGTCGTAGTCGCCGACGTGTGGGAGGTACTTCCCGATATTATCCTCCTTCACCCAATATATTTCAAAATACCCGAACGGCTTCCCATCCCAACATCCAATCACCGGGAAACTATGCCTGCTCTGCAAGCCTCTCTTGAGAAACTCTTCCTGCTGCGATTGTGGACCGGACTCACCCCAGAAGTAGGATATGCGAGGGTCGTTCATCCACTTGTGGAGGTACTCCGGGTCGGAGAGGCCGATGTTGAGCGAGGACATGGTGGGAAGGTTGGTATCGGAGGCGGGCAGAGGGGAGGTTCGGTGCGGGGTGGGCGTGTGCTGGGAGACGGGGCCTCGGTGGCGGAGCGGTTTCGAGGATATGGAGGCTACGCGGAAGGAGAGGTATTGGCCTACGCTGGGTATGAAGCGCGTGTAGAAGATTTCGCCTTGCCGTGGTGGTTTGGGGCGGAGTGGGTGTCGGACGTAATTCGAGAAGATGTATTGCGGTGGTGGAGGCGGGTAGTATGTGGGTAGGTGTGAGGTGGAATGGAAGGGCCCTGGAGCAGTGGGCGACCAGAGGCCTTGTGAGACTTGCTCGAGCTGAACTTCTTTTGAGTCTCGTTCGCCGCCGCGGACTGGTGATCCGGGTCTGGAAGTATAGGGCGAGCCGTTGGGGAAGGGTGATTGCGACATGGGCGACAGCGTGAAGAGGTAGATGCGGGGATCTAGCTGCCAGAAAGTACGCCGGCTGATGAACATCTTCGTCCAGCCATCGGGGGATGTCTCGCCTTGGACTATGCCCACGCTTGATTCTTCGCTCGCAATCAAGCCCATGCGCTCCAGCTTCGGCAGCACGACCTTGCCCTTGAAGATGCCCTCCCGATTTACGTTGACCCGCCACTCACCCTCTGGCTTTCCCGAGTCCGGGGTATTCTTCGAAGCGGCGCTCGTAACCTGCAGGTCCGGTTCAGGCTGGTGGAAGTACCAGTACAGCGTCGCCCACAGCATCATGGCGATCTGTCTCGTGGGCGAGGATGCCGGCTTGAAGTCGCTGCTGCTCGGATTCGATATCGACGAGATATACAGGTGGTCGTTATGCAGCGTAGGCCTCTTGTACCGATGTATGCGGCCCCTCGGGGTCCTCGACCCCTCTGTCGCGGTATCCTCGTCCTGCTTCTCGTCCAGCCCCTCATCCTCCGAGTTCAGCACAATCGTCCAGCCCGCCGGGAACGGCGAGTGGTGGTTCGTAAGATCATTGCTCTTGAAGAACAGGCCGCCAAACACGGGCGTGACCGTCACGACCTGCCCGTTGGGCAGGTGTACGACTGAGCCCGGGGCCATGGCGATAGCGGGGTAGCACGAACGAAGACAGACGGCTTCTGGAATGTTGGCGCATATATAGGCCTTGCGGGGTGCAGGCGGCAGTGGATCTGGGGTAAGGTTACATGGCGTGAGGGCGGCGATATCCAGGCACGAGAGGCACCGCTCTCAACAGAAAAGACACACGAGCTGCACGAAATGATGGCATGTGCGTGTGCGAGTGCGTGTGCGTGTGTTGGGTGAGATGGGCCGGTCCGACATGCTAGCGGCAATGCGGGGCGCCACAGTTCACGCCACGCCGTGAGGTCATCCATGGATCCCCAGGGCCATTCACCTGATGCGCGCGAGATCAATGAGGCTGGAAGCGCTGGAGACAATCGACGATGTCCGGCAAGGGCCCCACTGCGAGATACATCATGTTCACGTTGCGTCCTCGCGCGCGGTGCTCGGATTGGGTGGACGCGTGAGGGGAGCTCGCTGCTCGGAGCTTCGGGAGCTTGGACGTCTAGGAATGACGAAATGGGCCTGATTATTTAGCAGCCGAGACGAGAAGCGCAAACAAGGACTCTTCCTCCTGCTATCCTGTCAAAACCCTACTTCCATCGACCTCAATTGACCGAACCCGCCACCTTGCAACCATGAACTCGACTCTGCTCCGCACCACTGCCGTCCGCTCCGCGCTGCGAGCTGCTGCTCCCAAAGCCAGCACCCGCGCTGGGCTTGCGGGCACCACCTTCGTCCGTGGAAAGGCTACGCTTCCTGACCTTCCGTGTACGCTCCTCACATCCCCCCATTGCCCACTGGCAAGCTAATGCACCCATACAGATGACTACGGCGCGCTCGAGCCGTCCATCAGCGGCAAGATCATGGAGCTCCACCACAAAAACCACCACAACACCTACGTAACCTCGTACAACAACTTCACCGAGCAGATGGCCGAAGCCGAGCACAAGTCCGACATCGCCGCCAAAATCGCCCTGCAGCCGCTGATCAACTTCCACGGCGGCGGCCACCTGAACCACTCGCTCTTCTGGGAGAACCTCGCGCCGACGAGCCAGGGCGGCGGCGAACCCCCGTCGGGACCCCTCGCCCAGGCGATTAACGATGGGTACGGGAGCTTGGACGCGATGAAGGAGAAGTTTAACACGGCGCTGGCGGGGATCCAGGGCAGTGGGTGGGCGTGGCTGGTGCAGGATACGCAGACGGGGAACGTGATGATTCAGACGTATGCGAATCAGGACCCGGTTGTGGGGCGGTTTAGGCCCATTTTGGGAATCGATGCTTGGGAGCATGCGTACTAGTAAGTGTTCCTCCCTCTCGTTTGTGCCATTGCGGCAGACGCTGATGAATTGTTTAGCCTTCAATACCAGAACCGCAAGGCCGAGTACTTCAAGGCTATCTGGGATGTCATCAACTGGAAGGCGGCTGGGAAGCGCTTCAAGTAGATCCGACATATCCGCGAAGGGGAAATGCGGGAAAAAAGAATGAGTTCGTCAACCAATGGCCAGAGCGGTCCACCACGAAGTAAGGAGGCATTGTAGCATACTTCTTCAAGCAGTCTGTCTTTCCAAGTTAGTGTTCTTTTCCCTCTGAGCGTGTCAGTGCTGCGAAAAGGACCAAGTACCGAGATTGAGCACTACCTGGTCAATTTAGAGTTGCCACGTTTATTCATGTCAACCTTGGAAGCACATGTTGTATACAGGACGCCATCGATTGCTGCAGCTCTACGGACCATATCAACGCAAAGTTCGTGCGACGCGCCCTCCTTGCATCTCTTCCTGTCCTTCACCCATCTCGCTGACGGAGAGAGACGGAGAGAAATACCAAGATATATAACAAGAAACCAAAAAGGAAAAAGCATATGTGGTATAGAAGCCGTTAGGTGGTTAAATGCGCCCCCCCGGGACAGCCCCTCCCGAGGTCATCGTCAAGCCGGAACACCCATGATTAAAAGAAAGGAAGCAGAAAGACACAAAGGCTCTGAAAGCCGTCTACCATGCATCCCCAAAGATCTCCTTCGGAGATTGCACTATATCGTCACCGCCCTGCCTCTTCCGGCCGCCCATCTTGTTCATCATCTTGCGCTCCTTCTTTGTCACTAGATGCGGAGTCACGGGCGTGACGGGAGTGAACGGCATGTAGGGGCTGTATGGTGTGTATGGGACACCGGTCTTGGGCGTCGTCATGCTCAGCTTATCGACGCGCCTGTCGAGCACTGTCGTGCGTAGATCGGGGGACTTGAGCGGTTCTTGGAAGCCACGCAAAGGCAGCGAGGAGGCGGACGAGGTGGCTGACTTGGTGGGTTGAGGGTGGGAGGCTGATGTGGGAGAGTGGGTGGACGAGCCAGCTCGCTGGGGCGCCGGACGAGGCAGGGGCTGCACTTCGTCGAGTCTCTCGTAATCTTCGTCGCCGTCGCGTGGGGTTGTCGGAGAGTGCTGTTGGGTAGGAGGCGAAGGCGGCGCACCAGGGTTGTAGAAGCGTGGGGAGAGCGGTGTGCGCGCCTCGTCGTGGGGATTTTCACCGGGGTATTTCTGGATGGGGCCGCTGATGCGGAGGTTCTTAAGATTGAACCGTGTCTTGCTGCTCGAAGAGGTGTTGGAGTGGTGCGACTTCTTGGAGAGGATGCTGCGTGGGCTGGAGGGTCGCTCGCGGGGTAGAGGAGCGGTCGGCGGGCCGTTGTGCTGGTAGCCGGGAGGATAGATCGCTTTGACGGGGGAACCGGGGTTGGATGAGGCGCGATCGCGGGAGGTGTTGATAGCGGATGGGCGGCGCTCAGTCAATTCCGCCTCCTCAGTGCTGACCTGCGAGTAGCTCTTCTTCCTATCGTGGTCCATGACAGCAGCATAGAGTCGTTCCATTTCCGCCTGCGCTCTTTCCTTATCCGCCTCCAGAACCTTGTGATCAAAGCTACTCGGCGACTGGACAGTAGGGCTCTGCGGACTTCCAATCGCCGAATCGGTCGGCTTGTCCCTCTTAAAAGTCTTCTTCATCCAGCTCTTCGCGCTCCCGGGGCTTGTAGGACTCTTCAGACTCGGGCGCTGCTTCGTGACAAGCTCAAGCTCCAAGGTCCTTGGGGAGTTCTCAGTCTTTCGACGCATTCTGCGGCCGACAGTGAGGAGGAGGATCCCCCAAATAAGTACTGTGAGGACGTAGCCACCGACGAGGCCACAGATCTGCCCCGGCAGCTGGTCTCTGTTGGGCTCAGGCGCGAATTCGCGGTCGAAAGGGCCGGCGCGGCGGTGGAGGAAGGGTGCGGCACACACGTTGTTCGAAACTACCAACAAGCAGAGTAGGGGCGTAGGAATCCTACTACTCAGCATTGTTATAGGAAAGGGAGGGGTTGCTGCGTGTGCCCCAGGCAGTGGTTGTCCCGACGGAGCGAAGTGCGACACACAGGAGGGCCGGATGAAATGCAGAGTGTAACAGCTGGCGACATGCTGATATGAGTACTCCGGGCGGCTGCTATTCTATTTCAGCGAGGGGAGCGGTGCTGGGGTGCGTGATGGCTGGGAGAGGGCGATGGGCGCGCTGATTGGAGAGGTTGTTTCGCACGTCGTGCGCCCGCATCCAGTGGTTGCCCACGGGTAGCCGCCGGGGCGGGGTCGCCTCATGCGGTGGCTGCCGTCCACGGAAGCCTCCTGGTCGCCGTCGTACAGGCCACGCGGATCTCGAGGCACTGCGACCAGATCTTCGCGTTGGACACTGCAGATGCCGTTGTTGCAAGCGCAATTGCGGTCCAGCAGCTGCCAAAACGCGCGCGAGAAACATGTTTCCGCCGCCCGCCGCCCGCCAAACCGAAGAAACAGGCCCAAACCCGCGACCGTCGCCATCGGCCGTGCGCATGGATCGCCTGAAGCGGCCCCTGCGGATCTGCATCCTCCGTCCAGTGAGCGGGTCGAGCACAGTGCACGCCTGCGGGAGACGGCCGGTCCGCACGCATGAATTGTTTTCCCTGCAGACGAGAAAATAAACCGTTTCTGCGCCCCCCCATTGGCCCCAATAATGTTTTTGTAAGCGCTCACAGCGCCAATCGAGCCTCCGTCACCTTACCCGTCACAAGCCACCAGGAGCTCGAGCTCGAGGCGTGCTGGCGTCCAGACCGAAAAGGTGGCCTGAAGAGTTTATCAGCAGAGGGTCGTCACATCGCAAAAGCAATTCGGAAACGTTCATGCAATGCAAAATGCACACGCCATCACAGCCGACTGCCCTAGAAGTGGTCGAATATGGGGCCTCAACCGCCCAGGCACGCCGGGCTCGTGATGGCAATTGAGATTGGTGGGAGTGCGATTCATGCACCGTCTCCTTCAGCAAGTTGAGATAACCATCGAGAAGGGTGTCATTTCCCGAACCCATCAGAGGTCGCTAACGTACGAAGAGTATGTCCGGAAGGGGAGACTATGGGTTGGTATCAAATGCTGTTGTATTTACAAGCCGTTCTCGCTCTAGAAGGTTTCGTGACTACCTAAAATAGGGATGCAGCATGTCATTCTAGATTAGCAAAAGCCAGTAAGACGTATCTGCCCTCAGAAAAGGCGGTGGAAGCTTACCCTATGCAATCACGCCTTTGCACTCGACCAATAACTCTGGATTACGAGTATGCAGGCAAGCAGGACACAATTGTCTGATACACATCAAATATGTATCAAACTGCATCCTCACTTGCCCTCAGCTCGCGCGACGAGGCCCTCCTCAAGACCAACGGGCTCCCAGACACTCTTGTCCTTCTTGTTCTGCGCCCAAATCACATCGCCCTTCATATACGCGACCACGCCGCCCTTTCCAGTAGCACTCGCCGTGATCCTGAACAGGGGTTGCCCAGTCTTCTCGTCTGCCTTACGTAGCGGGATTAGCAACAGGTTCTCCTCCGCGCACCAAGCCTCAACCACGTCCTTGAACGTAGTCTCCTCGATCTCCTGTCTTGCTGAACGCGGCGGCTCAGTGTTTATGGACTTCGAGAATTGAGGCGTCTCTGGAGATGGGGAGTGCCTAGGCTCTGCAGCAGCGGGCAAGGTGAGCTTCTCTAGCTCTGGTCCCTCGAGATCTAGGGCGGCAATCACGAGCTTGTAGGCTTCCTCCCAGTCACGCTCGATGATGGCGACTTCGTTAATCTCCTCAGGAAACACACTCTTCTTCCACCAGGACAGCCACTCTCCGATTTCTTCGAAATTTCGACCTTCGAAGGTCAACCAAGAGTGCAGGGTATGGAAGAACTTCGACGCGAAGAATTCGGCGTGAAGAAGCTCTGCTATGATGCGGGCCGGTAACACGCCGCACCAGCTGGTGATTGCCGAGATTGGCTCCAAGTTTTGCTCAGCAGGATTGAATTCGAAGTCGTCGCGGAGGTACGCGGCCAGTCGCGGGAGAAGCTGCTTCACCAGAAGCTGTTCAATCTCGCCGGGGAAAGCTTTCTTCCAGAGCTGAATGCCGGGAATGACGCCTCGTTGGACGGGCCAGAGCTGGACGAGACTGCGAAGCTTGGGCATGGCTTCGGAGAGCATGTCTGAGTCATAGGGTAGCCAATCGAAAACCCAGTTCGGGAGGGGAGACGAGCTCTTGTGCTTAATCGCTTTCCGGGGGTTCCACTGCTGAAGTGCTGCAGAGACCTTGCGCTTGATCTCTTTAGTCACCCGCTGGAAGATAAAGGGAGGCAGAACCGGCTTCCAGACTTCTATAGCGCGTATAAAGGCCGCAGCAGAAGGCCCCTCAAGCTCCAAATCGTTAATCATAGCTGTATGAAAGTGGGGCCACCATGACAGCATCATAGATTGGTATAGCGTTGTAGACCGCCGGTTGCGATATTCGTTGTCGTGGGGGTATGGCGCAAAGACAGAGATCGGACGAGCAAGTTCGCTCGAGGGTGGTTGGTATTCGGCCGCTGCAGCCTGGGTGGAGGGATCGATGATACCTCGCACCTCGCTCAAAGAACAGGCAACATGTTCGAGTGGGTCGGAAGCTGGAGTCCATCCAGCTATCTGGGAGGTGAAGTGCGAGTGTATAGCGGCCACTGCTTCTCGTTGGAGGTCTTTGGAGGGGTAGGCTGCGCGGAGAGCCTTCAACCCGTCGCAAACCGCCGAAAAGTCCTTCTCAGTACGCAACGCCTCTAGTCGAGCGCTGATATCTTGAATCTCTGCTATCTGAACGCTGAGACCCTCGAGTTCAGCATACAGGCGGTCCATTTCGAATTCAATGTTCTTAGAATCCGTCTGTATCGCGTCGACCGCTTCTCCAAAAGCAGCAACCTCCCTCTGTACGCGACCCGCCAGGCTTGTCTGGAAAGGTATCTCGTCGCCCCGCAAGCGAAGCGCTGATGTGGATGTGGCTTGTCCTGTAGTTGCATCGACGATAGATTGCAAGGTGCGCGGAACCTGCATACCAGCGGCTTCGAGGTCGAATATAGTCTTCTTCGGCTTGGGCGCTGCGGTGGAAGCGGCTGTCGATTTCTTCTTCCTCCTTTGCATGCGCTCTTCTTCTTCCGAATCTTCGACGTAGGTTTCGCCATTCAGCTCTGCCTTGCGGCGCTCCTCTCGGATTTGCTGCTCGCTCTTCTCCTTGACCGCACCGACGCCGCCTCTGGTGCCACGCAGGGTGACTTGTATAGGCTCGGACATGCCTTGCTTTTCTCTACCCAGGCCCTGACCCTCCTTCCAGCCCATCTTGGACATCAGCTTTGCGCCGAGCCCGCTAAATGAGCCGCCCTCATTGTCGCTTTTAGGCTTCTTCCGAGGCTCCTGTCTGAAGTTGTGCTTGCGCTTCTGCTGGTTTTCCATCCTGAAGGACTTCGCTGAGAAATCTGCTGTGTGCGGCCGTACGGGCAACCGGTGGCGCAAGGGGCTTCGCGGGTCGTGGAGAGATGTGGGAGTTCGAGGGTTGGAGAAATTAGGCGTTCGCGCTATTCACCGTCCCGAGGTTTTGCCGGCGAGTTATCGCGGTGAATGCGGTTGGCCAGAGCCACCCCTGCAGGCTGGACTATTTTGGGGATTCCGATATCTCTCGATTGACGGGCAACAACAACAGCACCCGTCCCCCCTAAACCGCACAACAACACTTTCGCGCAGCATCGGTGCGGTTTCCGCCAGCTCCCGCCGCCATGGCTTCCTCGCCCACCGCCCTGGCGCATCCAATGCCCCTCCGCTCTCCTGACGCCGCAACTATCGACCTCCGCCATCCGACACCTGATCTGCAGTCGCTCCAAGGGGCTTACATTGGCAACATCGAGCGCTTGGAGGAACACGCGGAGCGCATGAGCGAACAGGGCTCAGATCTCGGGGAAGAGATCCGCAAACTGCAACTCGAGCAGAAGCTTTCCGAGAGCCGCCGTTCGTCCCTCCGGTCCGCACCACCCGTCGAGGAGCACACGCGGCACTTCAGCACGCGAAGCCGCAATGCGTCAACCAGCTCGTACACGAATTCAATCGTAGACGTCAATGGCAACGCGCGATGGGGCGGCTACTCTCCCGGTGGCTACGTGACTTCGCCCGTGGGTTCTCTGCGATCCGGTTCCTTATCGCAGGCTCCCCCCGCGCGACAGCGCTCAGAGTCGAAGACATCGCGGCTTGGTCAGATTGTGCATGCCGAAGAGGAGGAAGAGGAACCGCAAGCAGCCGTACAGCAGCCCGATTCACCACAATCGCACCAATCCGTTCGATCGCCCTTACGAGACAACTCGCCGCCTCCGCCGAGCCATCGGTCTGTTTCGTCGTTTACGCGGCAGTATGACAAGATTGCGCAGGAAATCCAGGATGAGTTGCAACAAAGCATGACCCTGGAGGAGCATCTCGGCCACCAACAGCTCCATAGACAGCCAGCATCCTTCGAAGACCATCCACGCGCAGACTTCCCTGATCGACCCGCGACGGCCGCCTCAACCGATACAACGCATAAAATGCGCCACTTATGGCAAGATTTCGACGGCGTGCACTGTCCGGACACGGTGCCTGAAGAGGAACCAGAGCAATCGCATGCCAGCGGCAGCCGAGCGTCGTCTATGCTCAAATCCGCCCCGGAACTGCCACCTCAAGGCGCGCCGCCTCCCGATGATGGCATGGTCTTCTATCCTGCTCCGGTACCAAAATTATTGAACCTCCCACAGCGTCTGTCCAAGGTGCCAGCTGCCAATGTGCAAGCGCGGCGGCGCACCCAGCTTCTAGAGTCAATGCATGCCGAAAACAGAAAATCTGCTGCCTTGCTGCCGGAGGTTGGTGGAGAGCCTTCAAAGCCGAATCGAAAGAGCAGGCAGAGCTTAGCTAACCTGCCTCCTCAGCTGCGTGCGAGTGCTTACTTTGATCAGGTTGCGCCTGCACAGGAGTTTGAGGTTCAGGGTGAATCTGCCGAAGATACCCTGAACAGTATATTAGAGGCTTCGGCCCATGCTCCGGTGTCCGCATTTACTGATCATCCGTTTGCTGGCCATGTAGGCGACGAAGTGTACGGTAGAGAACACAGGCGGAAGGTATCAAAAGCGAACGAACCGGAGAAGATCGATAATCGAAAGAGCCGGAGCTCTTTGAACCTTCTAGATACGCGTCGGAATTCCAGCGGCGACCCCTTGAACAAATTGAAGAAGCGCAACAGCTCTGCGGATCTCAACATGCTCACAGTTCGGGCCAGCGAGAGCCGGATGAGCTTGGGCGATGAACTAGAACATCCCGATCCCGATGCGAGAGGGCCTGAGCTTGGTGGCGACGAAACGCTAACCGGCCATTCCGTCGACGGAGAACATATTCTCCCTCAAGAGGACGAAGAGGAAGAGGAAGGAGAAGAAGAGCAGGAGGAGCAATTTTTCGGTCAACCCACGACGCTGCTCGCTGAACTGCAGATGCGCAAGCAGCAGCAGAAGAGCCGCAACTTGACAGCTGCTACTGCATTTCCAAATGGCATGCATGCCACTTTGCTAGAGCTTGATGCAGTGGCTGAAATCGAGAAGAAGAAACGAAGAGGCCAGAAGGTCAACCTTGCGTGGGAAGCTCAGGCTCCGCCTGCCGAAGATGACGACTCTGATGACGATGTACCCTTAGGCGTTCTCTTCCCTGGCCGCGACGGCCTAGTTAATAAGAAGGCCGGCCCAGCTACGCAACAGGACCGGGATTGGGATCGTCCGCTAGGATTGATTGCACAGCGAGAGCTCGAAGACAACGAACCACTGAGTCGGCGTCGCACTAGGCTTGTTGGTGGTAGGCCAAGGGATACTAGCCCTTCCAAACGACAAACCCAGCTTCTAGCGTCACAAAGCCAGCAGTACCTTGCTGTTCCCTCGACGACAACACCACACCCCGAATCAGAGGAAGATGAGGGAGAGACGCTCGCTGAACGCATGCGCCGCATCAGGGAACGAAAGGCGCTCGATGATGCTATCGGTGTCGACGTTCGAAAGAGCACTGTCAGCGGCGATTTCGCTGCTGAAATGATGAGTCAGTTCGGTGTGAACGAGGAAGAGAAGGCCAAACCCGCAGCATCACCTGCGAACGAAGGAGAGGAAGAAACGCTCGGCCAACGCCGCGCTCGCCTCCAAGCCGAAGCCCTAGCCAGAGGAGATGTCAATCCTCGTGGAAGCCGCCCTCCCCTCCGAGCCTCAATGTCTATGGCAGACATCCTTTCCTCGCATCCCATCGACCCGACCAACCAGGCGCGCAAAGTCTCCAACGAACAACTCTTATCCTCCCTACCCCAAGGTAGTCTCCTGCGCCAGAACGCTGAGAAGCAGGAGCGTCTGAAAGCGAGCAGGCTCGACCAGAACAACCGCATTTCCAGCTATGGTAGTCTAGACCAGCCGCTCCTGGGAGGTAATGTTGGCAAGGCGGTCGAGGACCAACCGATTGCGGCGAAGATCCAAGCATATAAAGAGAAGATGAGTGGTGGCAATACGCCAATGACCGCCCCACCGACGATGCAGCACCCGTCTATGATGTTCAACGGACAAATGATGGGCGGTCTAACACCCTCGATGTCTACCATGAACCTCCCGGGTCAAAGAGACAGCTATTTTCCTCAACCTAATATGGGTATGATGGGGATGAATGGCATGGGCGTGATGCCGAATGGCTTCGGCTTCCCCGGCAACAATATGATGATGGCACCCCAGATGATGCCAATGAGCATGAACATGGGCATGATGGGCATGCCGACGCAAGGCATGATGTATCCGCAGATGGGTGGCATGGGCGCAATGGCCGGTATGCGCCAGTCATCCATGATGAATTTACCCACGATGCAGATGCAGCAGCCGGTCATGGTGGAGGCGCCTATGGATCCGAGGCAGAGGGATGTTATTGATCGGTGGAGGCAGAGTGTTATGCCTTGACCGTAGTTGTGCCGAGGTCATTGAAGCGTTAGGTATCAGGCGTCACTTTTTGCAGCGTTTTGCTCTTATGTTGGATTTTGCGGGCATCATTTGCATTGGAATCAGGCATTTTGTGGTGCATTGCGCGGCGCTCTCGTCATTGATACAGGAGAAACATGCTGTTGGGTAATGCGTTGGATAATGTAAGCGTGTTTGGAAGGTTCATCAGTCTTCTTTCTCATGTAGACTCCTTCGGGCTCTAACTACTCTAACGCACCGCCTCCCCGCTATGTTACTGCTTGATATATCCGTCGAAGGCTTCTCTTTTCAGCCTACATTCACAGGGGTTCAAATCGTTCAGTCAGCCCCCTGCGCGTGTCCGTCTAAGATGGAGCGCGAAGATATCGAGTAAGAAAGGGCACAGCTCCGCTGCATGTGCCGCAACTTGGGGATCTGACCGCAATCTCTCAGCTTCCCCAACTCTGGTCCCTGGGTATTTACTCTGCTCCCTAGGCGTTGTTGCGCCCCGAGTGGTGCCGAGCACCTCCAGGGCTACGGATCAGCTCACCAGGAGATCCTGGGGCCTTGCGATCTCACCGCAAAATCTTACTGCGCGATCCAGATGGATCTCTCGTCTTCGCAGGTCCAATATATCTACAAGTAACCCCGCGCTTCGCTACGTTTCGAAGCAGGTATTCCTCCGCACCTTGTCCTTCGTCCAAGTAAGCTGTCTCGCTACAACACGTACTAGTGCGGAAGAGGAAACACTGGTCCGTGCCTGCGCGTCAAGCATCGCCGCTCCTTCCCCTTTCAAAGCCTCCAGCGTTAATCCCCGGCTCTCACATGCCCAGACGCGCCCGGGCGATGAGATACCGACGACACAGATAACCACCGCTTTCCTGCGTGGTGAGCGCTCTCTTCTCTTCTCTCCTCCGCCTTTGCCGTTGATATACATGCGCGGCTTCGCGGAAAAGAGCAGCGAGCGGAGGAAGCCGAGCGGCAACTGGGTCAGAATGGCGGATCTAACGCACACGACTAGTACCGGAAGTACCGCGAAAGATGCGATGAAAGTCCAGGAGGAAATCACCGAGGCCCCAGCGAGGGCTGTGGATGGCAGCGCGCATGCGCCGGAGAGTCCCGCGCAAAGAGATGGTGAGACGGGCGAGGGTGTCCGTGATGGAGGAGAGGCACGTGAGCATGCCCATAGGAGGTGGAGCCATCACAGACGGACATATAGCCATGCGCACTTCAAGGTGTATAAGAGGAGGTGGTTTGGGCTAGCGCAGCTGGTGCTGCTTAACATCGTCGTTAGCTGGGACGTATGTGTTTGACTAGTGGTGATCCACGGTTACGGAGCTAACGAGGGATTTAGTGGTTGACGTTTGCACCGGTTTCGACGACGTCGGCGGAATACTTTGGGGTTAGTGAGACGGCGGTTAATTGGCTTAGTACGGCCTTTTTGTTCTCTTTTATTGTGGCAAGTCCGTGAGTATATCCACTGCTGTTTGAACCCGCGGGGTTTGTGCTGATCAGATTTAGTGTTACGATATGGACGCTTAATCGCAGCCCGAAGGAAAGCATCATGTGGGCGTCGGTTCTCCTGCTTCTGGGGAATTGGATTCGATATGCGGGAACGAAGGCGCAGGGTGGCATCTATGGAGTCGTCATGTTCGGCCAGGTATTAACAGGTCTGGCTCAACCTTTCGTGCTCGCGGCTCCAACGCGCTACTCTGATCTCTGGTTCACGGAAGCTGGGAGAGTTAGCGCTACAGCCATCGCGTCCCTTGCGAATCCCTTCGGTGGAGCTGTAAGTCTTTCATGCTGCAACGACAGATAAAATAGGGACTACGCTTACAACCACCCAGCTCGCCCAACTCGTCAACCCCTTCCTCGGAAGCATTCCTTCCATGGTCCTCTACGTCTCCATCATCAGCACCGTCGCCTCCCTCCCTTCCTTCTTCATACCCGCTCACCCTCCAACCCCTCCAACCGCCTCCAGCACCCTCCCCAAAATCGCGCTCCTCCCCTCTGTGCGCGCCTGCCTGCGCAGCCCACCCTTCTACATCCTGCTCCTCACCTTCTCCGTCTACGTCGGCTTCTTCAACGCCTTTTCCAGCCTGATCAACCAGATCCTGTATCCATATGGGTACAGCGAAGACGAGGCGGGAATATGTGGCGCCGTGCTGATTATTGTGGGGCTGGTTGGCGCGGCGATTTCGAGCCCCGTGTTGGATCGCACGCATGCGTATTTACTGGGGATCAAGGTGTTGTGTCCGCTTGTGGCAGTGGCGTACTTGGGCATGATTTGGGCGCCGCAGACGAGGGGGTTAGTGGGGCCGTATGTGCTTGCTGCCGTCGAAGGTGCTGCGTCGTTCTCGCTGCTCCCGATTGCGCTCGAATACCTCGTCGAGATTACGTTCCCGGCCTCGCCTGAAGTGTCATCTACGATCTGTTGGGCGGGTGGACAACTGCTGGGCGGCATTTTCATCGTTGTTATGAACGCGTTGAAGGACCAGCAGCCGGTTGATCTGGCGAAGGTTAGAGAGATGGGGAGAGAACAGGGTGGTGGAGATAGGCCTCCTGGGAATATGTATAGGGCGCTAGTTTTTGAAGCTGCCGTTGCCATGGCGGTGCTGCCGTTGCCGATGATGTTGGGGATCAAGAGATTTGGCTTAAGCCATTGGGAGGGCAGGCTCAAGGTTGACGAGCATAGGGAGGGAAATGGAGTTCTTGCCGGGGAGGAAGCTAATTAATGGTGCGGTTGGGAATGCTCGATGATCTTGGGTTTGGATTTTGGATATGGATATGGATATGGACACGGGCTGAGATACCTCACGAATGGTCGGGTTTGTAATAATATCGGTGTATGGGCGCATATAGGATACCTTCGATGCTAACTGGAAGCGTACATATTCTGGAACGCGTATGTTGCTTATTGCTCACTGTCACAGGTAAATGTGAGATAAAAACAAATAGTACAGCGTTATTCTAAACAGGTCTTCAGTGGTATGTACAGTAGTCATGCTGCGTTCAGATTGTCGTCCCATGCAGATATCTCCCGCATCCGCCCTCGGCCGTCGGTATTCGGTATTGCGGAGGATCGGATGAGCCGAGGCGGAGGGTGCTTTTACTTGAGCTGAGCGAAGAGCTTGGGGGCGGCACATTGAGTTGCGCAGTGAGTGAGGTGGAAGACTGGTTACATGTTAGAGCTAGCCAACGCCTGTTCGATGGGATCCAAAGCTTACATTCTTCAATGCAGTCCTCCTTGGCCTTGCCCTCGTTATCGATCTGGCCAGTTACGCGCTCGACGCACTCGTCATAATGGTGCTTTGCTGGTGCGCACTCCTTGGAGTCGGCACATTCTGCAAGAAATGGAGTCAGCACTGCATTCCGTGGGTAATCGTTTATCGGGAGAATCTCTCCCCACTACCGCGGATACCGATTGCGCACCGAGATTCATCCACAGATGCTATTATGATATCTTGATGCTTCGCAGGGGTCCATATCTGCAAACAGAGCTTGGAAATGAGCAACTCACCCTCCTCCAGCGCATCCTTGGGATCAACAGTCTCCTCCTCTTCTTCCTCTTCCTCATCGTCTCCACCGCTAGGCCTGTGTCCAGAATCCTCATCCCCTCCCTCGGCGGCATCAGCTTTGTTCACATCTGCCTCCTCCTGCGACTCCTCGTCGGTGCCGGACGACGGGGTATTGGTCGAGGCACCACCCTTGGGCGCCTCGGCGTCGGGCGACGGGTGGGAGAAGGTCTCCCAGACGTCGGAAAAAAAGTCGGTGATAACCATTGGTGCCGTTAGAGACCAATTGACCGGTCTGGGTGTGCAGTTGCGGTGTTGATGGGGGTGAGAGGTTTGGAGCTCGCGAGAGGTTGAAGCCGGGATCGAAGCGAGGATTTGGTGCCAAGAGATTAGTCATGTGCGAAGCGTGTCATCAGATCGAAGCTCAGTCGCTGCGCTGCCTACCTGTACTGTAGCAGCGACGTTTTCTATTTCCTGCATTGCTACCCGAGCTCCACAGCAAGATGAACGGTATGGTATGACTGATTCCATTGTCTGGGTTGTCCCGTTTCCGCAGGTGAAGATCCCAGCTCTAGGCGCTGAGCCGCTCTCTTTTTCAGGACTCCGACTGTCCGTTCGACTGCAAAGGGATGAAGGCGAAATCTCAGAGTTACTGTACTAATTCCAACATCTAGCGGGCACTGGCTGAGCATTATTCTACATTTCCGCTATTCACCCCTCTCTATCCAATACGATATCTAAAGCCCTCAGATTCACACTGACGGCCTTCTCTTCCCCGCCCGCGCTCACCATAAACAAAAACTCGTCAATCGGATACTTCCCTAACACAAAAAGGTCGACAGCAAACCACGAGCCACAAGCTGAAAATGGACCCGTCATTGCAGTGCCAGACTGGGAATCTAAACCCACGCGCCACGCCACTTCCGTGCCATCTTCTGTCTCCCTTTCCAAGTTGGCTGGATAGATGCGTAAAGTATCGGGCGCTATAGGTACGGAGCCGAGGGCAGCGAGCGCGGACAAAACATCCGTTCCGTTGCTTACCCACTTAGAGATGCCGAGGCCTAGGAGTTAAGCATCGGTGTTTAGCACTAAACTAGAGTTTAAGCCATTGGTTGCCGTGTATGTTCCCGCATACACTCCGTTCGCTTGTTCACGAGCCGCGATTTCGAGGGCGGGGAATAGAGTGTCCACGATGAGGTTGTCGAGGAAGATATGCGAGCCCATACCTCCAACTGCAATGGCAAAGCCGATGTTGTAATCAGGCACCACTGCTAAGTTCGTATGGTATGTTCCAAAATCCCCTCCTTTAGTGTATAGATCGATGAGTCGTTTACTCGGACCGATGTCGGCGGCGCGGAAGATTTCCCACGGGCGACCGACGTCGCCAATGAGGCTGGAGGTGTACGATGTCGGCTTTAGCCATGCACGTGTAGAGTTCTCGTCCAGGAGCGTGGAGATCAATATTGAGCGCCCTATCTTGGAAAGATCGTCGGTAGACGCGTATAGGCCGCCCATGGGTGCTCCGTCTCCGAAGTCACGGGCCCATTGACTAAAGGTGGTGTTAAACGGAATCGCACCCTTTGTGTCGTCAGGCTTCGAGTACGAAGTCCCCGTCAAACTCAGTGGATCCATCAGAGCCGTCTTTAGGATATCCTCATAGGATCTTCCCGTGATGCTTTCGAGCGCATATCCGAGGAGCATCATTCCCGTATTACTATACGTTGCTTTCGTATTCGGCAAGAAGGTAGGTTGGCGGTCATTGATAGCATTAAAGAACTGTTCCCGATTACAGGTATAATTCGTCGCCGTCAGAATGCAGGCGGGATACTCCGAGGGCGGGAGAACGGGGAAGCCATAAGAGCCATCGTTCGCGTAGAGACCGAGTAGATCAACGAAGTCTCTCGGGAGGCCTGCGACGTGTCCTGCGATTGCTCCGAGCGTGATTTGTTCCCAGTTTACATAATCTACAGGATTTTGTTCGCTTCTCGTTCGGTTGCGGAGCTCGGGGATGTGTTGTGTGACTGGGTCGTTCCAAAGGCTGTCGCCAAGTTCGGTAAGGAATAGGTAGACCGTGATGAGCTTTGATATGCTGCCAACCCTAAAGATCGTGTCTCCGTCTACTGTTTGCACACCAGTAGTGTTAGACAGCGTGGTGCCGTCATGGTAGTATTCCAACAAGGGCTTTTCGGACTCCAGAGAGAAGATCTGGACCGTGTAGGCCGCTGTTGAGTCTACGGGCCCGTAAGAAGAGTTTTCAGATTTGAAGCTGGCGGAGATGGTTTCAGTGAGGGTTTGCAAGGCGTCTTTAATGCTAGCGGAACTAGCAAGGTTCGTCGGCGTTGGAAACACGGGACCATATAATGGACAAGAGCCGGCAGCGAATGGCGATGAAAGGAAAAGAGATACGAGAATTGATGAGAATATTGAACGACCCATTTCTACAATCAAGAGGAAGCAGAAAGTCTGTTTAGATGCATTACCTATGAGACACCACATCCATCTTATAGCAGTTGGAAATGAGGCTGTTTGTACACGAATCCTGTGGGATTGCACAGCTACCAATGCATACGTATACACGAGTATGCACGAGTAGGTAGGCCAGTTCTGGTCTTTGTTGCGGCCGCGACTCCGTCAGCTTAGCATAGCCGTATAGATAACGTCATGCAATCAACTAGGACGCTTCTGGTAACTTAGCGAGATACACTTTCGCCCAGTATGAACCGAGTTGGCCTCACTCGCCTACAACTCCGCACAATCACTATTCCTACTCATCCTGCCGCTATTTCTCTCCAATACGGCATTATGAGCAAGCTTGACACGCACCCAACGGGTTCCCTCATCTGGGCTCAGCAGGTGAAGAATCTCATCTCTGCGCCCAGAACTCGATCTTTGTTCTTACGGTCTCTGCGACCGTATATTTGAACATGTCGCAACGACTGTGGACGGACAAGAACCCGGTCTTTCTCTTCGTTATATCTGGTTGTGTGAATGCCTTGCCTTCCAATCTCGATGCGGAAATAGCAGAAGGGCGCCTGGATGTCGCCAGGCTGTGCGAGCGCTGCAGCAAAGTGCTTGACGGGGAAGATATACCAGACCCTCCCTGGGACGGGTCCACTTTTTTTGAGAGCTGGTCGACGTTAGAGGAAGTGGCAAGAGCCGCAGCCGATGGCTGTCCGGTCAGCTCCGTTATTCAACGGGGGTTCCTCAAACTTGTTCCGGATGACGCTACCCTACTCACAAGATTCCATCCGGAATTGTTCAAGGAGACTCTATCGCTTCGATTGTCGTGTGTAACGTACCACGCAGCCGGCCCCTCGCTCTGGTGGCCGAACATGAGGTGTGAAGTGAAATTTTCTCCTCTCACCGACCGCAATCTTCGTTCCGTCCAGCGTGCAGCGACGCACACATATGTGCCAAACACCGTTGCTTCGTCTGTCGCATCATTCGCGAACTCGTGGATGGAGGAATGTTTGGCTGAGCATACGAAATGTCGAGTTTCAGCTCGATACCACCCACCCCGTCTTCTCGATATCCGACAAAAGAAGTCCAATTAATCACAACGATGGATTAGAGTCGCCCCGAAGAGCCATATGCAATACTCCGCCATTGCTGGGGTGCTAATCCCAAGTTTCTCACACTCACGTCCACCAACATGGTGGAACCCCGTCAAGGCATCAAAGTTAGCCTTCTTCCAAGAAATTTTCAGGACGCAATTTCGATATGCAAGCAACTACGCCTTCCTTATATTTGGATTGACAGCCTCTGTATCGTTCAGAGTGGAGAAGGTAGTGAGGAAGACTAGCTACACCATGCGACAGAAATACGGAAAATCTATGCAAGCGACATCGTCAATCTAGCCGCCAGTCGGTCTGCTGGCGCTGAAGGAGGTTTATACGCAGCTCGGAACCCACAGCATATCAAACCGTCAGTAGTGAGAGGTCATGGCATCGGGTTTCTTCCGGACGGGTTGTTTCTCCTTGTTGAGGAGACCATCACCGAGCATGGCTGGGTTGACCAGCCTCTTAATCGCCGCGGTTGGGTCTTCTAGGAGCGGCTCTTATCTCCTCGCATTTTGTACTTCGGCGAAGACCAGGTATTCTGGGAATGCCCCGAGAGGGAAATGTGCGAAACCCATCCCGCCGGCGTCAACTAACCGTTCTCGGGGCACGTCCCCCCATTTGGTTCGCCCATTAAAGAAGAGCTTGGTGGAATCGATGAAGCAGAAAGCATCCTGAGCGAAATGATCGGTCATTACACCTCATGCCAGCTTACTTATCCTGACATTGGTACGTAGACTCTATTACAGTTGTGTCCATTTCTTGGGATAGTAGGATACTTGCTAATTATGCCGGTGCTCCCAGATAAACTAGCAGCGTTTGCTGGCATTGCCCAACATTTTACGCAAATCCTAGGCAATCAATATATTGCTGGAGTATTTCGGCGCTAGCTGCCTTAAGCACTGCTCTGGCATGGTGTATCTACAGACCGGCCGCCTTCTCAACAATCCACAACTTACAGATGTCCATCATGGAGCTGGGCGAAGATGAACTCAGAAGTAGAGATGGATAGTCGCTATATGTTACATGGCGGGAAAGGACCTCAGCTGTCTCTAGCTAGCGTTGTAAAAGCTCGGGTATCCCCTATCGACCCGGGCAATCCCTTCGGTCGCATTCAGAGAGCAGAGCTGATCCTTCTTGGCCGATTGATTCCTTTTAACGGAGCGTCTCAGGCCTCGTCCGAGTTAGGAGGTCTTGGTGGTTGGCGATTGGGCAATGAACTCGTCGATACTAGTCCTTTCGAATGGGACGTCCTTTTTGACGAGGACGCTGAGGCACGCTTCGATCCACGGAAGGCATTCTTTTTACCAATCACAATAGGTCTTAGGACGTCCAGGAGAATAGCAGCCCTGGCCCTGCTCAAAGTCGATGATGTGGACTCCGAGCAGCACGAAAGAGTCGGATTTGCGCATCTCGACGCAGAAAATCCCGAGAAACGGCTCGCAGAGTTTGAAGAGAGGGAGGTAGTTATCATCTAAGACAGTGTAGTTAACCCACGCGTCTCTTGCACAATGACTCACTCTGTAGCATTCGCATGACGGAGTTCCGGGTGAGCGCACTATCATACAGATTGAGCTTCGACCTCAGTGGGCTCACTCTCACGTCACACGACTTTGATCAAGACTACTATGATTGTTATACTTGTTAGGCTCATGCATTTCTATGCCGCTTGAAAGCTTCCTTGACAGCAACGCCCTCCTCAACATCCTTTATCACCTTCTCATCCGCTCCTACTAGCTTCGGTAACAGCTCCAGCACTTCCTCCACCTTTTCTTTCGGAACCGCAACAACCCCATTCTCAAACGGATCTATCATAATTATATCACCAGGCTCCACGGTCGTCTCGCCAACCCGCACTGGCACGTTCCATGCATGAAACTTTGTCTCCGCCCCAGCACCGACTATTGACGTCCCCCTCGACCAGATAGGCAGACCCGTCTCTGCTAATGAAACGAGGTCTCGCACTCTGCCATCGACTACTAGTCCTTGAGCACCCAGGTATTTCGCCCGCGCTGCCATTATGCCGCCGACGACTGCGCAGGATTGGCCGGCTGGTTGGCTGATCACGACGATGCTGTCGCGCTCGGTATAGTCTGACCATGGCCCGGAGACTTTGAGATTTGGTTCGGGGGCGGATTTGGGTAGTGGGGCGGGATTGGGAAAGGACGGCGTTGCTTTGGGGATCATGAGGAAGGTTGATGCTGGGGCGAGGATCTTGGAGGGTGGAGGGCCGGAACTGCTGGATGTGTGTGGCATTGGCGCTGTGAAGAGTCAATAGTTGGTGCTAATGAGCTTGATGTAGGTTCAGAGGGAAGCCTTACTGATATCGGGAAGAAAGCCAGCGCCCGGTACGTCCAATTTGAGGAGGGCGTCTGCGAGCTGTTGGGCTTGCTTAGCTTAGATGGCCGATGGTAATTAGGGCCGGCTTACATCGCATGCTGCGTATTGCGATAGCTCTTTCCACCTGGGAGAAGCCATGGTGGTTACTGTCCTCCGAAGTAGATGGCTCATGGCGACATGTGCAGGAAGAGAGCAGATAGACGGTACCGACCTAGCGGGGTTCCACAGCCCCGCCGATCCGACGCCGCTGTCGAGCTGTCACAGATGCCAACGTCGTTTTTCGGTGAGCCTCACGGCATGGTCCGGGATGGAATGCAGACAGACGTTCGCATTGAGCGTAGTCCTGCACAATGCGAATAGAGCCCCAACGGTCTAAGAGAGACGCGTTTCATAGCGTGTCTGCGCATAGATAGTGCCTGGTTTGGTCAACTTGGAGGCTACCTTCATGGGCGTATAGACCACCGTAAAGGGGAACAGTGAACGATGCCGTAGAGGAAGTTTCAAATTGGTCGAGTTGGTCAGCCGGTGAACGTCAAGCCGTAGAAGCCCATGTCAAGCGCCACGTGACCACAAGCCAAGCGGGCGGCGATCTGCGGACCAATTCGACCGCGCCTGGTCTTCTCAACACCACCTTCTTCTCGCGCCATCATGAAGGATTGCCATCGCAACCCTCTGCACGCAAACTGATGCGCCTCCATTCTTTCGCCTTCTAGCTGGTTGTTTAAATAATCCTCCCGCGGCTCCTGCCGCATCCCGCTGTCAACATGGCTTTCCAGGCGTCCGTCGCTGTGCAGGTAAAGTTTCCGCCACGGCTTCCAACGCCGCCATATCGCAGCCCTGCTAACGATGACACAGAGTGCCGTTTCTGCTACCTCTGAACTGTGGCCTACCATGTCCGCCGTCCTGCAGGCCCCATGGAAAGGCCTGGGACGACAGGCGTCAACCGGTGGTGCCAGACAACCACATGCGCAGACCTCGGAGACCGCTCCGATCGCGCAGGCATGGACAAGGGTAAAAGAGACTTCGCTTTCTAGGTCGCGGCGCATACTAAAAGCATCCCAGCATCGCTCTATGCTCATCGTCCCCGAATGTCTCGAATCCGTATCCATGTCTGCGTTGCGTCAAGCGCCTTCCCCGCAAGCCTTGAAGTCGATACCCACCGTAGCCGGAACGATATCTGCAGGTCAGTAGCGTGTTGGAATATATGGAAATGCATGGCTGACGATGTGTAGTACCGCAGAATGCGCTCCGTCACTGCAACCCGATCACGCGTAGCATACCCTTCAACTCGTTCATGGCGAAGCGGCAGTATTCGACCCTCCCGCGCACCAGCCCTCTCTCGAACCTCCGTCCGTTCCCAAAGCCGGGGAGTGTCGGACTATCTCTGCTCCAACAACGATCGATCTTTGGCGGACCTTCTCGCAGCCAGCTCGCCCGATACGAGCAGGCCGCTAACAACAACCCCACGAGCGCCGCATCCCAGGCTACTTTCTACCAGGCTCTGCTTCGCGCCAATATGCCCCAGATAATCATCGACAGATACCGAACTGGACAATTCGCTTCCAACCCTGTCGTCGAACAAGCGTACCGGAAAGCCTTGGAGAAGACCGGTCAATCGGATACCGTTGCGACTCAGATTGGACAAAACGGCGAAGCTGTTGGTGGGTTATCCCCTCAGCAGATGCAGGCTATCGGGCAAGCTGTTGGTACTCACGTCGGAAGAGGCCAAATCGGCAAAACGCGGGGCGGAACCGGTCAAAAGGCCGATCCGCTGTACGTCGTCGTCGAGGAGCCCCTGTGGAGCCACATCGCCAAATGGATCAAATGGCTCCTGGGTTTCGGCCTTGCTGCCTACTTTGCCTTGATTGTGATCACTCTCTTCGTCGAAACCAGCGGCGTCCTGAAGAAGGTCGGCGGTGGTAGCACCGCCGAGGTCCGCCCCGAACATCAGAACACCCGGTTCAGCGATGTCCAAGGCTGTGATGAGGCGAAGGAAGAGCTTACGGATATTGTCGACTTCCTCAAGAACCCCGAACGGTACAACAAGCTTGGTGGCCGCCTGCCAAAGGGTGTGCTCCTGATCGGCCCTCCCGGAACCGGAAAGACCCTGCTCGCTCGCGCTGTTGCGGGTGAAGCTGGCGTCCCGTTCTTCTACATGTCTGGCTCTGAATTCGACGAAGTCTATGTTGGTGTTGGTGCTAAGCGTGTCCGCGAGCTTTTCAGCGCTGCTCGCGCAAAAGCACCTGCTATCGTATTCATCGATGAGCTTGATGCTGTTGGTGGAAAGCGAAAGTCACGAGATGCGAACTACCACCGCCAGACCCTTAACCAGCTTCTGAACGACCTGGATGGCTTCGACCAGTCCACCGGTGTTATCTTCATTGCCGCGACCAATCACCCCGAAATACTCGATAAGGCCTTGCTCCGACCCGGTCGCTTCGATCGCCACGTGCAGGTTGAGCTTCCAGACGTTAGGGGTCGGCTAGCTATCCTGAAGCACCACACCAAGAAGATTCGTCTCTCTCCTGATGTCGATCTCTCCAAGATCGCTCGAGGAACCCCTGGCTTCTCTGGAGCTGAGCTGGAAAATCTTGCGAACACTGCTGCCATCCAGGCTTCAAAGCACCAGGCCAAATGGGTTTCGATCCTCGATCTTGAATGGGCCAAGGACAAGATCATGATGGGTTCCGAGCGCAAGAGCAGGATCGTCCCTCTTGCAGATAAGCTCCAGACTGCCTACCACGAGGGTGGCCACACTCTTGTTGGCCTTTACACGAAGGGGTTCAGTGAGGTTCACAAAGCGACTATCTTGCCTAGAGGCCACGCCGCCGGTATAACCTTTTTCCTCCCACAAGAAGAGCATCATCGCTCCAGGCAACAATACATTCGCGATCTCCAGGTCAGCATGGGCGGCAAGATGGCGGAGGAGATTGTGTACGGCCCTGAGAACGTCGGCGACGGTGTCTCCGGTGATATTCAGCAAGCAACGAAGGTCGCTTACGCCATGGTCACATCATTCGGTTTCTCGGATCTGCTCGGCAACGTCGACTTCCGGTCCAACTACGAACAGGTCTCGCCCGAGACAAAGCGTCTCATCGATAATGAGGTACGGCGGCTCATTGATGAAGCCAAGGACAGCGCTAGGAATCTCCTAGAGAAGCATCGTCCCGAGCTGGATCTGCTTGCAGCTGCCCTAGTTCAGTACGAGACGCTGGACAAGGAGGAGATTGTGAAGGTTATCAAAGGCGAGAAGCTGCCTGATCGACTGATGGCGATGCCGGATACTCCCATCAAGATCCCCGAGAAGATGCCGCTGCCCCCGGCGGTGGTTTCGCCCGTGCCAAGCAACGACGACAACGGACCACGAGGCTCTGGTGTGCCCGCGTAGACGGACGGCAAACCTTGGTGTTCCGAAACTGTGGTCAACCACCACATTGCATTCTAGCATGCATGTGAGGCGAATGGCGTTACTACCAGCAAGCCCTCCCCTCGTTCTCCCCGAACTAGGCCTACCCTATTAAAAGGGAGCTTCCGACTTCCGGTCAGTCATTCCTGGGACAGGTTTTTTTTCTTTGTAACATTATATGGTATTGGTATGCTAGCGCTTAGCAAGCGGGAAGAGTACTTGGGGCTCTTTGAGCTTGCATGCTTTTTTGCATCGAATGAGCGATAAGCACTTGGGTGTAGTCTAGACTGGCTGGTACGAAATGAAAAAGGTAAAAAATCACTGTGCGTTCTCAATTGTTCCAATATTCTTCAGGTCGTGAAGATCATTTTCCGTCCAAAACCTTCCTCAGCCTCTTGAGTCCTTCTTTCAACACTACTTCCTTATTGCTGAACACCAACCGGAACCATCCTGGCTGCTCGGCCGCTTGCATGCCTCCACCCGTCAGAAACAACTTCTCCTTGAGCAACCTCTCCGCCAGCTTCCCTTCCCTCTCCCACCCATCCTCCCCACCCTCCTCCCTGAGCCACGGGCTCAGATCAATCCACAGATAAAACCCCGCATTCGTCCCCGGCGCGTAGCATATCCCCGCTTCATCCAGCACCTTCCTCGCTAGCGCATTCGCGTCCGCAAGCCTCTTCCTCGACTTCTCCAGAAACGAATCGACAAAGTCACTGTCTCCAAGAATCGTGGCAGCGAGCACATCATTAACCGTGCCACTCCAATGAAACATGGCAATAGCGCTCACGGCGCGTTGCAGCTCGGCGTTCTGCGTCCACAGACTGCCGATGCGCAGGCCGCCGCTGGCGAAGTCCTTGGACAGCCCGTACACGTGGTGCAAGTAGTCTGGGGAGATGTATTGCGTCCAGGGGAGGCTGAGGATGGATGTGAAGGGGACGCAGCTGGAGGAGGAGGAGGGGCTGGAAGGGGTGGAGTACACCGACATGGCGTATATTTCGTCGGCGAGGAGGTGGATTTTGTGCTGGGCGCAGAATTTGAGGAGCGCGGTTAGAGTGGAGGCTGGGTAGCAGCGGCCGAGGGGATTGTGCGGGTTGCAGAGCATGAGGGCGCGGATTCTCACACCTTGCTCCTCTGCTTTCTGCCGGGCGGCTTCGTAGCATGAGAGGGATTCCGGGGCGAATTGGTCGACGCCGGCGAAGGGGACGAAGATGGGTGTCATCCTGGTCCTTGGTGTTAGCGGCACTGACTTCTATTGGCGCCTGTGGCGTGCGAATGAGGATAGAGTACGGCTTCCTTACTTCGCGAGCAGTCCAAAATCGCTCTGGAACGCCACGTAACTTGGCATGGTGAGCAGTATTCCGTCTCCGGCACCGTCGCCCAGCACGTGGCCTAGCATGTTGAAGAGGGAGGAGCAGCCGTTTGTTAGGGTGAGTTCGCCGGGCTTGAGAGGGGTTGTAGGGGAGAAGTGGCTGCAGGGATTGGCGTGTTAGCATGACGGGATGGAAGGGGAAAGGAAGGCAGGGGAAGGTGGAAGGTAGAAGGCTACCTGTTGATGAAGTTTGCCATGGCGGTTCGGAGACGAACAGAGCCCCAGGGTCCTTCGCCGTAGTTGAAGTCGTCGCCCTGGAGGTTCAACTATGCAATCGCAATTAGCATAAATCATTGCCAATCTGCTCCCATTCTTCAACCAGCGATTGGGAATACTGCCCTCCAAACATATCACATACATACATCTTGCGATTTCACAAACTTCGCTACATCATCGAGCATGAGATACTATCATGTTTGTCAGTCGTCATGATTGCCCGCTGGGGGACGGCATGCGGAAGGTTCGGTCCGTACATTCTCAGCGGTGCCCAAATTGACAAGCCCGTCTGGGTTGGTAACGGGATGCCATTGTTTGGTCAGAATCTTGGATGCCAGGTCCCGCATATTAGGCCCGGATGCGAGGGCGGAGCCGCGAGAGCTGAGGGTAGATCGAGATGTGATAGAGGGCGCCATTGCGGGTGATATCTTTCAAATGCAGTTGGAACGGCAAGAACAAACAGAAGCGAAGGATGGGATGACATGGAAGAAGGAAGAGAATACATCCGTGAAGTTAAGGGCCTAAGGAGGGAAATCACATGATAGTGAGAACGCTTACGTGAGTCATCCCCATCGACGATCCTCAAGCTCTTACGCAGACTTCTACCCATGTCTCCGTTTCTCTTCGTCCGTACGCCTCCCAAAACGCCAATTTCAATATCCTAAAACAAGCACAAGCAATCAATATTGCGAAACGCGTTGAATTGGCGGTCCTTCACCTTTCTGAGATTCTTCGGAATGCCGCCTATTAGGAGAAGTGAAGCTCCTGCCACTATGCTAGGCACACACGACCTGCTCTTTCTCTCGCGCCAGTAAGTACATCAAGAAGAAAAGATGCCGGGGAAGCAGTTTCCGCACATCAAACAAACAATCAGCCCGCACTCGGCCACGAAGGTAGTGGAAGCAGTAGAGTCGAATATAAGTGCCGCCTAAGTCAACCAAGCGGGCGCTAGCCAATCATAGAACCAAAATTTTCCTCCGCTGAATCGAAAGCCAAGGGGGTGTTCGCCGAAGCCGAAGCCGATGGATGCAAGGGTTCTTTCAAAAAGGTATTCCTCCAAGAATGTGCCGTACCAGTACAAAAGAAAGTTGAGATGATGATCTGAGCCGGGTAAGATGATGGTAAACGCGATATCAAAGACACCCGAACGCCGATCGCTGGATGAGTAGACGAGTCGTGGTGATGCCAAACTATAACAGGCCCAGGTAACGCGATGTTCGACAACCGTTCGAAAAGCGACGAAAAATAGGATTATATAAGCGATATCAACAGGGTGTTGATAAGGTAGGATGACTCGCGTCTTAGAAGTTTGCGAGCCCATTCTTTGAGTGGCGTTTGCTGAATCGCTTCCTGCCTTTTAGCGAATCAGCATCTCCGTGCTCTTTGCGAAGATGCCGTGCAGTAGGTATGTTGACGCCGTCGAGGGCGGAATCACCACCTAACGTACTAGTGGGGCTCGAGAGACTGGAGTTGAGGTCGTTCAGCGTGGAATCCCCGGAATATGAGTTCGTCATGTTTTGCGATATCGCGTAGTCTCTGGCTTGTTCGATGCTGTCGAGCCATTCTTGCGTGTAATATTTGCTGCCGTTGGGATCGCTTGTTGTGCTTTTGGGGTCTTCGAAAACGAATTGCTTGTCTCGCTGCGAGATGTTTAGCAGACTGCCTATGCTACAGCGACGACATGGCCTTACTGTTTCAACCAGCCAGGCGGTCAGGCCTTTCGAATCCTGGAAGCCTCTCCACGTGCACCCAGGCGACAGCAAAGACACCTCCTCTTTCAATTTCTTGTCATTCGTACCAGCGGCACACATGAGAACCCGGGCGTTTGAGGTAATCATCACGAGCCGCTGCCGCTTCTTCACCGTGCTGCTACTGAAGAAACGCGAGAACTTCTTTGGGGTTTCAGCAGAACCATCATCTTTCCCACCTACAGGATGACCTGCAGGATGCTGTGTGACGAACATGTTGCCGAGCTTCAGTATGCGCTCGTCTCTTTTTGTCAAGACCGGAGACCATTCGATATCCAGTTGACTCGGAGGCGGCAATTCAGTAATAAGACGGGGCATTGGCAGCCGTGGGGGATTTGCCGTTGGAGCGGCAGGAGTTGTCGGGGCTGGCGCTGTGTTACCGAAAAGGACCTCTTTGGAAGTATGGGGGGCGTAATTACCGTTTAGTCTTATGGCTTCTTTGGGTGGTGAAATGTAGGACTTCAGACGCGGAGCCTTCTGTTTCCACAGTCCTTTGCCCCATGTAACACCCTCAAAGAATGGGTGGCTCTTGATATGCTCGATTGGAAGGCGTGTCAAGGGATCCAGTACCAGTAGCCTCTCCACCAAATCTTTCGCAAGGGGAGGGAAGCCATCCGGAAAGGTGTACTCCAGCCCCACGATTTTCTGGAAAGTCTGATACTCATTAGCAGCCTTGAATGGAGGCCGGCCGGCGAGCAGCTGGTAAATGATGCAGCCAAACGCCCACAAGTCGCTGGCTTTGCAAGCGTTCTTATCGGTGAGCAGCTCTGGCGAGACGTATTCAGCGGTTCCGACGAAAGACTGTGCCCGGTCCGAGTCCATTCCTTCCAGGGGATCTCCAGCGGTGGAGCCTACACCGTTCGACTTCTTCTGATCCAGTATCTTGGCGGTTCCAAAATCGGTAATCTTAACGTGCATTTGGTCGTCGAGCAGGACATTCTCGGGTTTCAGGTCGCGATGAATGACGCCCCGCGAGTGCATGTAGTCAATCGCGTCGAGTATCTGCGCGCCGTAGAATCTTGTGCATTCGATGTCGAATGTGGTCATCTTTTTGAGGAATCCCAGCAACTCTCCCCCAGCGGCCAAGTCCAGAACGAAATAAAGCGATCGCTCGTCCTGGAAGGTGTAGTAGAGTCGCACAATGCCCGGATGCTCCGTCAATCGATTCAACGTGTCCTTTTCGATGTTCACGTATTTAACCTTCTTCTCCTTGATGATGTGACGCTTATCGAGCACTTTGATGGCGTACTCTCGCAATGTCTGCCGGTCTGTAGCAGCTAGGACGGTACTGTAAGACCCTTCACCAAGCGTTCTCCCGAAGTTGAAATCCTTGACGCCCTTTTTCACGACTCGTGTAACGGGTCTGCCGTTTTGGTCGACTTCCTGCCTCATGCCCGTCGCGGCTCCTTTCTCTTTCCATTCCTCGCTGCTCTGTAATGGACCACCCTCGATGTTGTACGGTGAGCTGGACAGATGGCCGACGGGGACGGGGGCGCTCGAGCTGTGGGCACCGTCCATGGGCATGCGTCGCGAGCTTCTTCGCGGAGGAAACGGGCCGTTGCCCACTGCCATCTGACCTGGCGGGGGGTACCCTCTGCTGCTCCGGCTCGGTTCGCGCGAGGGCATCCTATCCGGCGCGACCCTCGAGCTGCTCGTCCGTCTTATGTCTGTTGTGACATCGTCGTTATATCGGTAGGTGCTGGGGCTGGGCGTGGCGGCGGCGGAGCTTGACGACAGGTTCGGATGGTTGTACATGGCGGTGGAGACAGGCCGTCCGGCCACGCTCTGGAGGGTCGGGCCATTGCGAGGCGGGATAAGTGGCCCGGAGGCGTATTGCTGGTAGGAGGCCTGCTGCTGGGCCTGGTGGGCTAGGGGCATCGACTGCCTGTGTGTAAGCCGCGACGAGTACGCGGAGGAGGCTTCGACGGCCAGCGGGGAGGGCTGGCCCGCGGAGGACGAGGACGGAGAGGCTGTGGTGAAAGCATTCGGGTTGAAGCCCAGCGACCCCGCGCCCGGCTGAGGCTCCGGGAGCAGATGTGAAGGGGCCTGCTGCTTCTGCCGGTCCGTGATGGTACTCGAGGAGGATGCATGCGAGGGCGATGACGACGGGCGGGCGTCAGCAGGCTCGGGGTCTGCTGGCTGCTGGGGCAGCGGCGGCGGCGAGGGCGAGGACGGGTCTTCGTCAGGGTTTGCAATGCGCAGCCCGCCGAGCGACTGCGAGAGGCTCAGGTCGCCATTCATCATGGCGGCCGCTGGGCAGCGGAGGCGGGAAGCGAGCGATGACGGGCGGCAGCGAGGGGACCGCCGGCGGCGTGCCGGGAGCGCGGGAGACGGCGTGCGGAATTCGAGCAGGCGACAAAGGCGTGGAAGGCCCCGAGGCCGGGGACTGTGGGGGGGTGATGCCGTCGCAGACGAGGACAGCAGGCCGTGGGCGCTTGGTGAGGCTGTTTGGCGGAGGTCAGGATTAGCCTTCTCGGCACCGCGCTGACGACTCCCCCGGCCCGATCAGGCGCGCCTCAACACCACGGCTTCCATCGTGAACCGGTCGCCGCCAGCAGCAGCCCGCCGCCGCCGCCGCCGCACGCCCGATATCTGTCGCTGCGGTGCTTTTCCCGGCCTGTGCGACGTGGCGTGCCATGCAACGCCGTCACCGCGCGACAAACTCGTGCCGCGTTACGCATAATCAATATGGGATATGGGCTACATGCAGCGCTCCCTGCTGTTCCTCCCCATTGCGCCGCCCGGCCCTGTCCGCTTCCTTTTCGCGCCCCTGGCCCCTTCTATTGCCCTTGATTGGATGCGTCCGCGGCATGGCAGGCTTGTGTGTTTACAGCTTCTCCTTCACAAGTGTGCGGTACCTACTGGCGCATACTCTCCGTCAACTCGCAGCGACGCTTCCCAAAACTTCGAGTCCTTCTGTTGCCGGCAGCAGCAATTGGAAGCAAAGGTAGGAGAATGTCAGCCATCATGATTTCCTTCGCGAATTGTTGTGTTCGGTCCTCGTCTCTCACAACTTACCGCGTATGCCCACCCGAACAGACGCGGAAGAGCCCGAGGCTGCTGCTTCATCTTCCGCCCATACGCTTTGCACCACTCTGCGTTCGACCACGCAGACAGCCATACCAGCATGCTGCGGCCAAGACCTTCCGAGATCACATTGACTCCTGCAGATGTCGAGGAAACACGCCGTCGCATCGAAAGCAGACGAGCCGCCGGCCCGTCCACCAACATTCCTACGAGGATTCGCGGGCCCTCGCTCCCTTCTGCATCGCGGCCACGACTGAGGCGTGGACCGGAACGCTCTCGCAACGCCGCTATTGCGAGCCTTGGCAACATCCCTCCTCATGCGGTTGTCCATGCTACAGTGAACCCTCCGAGTGACCATCGCCCGGATTCTCTTGTACAAGGAAGCGAGAGCGACATCCTCGATGGTCTGTCCCTTCCGAACGAGCAGGCGCCGCCTAGCTCAGGTGCAGCGTCGAGTGCATCCCCGAGATCGCCTCTAACCTTGCAACTCCCATTCAGGCACGCCCCCCGGGAAAGAGGATCTGGTACACAATATACCTCGGGGGTTACTTCTGAGGGAGATGCTGAAGAAGAACCATCTTCATCTCCGCCAAAACAGCAGTCCCTGTCCTCCACACTTGACCAACCAAGGGCCAGCACATCTGAGGATGGCAATGAAGGACCGGCACCACCTCGAATATCTGGCTCCGCTGATGGAGTGACGGAAGTCTCAGATATCCTGAATACGCCAGGTAGAACCAGGGCTCACTCCATACGTCAACATAGCACGCATGCCCCGTCTCCTTTGCAACAGATGCAAACCCTCAGCTCGCCTTCACAACCAGAGAGCAGGCCTGGACACATTGTTCATCGGTCTGAAGATGAAGGACCTGAGGGTTCTTCCACAAGGTATCTCCAAGGGTACTTCCATTCACCTGATCGCTATCGGTTGAGAGAATATCAACCGCATACGGAGCCACGTCCGCGCAACCAGGGCTCATCGTTCCGCGCCCGAACCATGTCCTCTAGCAGCGAACCATTTTATCCCACCCATGTGCAAAGACCAGACCGTTCTGAGCCTTCGGCGGACGATATCTTCTGGAACCCTCCCGCGCCCGACCCCCCATCTCAATCAAGACGCGAAACATCAGAGGCTCTCGAAGATGAAGAGGTAGAGGAGAGGTACCATCCACTCAGAGACTGGTTTTCAGCGACTGCAAACAACAACGCTCAAACCTATGTCAATCCTTATCGGGAAGCTCTTGACTTAGATGGGATGCAACATGCCGCACAAAACCTTGTGCCCCAGGGTGTGAATGTTGGAAGACACGCTGGCCATAGATTCAGCAGTGGCGCATCTTCTTCAAGCGCAGCCTACTCCTACTACGAGCTCCCCGGATCACGGCGGTCCAGCGGCAATCTGTCACAAGGTATGCTCGGACAGTCACAGTACGATGGCGCTGCTCCTTCGAGACAGCTTAGCCAAGGGGTTTACTACTCAATCCGCCCTTCTCAAGTCCGTCCTCTGAATGAATCCCGCCTTCGCCCGCCTCCGCCGTCGAGAGTGCCGAGTCGTTCTTCGCCCGATCTGACGGGAATGGGTCAACCGGGTATCTCCCCATTGCCTGCCATCCCTTATGCCCGTATGCATGGTGGTCAGAGTATTCCGAGGCCCGAATCAGGTCTCGTCGACCCAAATGACTTCGTGGGTGGAGATAGAGATGCTGCAATTGCTGCACAGCGTGACCTCTCGTCGCCGTTGGATCTGCTCGAGGAGCGTGCGAGTTCGTATTTCACTCGAATCGCAGCAAGCCAGCGGTTAGGGCACTCGGGATCTGATGCAGCAGTTCCAGCCGTGTTCCAGCATCAGGTCCCGCATTTCGACGCACCACCAGCACGCCAGAGAAGAGGATCGGGGTCGGAAAGCATGCGTCATGTGTCTGGTAACAGCGTTTATAGTGGGAGGGGCGCGGGATACCTCAATTATAGGCGAGCAGCTCAGCAACCACATCGCCAAGCCGAGCAGCCATCTTCACCGGAAATTGCACCGCAAGCCCAGCGTCGAGATGCGCCAGTTGCACGGGCGGGGCAACGCTCCAGCGAGAATGCTCCCGTTGCCAGCTCTTCCCAGGAAGGCCATCCAAGTCGCACAATCCAGGCACAGGGTCCGAGGATGAGCTTAGCCCGGACGCAAAATGCTCCATCATCAGGTGCCAGCATGCGCGGTGGCGAGCTCGCCGTTGCTCCAGTCCCACTACGCTTCAGCATGCCGCAGCCATCTGGCCCTCGCGACATGTCCAATCGGCCTCAGAGGCTGTCCCCACTCCAGGCGAGTGTTGGCCAGCGATTCCGGCGAGACAGCGACCGCGGCGATGATGAGCTTTTCCGCTCCGATACTCTGTCGCCATACACGGACTACAGCCGCATCCCACAACGAGTCCCAGTCGGCTCCCTCCGGGGACCCCCAATTCCGCCCCGACACGCCTCACGCCAGCAAGATATAGACATCCCACGCCGCCCTACAACTCGGTTAGACCACCACCCCATCTCACACGCATACCACGAACAGTCAGCACTTCCTCCTCCACCGCCCTTCAACCGCCACCAACCCGAGCGCGGACCCGCATTAACCTCGACCACTCTGGACATAGCAAGCGGCACTACGAGTCGATGGTCGGGCATGAATCGAGCACCGACGTCGCGGCGCCGTATCCCGCCACAGCAACGTAACCAGGAAAACTCGCTGGAGGCGGAGGAGCAGCTGATGAGGGCGGAGATGCATGCGGCGAGTATGCGGCATGGCGATGACGGACAGCTAGATGTGTTGGATGAGACACCGCCTAGGATAGGGAGATTTGAGCGAAGGATGATGGACTGAGTGCTTTTTTTGGGGATGGTGTGGTGTGGTGTTGGATAGATGGGGCTGGGTATGGGGGACATGATTTGTATTGTTTGCGGAGAGACGAGAATTAGTTCTTAGTTCGTGGTATTACGCAGCGGATAGATCAACGCAGAGGAGCAATTGCATACGATTACTTGCTATGCTAGCACAATACCACCACGCTCTTAATCCACCAACCCGGACCCCATCAACCAAAATAGATTTGACGTACGACGGAGCGGCTTTTTTGAGGGATGAAGAAGTGCTTTGGCTCCGTTCTTAGCAACCTGGGATTTGAAGATGTGGAGGGCGTGGATGTTGTTTGTCAAGCGTTGAACTGGGTGCTTTGGTGGGTGAGAGCTGTGCTGGCCTGTCTAGAGCGGGATCGACTACGTTGGTCGGTGGTAGTCTACAAAACTCGGGAACAAAGTTAATCTGAAGCCCAAACAGATGACAGTCTAGACGAGGTCGGCAGTGGATAACCTTGTGGAAACGAAGCAAGCTCTGGACAAAGGAAGGGGGCAAGTGGTTGACTAATTGCGATTCTTTCCGGAGCCGTACCAAGGGTATCTGTTCGAGCTTGTCCTTGTAACGCCGCCGATGTCGTTTACTCCCGTTGCTGTTGGTCCCCGACGCCGGAAAGGGGGCAGAAGGCCTATCTGAACCTGCCGGCCTAACCAAAAACAAGACATACTAGCAAAGAAAAGGCCGATCAATGACCTTTGGGTATGGTGTTCCGCGCCAACCATAAAGCCACGCTCTCCCTCGCGACCTCGCTGCCCCAGACACCATCTGCGCCTCCGCGCTTCCATTCCTCGTTCGATCCATCTTCGCCGCCTCCGCGAGAAGCGTCGCCAAGAAGGACCTCCAGATCTCGCTTCTGTGACGAGAGCCAGCGCTTGACGAAAGCAACCGGGTCCTTGGCCATGCTGGTGAAGAAGGCGTGCTTGGCTTTCGATTTGCTGATGGCGCCCATGAGGAGGACAAGCTCGTCGTCGATTTCATGGATTTGCCGGAGAGTCTCGGCGCTGTGCTTCGAACGGAGGATGTTCTGGAGCAGCGGCTGCAGAGGATCGTCAAGTGCTACCTGCACGTCGTAGATCGTGGGCTCCGAAGGCTCCCTACCGGACTCTAGCGGAGGCGAGATGTAGTCCTTGTCCACACGGATCGTGTATTGGAGCTGAATAGGCGGCAGGGTCGTCAGATGCGGTTTGATCAGCTGCGGCAGGTTCGGGAAGTAGAAAGAGTCCGCGCCGTTGAACAAGGCCTTGAGTTTCGCATCGCAGGCAAATTTGCGCTCATCGTCGTCCTGCTGTAGGTGCTGCGACCTAGCGTACTCCCATACGCCCATGAGCACGCCCGCTCGGTCCTCCTCATCCGTGTCCAGCAGCTCCGCCATCGGCTTGCTCAGGCGGAAGATTTCGGGATTCTGATACCTCTGCAGGTTGATTGTGATGTTAATGTTCTCGTCTCCCTTGCGCTCGAACTCCAGCTGGCTGAAGGTGTTCTCCTTGGGGTTGGCGCCCTCGGGCCGCTTCCACTCAATCTGCGTAAAATTGTCGGGCTGGAGGCTCTTGGCGCGGTCGAAATCGATGGCGATGGAGGTGAAGAACTGCGAGAACGGCTTGGGCTTCTTCGAGTCAGCTTTCTTCTGCTCTGCACCGTCCTCTTCCATGGCGTCCGGGTCCATCTCATCCTCGCTGTCCAGGTCGTCGTCGCCGTCGTCGAGCAGGCGGCCCTGGATCTTCACGCGGTAGGTGGCATTGGTGTCGCTCTCGAAATCGAAGGCGTCAGCGTCCATGCCGCTGCTCTGCCAGGGCTGGCTCTCGACGGTGTTCGATATCCAGATGCGCATGGTGCCGGTGCGGCCGCTGCGCGAGTGGAAGACGGAGTCCGAGGCCTCGAGCTTTTTGCGCATCATGGTGGCATCCAGCGTGCGCTCCACGTCGCGCAGCTGTTTGTAGCGGGCCACGCCGTCGCCGATGCAGATGTCCTCGACGCCCTCGGGCATGTTCTTGTTGGTCGGCTTCTGGGCCATGCGGCGCAGGCGGTCGTTCTTGTCCTGGAGGGCGCGCTGCTGGGCGGCCTGCATGTTGGGATTGGCGTACTGCGGCGCGGCGGCGTGCTGGTGATGGGGCACGATGGGGCCTGGTTTGCGGAACATGTGCTCCAGGTCAGTCTTCCTGATCATTTTGGCGGCGTGGGCGGGCGCGATGTGGTGCAGCGGGTCGGCGCAAGAGGCAGAAGGTACGTACCGGGCCCTCGCCGTGCAGGCGTTGCATGGTGCGCTTGTGCGGCAAGCGGACCTGGGTAGTTCCGATAGTTCGGTTGCATTTTTGCTCGTGTGATGGCAGCGACGATGGCGGCCGCGTCCTCGCGATGCAGACACGCTGGGGGACGGTGAAATGGGGGGCGATGCTTTTTCTGAGAGACGCGTTCACAGCACCAGTGCACAGGACAGGACAGGGCTGAGAGGCGGCGAATCGCCCCTTTTCTACAGCCCTACCCCGCCTTCGCTCAACACCCCGCGAGGCCTCGCGACACCTGGCACTCGCCCGTCGCATCGTCCGTCAAACGACGTGCGGACGCAGACTGAGCGCGGGGGCCGCCGTCAGGCTCTTGTGCTCCGTCGCGGAGGTGCTGCATCCTTCACGTGCGCGAGACTTCCATCATGATTCTGGGGTAATCCGCCATCAAGGCCAAGTACACCACTCCTCCGTTCGCAATATGGATTCGCTACTCATCTCAGCGGAACACCCTGACCCGCTCACAGCTCTGCGCCCTCTGCCTGTCTACTGATTCTAGCGACTGCATCGAATCACTTCTCCACCTTCACTCCTTGGCAGCTACAAGGCCGTCCAGTCCGCCTCAACCCCCTTCAACACTCTCGGCGACGGCTCTACGCTTCTCTCCTGACTAAGCTTGAGAACACCAATATAGATGACGGTGAGCCGAACATGGAAGTCGTGAGGAGCGGGATCGTGCCGAATCTTGCCCAGGTGCTGGCAGAAAGTAACGAGAGACGCGAGTACATGACTTGATGGAAACTGGGGACGATCTGAAATGAACCTTGAAAAGACCCTGACACGTTTTCAAGCGATTACCCAAAGAAATCCATAGCCAACAGCTGGAAGTTTCCATGTCTCTTCATCAAACCATCATCTGGGCTTTGGGACGATTCAGCCCAGGTGCTTTGGGTCGTCCCGAGGTCCCTGATTAGCACTAGCACAAACGGGGTATAGCATCGTTTTCCTCCCGTCGTGGATCAACGCCTTGGAATGCCATCAGCCCGGCCTCGTCGTCACTCTCCAGGCTGCTTAATGCATTCGCAAAAGTAATCCATCAACAAGCATGGCGTCTCCATTCTCCCCTGACAGCACTGGCGGCATGGACCAAGAGATGGGAAAGCTCCAGTTAGCGCACGATCTGGCAGAGAAGAAACTCCGACGCAAGTCGCGCGCGCCGCCCCCGCGATACTCGGACGTATACCCTTCTACTTTGAGCAAGGTTGCAGGTGTCCGCTTACCAGATAAGCCGCCGTCGACCCTGTGGGACGTCTCCATCTCTGAAGGAAGGATTTCTTCCCTCGACGCTCACGATCCCGACCGCGCTGGCCCGGAGAGCTCACCGGGTATCCTGGACGGCGCCAACCGTCTGTTAGCTCCCTCGCTCTGTCACGCGCATATCCACCTTGACAAGTGCTTTCTCCTTCAGGATCCCAAGTTCAGCGACTTACAGATCGAGAAGGGCGACTTTCAGGAGGCCATGGAGATGACGGGCAAGGCAAAAGCCAGATTTGAAGAGGACGATCTACTAAGGAGAGGCCGCCAGCTTATTGAGGAGAGCATCTATCATGGCGTGACAGCCATGCGGGCTTTTGTGGAAGTAGACGGCGGCGTGCAGTTCAAATGCCTAGATGCAGGCCTAAAATTGAAAGACGAGTTCGAAGACCGATGTGAGGTCCAGATCTGCGCATTCGCACAGCTTCCGCTCTTCTCTGGAGAGGACGGCGGCGAAGAGGTCAGGAAACTAATGACTGCGGCTGCACAGGAAGAAGCGGTTGATGCCTTAGGCTCTACCCCCTACGTCGAGCGGGACGAGAACAAGTCCAAGATGAATGCACGCTGGATCTCGTCGCTCGCCCTGACGGCCGGCAAACACCTTGACCTCCACCTGGACTACTTTGTAGAGGAGCACAAGCAGCCTCTCATCTGGGACACGCTAAACATCATTAAAGATAGAAACTGGCTAGAAAGAGGGGGCAAACAGATCACACTGGGACACTGTACCCGCCTAACGCGATTCAGAGATTGGGAGTGGGATCAACTGAGACAGCGCGTCGGCGAGCTGCCCGTGTCCTACGTCGGCCTGCCCACTTCGGATCTGTTCATGATGCGCACCGACGAGAATGTCCGTGGGACGCTACCGGTCGTGAAGATGATAAAACAGCACGATTTGCAAGCAGCCATTGCGGTCAACAACGTAGGGAATGCATTCACGCCGCAAGGGAACTGCGATCCTCTCGGAATTGCGACTCTTGGTGTGGGCCTCTACCAGGCGGGGACAAAGAAGGATGCCGAATTACTATATGCAAGTAGCCTCCTGTTTCTGCGCCTTGCCCCTTTGGAGGACCTCACTGATGCCGCCATGCAGCAAGCCGTCTCGTCAAGGGCGAAGGGCGCTATTGGTTGCGAGTCGACATCGCTCAGCCTGGAAGTGGGCGAGCCGGCCGACTTCGTCTTGTTTGATAGAATGGACAGCGGATGGCGGTGCAGAAAGAGCATAGCTGAAGTAGTGTATGATGCAGGCCCAAGTCGGCAGACGATACGGCGCGGAAGGGTGACGGCACTTTGAGGCAAAGGAAGACTGAGGAGCGACATGGCCGTGCTGGCCCGACGGCGTGGTGCTGCCAGGTGAGCACCTGCAGAAACAGGAACCATGTTGCGGTCAAGGCAGCGGCGTTGGGCGGGCGGGTCGCGGCGGGCCAGACGCCCCATTTTCCGTTCCCATGCAAGCGGCGCAACAAACCGCCCAGCCCTGGAGGTGCCAACGACGGCTGATCTACCTAGGCAGTGCTACCGAGACGAACGAATCCCGCAGCCGCGAGGGAAAGCGCGGGTTTCGCCACTCACGTGTCTCATCCCCTTCACCGCGTCCGCGCCCGGTCGCGCCTGCCAAGCCCGTCTATAAACGCCAAAATCTGCCCGCCACGGCTGCCATCTCGCACTTGTCAACACGCCGCCGCCCAAGCTCCCCTCCTGCCTATTGGGAGGCGATCGCTCGGCCGCCATGGACAACGCGGGCGCGTCGACTGCACCCTAGTGAGCTCCCACCACCTGGGCATACGCCCCGAATAACGCCTTCAGCTAACCGCCCCAGTGTGCCCGATGCTGGCACCGTGCTTGCGCCGCCGGCCACAATTGAGCCGCCGCTCAGGCCCGGCGATGAGTCGCAGCACGTGCTCGGTCAATACCAGCCCGGTACTATCAGTGCCCAATGCCTGGACTTTTTGCGGAGCGTCAATGTACGTGCCTCCCTTCTAAAAGGCCACGCAGTCGCCGCTGACCTCACTCAGGAAACTTTCGGCGTGCAGTCGTACGAATCGAACACTATCCATAGCGCCCTCCATGAGTTCAATGCCGGACGCTTGAGCAAGAGAGAGGTCTACTTCAGGATCATGAACATCCTCGGCGATGGGAACGACCTCTGGAACGCCTTTGCTGATGTATTCAATCACAAAGACGCCCACTGGAGTCCCGGTGACTTCCAACTGCCGGAAGACGACCATCCCACACCCCCAGCTGCATCTGCGGTCCATACCTCGCCGGAATTCCTGCAACCCCAGCACCAACCCCAGGTTCGCATGCCATCCATATCAGCTCCATGGCAACCAGGCCAGTACATCCCTCGAATGCCGACTACGCAGGCCTCCATCAATCCTGTTCTTCTTCGGACGCCCCTGGCGCATACCGTCACCGACCGGAATATCCCTGCCGCACTGCATCAAGACATTCAAGAGGCGGCTAGTCATGGATATGGACAATACGGGAGCTACGGTGGCTATGATGGCTATGAGAGCTACGGGGCCTATCGTCCAACGTACACTCCCAATGGGTACAGCATCTGGAATCAGTTCGCGCAGTCCGTTCCTTCATCCCCTGTTGCTCAGCCGCCGTCCAACCGCCCGATATTGCGTCAATATGAATCGCCTTCCCTAGGTCGCGCGCCAAACTTTTCACCGTACACCGCTCATAGCTATGGCATGGAGTTCAGTTCTCCAGAGCGGGCAGTTGTAGAGCAGACTCAGCGCTCTCTTCCGCATAGTGACGCTTGGGAGGCAACAGAGGCCGGGTTTGGCTGGGCAGGAGCTGAACCTCACCGTCAACCGGAGCGCATGCATGTGTTGGTTGGTAACCAACAAGTCCAGTCGCCAGACGTGTCAAACAAGGAACCAACGCCTCAGCTAGCTCATCTAAGCTCACCGAATGCGACCCCGTCCATGCTTGGAACGCCAATTGCGATTCCTCTCGGTCAACCTTCGTTCGAGATGCTACCGCCGACCAGGCGTAAGGGCAAGAGCTCCGCGGCGAACAACCTAGTGGATGACAACCATGATAGTCATGAGGAGAGCGGACTTCGGAGGGACTCTTCTGTACCTTCCACTGCTCAGCCTTCCTTCGTTCATCGGCCGGAGAATCAGCTCAATACGAAGCAAGCGAAACCCCGGGCACCTCGCAACCAAGGGCAGTTTATCCATGCTATTTGCGGAAAAGGATTCACCACTCGATCTGCCGTGAAGAAGCATCATTGGGGAGCGAAGGCTGAAGATATCGCGACAACGACGGGCTGTTGGTTCAAACACAATAAACCCAACACCAACTGGTAAGCCACCTCATGCTTTGCTAGTGCAGACTATTGACACTTCATCTAGGGATGACCATCCGAGCTGCAAGCAAGAGCTACCGAAACCCCGTGCCGCCCAGCTAATCGGGCAATCCCTCTCTACGCCGGAACAGATTCAGCATCTGAATTCTGAGTTCAAGGCCCCAGTCGTACCTGGAATGGTTCCTAACCCAGAAAATACCATTCCAGGATTTCCAACGTTACACCATCTTCCGGATACGGTTGCTGAGACCGTCCGGGGTGCGCCGGCTTCAACGCAAGCTCCACGAGGAGAGGCAATTCCTTATCATACTTCCCGTCTCCCTTCTGGTGGTAACTTCGATACTCTACTGACTGCCGTCAATGTTGCTGCCCGGATCGATGCACCCAAACCCAAGGGCCGGAACGATTCAGTGGTTTCGCATCTTGACGCTCAAGTGGCTGCTGCTGAGCGCAGCCGCCAGAACTTCTTGTCCTGGGCTGGTGGTCGTAATAACGGAAATCGAGAATTCGGCATGGTGCTCTCTCACGACCCGCCTCTAGCGCCAGCTATCGGCTTGGGGATCACCCAGACTGAGCAAAACATCCCGGTGCCGGTGCTTCCTTCACAGCGCCACGAGCCGGAGCAAGTTAGGGATGCTGTGGAAGCCACAGCTTCGAAGGCTGATATTGGTACGACCGAAGCTGGAGTTGCCGTCAAGGATGCTCCCGAGGCCACTTCAGCGTATGCGTCTGAAGAGAAGGCCAACAGCAGTAAGAGGCGACGATCCTCTGGTCGGAGGTCCGATATCTCGAGGCGCGAGCGGAAGATGTTGGGATTACCCGTCTCTCCTAGTCCGGAAAAGAAGAAGCAGAAGGCTTGATGCGTTGCACACCACGACGTCCCTTCGGCTTGTCGTATGGATTCTCAGGTACGGAAGGGGTCTTGGCCACTGTTATACGGGATCAGGATATCTTCGGGGGAGCATGGTTTGTATTAGGCGCGGGAAATGTTGACGTGTCATGTCAACTAGATCTCTTCTCTTCCCTCTTTAATGAGCATGGAGTATATGTACCAGCATCGATGGCGATGTATATCAAAAGGCAGCTGCCGGCGTCTCTCATGGATGGAGATATAACCGTCCGGTTGTACATACGATTCATGACGGCAATGAATGACGGACGATTGATGCGATAGAGGATACCTTTCCTTGTGCTAGACGTTTGTCTCTGCTTGCTCAGTTCTTAGAGCTGGACAAAAGCGCCGCTCGCATAGATCTACTCTAACGGCATATGAGATAGATGAGTATGAATGCTTGGTCCACCCGCGAGCCAACGGGAAGTGCGGTCATAAGAGTAAGCACCAAAGCCGCGATGTCACACGGAGTACGTACCACCTCCCGCGAAGATCTCGTGGCGCTCTTCCCCGCCCCCCAAGCAAGAAACAAGCTCCACAACGGCGGGCGCGCAAGGATCACAGAGCAGCCCCAGCCGCTGCAGCTCCCGGCGCTCCACATTTTAAACCAACTGACCCTTGTTCCGCTGTCATTACGCTGCGTCCTGCTTTCTTCCTCCAATCGGGCTTTCTCGCTGCGTCTTTGCTCCATGGCCATCCTTGCTGCAGCTGTCCCGTGGAAGGGGGAGCTGTGAGCTCAAGCTTCGGGCTTTGGAGCTCGCGGAGCTCAGCGCGATACCCTTACCGGCCGGTGAGCGAGGCGCGTGAAGTCTGAGAAGCATTTCGGCGCCCTCGTGAGCGCAATTGACCGAGAAGGGTAGCCCTACCGACCGTCGTAATTCCGCCGCCGGTCAATTCCGTCATAGCTTGTGTTCCTGAACGATCGCCTTCTTCCACTTGCGGGGAAATTGTTGGCTTCGAGCGCGGTGACCCGGCTCCAGGTTGCGCTGCCATCCAACTGCAGGGTTGCATCTGATGAAAGAACCCTTGGTCATGGGAGCCGTGTACCGGAATACATAAGTAGAGCCCCCCTGCCCGCAGGACGCCGTTTTCCTGACACCTCTGGAGCCTGCTTTCGCTCCCCCTCGTCGATTGGGAACTCATGATGAAGCTGTCGGCTGTGATTTCGATACTCGCCGCTACTGCGCTCGCGCAGTACAGCGCGCCTAACGACACCATCGGACCCAATGCGGACGGCAAGTACGAGATCTCTGCGGAGGGCATCCGGGGCTTGTTTATCCCATACGGCGCGTCGATTTCCAACCTGTTCATCAACGATACAAATGGAATTGAGCGCGATATCGTGCTGGGGTTCGACAATGCGAGCCACTACTCCGTGGATCAATTCCATCCTCATCTTGGAGGCGTTCCTGGTTTGTTTTGCCGTGCAATGGATGCGTATATGGGCGGGACTGACGGGAGCTAGGACGCTACGCGAACCGCATCAAGAACAGCAGTTTCGTGATCGATGGCGTCGAATACCACGTCGAGCCCAATGAGAACAACAACAATGATACCCTGCATGGTGGACCAGATGGATGGGACTACGTGCGTTGTTTGCGAGAACTGATAGTCTGGAAGAGGTCTGACTCGCTTGCAGAGGAACTTCACCGTTGTCGCACACACCTCCGACTCGATTACCTTCTCGATAGTCGATCCCGACGGCAAGGAGGGCTTCCCGGGTGAGGTCATCAGCTACATCACATACACGATGACGCCGCATACCTGGAACATCAAGATGGTGGCTCTAGCAACGACCAAGAAGACGCCGATTATGCTTAGCTCTCACGTACGTAGGCTTGATTCCTCCTTATTTACCGACTCTGACTGATATCGCAGACCTACTGGAATCTTGACGCTTTCGCGAATCCGGACACACCGACGGCGCTCAATTATACGCTCCACATGCCCTACTCCGGCCAACGCATAGGCACCGATGGCATTCTTATCCCCAATGGCACCATTCTTCCGAACGAACTGTACTCCGTGAATGACTTCTGGTCCTCGCCCAAGCAGATTGGCGCCAACTTTACTTCTCCGGATCTGCTTGGCAACTGCGGGACCAATTGCACTGGGTACGATACTTGCTATCTCGTCAACCGCGCGCAAAATGGCCCCTACGATTGGCGAAGCGGGGGTCCGGTGGCTAGCCTCTCCAGCAACTTCACGGGCATCCAGATCGATATCTTCACAGACCAGGATGCCTTCCAGGTGTACAGCTGCGGTGGGCAGAATGGTAAGTTTGGGAGATCTCCTAGTGATGGCATGGTCTAATGAGTAACAGGTACCCTCCCAATCAAGTCGACTCAAGGCTATGAGGGCCGTCCTCGCGTCGTCGAGCAGTTTGGCTGCATCGTCATGGAAGTTGAGGATTGGATCGACGCCATCAACCAACCGGAGTGGCAGCGAGACAAGAAGAACATTTTCGGTCCCGGCGACGATCCGTATGTGCTGGAGGCGGCGTATGTTTTCTCAGTCAATTAATTGCTCCTGGGATAGAAAGGAGACGTAATGGTAGCAAGGAAAACGGCCCAATACAGGGAGCTTGAGGGCTTCGGATAATGGGATAATTCAAGAATTACATTTCATCAAAGGTATGAGCATTGTGCCTGATGCTGCTCCAGTAAATCCCCGCAAAGGTCTGAGCAAAGCTTCCTTCACCTTCACTTCGTCGCCCGTCGTGGCAACCTAGTCTCCGCGTCAACCAAACCACTGCCACGACACTTCAACATCACCGCATCTCATTTTACGCTTCTGTCAACACCTCTTCTTGATTCGTTTTTCTTGGATCCAAGGTCGCGAGAGGGACAGGTGTACCACTGGCTCTGCTCTTGCTACCCAGTCCCTTTCGCAGCCCAACTCGGCATCGGTTGCCGTACCAGAGAAACAGTCTTAATACGCCGTTTTTCACTTCGTCGCCCACACTAATTTCGCTGTCGCAGGACCTCAAGCCATTCGAGAACCCGGGATCAGACCCGCCCCAAGCGAGTACACGCATGCCGCCTAATAAAGCTGCCGCCCACGAGCGAACGCACCATTACCGTCCAGCGAGCCCGGAGAAACCGAAACAGCCGACCGGTAAAGACGTGGTGGAGGCCCTAATGAAGGCTCAGAATTCCGCAAACGCCATGAAGAGTGCATCGCAACGACTGCAGCGGGCGCTGGGACTGCAGGACGCGCTTCCGTACAACGCGCCGCCTGTCATGCCGCCGAATCTGGTGCAGGCGTTTGAGGAGGGACTGGAGGAGTTTGGCATTGGAGTCAAGATGAGCAAGATGGATTTGAGTGAAGGCAAGGGAAATGAGGGTGGTGGTCTTGGAGTTGATCTTGAGGGTCTCATGGAGCCATTTTCGCCTGAAAAGAGTGATGTGGAGGTCGGGGAGAAGACGGTTGGTACGCCGCGCTCTGATGCTGCTCCCGTCTTATTCCCTTCTCCAAGGATCGAACAGGAGGAGGTATTTCCAGAGGAGCCTGCTACTACTCCAGCCAACGTGGACTGCTTCTTGGAGACTCTTTTCCAGCGCCCACCACCAGCCACAGCACCAAGTGTTGCCGTCGTCCCACCCACACCGCACAAGATAGGAGAACCTCCAAAAGGGAAAGACCGCAAGCGCACCCGAGCCGACTCTCGAGCAGACCACCTCCTAACCCGCCCCGTCCCCGGCGCTTTCCAGCAAAAGAAACTCCGCAACGATGGCGTCACCGGCTTGCAAACCCTCCCCGTCACCGCAAGCGCAGCCTGGACGACCGACTTCCCAGGCAGAACAGACGGGCTGTCTCACACCCTGCTGACCTGGCACTCCACAATGAGCACCCTCTACCAGAAATGCCAAGACGAAACGGTCATGCAAATCCATCCCCTCTTTCCCTATCCACCGACTCGTCCTGTCGGCGTCCCGCTCGTCTCAATCTCCTTCTGGGACACGTCCGTCGAGCCGCGCCGCGAGCTGCGCTTCATCGGCCCCGGCGACGTCTCTTCGATCCTCTATGCCGAGGTCGACACCTTCTCCCTTTCCCTGCCCGAGGATCATGATTCGGATGACGTCACGCCCGAGGAATATCGCAGCACCTCAGGCCCCTTCGCGCGCATGGCTTCAGGCCGAATCCCGCTCACAGCCACCGGGCTCCGCAAGATCGCGATGCATGATCGGAATGCGCAGGGCGAGGGCCGTTGGTGCTTCGTGGTAGTTAACGGGTGGAAGAAGGCGGACGGGGAGGTGGCGCCGTTTGTGGTGTTGGGATGGCCAACTACGAGCGTTACGAACAGTAGCGAGTGCCTTTACACAATATATCCGGATGAGGAAGAGAACCTGCAGGATGAAAAGGACGTATATGGAGGGATGCCACCGCCGCTGCTGCCGGCGTCGAAGACTCGGGTCCCCTTGGGGAGGCTCGTTAGTATGCCGACGCTGTGGGGTGGAGGGTCGGTTACGCCGAGGATGCGGGACGAGCTGAGGAGTGCGTCGGCGACTACGCTTCCACCTCCTGCGCCGAATCGTCCGCGGGGCAGCGCGGGACAGGCTGGAGTTGCGAAGGGAGTCTATCAACCGGATGCCTGGACTCTGAGAAGAACTAGCCTGATGTTCCAGAAAGCAGGTGGGGTTCCGCTGATTGAGGCATTTAGGACGGATGCGGGTGCCTGGATGCCGTTCCTGGAGGCTGTGGGAAAGGGAAAGGGTAAAGTGATGACGTTTTGCGAGATGGACTAAAGGAGTCGGAAGGAAGGATGGGGGTACCAATAGGCTCAGGGAAGGAAGATCGGAAAATTGACGTCCAGGGTCGGAGATGTAGTGTACAATATTGAGCATTGCCCTGGGTATATGCTGGAGGCCTTCACAGGCTCGGCTGTCTCCTCCGGAGGGTATGAATTGCTTCAGCCTCTACTATCTTCTCTGATCTTCTTCTGTCTTCTCATCAACCTCTTAATCTCCTACTCTGCCTCCTCCTTCTCCTCCCTATTCGTCCTGATCTTGTACGCCATGAGCGATATCTCCATCTGATAGAACATCAAGTCCTCGCCGACCTCCGGGATGCCTTCTTCGCGCAATTGCGCATTGACGCGCTCTTTGATGGTGTGTATTTGCTTCGTGGGGAGCTCCTTCCAGGTTAGGGACGGGTAGGTAGACGCTAGCGCGTACATTTCGTCGCGGACGAGGCGCTGGGGGTTGTTAGAATACAACTTCCTCTGAGCGGATTGCGATGAGCGTACCCGAAAGCGCCACATGTGCGATTCAAGCTCTGATCCATGTCCTGCAGCTATAGCTTTGGATTCGTAGGCTGCTCTTGCCTGTCGAGCTGTGATTCGCTATCAGCTAACATGCTCCACGCCAAATGCAGGTGTCAATTAAGAAAGTCACGTGCCTGCAGTCGTCCTCTTCATGTTCTTGAAAATGCGATGCATACGCCATTTCAACACGTTATCCGGCGCAATGGGTACTTTTTCTTCCTTCAGCAGCTCTGCCACGCTCTTTCTAATCCTGTCCTTTGCTTCTGCGGGCAGCGCACGCCATGTCTTGGGTTCGCGTTTGCTTGGCGACAACGTATCGCCGTGGAGCGATTTCGCAACCGACGCCGTTACTGACTACATAGGACTATCAATACGGAGGGTCGAATAGGTTTGCGAGGGCCGGTAGGAGAGGGTTACTTTAAAGGTCTCCCATTGCTTCGCATTGTAGCGCGTCACGGCCAGGACGTCGGCAACGCTGGAAGCCATGACGATGTGGATGAGGGGTTTGCGGCCCAAGAGTACTGCTGTGAGGCGCATCGTGGACGGCTGTCGCGGATCGCTGAAATCATTGGATGTGTCTAAGATGCCCTTAGCTTTTATCGAGCACGTAACGTTTTGATGAAGGCACGTGAGAAGACATAGGGGATAGAAGCGAAGTTTAGGCGCGTACCTACGCGTCGCTACCTGCTGGGCTTGTTCGATGAACGCATCCACATCGAGAGAATGACTAGAAAAGCAATGTACAAGAAAGGCAAAGTTTGTAGTTTGAAATCTCTGCAAGCAATCGCACGTCGACCGAACTGCGTTCAAAAATCTCAAGTCCCCAGAATGGCCCGTGCATCTCTTCATCTCTTTTCTCATATCCCACTCGATTCCGCCTAGTTCACCATCACCCCACCTCGCTTATTACCTCTCGCCGCCCCTCGGCGTTCCACACAAAGCGTCTTTGACTCATATCTGCTCAGCACCGGTCCTCCCTGAGCCTAGTTTTCCTTGGATTTAGTGATTACTACGCTACATATTCTAGCTAATTTCACTCAGACGTCAAATAATCAATCAGGCTTCGTGGTCTAGTGGTATGATTCCTGCTTTGGGCTGTTGCACAAATTGCAGGAGGCCCCGCGTTCGAATCGCGGCGGAGCCCTCGAAGACGTTACCAGCGTCTTGCCTTTTTGGCGGTTTGGTTGTTTTTGCCGTCTTTTGTTTTGGCGGGCCGGGAAGACGGCGCTATAGCCCCAGTCGGAACCTCGGTGGTTTCGGCCACGAGGACGAAGCTTTTTACTCCCACCAGCAACCAGAACTCGGTTAGTCTAGTCAAAATAGGTCCCGCGTTGTAAACTCAAGTGGTTAAGGGATGAATATAGTGCAGAAAGCATGTGGCTGGTCGATGATGATACAGAGCGAGCTGCGGTGGAGCCCGATTCTTTCTTTTTGCCAGTTTGGGTATTTCTTGGTTGCAGAGGGCCGTCGGATTCGGCGTTTACATGGGAGCAGGGGTCACTTCTTTTTTGCTTCCGGCTGGAGGAGTTTGGTGGCCGGATGGATGATGCTTGTGAAGAGCGGTAAAGGGGTTGGCGCAAGTCCCAAGACGGTATGAAGCCCTTCGGGGTCCAATGACATGGCATCCCGACCCCGAGAGAAGGGTGCTGTATAACTTCAGGGCCAAGCACAGCCTTCAGGAAGCAAAGTGGAAAAGGTCAATCGTGATGGAAGCAAAGCTAGACTACCGAGATAAGACAATGAGGTATCATAATCATACACCTGTATCCGGGGCCAAAACTCCAAAAATATCAACACCGACATAGCAAACCCGGACTCCAGCACCCAGCCATTATCAAACAATGACGGCCACTTACTCCGGCCATTCAACACTCATCCCACCCCGCCTCACAATCACCTTCCCTCTCTTCTCATCCCTCCTCAGATCCTCACCCATGACCACACTCGCCAGCCTCCGCACCACCTCCTCCTCTGTAATCATCTCACCGCTAACCCCCGGCCCACAATCACCCATTTGGATATTCTTCCCTGTCCTCTCCTCATACTCAAACACATCCTTCAGCGTAAGCAACTGCATGTATACCGCGCAAAGCACGACGAGCGCCTCATCCAGAGTGACGCTGTAGCCCCAGACGGAGTAGCGCGCGCCGACGTAGGGGCGCTTGGATGTGCGCAGGAAGTTCGACAGAAGGGCGTTGTTAGTGTTGCTTGTGCTAGATGAGGAGCTGGGACTGAATAGGGATGGCTTGTTTTTGTGGAGCTGGAAGAGCGCGTCGAGAGTCTTGTAGTGTGTTTTGGTCCAGGGCTCGACTTTGGGAATAGGGTCGAATTTCGCGAGGATGGGGTGGGTGGGTGGCGGAGCATTCCCCAAAGCGCTCCACAGAGTCGAGGTGAGACGGCTGAAGATGCCTGAGGAGGGTGGAGCAGGCTCTTCGGTGGGTGGCGCAACGGCAATGACAGGCCTTGCGGGAGGCTTCAGAGCGGACAACGGTGCCTTCGCCGCCTTCAGTGGTGCAGATCGAGGGGATTCAGTAAACGTGGTTTCGCTGCCGAAAAGCGGAGCGTATGTGCGCTTCGGCTTCAGCATACTCTCCTCGAACGTCTGCTTGATTGCTGGCGGGCTTGACGGCATCATGGTGGTTGCCTTGTTCCAGCTCCTGCTCGGTTCGGTCACCTCTTCGATTTCGTGCAGCGTGCGCTCTTGTGGCTCATAGGCGTCAAGGTAGTCGTCCGCCTCGTTCCGAATACGCCGGAAGCTGGAGTCCGTGGGAGCCCTCATTTCCTCCAGCAGCTGCCGCTGGTCTGACGCTGTAGAAAGAACTGTATCACCGTCGACTTGGGTGTGGAAAGGAGAGCTCGGCGTAAGTGGAAGCGTCGATTCGTCTGCGCGTTGCTGGATCGACTCCGAAGAGGTGTCTGAGGCCCGGATCTCTTGTCGCAGAGGACTGCTCTTTGCGGGTGAGGATCGCAATGTTGGGAAACGTGGCGGCGTATTCAAGAAGGGATTCGGCTTGTTAGTGGCGGGAATCTTTGAGGCAGGTACGGGAGGAGATGATTCTGGAAGGAGGCTCTCGCCTTCGTTCATCAGCAGCGAGAGGTCCAACTTCTCGGTCTTCTTCCTCCTCAGCTCAGCTGATCGCTTCTTATTAAACAAACTTGGCAAATTGGAATGAAAGAACATTCCAGTATCATCAGATGCCTCGCTCATGTCGTCATATTCTTTGTCTTCTTCCTCGGGTATGGCAGACTCAACCATCCTGCCCTTGGCCTTGTCCACTTTCTCTCGGGAGGGTTCGTCTGACTCTGTCGACGGCGGCGTTGGCTCTTGAGGCTCTTCAGCTTCGTCACTGTATTGGAAATCACTGGAGCTCTTGCGTCGCCACGTCCGAGGCAGCTTGCCCCGAGCTGGCTTGATCGGTCCGTCTTGAGCAAACAAATCCTGAAGTTGAGGACTCTTCTCTGGCGAGGCACTATCGGCTTCAGGCAAGTCTGACGACCGGCTAGCCTCTTCTTGCCATATATCGGCGTACTCCTCCTTCTGGCCCGGCCCATCTTCATCCGCGATCACGGATATCTCCCTTCCACGTATGACTTCGCCCCGCTCGTTGACCGCAGTCATGTTTCGTCGTCCGGCAGCACCGCTCGCTCGTGTCGGAGGCGTATCAACCTTCCAGCTCATCTCGTCTTCGCTCCTAGCGGGACTGATGAGGTGCGACTCTTGATCGGCGATATTCAGTGATGGATACTGGACGTCAGCTGGCTGAGCAGCTGGCGGAGGGGACGGAATGGCGTACTCATCCTCTGGACTGAGCAGTCGTGAGTTGCGATGTTTCCGCTGGGGCGCAAAGATGTCATCCGTCGGGGCAGGTGGTCCTTTGGCCTTAATGGGGCTAGATAGAGAAGGTGAGGACTGGTTGCTTGTCTGATTCTGCTGTGCCAGCTGTTCCCCAAGTCGCAATCCCGCCTGTAGCTCTCTCCGCGTGCGCTCGCTGAAGCCTCGGAAGAGGTCGTCAAGCCGGTCACGTTGTTCAACCCTAGCCCTTTGTGAGGGTGCCGTTTCTGGCGTAGCGCGATTCGGGTCAACAACGCCCTGGAGTGCAACTCCTGCTTTGACCACCCGTCCGAGTTTTGGAGTCTCAGTTTTGGATGGCAAGTGTGTCGGTTGGATGGGCGGTGGGTTCGAGGGCGGCTCTGGGTCGATTGTTGGTGTTTTATGTCTTGGAGGAGCGACTGGTGGGGAGGATTTGAACTGAGCGGCGAGCGGCACTTTACGCGACGGTCCAGGGGATGATTTTGCGATAGCGCGAGGGCTGCTTCGCATTTGGCGTCTGTCGGAGGGCGGGATTCTGAGGTGTCGGTTCTCTAGTGTTGATCCCGTGTTTTGTACTGTTGGTGTGTTGGCTTGATACGCATTTGGTGGACTCGTCAAGCCGCCGCTGCTAGGGAGCGAGTCGACCGACACCATGCTAAAGTTCTCGCTCTCAAGGATGGTTGTATCATCAGGCATCCGAGTTGCGCCCTCATCGAAGGCAAAGTTGGTCACATCCTGCAGCTGATCCTCATCATCGTCGTCCTCCATCTCTGGCATTTGAACAGGCTCAAATTCTTCCCGCTGAGCCTCCTCGTCGGTTGCAGACGGCGTGCGCATCCCGCTTTCTTCGTCTGACTCCTCATCGGAAGATATTTCAGCCAAGGGCTTTCCTTTCGCGGCGGGAGTGCCTTTACGTGCGCGAATCCTTTTCGAAAGTTCGGTCTGTGGCGGAGTGAAGGTAATGGGCATTTCAATTTCTCTCAGAGTGTCCGGCCTCTTGTCGATCGGTGGCATGAGTGAGGTTCCGTCGAGAAGCGGGTCTTCGGCTGCCTTTACTCGCGGATCTTGGGGAATGGCCAAGGTAGTCTCGATAACGGGGACGGTCGTCTGCGTTTCCGGTTCTGGTGTGGCAATGTCGTCTTGAATATTGGCACCCTCGGCCTCGTCTAGGGCTGCCTCGGGCTCTTCTGTTGCTACTGAAGCGGAACCAGCACTGAGAGCATCTTGCGTGTGCTGCACCCCGACGGTTATCGTGTCCCCTTCTTCTGTTGGTGCCCGAAAGTGCTTTCGCGGACGTCCTCTCCGCTTCTTGGGCGCTGTGTCGGTATCCACGTCCGCAGCGCTCGCATCAGCTCCCACGCTGGAACTTCGCGCGCTCGCTTTCGCTCTGGCTCGGACTGGGGTGCCACTTCGCCTGGGTTTTGCGCCGGCCGCATCTGACTTCCTCGGTCGTCCGCGGCGTTTGACGGGCGACGGCGCGTCGGCGTCCTTCAATGGCACCGTGGTGGTCTTCGTCCGCGTGACGCGCTTCACCGTCGGCGACTCCATGTTCTCCTCGTCGCTGCCCGGCGCTGCCTCCACCGTCACTCGGATGCGCCAGGGACTCACACCGCCGGGCCGGCCGGTGTTCAACACCATCGATTTCGAGGGCGAGTCGAATTCGGCCGTCTGCGTAATGCTCGACCTGCGGTTCTGCCTGCTCGGCGGGCTCGAGACAAGAGGCTGCTTGGCCGCACGCGGTGCCCTGCGTCGTGCATGCGCTGTGTTTTCGTTGAGGGAGGCGGCGAGCGGATCTGGCGACGACTCTGGGCCGCCGCCATCGAGGTGGTCGCTCGACCCGGCTTTTCTGCGAGGCGGCATGCTGGCTTTCTCTGCGACGGCACGCAGCTGGAATGTTAGGAATGCGGGCAGCCAGCGACTGGACGTGGTGTTGGCCGCGGAAGCCTGGAATGTCGTCGCCGTAGCAACAATCTAATCGGACCGCGGCGGCGATCGCGGCGGACAACACCACGCCGACGGGCACTCGGCGCAGCGCCCGCAGAGCATGGCGCCGCAATGGGCATCCACGGGTAAGACGCTCCCGGGCTCTTGCAGAGCGCGAAGTTGACCAATGCAGGATTTACAAGGAGATTGGCCCCGGCCAGCGCATAGCCCTCTCCAAGCTCGCCGTCGACAAGTTTGAGGAGACAGGCCGGCCGCTGCGTATCGCTATAGACGTATCCATATGGCTCTTCCAAATACAGGCCAGCAAAGGTAGCATGCCTCGCGACGGAAACACTTGCTAGAGATGCTGATGCGCGACGACAGGCGGCACGAATCCGGCGCTGCGGACGTTCTACTATCGACTCCTCCGTCTGATCGCCCTTTCTATCCACCCCGTTTTCGTATTCGACGGGCCCAACAAGCCCCCATTCAAGCGCAATAAACGCACGGGGCCTAATGTCGCGTCGATTCCAGAGTTTCTAGCGAAGCAGCTCCTCAAGCAATTCGGCTTTCCTATACACCTGGCGCCTGGAGAAGCGGAAGCAGAATGCGCGTTACTCCAGCGAGAAGGCATCGTGGATGCTGTGTTGAGTGAGGATGTAGATACCCTCATGTTTGGCAGCGGTTTGACCATACGGAATTGGTCGCCCGAGACGACGGGCAAGACGCCGACGCATGTCAACGTATACGATGCCGTCAAGACAAAGAACGGGCCATCGGGCCTTGATCGCGAAGGCATGATATTAGTCGCCATGATGAGCGGAGGAGACTACGTGCCGGAAGGCATCCCCAGTTGCGGCCCAAAGACAGCATGCGAGGCTGCGAGAGCAGGATTTGGACGAGATCTCTGCAGCATCGCGAAGAACGACTCTAGAGCCATGCGCGAGTGGAGGGAGCGGCTGCAGCATGAGCTCAAAACAAATGAGAGCAAGCTCTTCAACCGGAAGCGTCCCAGCTTGAAAATTCCGGACGACTTCCCGCGCCTGGATATCTTGGGATACTACACGCATCCTGCCATATCGACTCAGGCTGGACTAGATAAGCTGAGGCGCTCTATTAACTGGGATCAAAATCTTGACTTTCCGGGGCTGCGCGACTTTACCCATGACGCATTTGACTGGGCGAAGCTCGAGGGTGCAAAACACTTCGTCCGCAGCCTGGCACCATCTCTTCTTGTTCGCCAGCTCCGGATGAGAGGAGAACAGAACGGTAGATTCCCTACACACAATATCCAGGCTATCGAAGAAGACGAAGCGCTGCTGGTCAAGGGCATCCACGGCAAGAGACAACACATGATCACGGACAATACTACAGAGCTTCGAGTGAGCTTTACGCCCATCGAGCTCGTCAGAATTGATTTGAGCAAAGAAGAGCCTGACGAGGTGCTAGAGGCGCAAGATGCAGTTCCACCAAGCTGCCAGGCCGGGGAGGCTGACTTGGATGAAGACCTACCTTTGGAGATCGAAGACGACGACGCCGCGCCTAGGAAACGTGGCCCCACAAAATTCGACCCTTACAAGGCCGCACGCATATGGGTTTTTGAGACCTATGTCAAGGTTGGCGTGCCGTTGAAAGTCCAGGACTGGGAAGCAGGGCGACAGAAGCCACTAAAAGCAGGGGCGACTACGCAAACAGCCCCGAAATCCAAGGGAGCAAGGCGTACGAAGACCACTGGTGATGCGCCGCAACTATCTATAGAACGGTTCGCAAAAGTCACAAAGCCTGGCGTCAAACTCTCTCAAGCTCTGGCCAAAGCACAGAGTGATCCTACGGATCCTCTAGCAGCGTCACGACCAGTGCCACAAACGAGGCCTACCATTGTCGACCTTCTCTCTTCGTCCCCTACTAAACCTACGAAGACCGTACCTTCTCCCAGGCAGACGAGAGACAAGCCACTCCCACCTGTCCAGGAAGACCCACCATCGAACGTATCGAAACGAAGACGGGCCCCAATGCAGCGCTCGCATACACTGCCTTCTGATCCAAGCGCCGCCGGCAAGCGACTGGATGACTCTCATTTGGATGCCATAGAGACATTAGATCTCGTTGATCTTCCTGCATTGCCGTCTCCTTCCCAGTCCAAGAAAGCAAGGGTACGAGCTACGAAGAACCCGCCTATTGGCCGCGCAGCTCGTGGCACATCAGTAGCTGATTCCCCAGGGAAGACCAGACAGACGACTCTAGATGCATGGCGCGCTTCGCCAGCAACAACACCTACAAAACCACGGAGGACGACACCTCCAGATTGTGCTGTGGCAAGACCAGCTCCACCGCAGCTCCAACCCCCGCAAGATGTGGTAGAGACGCTGGACCTCACGCTCTCTTCACCGCTTCGCCCTCCACCCAGGCGACCCACAGTGCCAACGAACCCGCGCCGAACCGCCGCACCAGCATCTGGCACACGCCCTCCGCTCCTCTCAATCTCCTCGAACGCATCCCAGCGGTCCACATCCTCGTCCTTATCTACATCTTTCAAGCCCAAAGCCGCAGCCACTGCAAGACAAACCCGCGGGGCATCACCGCGGCTCCGAACGACCAAATCCGCCTCGCCAGACATTGACACGCTTGATCTGACGGTCCTGTCTCCCCAACCACCATCTGTCAGGGCACCCGTTCCTTCCAAGCGCGCCGGCATACTAAATTCACCGCCACCCACCCAGCCCCTAGCCGGCACCCTCCGCCGCTCGCCTCGAAACCACGCTTCTACCTCACTCTCCCCTGAACCTGGGTTGCGCAAGCGTTCATCACCTGCGGCCTGGAAAGCGCAAGCAAAAAAGAAACGCGAAATTATTCTGCGGAAGAGTCTCGCTGGGGCGTGGGATTTTGTCGAGGCGGATAGTCCCGCCAAGGCAGTTGGAGCGGAGGGTAGTGGTGTGGTGTTGAAGGGAAAGGAGAGGAGAAAGTGGCGCGAGAGCGAGATTGAGGTTCTGGATTTGAGCTAAGCGGTGTAGGCTGGGAAGCTGGATATCTCATCTATGAATAACATGTTTCTTGTTCAGCGGATGGTAGATACACGCATGATCGCAGCGGCGTCCTATTGATATACCGACCGCATGCTCGTTACAAAAGTCGATACAAGAAGATAAGATTCGCAAACCACGTCTATCCTCTATCGTGAGCTATAAATGCGGCACTTTCAAGCTCGCCAGCAACAAGTTAACAATACTAAACAGACCCTCGCCCAGAATCAAACCGCTGGCGAGGACGATAATCGGAGTTTCACTCCTGCCCTTCCACCTGCGCCACCAGAGGCTGATGAGGCCGCCGATTGTGCGCGCGAGTGTGAAAGAGGGCGTGTTATACATGCCTGTACACATCGTTAGGTGGCTTCTATTTGATGGGATGAAGATACGTACCCACAGCAACGGCAATTCCTCCGGGGATGAAATCAACCCACCACCCGCTCAGGCCCGTTCTCTTCCTCGCATGCCCCCAGACCCTCGCCATGGTGCCTGCGGCGAATATCACCGCTGCTCCACCGGCCCACTGCTTCACCATTGGTGGGAGACCTTTGCCGGTGACTAGCCTTGCTGTGAAGATCCAGACGTAGCCCGTGGGGACTTCGAACAAGCCTCCTGGAATGGTGTATACGTGCGTGTACAATTTGTACACCCCAGCGGAGAGCACAGCGCCGACAGCCGAACCGATCATCTGCCCCCAGAACTGGGCGTTGGGCGCTGCGCCGAGAAGATGTCCGCACTTCAAATCCTGCAATAGGTCTCCTGCCTGCAAAGCAGCCGATTCGGATATAGCGCCCGCGAGCAGGTTGATGATGACCGAATTCTTGGCGCCAGGGCCAGAGGTAGGTGTGACGAGGGCGAAGATGAGCTGAGTGAGCTTTGAGATGCCGGAGACGGGGTTGAGGTCTGTTTCGCCAAGCGCCCTGACACCCATTACGGAGAGAAACAAGGCGAGCACGAGTGCCAGGATGGTGAGCTCTAACGGGATGAGGTTTGGAAATGAGACGTGGACAGCCACTACGCACACTACGAGGGAAAGGACGAGGCCAATGATGGTTGTGCGGGTTGAGATAAGGTGTTCTGGTGGGGCGTCGGGTTCACCTTCTTCGGCGAGATGGTGTTTGATGGCTAGTATGGGGTTTGCGAGTGTGCCGTCAGTGAGCTGGGTGTATACTGGTTTGTGGGTGATGTTGAGCGTTGCAAGTTCCTTCCAGGTGTGTGATTGATAGGTCTCTTTGACAGTAGGGTAGTAGAGCCGGACGATTCCGATTAGAGGTCGGAGAACAAGCCAGCCGAGGCTGACGAGGGAGTCTGCCAACATGATGGCAAGCGATATCCAGACAATCCATCCTTTGGAGCCATTTGTCCAGTCCGATACTGGTCCTGGAGCCCAGTCTTTGTGCTTGGCCAAGGGCGAGAGGATGGCCCAGCCGACGACAGCACCAAGCAGCATATGGATTGTGGTTGCGGGGCCCATAATGATCCCTTGACCTACGTAGGCCGGCGACGGATTCAGAGTCCAGAGCCATTTGTTCGCCAGCGGAAGACCGAAGACTGGGATGCCGTGCAGCTGGGGGATGAAATACGAGATGATAGTCTATACGCGTTAGCATGATCCATTTCTGAGATCAATATCACCAACGTAAAGTGCAGAGCCAGCAAATGAGACCAGAAGCAGTCGGATCTTCGCTTTCCAATCGCCATCCTCTTCGAGCTCTTGTTCCTGCCTTTCTTCCTCTTCTTCGTTTGACGAACGCAAAAGATGCTCTTCCTGCTGCGGAGTGGTGGGCTGCAGAAGCCGTTGTTCCTCCTCTTCCTCTGTATACGTAGACTCGCGTCTTTGCTGAGCAATGAGCTGTTTCGACTTCTCGTCACCATGCAGCACTCGAATCATTAGCGCTGTAGCGGTGCCGCTCGGAAACTTCAGCTTCTCCCTGATGATGACCTCTCGGCGCAGAGGCACAGCGAACACGACTCCGAAGAAACAGATCCCCACAGCCCAGATGATCAACCGCCAGAGACTGATATCCAAAGGCCCATTCTCTTCTGGCGTCAAAAGGTAGTTCAAAGCCGGGATGACACCGACGAATCCGCATCCCAGGGGCATCGTGCCTACCGATCCGGCAACAGACTGCACGAGTACATTTTCAACTGGGGTGAACGGATAGCTGATCAAACGGGATACGGTTTTGAAGTATGCAAAACCGATCAGAGCCGACGGCATAGCCATCCCAGAGACCCACCCTGTCTGCAGGCCGAAGTACATATTAGAGAAACATATTACAACTCCGATTGCAAGGCCGACAAGGACTCCGCGGAGGGTGAAGTTTTGGGGTTGCGACGCTCGTTCTGCAAGATATTTCCGGGTTCCGGACCTCTGGGATACGTTCCTACCGAGCGGCGTATCGTCCGTGTCGTGAAGCTCGTGGTTCCTTTCGTTATGTGACATTGCCCCGCTGTTCGATGATCCCCGGTCCGGCGCCGGTGCCAAGATCGCCCGAAGAGAGCTCTATGAAGTCAACGGAGAGTTGCACATTGCCAAGACACGATCTCGAGCGCTGGAGAAGTTTATCGATGAAGAGGCACCTGGGCGGGCCTGCCAGATGACACGGTAATGGAGGAGGTCGCATTATCCTTTCTCCGAGGCTAGATATGGCGCGATGTCATCTATCTGACGCCGGCACCGCCGGTGGCCATTAACTCCGATTTGTCAGCCCTGAGCAACCCTCGCTACTATCGTGAACACCAGGCTCACCCTTGAGCTCTTGTCGTCGCGCTCCGCAAACGGACCTTTGCCTACCCCGTTCCTCGTTACAGCAATACGCTTCTCGAGCCAGAATGAAGTTCTCATCTGCCATTCTTCCGCTCCTGCTGGCGCCCTTTGCCGCGGGAGAGCATACCTCGAATTGGGCGGTCCTTGTCTCTACGTCGCGCTTCTGGTTCAATTATCGGCACCTCGCGAATGTTCTCTCGCTATACCGCACCGTCAAGCGCCTTGGTATTCCGGATTCGCAAATCATTCTTATGTTGCCCGATGACATGGCCTGTAACCCGCGCAACGCGTTTCCGGGAACCGTCTACAACAATGCCGACCGAGCGCTCGATCTGTATGGAGATAACATCGAGGTGGACTATAGGGGATACGAGGTCACGGTGGAGAACTTCATCAGGCTCATGACGGACAGAGTCGCGGAGGATATGCCACGGTCGAAGCGCTTAATGACCGACGAGCGGAGCAACATTCTGGTGTACATGACCGGACACGGAGGCAACGAATTCCTGAAGTTCCAAGACGCTGAGGAAATCTCTGCCTACGATCTGGCAGACGCTTTCAGTCAGATGTGGGAGAAGAAACGGTACGCCGCTCTCCACACCCACCACAACACCAAAGCAGACGCTAACCGAAGCACAGCTACCATGAAATTCTCTTCATGATCGACACCTGCCAAGCTAACACCATGTACTCCAAATTCTACTCCCCCAACATTCTCGCAACCGGCTCCTCCGAAATCGACCAATCTTCGTATTCGCACCACGCCGACAACGACGTCGGCGTCGCCGTCATTGACCGCTACACATACTACAATCTCGAGTTCCTCGAAACGCAAGTCCGGGATCCGACGTCCAAACTTACAATGGGCGATTTATTCGACAGCTATGACGAGGAGAAGATACACTCGCATCCGGGCATTAGATATGATCTCTTTGAAGGCGGGGAAGCGGTTGCGAGGAGTAGATTGGTCATGGATTTCTTTGGGAATGTGCAGAATGTGGAGGTGGATAAGGGTGGGGTGGGGAATGAGGCGCAGTGGAGGGAGGAGCTGGAGGCTATTGAGAGGATGATTGTGGAGGCGAAGAGGAGGCATAATGTGACGTTGAATGTGCAACCGCAGACACAGCACGTTGTGGAAGAGGGGAAGCCAGCGCAAGCTCGGCAAAGTTTGAAGAAAGAAGGAGCTATGAGGGTCGATGAAGAGTCGGGATGGTCGAAGCAGATCGTTGGTGCCGCCACGCTTCTTGGATGTGCTGGACTTTGGTTCGCTGGATCCTGGTTCGAGTCGCATTGAGCTGGCTTGAACAAGAGGGAAAAAGATCGAAGCATCGTAAGAACCGTCCTGCCAATCAGCATGGCGGCGATCACGGTTACAAGGCGGATCACCCGGTACAGGTCAGCTACTCGCACCGGTCCACTGTCGCGATAGGCCCGCCACTGCCTTGCATGTCGAGGGAACGTGAGAGAGCCAGGAATCTACACCCAGTGAAGGGAGCGACAGCCCAGCGGTAAGTAGAAGCGTAGCTGACAAGCACGGTTCTGTTAGGAACCGTACGACAGACAGTATGATACCCATCAATCAAGATCAGGACATTCGGATATGCCCATGCAGTCTTGTTGAATTTATACATTGAAAGTCTAAACGGACAGCATCCAAGCTGCCAACAACGTGCGTGCCCCGACGCCCTACCAGTAATACAAGCCTGACCCGCGAATCTCCAAGACGGCGGCTACATGCAAGTCCAGCCCAAGTCTATGCTGCTTTTCGGTATTGTGACAAAAGTGGTACAAAGGAAAGGTGCGCCTGAAGAGGCCAACGGTCCAAGATGCTTCATCCCTTCATCCTTCCTTTTTCTCTCTTCTCCTGCAGATACCTCCAAGCTCGGGCCGGACCGGCAGTCAGAACACCTTTGACGCTCTGCACTGTCGATGGCCACTTGACCGTCTGGTCGATAGCCTTAGTGACCATATCCGGTAGGTCATTTTCAGCTGCAATGCGCCGATCGAATTTGCCTCCGACAGGCTTCTTCAGGCCACCTTTTTCGTCTTCGTCCTTGCTGGCTTCTAGCATTTCTTGGAACTCCCGGCCCGGAATGGCGAACTTGCGCTGGTAGAGGAAGTAGACTTTTTCTCGGAATGACTTCGGTAACCTGCGGACCATATTAGATCTCCGCTCCACGTCCATATCCTGGCTCAGTTTGAGATCGAGCTTTGGGTCGTCCATCCAGGCGGCCTTCGATGTTGCGTGCCCGTCGACGTAGGATATGTTTGGCAGCGACGTAATGAGGTCGTGGTATAGATATCTGAAGTTCTTGATCTGGTGGGTCACAATGTTGTCGATCTTCTTGGGGTGCTCGCTGCCGTACGTCATCCGAGGGTCACCCTGGTAACTGAGCCCAGCAATTGTGGAGTAGAGCTGTTTCTCCGTGAACTGAGGGGGTAGAAGAAGGAGCGCACATCGCACGGCGGAGAGTAGGTTGCGCTGGTTTGCGACGCGGATATTGGGTTCTTCGAAGAGAATCTTGACGGGTTTGTGGAGGCGCCCGGCAAGGTACAACGTATCCCAGTCGGTAAGGTCCCGGTGCAGCGTGTCGAGGTTGACCACGGCATACTTGATCATGGTGCCATTTATGGTGATATATGGGTTGAAGTATGCGCCTGCGCCGTATGCGTCTTGGACATGGCTAACCACGCCCGAGCCCAAAGACCCAAGAAAAGAGTAATGGTCCCGGTGCTCGCGCAAGTTCAACGAATGGAAGTGCTGGGAGAAGCGTGTGGCGAGCATGAAGTCGATCATCTTTCCTCCTCCTTTCTGCCATTTTAATATCGCTTCGGGAGCATCTGGATGTGGAGAATGCGTAACGCGCGACGTGGTCGCATCGGACTGCGGGAAGACGCCGGAACCGTAGGCGAAAGCGTACGTGATGGGTGGCAGCTGCCGCAGAATTTTCCTCAAACTCCTTTTGAATTCCTCATTCGTTTCCATCAACTGATTCTTCCCAAAATCCTTGTGCGGCAGCTGCGAGAAATCCGAGAGCGACAGTGCTTCATCCTCCCAGCCGGGTGGAAGAGACTGGTGGGCGGTGCTGGCGGTGGTTTGGGGACTCTGCTGGGTGGCATAACGGCGATTGGAGTAGAGCAATGGCCGTCTGCACCATGCTATCCGCGTCAACGGGCGCTGTCGAGACATGATGGAGGTGCTGCGATGCCTGAGGATTTGCGAAGTGCAAAGTCGCGCTGATGTAATCACTCTTGGCAACGGCGGGGCGTGTTTATTTGGGCGGTCGCGACCCAGCCTCTTTCTTCCCTCAACACCAACGCCGGAATACTGCAACACGGCAGCTTTTCCAAATCTTTGCATGCCAATTGCCTTCCGACGGTAGCAACGACGCTGAATCTGCATAACCGTCGAACATACACCCGACAATCACCATGGACGCTACCTTCGCGTCCTACCAGGCGCGGCTGGACAGCTTCGCGGCACCGAAATCGAAGTCGCGTCGCACCTCCACCCGATCGAAGAAGGCAGCCCCGAAAGCAGCCCAAAAGGCAGGATGGCCCCTCGCAGCTCCACGACCGGAGGACCTCGCATATGCCGGGTTTATTTTCAAGCCTACCTCAGCAAGCCCCGATAACGTGCAATGCTTCTCCTGCCTGACCCAGTTGGATGGCTGGGAGGAAACCGACACCCCGGCTTTCGAGCATCTCACCCACTCTCCAAACTGCGGCTTCGCCATCAATGTCTGCATCCGTCTGAGAAGCAACGACCCGGGACGTACCGAGGATGATCCGCTCAGTGAGACAATGCTGGAGGCGCGACGCAGGACCTTTGCGGATCTGTGGCCGCTGGATGCCGAGGCTGGGTACCCCAGCGTAGAGCAGGTATGACTGACTCGTTCCTGCTGTACTTCATGTCGCTAATATCCCATAGATGATCAATGCCGGATGGTACTACGATCCCAGCTTCGATATGCCCGATGGCGTCTCCTGCCCGTACTGCTCCCTCGCCCTCGATGCCTGGGACGCCGGAGATGACCCGATGGAGGAACACCGCAAGCGTTCTGCCGACTGCCTCTTCTTCACACTCAAGGAGTTCTACCACCCGACGCAGAAACCCAAGCCTACGCGCGGCAAGCGCTCGTCTAGCAGGTCCTCGACTTCCAGTCAAAAAGGCGCTAAGAGCACGCGCACCAAGAAGGCTGCTGCAAAGAAAGACCTCAGCAAACCGCTACCACCAACCCCCGATGAGGCTCTGACTGAAGCATTCGCGGAGTCCTTCGCAGAATCGGTGTCGGTTGCATCAGGACCTGCAAAAGCACCCTCGAAGGGACGCAAGACACGAAAGGCTACGCTTGATGAAGCTCCAACCGAAGTGTTCGCGGAGTCGTTCGCAGATTCAGTCGCGTCCGGACCCACAAAAGCGGCCGCAAAGGGACGCAAGACGACAAAGAAAGTGTCAAAACGTATATCTACTGCTTCGGTTGCTTCCACCACTCGCGGCACTCGACGCAACAAACCTACAACCGATGATATGGATGTAGATGTTCCAGTCGCACCGGCAACTCGCAATACCAGAACCAACAAGCGTACAAGCGACCACCTTGATGTGGAAGACCAGCCAAAGGCGTCAGCCAAACGGGCCAGGATCAGCGATTTCTCGAGCGGTCTGCCGGAGTTGGCGCTTGAATCCACGCCCCGCATGAAGACCCCGCAGCCTGAGATCAGAAGTCCCCAAGCTGCCCAGGCTGCCCCTCAAGCTGTTGCTGCAGCTATCGACTTTGCCAGTGCAAGGACACCAGAAGGCTCCCCGAAGGTGGCCCCTGCACATACGCAGGTCAGAACTCCAGAAGCCCAGACCGCCGAAAAGACCAAATCAAACTGGGACCCAATCAACATCGACGGCTTCTTCGAGAAGCGGCAGGACGTTTTCGGTATCATCTCAAATGTCATGGTCGATTCGGGTCTGGACAAAGAAAACATCGATGTCGAAATGGGAGGCACCACCGAAGCCCTCGCGGGTGCTGTCAAAGCCGGCCTGACGAGCCCCGAAAAGAACATGACAATCGAGGAATGGGTCATGTACAACGCGAAACGAGGAGAGGAGAAGCTCAGGACCGAGTGCGAGCGCCAGATTTCCGCTTTCGAAGCCGAAGGCAGGCGAGCGTTGGCGACTCTGGACGCAGTTCCCGCGCTATAAACGATCATGGCGGACTGCAGTTAATGGCGTTTGGGTGTGTTTTGAGGGCGGGTTCCCAGGGTTGTCGGGCTTGTATGCCGCTATCCGCCATCCCCGCCCCTTCATCGCGGCTTGAGATATCCATTGGGTCGTAGGCTTTGACGGGCCTCCCCTTTGGGTGTCAACATAGCCAGGTGAAGGGGTGGGTTGAGGCGAGGCATTGCAGTTCGACTACTCTACTTCTTTTCTGTGTTGTACTCTATCTTTCGGCGGTGTATTCGTAGCGGGCGTTTTGGCTTTGTATCACAATAGAGGGCTGAAGGCGGACTTTTGCGGTTTGGCGTTCTGCAACGACGGATGGCCTTGTGAAGGCCTTTGGGATGAGCTGGAGGTTGCGCTTGACCATACAAGCATTCTGCACTGGCGTTGTTTTGTAACTTTGAATGAAAGATCATACACGAAGATGAGGATTGCTTTTGCGATGGTGCCTTGACTTGCTCCAGACAGTTGTGTGCATCTTCGGCTTGCTATCACGAGCACAACGCGTCCTCACGTGACTTGTATCAGCTCAGGGCTTTTCCACGGTGCAGCATTAACACACGGGTATATTGCACTCTAAAAGTTCCCGCGTATTCTCTGTAAGTTGTCCAAGAATCCACCACTCCGCTGCTGCTGCATTGGCGGCGGCTGCGGTTTCGGCACGCTCCCACTTCTCCCCACCCTCGGCTGCCTCCTTTCCTTTTCCTTCTCCACATCCCTCTGCTTCTCCTCCGCCAGCCTCGCTAACCCCTCTATAAACTTACTTCTCGCCTTCTCCTCTGCAGTCCCTTTCCATACCTGCGCCAGATCCCTCAGCGCTTGTATCCTAACCCCCGCCGCCGCAGCACCAGACTCCGGATCGCCCGTTATCAGATCAGATATCTCGGAGCGCAGCGAGGCGGCGAACTCCTTGCCCTTTTGTTCTCGCGAAGAGGCGTCGGTCCCAGGCTCGGGGGCAGACACGCTGATGAGGGAGGATGTGAGGGAGATTTCGGAGGGAGGGATGGTCCAGTGCATGGCTTCGCCGAAGACTTTTATAACGGTTTCGAGGCGGGAGCGCACGAGGGTCAGGGTGTGGAGTTGGGTGATGTAGTCGGGGGTTGTGGAGTCTGGGGCATCTTTGGCCGTTGTGGGCTTCTGCTCTTCGCCATGCTGGTTCACGGCGTCTGGTGTTTCGTCCGGCGCCTCTTTTGCTTCTAGTGTTATGCCGCCGGGGAGAAACTTCTCGACGTCTCCTTTGAGGCCTTCTGTGAGTGTCTCGGTTAGGCCGATTGTCTCGCCGCGCAGCACTTCCACCTCGTATGCTAGCCGGGCCCCGCTCCGCAGTATGTCGTCCGTCAATTGTGTGAGTATGGTCGATAAGCGCGTAGTGTGCGCGTTGAGCTGCGAGAGGAGGTCTTGTGTGTGGGAGGAAAGCTCCGCGAGTGAGACGGAGTGGCCTTGCTTCAGCGGTCTGGCGGATACGGAGGATAGCGAGAGCGAGGGCAGCGCGGCGTTGAGGTAGTCGGCGGGGTCGAATTGCGGCTGGAGGAATGGCGCGAGAGCCGGCTCGGAGACGTGAGGCGACTTTGGTGCTGCGCGCTCGTGTGGCACAGCCATGTCTGTCCGCCGAGCGGCGAGTCGTGAACTGTTAGCGAAGCAGGAAGGGCGATTGTCGCGCCCGCGGCTAGGGTCTAGTGGTCTAGTGAGGGGCACGCCAAGGGGGCCAACGACGCCGCATAGGAGCTCGACGCGTCCGTTTCGTGAATCAATTGCTGCTTGGGCGTTGCTGCTTGGGCGCGGAATATCGTATCATACCGTGCTCTTTCCCGTCGCAAGCCGGGAGATGCGCTTGGCAGCGACACACGGATGTACAGGGCGCATCGCAGCGTTCGGCGCTCTCGAGGGCGGGGTGGCTGAGGCAGAAGCCCAAGCTCCTCCATACGAAGCCACACGTCTGCTGCCTGGAGCTCTCATTCACCACGAGCTGCAAGGCAGCGAAGAAGCGGCCCGTTGCACAGTCGAACCGGCGCTAAAGAAGGCGCGAGCGTCGCCAGCCGGTGAAAGGCTGTGGTTGCAGTCCATCCTCTTCTTCGTCGCCCGCGCTCCTGCCTGGACCTCCGTCCTCTCCCCGCCTCTCTCCCTTAAATAGCAGTCCAGGTTTGCACCTGGAGGCTACACAGCGCTTCCGCCTGCCGCTACCACGCTGGAATCAACATTCCGGCTTGACGTCACGGCTCGAGGCCATCCTCATTGCAGGACGCTTTTGGCGGACAGCATATCGGCTGCAGTCACGCTACGCACCACCACCGGCACACGACCTAACCCCGGCCTTGACACCTTGAAGAGACTCAGCCAGTGCGACTCCACCGGTGCCAGCAATCATGCCGCGTCGCCAATTCGTCGCTGATTTGCAGCGAGCTGTGGAAGGCGTCTCAATTGCAGGTATGTAAACACTCGGCGGAGCTGTCCCGTGCCCTGCCCTCAACCTCTTGGACCAGTTCGGGGTGGGATTTCACAGACCGTCCATCCCGCAGACCTTCATTTCTATAGCCTGTACTGACTGTTCTTAGGCATCTCAGACGTACAGAACGGCGCCGATGACGGCGAGTTCACGTTCAAGTGCCTCGCCGACGGGGAGAACTTCAAGATCTCAGCCCTGATACCGGAGCTTTCCGACTACCCGTCAAGCCATGACTACATGATATTCGCGCCGGACGATGCGCCTTCGAGCGTGGCCAGCGCTCTGACCGATCTCTCCGACGGTGCGTCCGGCAAGACGGTCCTCCAGCTGCTGGAGCTCGTTTCGCGCAAGCTTGAGTCGACCGACGGAGACGGCGACCAGCAGATGCTCGATTCGCAGGAATTCGACGACCTAGAAGAGGAGGATTCGGAAGAGGAGGCAGAGGATTATTTCCCCGATGACGACCCAGTTCAGAAGCCGTTCGTCGCGTCGCATACTACATCAACTCCCGGTCAAGGCTACACAAAGGTCACTTCGGTCTTCCGCTCTCGCATTCGTTCCGACCTCATGCTTGCAAAAGCGAACGGCTTCAAAGTCGGCCATCAGGGCGGTTTGATGGAAGGTCTGGGTTGCTATGTCAGCCTTTCGTGTCGGATCTCCAAGCTGGGCATCTCAGAGGAAGCTATGCAGGCATGGCAAGTGGAACCGTCGGAGTACCTGGTCGTCATCTTCTCATATCCTAACGGATACAAGAGCATGGACTCCATGAAGGGATACGATGCGGTGACTGCCCGCCGAAATTTCGGCATGCGTGTCGGCATTAGCACCACATACAAGCCGACGATGCAAGAGGCAATTCGAGCATTTACCACGCTTAGCAAAGATGAAGAGAAACGCCGCGAGGGGGAGTCTCAATCACAGTCACAAGCTGCGGCGGAACACAAGGGCTTCCGCAACTCCTTCATCTCACGGCCTCTCAACGAACTCTTGGAGGAACGCTTTCCCCAGTTGCTCCACTACCGCTACAACGGGATGCCTTGGGGTGGCGCGGAACAATTCTACCACGATCACATTGGTGTCAACAACCCTCATGCAGACCTAGGTCTACAAGACAAGTACCTGGAGCCTGAACGGGTCAGCACAGCATACCCTCCGCTTGCTACAGCCGACCATATCCAGGAGGCCATGGATCAGCAGCACTCGCTCCCTCTGGTGGGAATGCAGTTTGTATTACGTCATTTCGTGCGCTGCACCGAGTTCTGTTTGATCTGCTTCTCGAAGATGCCCGACGACCTTCAAGCGATCAAGCCATACGTCTGCGACAACCCTCTGTGTCTCTACCAGTACATGTCGCTCGGCTTCGGGCCCAGCATCGAGCATGAGATCCTCTCACAACCCAAAGTCGTTGATCTTCTGGTCAGCTTCTGCTATACTAGCGCGCGCCAGGGCAAGCTGAGGGACTTTCCCTCTGGCTTGAGCCTCATGGTCCCGCCGCATTCATCTTACGCGAGCGACTACCAGAACCTGCAGCAACAGGGCTACAGTGCCTGGAGCCAGACGCCCGCGCAGCCGCCCGCAGCTCCTACGACTAGTGGTGCACAGGATGCCATGGCGCTGAAGACGAGGTGGAATGCTGTCACAAAGGAAATCCTGTTCGAGAACAAGAGCGAGAAGTGCCCTGTCCGCGCTGGTGATTGGATCATCATCCGTGCGACGCATAATCCGAGCAAAGCAACCCATTGCCGTATCGCCGATACTTCTCTATATCCGACCGTACAACTTGCGGAACCCGTCGAGCCAGCCATCTCCGATGCGACATCGGTTAGCCAGCAGTACCCACCTCCGCCAACGAAAGCTCAGCCCGCTACGAAGACTCCTGCAGTAAAAGCCGCAATTGTGAACGAGTTCCGTGAGGCGACCTTCCATATCTATAATCAGAACTTTGATGATTTAGAGGACTTCCACAAGCGAGAGGCAATTTATGCCATGCTAGATATCCTCCCTAGCATTGCTGACATGAGATCATATCTCATCCGTAAGGCACAATCACCGTTGAGCTCCTGGGTGGACCGCCTTCCGCCTGCTGCACTTGGACTGCTACGCTGGATCATCGCCTCGAATCGAGCCTGCATTATGCAGGTGGAGGAGGAGACCGACGCAACCGCTCGCCATCGTCTTTACGGCATGCCAGGGTGGGTGCAGTTTAGATTTGCCATGGGTGCGCCGGACAAGGAGCGGCGGTTCATTCAGGCTGTGCGGGAGACCACCGACCGTCTGAAGCTGACGCATCCAACTCTGTTTGCCTGGCACGGTAGCCCGCTACTGAACTGGCATAGCATCATCCGCGAAGGCCTCCACTTCAAAGACACTGCTCACGGGCGTGCCTTTGGCCACGGCGTTTATCACTCGCTCGATGTGAATACTAGCTTGGGCTATAGTGGTTATTACGGATCTGTGACGAACTACTGGCCGATGAGCGAGCTGAAAGTGAGCCAAGCTCTTGCGCTGAACGAAATCACCAATGCTCCGGGAGAGTTCGTGAGCTGCACGCCACATCTAGTATGTACCTCACTTGACTGCTAGAAAAGCCTTCTGTGTTTTGTCCTCCTTGTTCAGTGCACCGGCTAACGTTCGCAGGTTGTGGCCCAGCTCGACTGGATCCAGACCCGCTATCTCTTCGTCAAGACGGGAAACGTGAGCGACGTGTATGGCAGCCAGACTCCTGCATCCAAGGAGACAAAGCCACTCGAGAGCATCGAACAGGATGGCAAATATACTCCACGCGGTGTCTCCGGCCCCCTCGTCATCCCCGTGTCTGCCATTGCCGGATCTCGACGACCCAAGTCCCGCTCGATCCAGAATATGACCAAGAGCAAGCGCCAGAAGGCTTCTGGATCCAGCATCTACGACCCGATCGAGCTTGACGCAGATGATGACGATAGTGCCAGCGTAGCAACGCTTGATGAAGACTTGTTGATTCTCCGCGACGAGGATGTTCATCCGCCTCAGCCAGACGTAGAGACTTCGCTCCCTACGCCAAACTCTACCAAGGGCAAAGGCAAGGCTGGTGGCTTTCTGTCGAAGTTCGTGGGCTCGAAGTCCTCAACGAAACCCCTGACGGACTATGTACCCGGCAAGCTCGACTACAGCACCTTGCCCATGCTCCAGCAACCAGCTTGGGCCACCACGGCGGCTACCAAGCGTCTCATGCGGGATTTTAGCGAGCTGATCAAGGTGCAGAACAAGGAGCCTTTACATGAACTGGGATGGCACATCGATGAAGACAAGATCGAGAACATGTACCAGTGGATCGTGGAGCTGCACTCCTTCGACCCGACTTTGCCATTATCGAAGGATATGAAGGCTAAGGGCTACAAGAGCGTCGTCTTGGAGCTTCGCTTCGGCAAAGACTATCCGATGAGCCCTCCATTCGTGCGTGTCATCCGTCCGCGCTTCTTGGGCTTCCAGCAAGGTGGAGGTGGCCACGTCACTGCCGGTGGTGCTCTGTGTATGGAGGTAAGTTTGGTTTCCCGATCTCCACGTAGTTGACGTTGCTAACTGGTTCGCAGCTTCTCACCAACAATGGCTGGAGCGCCGTGTCCTCTATCGAGTCGATCCTGCTCCAGGTCCGCATGGCCATGAGCTCTCTTGAACCTAAGCCTGCCCGTCTCGAGAACGGCTCGCGTAGCGACTACGGCGTTGGCGAAGCCGTCGATGCTTACATTCGCGCCTGCAATGTGCACGGATGGACGGTGCCCGCTGGGTTTAGGGAGATGGCTTACGGCGGTGCGGATCCGAGCTACCCGCAGTACTAAAATTACTTCCCTTCGAGCTGTGGTCTAACATTCTAGCAGGGGCAATAAGCGACTGAGGCTTTTCTGAGAGTATCCTTATTGAGGCGATGTAGGGATTTCGAACCGGTGTATCTGGGAACGACGGGGTGAGCTCAACACTATTGTGTCCGCTCGGCTGGATGATGTTGAAGTCGTTTCTTCATTTTCGTATGGCGCAAAATACCCAAGTCGACGTTTCGACCAGGTTGCGGTGTGCATAGCGGGCGGCATCATGGCGGCGCTTTCGGTTGGTCAGGAGTTGCACGGTTCAGGCTTTTCGGCGCATCTTCCCCTAACTCAAAATGACCGGATGAGCGGTTAGGCATACACATGGCGATGCATGAGTAATGATAGATTTCATCCACATCCAATGGATTGTCATACGAACGTCGCCTTCCGCGAAACAGAACATCTTAATTTGAAGCTTTGGAGAGCACTTCTGAGGGCCTACCACAACTAACGCACGCGACTTGTTGGTACACATCACGGGTGAAAACGAGATGCGATTGCTTGCTATAAATGCCCCAAGTAAAACATATGCCCGTCGCCAAAACAGCGTGTAACCTAAGCCCATTCATCATCGCCATTTCCCAAAACAGGCAAACGCCGAAAGAGGTGCCGTTCCACATGTCCCCTTCCCAGAGGCTATCCCACAACAGCCTTCATACTCAGCCGCTCCAAAAACCCACTCAAATCCTCCTTCCGGATCTCGATCACGCACGCCTCGAAACTGTCCATCCTTACCCGCGCCCCCGTCTCCCGCACAACCTCCTGGAACGCATTTCCGAACCTGTTGCGCCCCTGCCCTCTCTCCTTCTCCTCCTCCTCGTCACTCTCCTCATCTTCATCGCTGTCTTCGTCCTCCGTCTCGTCTTCCACCTCATCGTCGTCCAGCCCCGCGGCTTCCAAGCGCGCCAAGCGGGCTTGCCTCTTCTTCTCCATCTCCGCCGCCTTCGCCGCCTTCTTAGCGTCTCGGGCTTTTTGACGTGCTTCGCGCTTCGCAATCCGCTCCCGCGTCGACTCCGTAGCCCCTCCGCCGCCCAGGCCGACGACGACATATCTGCCCCGACTCTCATCCAGCCCCGCCATCACAAGCTCGCTCCCCCTATTCCGCCCCTTTGTCCCGTTCAGCTCGACGATCGCCTCAGCAATCCACAGCGCTAGTTTAGTTAACGCGCCCGGGTGCGTGAACAGCTGGACGTCTGGCCCTTCTTTGACAACGGCCATGCGGAAAGCGCGCAGATGGCGGATCTGCTTTTTCTCGATGAGCGTGGTGCCTGTGCGGAGGATGGCTTTGTGCAGGTATTGCGCGGTGGAGATGTGCGTGGTGAGGATGTCAATGCTGGCGAGGGCGTCATAGGCGGTCCAGAAGCGAGCTATTATGTGCTCTTGGGCATCTTCTCCGGCGGAGGTTGAATTTGTGGGGTCGGCGTCTTGGGCCTGGGACTGGGCACCCACAAAGTTGGAAGAGTCAAGAGAAGAGTGGGATAGGGATTTCGCGTCGCCGACTTCAAGGATGGCGCCGAGGATGACACCAGCGTCAATGGCGGAGAGGCATGCTTTCCAGCCCCAGCAGCGGACGAAGCCCCAACCGTCTTTCATGTCACCATTTCGGGGAGGGGGTGGGACGAGTCCATCGAGACCATAGACGGGCGCGAATTTGAGGAGGCGTTCCCGCAGACCCCGTTTGAGTTCCATGTCCATGTGCGTGTAGTTCTGCTTGCATTGCGTGAGACTGACGCCCATTTTGGCAAGGAGCTTGTCTAATCTCCGTCGACCGGCATCGCTCCATATGTGCAGGCGGGCGGAGAGATAGGGCGAGTGGAGCATACTTTCATACAAGCTCCAGTGTCTGAGTAAGAGGAAGCGAGGTTCGGGTGAGAGCCGTATTGATTTGTCGGTTGCGGATCTGGCACTGGTTGGTATTGCGCCGGTCGAGTCACCCATGCTTGCTTCGCGGGCGAGATCTCTGGAATCGGAGGGGTTCAAGCGGCGTACTTCGTCGCGAAGGACGGACCGGATGCGTTCACCTCGATCGCCGTTCCAGCCTGCTGAGCCACCAGCCGCTGAGAGGGGATTCAGGCCTACACCGCTACCTGTTCGGCCGTAGAGTTCGAGACTGCTGACGCCAACTATGGCGTTCCATAAGAGGTCGTTGTCTTCTCGACCAAGCTCGGACGCTAGAGAGTAGACGAGGGATGATACGGGTTCGGAGTAGGACGTGCCGAGTTGGTAGTACTTGTCGAGTACCTTTGTGTATTTTTGGCGCATGACCATGAGCTGTTTTCGGAGGCTCTTAACAGACTTCTCCATCGGCGCGGCTATGGCCGGTGATGCGGATCGGCTGCGAGAGTCTGAACGCGAGAAATCGGAGGATCCGCCGAGTATCATGAGACCGCGCCGTGGCCTCCTTTCGGGTGATGATGGTATTGAGCCTCCCTGTTGAGCGGTTAGCCGTGCATTCGACTAACATTCTGCCCACGTACTGAGTTACTCCTCCGTCTTTGCCTCGGTCGCTCGTCGTCGGACATATCCTCGCCAGACTCGTCATCGTCGCCCCATGATTTCCTCTTTTTGGGAGCTTGACCCGATTCTGGAGGCTCTTCCTCATCTGCGCTGTCCTCGTCTTCCACATCCGCGTCCTCTCCGACCTCCGGCATCTCCTCAAGCGCGCAGTACGCTTCCCGTTCCGCTTCCAGCTCTTCCTCAATATCACCATCGTCGAAAACTATAATCCCTCCTTTTGTAGATTGATAGGACTGTAACAACCGTCCCTTGTCCACTCCCGCTCTCTTCCTCGCCAGCTCCCCACTCACCAGATCTTCACCGATCGGCGTCCCAAACACGTTGGACAAATTCCACGGTCGCCTCGCATCCACTACCCAGACCTCCACATCTCCAGTTCCGCCATGCCCGTTCTCATCCACATCCATGCCGAATATCTCTTCCAGATCCACCATGCCGCCAACGCCTAGACACACCACGACGCCTCCGCTCCCGCCTTCCGAAGTCCGCATAGGCCGTATCAGATCTTCGGCAGCGCGATATAGGTCGCCATAGCCGGCAATGGGCTGGATCTTGTGCGGGATGTAGTCGCGTTTTAGTAGCGCGGTGAGAATGCGACATGCGCATAGCGCGTCGGGCTCGAGGGCGACGAGGAGTAAGACGGGCGGCGCGGCAGCATGATTTCGCTTTATCAGATTCTGGTAGAGCTGTGCAATCAAGCCTCGTGGAAGGTACATGCTGCTCGCTCGTGTGCTGTGGGCGCGGGATGCTCGAGAAACGCGCGTGGAGAGACGCGTCGAGGGAGTTGCGGAGGAACTCTAGTGTTAGTTAAGGTTCATTGCTTTCGAATAGGCGAAAGTTAAAATAATAAAAGGCTCTTGTAAAATATGGAGTGGAGGGAAAGCAATTGTTATGCGTGGATGCGGCAGCTTGCACGGCTACGATTGAGCGTGGATGGGAACGCGTCGAGGCGCCAGCCGAGAGAGGAATGGTCGGAGATGGTTCACACTTCCGTCCGATCTCCTCCCGAGGTCTCATTCTCGCGCTTCAACCCTTTCAATAAACATTCTGTTCATCGTTTAGAACCCAATTGCTTCAGCTACTCATACATGCAACATAATTAACTTTTCCGCCCTCGCCTCACAATGCACGCTAGCCGTAAATTGAAAAGAGCTACGTCCAACCGCCGACCGGTACGGAGGGCAGTGCAGCCGTTCACACAAGCCCCTCTGCCTTTGCCTTCCGATGACGCTCCCTTCTCGCCTTCAATGCGTAGCGCGGAAAAAAGAGATGCTTCAAGCCTAGCCATGGTGTGTTTATTGGGCTTGGCCCCGTAAAGATGAAGAGATCGTATAGGAATCCTCCGAAGGCGCAACCGCAGAAAGGGGCGACCATGGGTATCTGTTCACCAAGTCAGCAATCCTCTGCAGCATTTTGCCATCAAGGACGTGGTCTCCTCACCCAAAAGTAATAGCCGCCCGCACTCCACACCTCCGAAGGATATCCAACTGCAAACGACATCAACCGGGGGCCAAAGTCCCTGCAGAGATTGATTGCGTAACCCGTCTCCCAGCCAAAGCACGCCCCTAGACCAAAGATGAGGAAGAATAGGGCGAGCGGGAACCATTTATCGCTCTGCATTTTATCAGTCTCCAGCACCTAGCTAGAGTGCACGTAACATACCTTCCCAACCCCGTTGTTACTTGGATCCTTCAACGCGAAGATGACGAACATGAGAATCGTGCTTGCTATGAATTCGGAGAAGAACTGGCTCGCCTTGGTGACGAAGGGCTGCGGATACGTGCAAAAGATACCGGCTGTAGCCTTGGGTGCCGGTGGGACTGTCCTTATGCCATGGCCGCCCTCAAACCAGTCGATGGCGCTGATGTAGTTCGCGTATACTATGCCAGACCCGACGAAGCCACCGAGTACCTGTGCGATAAAGTACATGGGGAACCGTCGCCAGGGAAGCTGTCGGTACAAGCAGTTGGAAAAGGTAATGGCGGGATTGAGGTATGCGCCAGAGTCGCCGGCGACGTATATGCCCAACATGACGCCCAAGCCCCAGCTACACGCGTGTCAGTCACATCATTTACGGCATCGTTGAGCTTACCCCCAGGATATACTCTGATAAGCGCCGAACCCATTCCCTCCAGGAGCCGTCGTCTGCCCCGTGGATAGCAGCACCTGCGCAACCGATCCATCACCAAACAGAATCATTATGACAACACCCCAGAATTCAGCGAATGGCTCTCTCAAAACGACCTTTACCTTCGACCACAGAAGCTGCTGCCGCTCGTGAACATCATCCTCTTCGGCAATTGGTGCGTCGGGATGCAGGCCGAGTGCTGAGCGTGTTTTTCGGAGGGTTGAGGAAGTCTTGTGGGAAACCGCGCCGTTTGACGTCGTGGAATGCTCTGTCGGTATTTTGGCTAGGGCTTCCGGGCTTAAAATGGGAGAGAATTCATGGTGCTGGTGCTCATCGCCGGCGAAGTCATGCGTTTTGGGTTGTTCGGCAGTGGAGGCCATTATGGGACTTTGGTCAAGAGAACTGTATATTCAGTCAGAACTCCAAGCTAAAGATTAATGAACTCAAGCAAAGTGAGCAGAGGAACCAAATCCTTAGAACCCCTCATGCTGAGGAACTGCCGTGCTTATGGCCTCGCTATGCCCGTTCCCGTTCCCAAGGCTCATGTTAAACTACGTCATGGAGGAATGATGTGCGAGCTGTCGGTGGTATTTGATGCTGCGGATTGGATTGTCACCTGGTGGCACTCTACCTGTCTAGGGTATAGCAGCAGTTCCCCGCATCAGCTCGTCGATCGTCGTGTGAGGGAGAGCTCGTGGATGACGTCTGCTTGGTGCGGCAGTGGCTGCATATGGAATCATTGCCGCGATGCCACTGTTGTGCCCAGCTTCCCCTCAGAAATCGGCTCACGGCGACTCCTTATGCGTGTCAACACAAGAAATATCGTAGATGGGTATGGGACATGGCGATGAAGTAGCATGAGATATTGGATCGATTTCCTCAATGGAGGGGTGGAGACGTTCTGTGGAGTTCTGTTGTGGGGTGCATCGGTGATCCACCGCGGCATTGAGGCGATGCCTAATTCGGTTTCGTCCGATGTCCGGTAAGACTACGCGAGGTGTGAGTGGCTGCTGCTGCATTATTCAGCGGCTGGATCCTTGATGACAACTTCGATGCAACTTCATGCTTCCCTCCTTCCTCTATCCTCTCGCTATACACGAGTTTTCAATGTTTGAGCGGCCATTTTTGACGTCGCGGCGCTTTGGGCCGCCAGAAGAGCTAGCTGAACGATTTTTCCTACGCTTTTGCCCGGCGGAAAAGGCCAAAATCAATGGATTTCGACTCGTTTGTGCGGGTCGGATTCGTACCTGTCCGGGTCGACCGAGTGCTTGACAGAGCCCTTCTTGGTCACTGTTGTTGAAGAGAGGGAAAGCCTTTGGGCGATTGGTGTGCGGACTGACAACCCTCTGATCCAAGTGTCAGGCAGGCCTCTGGACTCACCGCTCACTTGGCCAACGTGGAGCAAAGTCAATGGCCTGCTCTGCCGTCAAAGCTCTCTCGTTTCCTCGCTCTTCTTTCTTGCATGCTATTCCTGTCGTTCTGAGTTCTCCTTCACCTTAGTTTTTCTTCTCAACGCAGTCATGGAATCTGATACGCTACGCCGTTTGACTTTGACGTCGTTCAATCTTCTTGAAAGCTCAGGAGGATCTTCTGCTATCACTCTATTCGCAGACATACAATCGCCGAACTAACGTGTAGTACGCTCGCATCAGCGCTCCAGGCCGCCAGGGAGCCTCCCAAACCGTCGATCGCGTACAAAGGCCCGTTGGCCTTCATCTCGGACTCTACCTTTCCGTTCTTCCTTGGCTTATCCCCATCTACGCACCGCTCGATATCCCTCTCGAATCATATCTCTTCCGGCATCTCTGCGAGCATCCTCAGCGCCGCGAAGAACACGGCCCCCTCATTCGTCGTCCTCGTAGAACCGCTTGCGTCGCCTCTTAGCGCTTTGCCAAACATTCTTTGTGACAACCTTGACTCGCAATTGAGAGGATAGTGTGCAAGCGAAGGTCGTTGTGGATGCACGGCGAGCTGCCGGGGACGCCTTGCGGGCCCTCTTCAATCACGGAAGGATATCACAGCGAGCCCCAAGAAAGAAAGAGTCGCTCTGCAAGCATTAAATGGATTGCATGTGCAGGGCGTGTGGCTGCCAGGCGCGAATGTGGTTGCGAAAGAGCAAGGTCGGCATCCAGCAGAGCGCTCCCAAAAGGCCATCAAACGTCAAAAATCTCGCCTCTATGCTGCACCTCGCGCTGCGGCCGTTATCGCGCTGCCTTCATCGTACCCCGCACAGACTCCCAGGCACGCGCGCCCTCGCAGCCGCCCCACCGTAACGTGCTAGAATGACCTCACCTGCGCACACTCATCGATTGATGTGTGTATATATTCTAGACAAATGAGCAATACTCCTAAGTTAGAAACGAGAGCGGGCTAGTGCGGAAGGTTTCCAAAACCTCTGTGTCAACCTCGTCGCCGCCTGAAACTCACTAGCCCGGAGATGTACCAGCGTTGTCTAGCTTGCTAGGGGACTGCATATGGGAACTCCAAAGATTGTCATACGGTGGACTTTCTTTTGCTAGTTTATGCGTAAGTTCGAGTATGAGTGCGCTCGTCTCTTTTTGCTTCTTTGTACCTTTTTGTAGGCTAATCCTTTCGCAGGTGCGCTAGCATGTTAGCAGTCTTCCCCTTTGCGGAACACGAACGTCTATGCTTCCCTTGAGACCTCCTAAGTAGGCAGCTTCTACCTCTAGAGGGTATCCTGAGGTAGCAAGCCTGGTAAGCGCTGCATGAATGCATAGGCCCGTGGCGCTTCATATGTAATCCAAATCTGCGCCCCTTAGAGTATAAGCTTAACGGTTGAGCACTGCTCTTGTCTCGATTACAGAGCGGCCAATGACTTGTTCTTGGCTGGCTTGAGGTGCATGGCAAGTCTGAGAAAGCCGTGAGTTGTACCACCACTAAATTCTTGCCCATGCTATAGCTGCATCGTCACTTCTTCACCTGCGAAGCAACCTAGTGACACTAAAAGCGGTCCCAGGGAGAGTGCGGTATTAATAGGAAGGGCGAAAGGAAGATTGTGCTTTATGCGTGGCGATCGAAGGGAGTTCCATTTCACCCTCACTGTAGCTACTCTAATTCTCTAACTTCACACCCGCCGGCAACGCCAAAACCTGGCTATTGAACTCGACCCCACACTTCGCCGCCAGCACCTCTCCATCCTCGCCCTCTGTCAAACATAGGCCGTTCTTCTTGCTAACCAGATTCCCACTAATACCATAGCTCCATCGCTGATTTTTATCACTTTTGTCGCAGACTTCCAGTCCCACATCCTCCCCGTCAACAGTGAGGCACTTGTTCTTCGCCGCCAAGCAACTAATCATGCTCTCATCTGTCATCTGCCAAACATTTGTATTGACGCCGTTGCAGGCGAGAAAGTCGACGTTGGGTCCGCGACGGAGACCCGTGGCTGTGAGGCAGTTGAGAGAGAAGGTGTTGAAGATTTGGCCTGTGGGTGTGATGGACAGGGGTTTGTTGTTGGCACTAGAGACGCGGTAGATGGCTGTTTGGTGGCTGCGGAGGTCGACACTGATGGGATCTTTGAGCGTGTTAGTTTTACCGGTCCAGAGGTCCTTAGCTTTGTAGCTCCCCTTAGGATCGACGCCGAGACGCTCGATGGGGATGAGGGCTGTGGTTGTTTCGTTGCCGTGGTTTAGGACGGTAAGAAGGCGGTCGCCATTTGCGAGGCTCTTGGTTAGCACGTCAAAAATGTTGTTCGAAGAGACGAGGGTGGCTTGTTCGCAGAGCGCGTCTTGGTCCACTGCGATAATGTCTTTGTTAGTCAGGTAGGCGATATCCTCGTCTGTCAGATCGGGGATGTAGGCGCTCAGGATTAGGGGCGCGGAGAAGGAGCTCCACAGCGCGAAATGCGTTTTCTTCTCATCCATACTAAGATCCGGCCAATCTACGATCAGGAAATCCGGGTCATTGTAGAAGCCGCAGGACTGGTAGCGCGAGAGGCGGACCTCCATACCGTAGTTGTTCATCATAGACTCCCAGTGGCCACCGGGCTCGAAGGTGTTTGTAGGGTTATTGCCGTACACTTTGATGTCGTCGGAGTGGCGGGCAAGCTCGCCGTTCTTGCGCACGTAGTCCATTGTGCGGTACCAGTCGGTGTTGTTCTTGTCGAGGTGGAAGTTGGGGCTGAAGTAGGCGGGTGCGGACTGTGAGAAGATGAAGGGCTTCTTGAGTTTGGTCGTCATGACTTCGTGCCAGAGCTTGTAGCGGTACTCGAATTCTTGGTAGTAGTTCCGCCCGTTCTGCAGGTCCATGTGGCATCCGTCAACTTTCAGGTAATCCACGCCCCATGACTCGAAGGTCTTCGCATCCAACTCCTCGTGGTCTTGCGACCCAGGATACCACCCACAAGTCATGTTGCCCGCGTTTGTGTATATGCCGAAGTTAAAGCCACGGTCGTGAAAGTAATTCCCTAGCCATGGCATGCCGTGCGGGAAGAGCGTGGAGTTCCATATGAGTTCGTTGTTGGAGTTGCGTTCGGTTTCAGGCCAGCAGTCGTCGAGGTTGATGTTGTTGTATCCCGCAGCGAGTAGGCCCCTCTCCACCATCGCATCCGCGGTTTGGACGAAGAGTGTCTCGTTCAAGTTGCACATGAAGCGCGCCCAGTTGTTGAAGCCCATCGGCGGTCTAGGAGAGACCTTTGGGTCTTGAACTGTCGCTGAAGCGAGGGTCGCCAGCGAGGTGAAAAAGAGGGATACGAAAGAAGCCATCGTACTTGGTTCGTCGCACCCCAGTGCTTCCGGGACGATTATAGGGGGAGAAGAATGCGCCGACGCGTCGCTTGTCCAACTGAACTTAAGACTAACAAAGGGCGTCAATTGAGCAGGCAAAGCGACAACAGAAGGGACGACGAGCGCGAGGGCTAGCAGGAAGGAAATAAAGGCGGTGATCGACACGCATCTATATACTCCGCTCCCCGCCATCGTCATTCGACTCGCAGCCCTGCGAATCCTCCCCGCTCAGGTCTGTTAATGATTGTCAGTTTAGCCGGAGCTCCTAGTTTAGGACAATTGGAAGCTATCTCTAGCATTGTAGCAGTGGTAAAGGTGGCATTGCAACTTCGCGTCTGCACGTGCGGATCAATTGTAACCACAATCTAGAGTTCCAGATGCATGCATGTTCCTGCAGGGCGTGGACCGGGTTAAGTGGATATTGATTGACATGTGCATACGTGTTCGCACCGCGTTCTGAAGAAATGCGCATACCAAGATCGTATATAATCAATGTTGATCGATCTGAAAGAGCGTAGCACTGGCGATTTTCTTGTCCTTTGGGCGATGGCCGCGAAGCAATCGGCAGGTAGCTTCATGGGATGTATCCCGAGGTCGTCGGGGGTGTTACATTGCGTTGGGATGGTGCTATGAGAGCGAGTCTACAGGCAACTCCTGAAAGAGTTGGGCGATGTATGGAAGGATTGGAGGCCGGAGTAAAGATCGGACGAGCGACGTAGTGTAGTGGGTGGTTCGAGTCATGTTGCTCGAGCTTCTTAGTCAGCGAGCGCCGATTGTGGCGTGAGAAGTGGCGCCTGCCCTGTCGCCGTCTTCATGATCGACAGTTCCGCTGTCACTCCGCTGACTCTTCGTTGACTCACGCAGCTTGCTCGCAGCCCGCCTGCTGAGACCCTATAAAGGCCCCACGCGCCTGCTACCATCGACTTCGAAACCCAAAGCGTACAGGACCGCGACAGCAATGGCGGGCAAGAAAGGCGCCGGAGAGAACTCGAAAAAGACACAGGGGCAAGCCCGCAAGGCCGAAGCTGCTGCCCAGAAGCAGGCCCAGAAGGACAAAGCAGCGGAAGCAGAGGAGGCAAAGAAGTGGGATCAGGGCGCAAAGTCCATGTCCAAGGCGTAAGTTCCCACGAGGTGGCTAGTTGTACCCACGGAGGCTGATCAAGGACCAGAGAGGCCGCAGCCGCAAAGAAAGAGGAAGCCGCCCGCAAGAAAGCCGAGAAGGAGGCTCTTCTAAAAGAAGAAGAGGCGTCCCTACCCTCGAAAGCAAAGGGCGCCGGCGCCAAAAAGGCCGAGAAGAAGACCCGCGGTATCGATGCCGCTCTCGGATCCCTGGACAAGACCTCTGCACTTCACGCTTCCGGCATCGATAACGCTCTCGACGCGCTGAGTTTGACCACGAAAGAGGGCGAAAAAGTCGAGCGGCACCCGGAGCGGAGATTCAAGGCTGCGTATGCCGCATATGAGGAGCGCAGGCTCGATGAGATGAAGGACGACAAATCACTAAGGCGACAGCAGAAGATTGACCAGATCCGGAAGGAGTTCGAGAAGCACCCGGAGAACCCCTTCAATCAAGTGTCGACCTCGTACAACGCGACAAAGGAAGAGATCGCCGAGCTCAAGGAGAGCGAGAGGCTCAAGAAGGAGAAACGACTGGCGGGCTCCTCAAGCTGAGCTGTCGCGGAGTCTAGGTGGCATGGTTTTTGTGTTATTGCGGCACGTTCGGTGTTCTGGATAGACTGACAGATAGACGTCGTTGCGGGTGACGATGCATGGGGAACAACTGAGATGGGATTTCTACAGACTCATACCCGAGCAGCGAAGCCTCTCTAGCCTCGGTACATTTTGCACCGATCGGATCCCTAGGTGGTACACCGTTCTGGTCGGGCTGGGTTCCTGCATTCCGTAAGCCTGCAGCCAAGCCCGAGGGTCGACTACGGGGCCAGGTTGTCTCACAGCCCTAGACATTAAAACATGGTAGACGGGAGTAGCTAGACTCTGATCAAAGTAAATGTAGTAGAGGCGAAGTTGGAGACGTCGCATGCTATCTTTGATATTCGCAACGCTCTCGGAAACCACTCGAGATGCCCGAGGCCTTTGACTGGTCTATGGCTCGGCGAATGTAAGCATCCTGGGTGCGAAGTAGATTGCTCAAGGCATCCATCTGCAAGAGCTGAATGTCTGGGCAGTCCGGAGCCCGCTGCTGTGACACAAAGCGATAAAGGGGCCCTAAAAGGCAGAAATTGAAGAAAAGAACAAGCCGAGGGTCTCTCTGTCCAAGTCATCTGCGAGCTGTGGCGTCTCTCTAAGATATACGCGGGCGTCCTGCCGATCGCGCTGCAGCTCCCCTGAGGCTGAAGTGTTAAAAATGGAGGGCTTGGGGACGGACATTGGGTGAGGGCTGCAGAGCAGGTCCGATGCGTGAAACACGCTGCCCTGCGGTGGTTGGCTGCGTACCTGCGTTTCGAAACATCGGCTTGCCCAAACGGGCAGCCAGCGACAGGGGCAGCCGCGCGCAACTTCCTCCCGGCGATCCACCATCGCCATTCACCGCATTGTGCGTGGGGCTCGAGCAAACCGCGCCGATCCTTTTATTGACGAGCTCCGGTCGCCATCATGCCTTCCTCTCTCCACTCCGCTCTTTTGCTTCCTCGAAGCGCACACTCTCGTTCTCCTTTCCTACGTTCACCTCCCCCTCGTTTATTTCCTTCCCTGTGCATAACATGAAGCTCTTTTCTTCTGCAGGAGCAGTGCTCCTTCCTCTTGCGTCCCTCGCCCGCGCCACAGACCTCAGGACAGACGACGAAGCGTCGGTCCAGAGCGTCTCCGCGCAGTACGCCTATGGCTTGATGTCATACTACAAGAACAATGCAACGAATCTCCCGAAAGAGGAGATTGGATTCTTTCCCAAACCGCACTATTGGTGGGAGGCAGGCGCTGTCTGGGGCGGCATGATCGAGTACACAAAGTTCACTGGGGACGAGTCCTACGTCAAGACGGTCCAGCAAGCTTTGACTGCCAATTACGGTCCTAACAACGATATCCTCTTGCCGTGGAAGAAGGACCAAGAGGTAAGCCTACGGCCGATTCATCACCGTTGTACGGCTCGAGCTAACGTTCCTGTCTAGGGCAATGACGATCAAGCATTCTGGGCGCTCGCTCTCATGTCGGCTCTGGAGTACCAGTTCCCCGAGCCTGCTTCAGCTCCAGCAAGCTATCTTGAGGTCACCCAGAACTGCTTCAACAACATCGTCTCTCGATGGGACACAAGCTCCTGCGGAGGTGGGCTGAAGTGGCAGATCTACCCCGAGAACGCCTATGGTTACAACTACAAGAACTCAATTTCCAACGGTGCCACCTTTGCTCTTGGTGCTCGTCTCGCTCGCTATACTGGAAATCAGACGTACGCCGACTGGGCCTCCAAGATCTATGACTGGACGAAGAATGTTGGTCTGATCGGCAGCAAGTTTGAGGTCTTCGATGGCACCGACGACAAGAGCAACTGCGCCACGGTTTCCGACAAGACGGAGTGGACCTACAATAACGCCATGTTCTTGCATGGATCGGCATTCATGTACGACTACACTAAGGGTGACAATACATGGAAGGATCGCACGAATGGTTTCCTCGAACGCGCTGCAACCTTCTTCAACAACCCGAGTGGCGCCGAAGACGTCATGTTTGAGGTGTGCGAGAACAGTGCCAAAGGTTGCAACCTTGACCAGCAATCCTTCAAGGCATATCTCGCCCGCTGGATGGCAAAAACCGCTATTCTAGCACCGTTCACCAAAGACAAGGTCACTACATACTTGACGAAGTCTGCAGCCGCCGCCGCTGGAGCATGCACCGGAGACAACAATGCTTGCGGTTCCAAATGGTACACCGGGGATTTCGACGGTACAACTGGCATCGGCCAACAACTCTCAGCTCTGGAAGTCACCCAGGCCCTCCTCATGCTCAAGCAAGGCACCGTCCCTAGCACTGGTGGTGATGCACCAAATCCGAGCTCCACTCCTGAATCGAGCTCCACCCCGTCCGCGAGCGCTGTCTCGTCGAGCTACGTAGCACCGTCGAGCGCTCTCTCTCCTACGGATGCTCCCTCTTCGGCCGATTCAACTCTTGTTTCCTCTACTGCCGAGTCCACTGTTGCTCCAACCGCTTCAAATGCAGGCGCGAGCCCCAGCGAGGCCGCTAGTGCTGTCCCTTCAAGCGCACAAGCTCCAGCGTCTCCCTCCGACACCACTAAGCCGGGCGGCGAGTTTGGTGAACAAATGCCGACTTCTAGTGGAGTGTGCACTTGCACGCCAACCTCTACGACCACCGTCTATGTCCCCCCAGCGCCTCCGACATCAGCGCCGGCTGCTCCACCGGCTTCGACCCCCATTGTACCCCCTGTGGTGCCCAATACGACGGTGCCCGTTGGTCCACCCGCCAACACCAGTACTGTGGAGCCGTTCCCTGGCGCTGCCGCCAACATGAAGTTAGCCGGTAGTTCGATGTTTGCTGCGGCTGCCCTGGCTGTGCTTCCAGCGTTGCTGTAGATGGATGAGTGGCACACATTCAGATCTATTTCGCTGAGCGGACCCCGTTAGCTGTCGATGATCCAAAGGGATCTTTATTTCTCTCTGTACATATACCTTTCTCTTCCCACATTTTTTGATTTTCGAGCACCTGCATAGGAGGCGTTATCCCATCTTCAGGCTTAGCAACGGGGCCAGCCTGCCATGGTTCTATATACGAAGGCAGTCCGTCACTAGGGCACAGCACCCTGGAAATATATAAATGTATATAATATCAGGCGAGAGATACCGCTCAGGTCCCACACTCCCCCTCCCCTTGCCATCTATGATACCAGCCGAGGCCGCAATTTGAGCGGTGCAAACCCTAGGATTACCGCTCGTACCTGCGACTCCAGAACAGCGATGCAGAAGAATGCAGAGAGCAAAGGTGATTTGCCCATGGTACATCATCGCGCATGGCTTGAAAGCATGATCTGGAGTGATCGCCACCGTTCCCGGTCACCCGCACGCTCTGCCCCGCCAAACGCCATGACCCCGGCCACACCTGTCATAATTGTTTCGCACCGAACTCTCCCACGGCGCCGGCGCATCTGCATCCCCACACGCCCGAGCTCAACAACAGCTGTAGCGCCTCAATACATGCGAGAGCACATTGCTCCCCAGCAGACCTGCCCGCCCACCGGCTTTCGGCTATTCCTAACACAAGGCGGCGACTAGGTGTTGAAAGCTCCCATATCATGGGCTGGTTGTCCCGCTGCGCCTGACGTACGCAATAGTGGAGCGGCTCCATCTCTGCAGGTAGCGACAAGAGATACTTCAGCTCGGGCACGAATGAGTGCTGACATGGCTTGCAGACGGCCTTTGAACGGCCTCCCGACCTTCACTTCCCGGCTTGGTTCCCGAGCAGCTTTCCGACCCTCGAATCCTCCCACGACGCATCTCCTGCATCCCTACGCCCTGATCGTGCCTCCGACAACCCTCTAAACAATTAAAACCTCACCCGCGGAGATATACAGACAACATGGCAAAGAAGAAAGAGATCGGATACATGAACAAGTATGTCTACGATGCGTTCCTCTGGACGTTCTCGATACTTGTGGAGCTCTTCTTCCGAGAGGTGCATCCCAGGAGCAGCTGGAAGGTGCCAAAGGAGGGGCCGGTGATTTTCGTGTGCGCGCCGCATGCGAATCAGGTATATTCCACGATTCCTCTAGCAGCGTTCGATCCCCGGTCTGACAAGTCCCAGTTCGTCGACCCTTTGATCTTGATGCGCGTAGTCAAGCGAGAATCAGACCGGCGTATCCATGTTCTGACGGCCGAGAAGTCGATGAAGCGGAAATTCATAGGCACAATGGCTGCGGCGTCGGGTGCTGTGCCTGTGGGCAGAGCAATGGATTCGACCAAGCCCGTGCCGGGCAGAATATACCTCCCAGACCCCGTCAACGACCCATGTCTCGTCCGCGGGGTTGGGACAAACTTCGAGGCCAAAGACTTTCAGGTTGGCGGCTCTCTGGTCCTGCCAAAGGTCAACGAGACGGCAGCTAGCGCTGAGATTCAAGAGATCAAGGGCCCTGAGGAAATCAGGTTGAAGCGTCCCTTCAAAGGCGGCGTCGCGATGCAGCAGCTTACTGGTCGAAACGACATGACCGAAGACGGAACATTTATCAATGGAGCTTCGTCTAAGAAGGGTCCTGCTCCGGATTACGAAGGCACTAATTTCAAGGTCGCCCCCAAGCTTGACCAAACTCAGGTATACGACGCGGTGCACACGGTGCTCCACCGAGGAGGGACCATCGCCATCTTCCCGGAAGGTGGCAGCCACGACCGCACTGACCTGCTCCCTCTAAAAGGTAGGCTCGAAAACCTTGTGTATGCTGCTCTGCTAACAGCGTGCAGCTGGTGTTGCAATTATGGCTCTTGGCACGGTAGCAACCAAACCCGATTGTAATTTGAAGATCATTCCGGTCGGCATGAACTACTTTCACGCCCACAAATTCCGCTCAAGGGCTGTTATCGAGTTCGGCACCCCGATCGACGTGCCAGTGGAGCTGGCCCAGAAATTTCAAAGTCAAGGATCAGAAAGGCGCCAGGCCATTGGAGACATGTTGGAGCAAGTCCGCGAGGGCCTCGTCTCGGTCACAGTGACCACCCCCGACTACGATACGCTGATGGTACGCTTAACCTAACAAGAGCTCGAACAGCCCGCTAATATGTGTATGTAGCTGATCCAAGCTGTGCGTCGTCTCTACAACCCCAAAGGCACGAAGCTTCCCTTGCCTCGTGTGGTCGAACTCAATCGCCGTCTTGTACAGGGATATGCAAAATACCAGAACGACCCGCGCATTATCGAATTGAAGAAAGAGGTCATGTCCTACAACCAACAGCTGCTGGCGCTCCGCGTCCGAGATCACCAAGTGCAGTACGCTAAGAAGGGCATTCTCGAGATTTTCGTCATATTCTGGTACCGGTTGCTCAAGCTGGCCATACTCTCAATCTTCGTCCTTCCCGGAACGTGCCTCTTTGGCCTGGTGTTCATCGCCTGCAAGGTTTACTCTATCAAGAAAGCGAGGGAAGCGCTTGCAGCGTCCAATGTCAAGGTCCAAGCCAGAGACGTCATGGCTACGTGGAAGCTTCTCGTTGCGCTGGCCGTCGCTCCGACCGTATACACGGGCTACGTATTCCTTGTCACCCTTTGGTATTATCTGAACTACTGCAATGGCTATCTTCCACCAGGGATTCAGAAACGATGGCTCATCCTAACTCAAGCTATCGTCTACCCCTCGGCGACCTACGCCGCCCTCCGCTTCGGCGAGGTCGCCATGGATATTCTAAAATCGCTCTTTCCCCTCGTCAAAATGATGAGCCCGTGGTCCGGCAACCAGCTCGTCAAGCTCCAGGCCCGGCGCGAAAACCTTGCCCACCGCATCACCGACATCATCAACACTCTCGGCCCCGAAATGTTTGATGACTTTTACTCGAAGCGTATCATCCAGGATCCCTTCACGCACTCCCCGCCCCGCACGCCGACTACAAAAACCGCCGAAGACGCCCGCAAAGAAGGTCCGCAGCCCATCGAAACGTACGACTTCCCCGCCTCTCCCACATCCCCCGAGCGCGAAGCATATCGTCACCTGCCCAAGAACGAATCTTTCCAGGACCTTACGAACCAGGACATTTTCTCCACGCGACCGCCTACGCCTAAGCGTAACCATAGCAGGAGTCCGAGCGGGATGCTGGGAGGCTTCCAGCTTAAGCCGTTTAGCACGATTGATGGGAACCTGGAGGAGGTTAGTAAGAGGATTAAGAGCGGGATGAGGAGTCGCATGCGGAGAAGGAGTAGTACGGATGGTTGGGAGGAGGGTAGTGGGGCAAGTACTCCAGGGACGCCGAGGAGCGAGGTTTCTGAAGGGCTGACCATGACTAAGAAAGAGAAGTAGATGCGGTCTTTTCCTTGGGTCGCGACCTGGGTCAACCGAGGGCGGCAGGCAAACGATTTCTTGAGCGTGGCGTTTAGGGAATGATGTATGTATGTGAAAGTGGGAATTTCCTTGCCGCTAAGGTTAGTGATACCATCAGCTTCTGGGCTATTTTCTTGTAGGTGCATGAGTGTACGGTTCCGTTCCGGTTACAATGAATAAATGTTAAAAGCGCGTTAAAGCTGCGTACGTTTTGGATATAGGTCTTTGCTACCTCTGCCTCCAACATCCCAACAACGCCCTCGCCATGATTATACAAACGCCATAGCTCAAAATAATTGCGTGTCTATAGCCTAGAGATGCTGAATACTGGCATCTAGTATTTTGAACTCCAGATATCGAACGCCAATACAGAAAAGCACGATACGCCGACAATATGCGTATAACGTTAAGTCCAAAAGCTAACAGCGAAACGCCAAAGAGACCACCGATGTCCCAGATATAGAGATAAAAGGCTATAGTACAAATACAAAGTGCAGAAGAGAATTAGTATCCCAAAAGTGTTGTGTCGATAGATATGCGCCTGGCCGAGTGTTCGTCTATACAGTGGGTGGGTGATTACGCCGTCATAGTTTTCGAGAGGTTGGATTTAGGAGGCAAGGCGTCCTTGCGCAGCTGGCGCACCAGCGACTCGAGTTTGCGTCGTTCTTCTTGTTCAGCCTATTCGTTGTTAGTACATCTCCTCGCTCTCCTGTTCTCACACCAACAACGAAACACTCACTCTTAGAGCTCGCAAGCCCTCCGCCGTCCGATCCCTCATCATTTTCCTGAAGTCCTCGCGCAGCATTCTTATAGATGTGGCGCCCATATCCACCCCTCCTCCCGGCGCCGCTGCACCCGTCGCTCCGGCGGCCACACTGGGACTCCTAATGCCGAGCCACTTGACGCGTTCATCGCTGAGCTCCATTTCTAGGGATTCTTTCTCGTCGCGCAGCTTATCGATGCTGGCTTCGAGCGCATCACGGTCTTTCTCGTTCTGAATGGCGTCGCGCGTAAGTGCTTCATATTCTGCCGCCATGGCGGAAAGCTCAGACTTGAGGTTGCGTTCGGAATTGCGGGCTTGAGCTTCAGATTGGGATGCGGCTTCGGAAGCTTTCTGTAAAGCGGAGAGTTCCGCTTCCAAGGATAAGTTCTTCGCGGCTAGTTCTTCGAGCTCCTTCTTCGTGGTGGCGCCGGATTCAGCAGCGCGCTCAGCGCGGGTGCCGTATGCGCCATCGAGCTCGGCTTTCGCGAAGGTTAGTTCGGTGGTGAGGCGGACGACTTCACCTTCCAGATTCCGTAGCTCTTCTTCCTTTGCGTTGAGCGCGTTTGCGGCTTCGGAGGCGCGCAGTTCTGCTTCTTGCTTCGCGGCGGTGGCGGCGCGGAGAGCTTGCGTTGCTTCGTCGATCTTAGCAGCGGATTGCGCGAGCTCGGCTTGGATGGTGGCGGCTTCGACGCGGGCGTCATCTTGAGCGTCGCGGAGCTGGGCCTCGAGGGTTATGGCGCGTTCTTGGGCGTCGCGAATTTGTGCTTGGTAGGACGCAGCGCGAGACTCAGCATCGCGGACCTGGTTCTCGTAGGCAATGCTCTGCTCTTGGAGGTCTCTGAGTTGGCTTTCCAGGCCAGTATTGCGTTCTTGGATGGTCCGGAGAGCCTGCGAGTCGGCGCCAGCCTTCTGCTCGTCGAATTGGCCGAGCTGAGCCATGGCGCGTTCGAGCTCGGCTTCCATAGTTTTCTGCGCTGACCGGGCGCTCAGGACTTGCTCGTTCAACCTGTTGACCTCGGCTTCCTTTTGCGCATCAGATTTGCTGTTGAGTTCGCGCTGCTGCTTGATCTGGCGAAGGAGAATGGACTGCTTGTCTTTGAGGCTAGTAGCGCGACTGAATAGCCACTGCACCTTTGCAGAGAACGCCGGGAGGGAGAATTCTTCGTTGGCATTGTAGTCCTCGTCGGGAGACAGCTCATCGTTGTTGTCAGGGTCCTCGGCTATCAAGCGTCGTCGTTCGCGTTTTCGTTCCCGTGCTTCTTCTTCACCAGCCTGAATGATCTGCCAAAGTCCTATGAGCGTAGTTTCGTACTTCTCCACATCCTGGCCGCCAGTGCCTTGGGAACGGAGCTCATCGATCTGCTCCATCAGGGAATACTGCAGCTGACCGATGTTATAGAAGGAGTCTTCCATATAGTTGAGCTGCTCAAGGGACCCATCGCCAGTGACAGGAGGTGGTGGTAGGACCTTGTCCCCACCAGCAGCATCTGACCTGCTGAGCATGGCATACAGCTGGTTGTTGATTCCCTCTAGTCTTCCCTCGATCTCGTTGAGCGAGTCCGTAGATTTGTTGCCCATATTTGCTTGCTCAGCGCTGATATCCCGCAGCCCTTGGTCGAGGAAGTCTAGCTGACGATCTACCGAAAAAGGGTCTGGTGATGACTGCGGAGGGAGTGAGTAGTCAAGGTTCCGCTCGGGATTGGCTTGGACAATGAGCTCCCGTAACCGCTCGTTGAGCTCCTCCAAGCGCTTGCTCATTGATGTAATGGCCTGGTTCTGGCGATCAACGGACGGTGAGTGGTGGTGTGTGCCGTTCTGGAGCGCATGCATGAGGCTATCGAGGTTCTCTGGGGACCGGTAAAAGCTCCGCTCGTCGAAACCGTCTTCCCCTTTCATTCGATCGCTTCGGTCATTCTCATATGTGTAGATGCTCGCGGGACTGTCTGGTCTTCGGTCTGCGCCGTTGGACAACTGTGCGGTCTTCCGCTTTCGGGGGCCGTTGTGCGTCAGCTGCAATACGCCAGCTGTGTGCATCAACAGCTGCATATCGATCAGACGCATGCGAGACTCGATCTCCAAAAGCTCCCGGGTCAAGTCGTCCACCTTCTTGTTGCTCACATTCAGGTCGTCCTCGGATCTGGCGACCATGTCCCTGAAAGCGATGCTCCCTTTGCTCCCCAGCCCTCTCTGATGCCCCTTCTTCGACGTGAGGCGCGTGAGGGACCGTGCGGCATCGCGGATCTTCGTCTCTGCTTCCAGTCTCCTCCTCACGGTGCCTAACCGCGCGTCTAGTCCCTTCTGCTCCTGCTTCAGCGCCTCCACCTCCTCCACGGAGAGAACGTCGAAGTTCTGGCTGTCTGTAATCGCCGTTTCCACCAGCAAGTGCATTGCGACCGGGTCGCTATTCAGCGCCTCGGAGCCCCGTTTCGGGAGCCCGCGCGGAACATATGCGCCATTCCCCTGTCCTGAGCCGTTGCGCCCTTCCACGAACACATCGGCAGGAGGTATGAAGGCGCTTCCACCAAATCTCGGGCTGATATTGTAGGCCATTGGGTAGAATCCAGGCGACGCGCCGCCTACACCGGACGGATAGTTCGAGGTGGGGGAGGGAAAGTCGTAGAGCGGACGGGGGCTCAGGGCGTCCTGGCCATAGGGGTACTGCGTGCGCAGTCCATTGCTCGTCATCGTGGGGAGCGCAAGGCCCGGGCGCAGAAGGGCGCGTCGTGGTACAGGGCCGCAATCGGTGCTGTGTGGAGGCGCAGAGAGAGACAGGGCGGGAAGGATGCGGAGGAGCAGGACGCAGCTCGTGCGGGCGAGGGCCAGGTTTTACGGCGCGCGCTGCATGATTTGGAGAACTGTTCTGGGCGTCAGGAGGCTGAGGCAGAGGCAGCGGTGGAGATTGCAGGCGGCGTTAGGGGCAGCGTGGAGGGATGCTCTTCTTTCACAGCCGCCGCCGACTCGTCTGTCCCGATGTCAGTCAGGGGTTGCCGCACAATAATCGTCCACTAGCGCGGGATCGGCCTAGCTCGATTCGGAACGCATCTCTTGGCGTTTTCAGCCACTGCCGAGCCCCACCACGTGCGATGCCTCTGTTGACGACGGGCAGGCCGCCGCTGCTGATGGCTGGACTGTGGAGCTTAGCAATACTGCGCTCACTTCCTCTTCTCCCCAGTGCATTCGGGCCTCTGGGCGGTGCAAAGTGTGCCGTTCTCCGTGCGTTGGCCGATCGTATCAACGCCGAATTGTGACGCGCACTTCCTTTTCCGTATTTTCTTTTGCCCTGGGCGACTCACAGAAAACACACAGCAAAATGGCGTCAGACCAGAGGCCCCTGTACGCAAGAGAGCAGATCGCACAGTACTTCGAGCGTCTAAAGTTGCCTCAGGAACATCGCAAGTACGATGTCGCAGGGTTGGAGCCTGAGCATGCGCTGGAGTACCTCACGCTCTTGCAGAAGCACCATCTGGTTGAGATACCGTTCGAAAATCTGACGTTGCATTACTCGGCCCATCGTCAGATCTCACTTCACCCGGAAGAGTTGTTCAGGAAAATCATCAGAGACAACAATGGCCGCGGCGGGTACTGCATGGAGAACAATTGCCTGTTTGGGACGCTGCTGAGATCGCTCGGATTTCAGGTCTTCTCTGCTGGTGCCCGTGTGTTCGACGACGGGAAGTGGACTGGCTGGTAAGCCCTGCTCTATCTCTGAAACGATCGCTCGTCTGAAATCCTTTCCAGGAGTCACATGGTTAATATCATCACGGTGGGATCCATGAAATACCATGTCGACGTGGGCTTCGGAGGGAATGGACCCGTCGTGCCAATGCCTCTTGATCGGTCCGGCGCCGTCCAGCGACACATCAGCCCCGCAGCAGCGCGTCTGCAGTGGCGCAACATACCCGGCAACACCGACCCCGACCAACGGCTCTGGATTTACGAACACAGAATCGACGAAAATAGCGATTTCCAGATGACGTATAGCTTCACCGAGCTGGAGTTCCTCCCGAGTGATTATGCCATCATGAACTACTTTACCAGCACTTCACCAAGGACCTTCTTTACAAGGGTTATTGTAGGGGAGAAGAAGCTGCTTGGAGATGACGGAGAGCTCGCAGGCAATCTCATCCTGGGGAACACTGATCTGAAGTGGAGGATACGCGGACAGAAGGAAAAGGAGATCAAGTTTGAGAGCGAGCGTGACAGAGTCAAAGCCTTGGAGGAGCATTTCGGAATCAAAGTGAGCGAGGTTGAGAGGGACGGCATCCGGGGGCTTCCTTCGGAGATCAAGTAGGTGATGTAGAACACGGTAGTTGGGGGGCTATGCACCCGTTCTGGAAGCAGAGACTATGAATGACGAGATGGAGTGTATCATTGACTAGTGAACATTGTTGAACATTGATTGCGTGGTGTGGGCTTGGCTCAAAGGAATCGCTGCTCGACCTGTAGGCTGTCAGAACTGTCCCCTGTCCGTAGGCTTCTTGTGCATACCCTCCATGGATTATTCAGCTCGAAGCCCTGCGGCGCCTCCGGCTTATCCGTCTGTCCTCGCATGAAGCCGGTCAATCTGCGGTCGCGCTCCATCACTGGGTGCGTTCAGTATGTGGTATGAGGTCACCGCGGGAGAGTCATACTTTGCTGCAATTCAGTTAGCAATCGCTTCCGAGCGCCCAGCAAGTATCACCACGTACCCTGTCCCATGCGTCAATCCCGCGCCGGGCCTTCTTGCCTCCGTTCTGCATCTCCCTGAGCTTGCCGACGGAGACGGCGCTGAATGCGAACATCTACACGAAGCGTCAACCGGGCTACCGCGCGGCCAGTGGAGGAATTGACGTACGCCGATCATGATCCCGTACGGGATGAGAGCTTCGAAGGGCACGCCCATGGTTGCGAATGCCGCTGCGGGTGCTGTGCTGCTGTGGTGGGGTTTCGTGAAGGTGAGAGCTTGGGGTGAGGTCGGGTCGCGGAGCTAGGTGTGCCAAGGCTTGTTCTGCGAGGGGAGGGCTCCCAACTTCAGGAGGCAGCGCTCTTCAAGCGGCCGAATTTCATCACGCACGCGCTTTCCAGGCCAGATACAGTTATTCTCGGTGTCGCTCGACGCCGTACTTTTACCCGAATCGCGAATACTGCCACCTCCGGGCCCTCTTCCGCCAAGAAAGTCGCGCGTGGCGGCGATCGCGCACCTCCACATCTCCTCAGCAACGAACAGCGCGCCTGCAGGCCTCCCGCATCGCTTTCCAGCGCCCCGAGGCCTTCACAAGTCATATCACGACTCAAGATCACGTCATTGTCCCATCGGACTGTCTCACGGTTCACGAACGACGCGCTACGACTCCCGCACGACGCGCTCGAGCGCACACTTCATGCCCACACCACCGAGCTGTCTGTCGCTCGCACGACCAATGCAATACAAGTCATAGACATTATAGATTGTGACACTGGCGTATTTTGTCTCCAAGCTGGCGACGGTGGTCTCTCTCGCGATGGCAGAGCCCGGCAGGCTCATGGGCCAGAACGCGAGCAACATCGACCCGGAAGACATTGACGCGGACGGAGAGTACGAGGAGGACGACGTTGGATACGAGCAGGCTACCAGGGAGAGCAGCCCGGAGGCGGGTGGGAACACCACAGATGCGGAAGGCTCAGATGTAGATGCAGAAGGCGAAGAGGTGGACGACGACGACGACAGCGAACCTGTTGGCGCGGTCAAGATTGCAGCTCGCGAGGATGCATATTCAGAGGAAGAGGAGGACGGAGACGCCGCAGTAACAGTCGATCTTTCCTCAGATGCCAAGACCAGCGATAGCGAGGGCAATTCCAGTAGTTCCGAGTCTGAAGCAGAAAACCAATGGCAGGCCGAGAGCGAGGACGGCGAGGAGGCCGAGGCCGAGAAATCCAACCCGAATGTCTGCGTGTAAGTTCCCCGGGAGCATCAGAACATGGACGACTCAGAAAACTGATACGTTTGCAGGTACTGCAACGAAGACGAGGACAACGACCCAAGTCCGGAGTTTGAGGAGGCTCTGTCGTGCGTGGTGTGTGGGGACATGGGTGCGTGAATTCCTACCTGCGATGTTCAACTTTTGCGTTTCCGGGGGCTGACATGATCTTGTTCCTGCAGCACATCGGCAGTGCGCCCGAGACGCTAACACGCTTAGCCCCGACGATGGTACGTCCTTGCCCCGTATCCGGCCAGGGTTTTGTGACAACACATTCACTGACCATTTTCACTCAGATGCAAAACGCTGGCGGTGCACGGCCTGCATCCAGAATGACCTCCACGAAGGGAACGAGTCGTCAGAGTCTCTCACTCGTCGTAGGCTCTCATCGGTTCCCAAGTTGGCGAAGGACCTCCTGCCTTCACACAGGGGTCGGGATCCGGGTGGGCACTCCATTTTCAATGACCTGATTCTTCCTGACGATCCCATCGATGGCTCGCGTTCGCTGAGGAAACGCAAGGCTTCGCACGAGGATGAAGTGCTTCCCGCTCGCCAAACGAGGAAAAAGCGCAGGTCGTCCGAGGCGTCCAAGTCCGAAGCTGGACGGTCGGTGACGGCATCATCACCTGGTGCGCGGGCCAGAAGCGCAGTAACCGATGGTGATGATACCGACGGTGCGCAGCTCACCGCCTCCGAGCACGAATCCTCGCGCCTCCGCTCTTCACGCGCCCGCCGGACTAAGCCCAAAAGGAACGACAAACGGCCGCTGATGTGGGTCGAGGAGTCCCAAGGTCTCAGCCTCATCGTGGTGTTTCACCTCAACAACGAGAAAGTGCAGAATATTGTCACCTCCAAGCCGAAGAAGAAGACCCTCACTCTGGAACAGGAACGGCAAGAGCGGCGGAGGGAACGGGACCGGGAGCGCCGCGAACGGAACAGGCGCGCAGCCCAAGCGGCGAGGGAGACGGTGGAGGAATCTCACTACCCCGCGATTCACAGCCAATACACGGCGCCGTTTCACGGGTTTGCGGACAAGGAGATGGACGAGAACAAGAGCAAGCCGTACGGTGGGATACTGTCTGAGGCCGACGCCGATACCTCGAAGACATACCCGACCCACACCGACAGAAAGCGCTTCGAAGACGCCCGCCTCAAAGCAGAAGAGGCCTGGAAGCAGAAGCAGGCCGCGCTGTACGGAGGCCAAGAAACGACGAAGCCGCCAAAGCAAGCAGGACCGCCAAGCAAGATCAAGTGCATCAACTTTGGAGGGTGGGAGATCGACACATGGCATGCTGCGCCATACCCAGAGGAGTACAGCAAGAACCGGGTGCTCTACATTTGCGAGTTCTGCCTCAAGTACATGAACTCGGATTACGTGGCATGGCGGCACAAGGTAAGCGCGGCCCTCCCTGGCACCTGCCCCGACCGACGTGCTAACAACAGCCAGCTTAAATGCCCAGCAAAGCACCCGCCGGGCGATGAGATATATCGCGATGGCAAATACTCCTTCTTCGAGGTTGACGGGCGGAAGAACCCCGTCTACTGCCAGAACCTCTGCCTGCTCGCCAAGCTCTTCCTGGGCTCCAAGACGCTGTACTACGATGTTGAGCCGTTTCTCTTCTACGTTATGACCGAGAACGACCAGTACGGCTGCCATTTCGTGGGCTACTTCTCGAAGGAGAAGCGACCGAGCTCACTCAACAACGTCTCCTGTATCCTCGTCCTCCCCATCCATCAGCGCAAGGGCTATGGTCAATATCTCATCGAATTTTCGTACCTCCTGACTCGTGTTGAGAAGAAGACCGGAAGTCCCGAGAAGCCGCTGAGCGATATGGGCTTAGTTAGCTACAGGAAGTACTGGCGGCTCATTGTGTGTCAAGAACTCCTCGACCAGAAATCACCCGTCAGCATTGCCACCATTTCAGAACGAACGGGCATGACACCAGACGACATTGTCTCTGCCTTGGAAGGTTTACGTGCCTTGGTACGCGATCCGGTAACCGGCAAATACGCCTTGCGACTGGATTATCCCTACTTCAAGCAATACATCGAAAAGTGCAGCAAGCCCCACGAACCAAAAATCAACTCGGAATGCTTAGTCTGGACACCATATGTCATGGGACGCCTAGGTCAGTACGAGGACGGTCCGGCCTTGCATACGGTGCAGCAGCGGGACGAAGTCGATGACGAAGACCAGCCGGAACCAGAAGAGGGCGTTCAAATGGAGATGGCCGCTAAGACAAACGGGATCTCAAAGAACGGCTCGGCTGCCGATGAGGACGACCTTGGGCCAGCTACCCCTGACCTGCCGGCTGAAGATTCCATCAATGGGGGCTCTCCCGCTCCTGGCACTCCGCTTGCAAACGGCTCTACTGCCGCCGTTGCTGGCTCTCAAGCTACAAGCGCTATGCAACCTATACCTCCGACTCGATACGAAGTATTCCCACCCATACCAGGGCAGGCACCAGCAAAACGCCGACCCGGGCGACCCTTTGGCTCTCGTCGCCGAACGAGCACACCTCAAAGCAAGCGTACCCAGCCCCTCTCCATTGGCACAGCCCCTGTTTCTAGGATTCAGTTCTCGCCTAGCAATAGCGGCAAAGCTTCACCGACCGCCAACGGCGCTCTCACGCCCGGCATACTCAATCTCCGGCGCACTAGGAGTAAGTTAGGTCAAAGTGTGACGAATGGCATAGATGGTGACGAGGTCGAAGAGGGCGGAGAGGTCAAGGCGGTCAATGGCAAGCGGACGACAAGGAGCTCCACAGGAAGCCCACGGAATGCCAAGAATGGGAAAGGAAAAGGGAGGATGCTTCAGGAAGATGACACGGACGAGGATGCGGAAGGCGACGATGTGGATGCAGAGGGGGAGATGGACATCGATGCTGACGCTGACGCCGAAGGAGAGGAAGATGATGATGTGGCCATGACAGACGCGTGATCACGAGTTGTTAGGCTATTGTTTGTGCTTTGGGCGGATCTCCGTTTCATCAGATACAATCCTTGACTCGACGGCTCATTAAGAGCGCTTCGTTGACGAATGGACTTGTGATCCTCTACTTCGATGTGGCATTGGGGAGATACCTTGGGTGGGAGTTGACTTTGAATATACTTATTAATCGCTTCTTACACCACCTGGGCTGCGGTGAGGTTGGCTGGCACGTGATGTCACTCGGTGAATCGGCAGGTATTGGTCCGAACTCAACGTCGATCGCCGCTCCCACAATTCCCGCCGCCCAAACTCCTCCACCTCAACAGTACTGAACTTTACCCGGCGGAAGGCATTACACGCAGCGCTAGCCTCTGCACCCCACATTCGCGTCTTGTGTTTCTCCGTCCGCCCAATGTTGCCGTCTACTATAGGTTTCATCTGCGCCAATTCGCAGCTCTTGGCGCGGACATGGAGGCTAATGTGCAGCTATAACACGCACTAGCCTGAGCTTTTACCCGGGAGTTCTGGACGCAGTCGCAAGGGCGGGAACAATCGACTCGGCAGTGACGATAATCGACAACATGCCCCGGTCAGAAAGATGGGGCAATCTATAAGCTTGATGGATTCAACACCTCGCCATTGAACGCCTCTATCACGCCCAACTGACACAACAGCTTCCATCGGCAGTCATGCTGCGGTCGACAGCTCTCGGAGGCACACGCTCCGCGTTAGTCGTTTCGTTGTTACCCGGTCTTGCACTCGGGCAGTTTCTCACTGGTTTCTACAATCCAATCCTTCCTGGTTTCCATCCGGATCCGAGCTGTATCCATCTGAAGGAGGATGATACGTTCTACTGCGCGTCGTCGAGCTTCAACGCCTTTCCTGGTATTCCGATTCATGCGAGCAAAGACCTGACGACATGGCGACTTGTTGGTGAGTTACGTCCATCTACTGCCGTTTCAGTCACCCGGCGACGCCCACGTGTGATTGCCGGCGTGGGGAACATCAAACCCAATCTACCAATCTATGCCAGCTTTCCTCCGCTTCTATCTCCATATTGGCCGTATCGATAGGCAAATGCATTGCCTGTTTCATGTCTTTCGATCCCCGCTCTACAATTCCTGCCCCTCGCTTTTTCGCGTCATCGTACCAGAGTTTCGCTATCGATCGTCAGGAGAGAATTCCAAAACACTCCCAGCCACCTCTTTTTCGCTTCCAGTTGTCCGCCTGGACCCTTCTGCATCGATCCTGGTCTCATCACCCACAAGGACCAGGATACTATCTTTCTGGAACGCCAGGGTGTAGCTTACGGTAGGGAACAGGGAATGCCTTGAACCGCGAAAGTCAGCTCCCGGAGTTAGCAATATCCAATGGATCGACGAGCGGCATCTGGGCACCTGCGCTCCGATATCACAACGGAACGTTCTATGTTGTGACTACGCTCGTGCACGACAAGAAGGCCCCGGAAGATCCTACACGGTGGGATAATGTATGTCGCTACCTCTTTCCATCTGTGGTCGCCGGAGTTTCAACAACCGTTCTCGACTTGGGTGCTATTGCGACTGACCGTTCGTTTGTTTATGCTTAGATCATCTTCTCTACGCCAGACATCTGGGATGAGAGCAAGTGGAGTGATGCGGTCCACTTTGACTTCGAGGGATACGATACCAGTCCTTTCTGGGAAAATGGCGACTCGTACATTGTGGGGAGTCATGCCTATCGTGTGGAGTATGTGCTCGTTTCCGACCATCGCCAGTTTTGAGATGCATTGCTTACAAAGCCAGGCCTGGCATCCACCTTAGCAAGGTTGATCTCAAGACTGGAGAGGTGAAGAGCAATTGGACGAACCTGTGGAATGGCACAGGTGGCTTAGTGAGTTTGCATGCCTTTGGGGCTGAAGTGCGAGGGGCTAATTGTGCCAAGGCACCCGAAGGCCCTCACATCTACACGAAGGATGGATACTATTACTTGATGATCGCCGAGGGTACGCCCTTCGGGACTCTATAGTCTAGCAGAAACTAACGTCCGCTAGGTGGCACTGGCTTGGGGCACATGGAAACAATTGCTCGATCGGAGAATCTCTATGGGCCCTACGACCCTAACCCGGCGAACCCGATCTTGACCAATGCGAACACATCGGAATACTGTAGGTGCGAATCAGTGACGTCTATGCATCTCACCTAACTTGCGTGGCAGTCCAAACCGTCGGCCATGCCGACCTGTTCCAAGATCGCCGCGGCGATTGGTGGGGAGTGGCGCTTTCGACGCGCTCCGGTTCTGAATACATCACCTACCCAATGGGCCGCGAGACGATCTTGACCAATGTCACCTGGGAGAACAGATCATGGCCCGTCTTCAACAATCCAATCAAGGGTGCAATGAGAGGATGGCAGCTGCCGAGGATCATCCAGAATCTGCCTGGCGACGGGTAAGCGCTAACTCCCACCGAGGATCGCATTCGCTGACAAGGATCTAGTCCATTTGTCACAGAAGGCGACAACAACTTGCAGTTCCGGCCTGGATCAGAGATACCGCCGCATTTCGTTTATTGGCGCCCGCCGATCAAGGAGAACTACGCCATCTCTCCCGAGGGTCATCCGAACACGCTGCGTCTGAAGCCATCCAGGCTTAATCTGACAGCGCTAGATGGCAATGCTGGAGGTCCAGGAGGACAAACCTTTGTGGGACGAAGACAGGTCGATACGTTGTTCACTTACCGCGTCGATCTGAACTACAGCCCCAAGACTCTAGAGGAAGAAGCTGGCGTCACCCTCTTCTTGACTCAGGTCAGAACTACCCCTTCATCTCAAAGATACCACAGCACTGACATGCTCGCAACAGAACCACCACGCCCGGTTCGGCCTTACTATGCTACCGCTAGCCAACGGCAGCAGCAGCGCGCTAGTCCCACACTTCCGCTTCGACGCAATCTCCTACATCCCAGTGCCGCCTTCCTTTTCAATCCCCCTTTCGGCTTCCATGCAGAACAAAACCCTCACTATGGAGATTAGGACCGTCAATCAAACGCACTTCTCGTTCGCAGCTGGCTCTGCGAAGAGCAGGGAGCCACTGACAATCTTCGCATACGCACCCGGGGATATTGTTAGCTGGGGGTTTACCGGGACTCTGCTGGGTGTGTATGCGACGAGCAATGGTGGAAATGGGACGACGGAAGCGTATGTGAGCAATTGGAAGTATGAGGGTTGGGGCCAGATTAGGGATAACTTCGCTGGGCCGCTGGTACAGTGAAATGATGTTCGCCATAGGGGTATCCGAAGACTTGTACATATCATCGCGAAAGCACATAAACGTTGCTGTGTCCAAATTGTTCCTCCTCCCATTCTACGATGTTACAAAGAGATCTCGCGTCTCCGCCGCCGTAGTGCCGTCGATTCTTCGGAGCCGAAGAACACGCAGCCTGCACGAGGGCTGTCACCGCAGCACATACCGATATATGCTGTGCGCGGCAGCGACCCAGACCCGGTGTGGTACCAAGCTAAACTCCACGCACGCCCGCCTACTGCCGCTGTGCTGAAACGGAAAACGTCGACGCCGCAATGTCACGTTGCACATGGCCCACTCACCGCCCTGCACATCTGCATTGGGCATGCGGGTAGAAGCCAAAACGGCAATTGCGGCGCCGCAACGCGGCGGACTATGGGACGGCGGAAAGGCGTGGTTTATTTTGGGAGTGAGCAGAGTTTGGCACGACAGGTAACGGGTCGGGGATGGAGATGGAGATGGAGACGATCAACGGTATGGGATCGGTGAGAACTCGAAGCGTCGTCTGATGAGGCTGAGGCAGAAGTCTGGTAGGACAAGTAACGGGAACGGAACGGTAGAGCTCGGATTGTCAAAGTTGGGTTCGCGCGTGAGGCTTGCTGAGGCTGAAGCGGAATGTTCCTCCTGATGTCATTTTCGTCTTCGTTTCCGCATCATTATCTCCTTTGTGCTTAGACTACGCGAGCTCGTCGGTTACATGAGATCGCGTCTCTTCCAGCGAGATTCGATGTTGGAGAGCATTCATCGTGTTTCGAAGTGTGTTTGTAGAAGGGTTTGGCGGCAGCAGGGGTCGTGAAACAGGAATAGCGCAAACAGGGATGAAATTACCCTTCTTGCTTATCGTTAAATCACGTGGAGATAAGGTACAACTGCCCCTCATTGGCGGGGCGGAGGTGACGCATTTCGTTGTCGAAAGGACGATATCCGAGGATACGTGCTAGGACATAACATCGTGAGGGATCAGTGTCTTTGTCCTGACTGCTATCTTCTCCAATTGACTCTCATTCCCGCGATCTGGGCTTTTCTGCACACACCTCCAGCGAGATGCTCAACCTCATATCCTCATCCGTCTTGCTCTTCGCCTTCCCGCTCTTCCTAGTCGTCTACGTCTTCTACAAGTACTTCACGAACCCTCTGCGCAAGATCCGTGCAGCGCACGCTTTGGCTCCCTTCACATCGCTGTGGATCCACTCTATTCGGTGGCGCTCCGTCGAAAATGCAACCCTCAGAGGAGCGCATGAAAGGTTAGGGCCCGTGATCTGCCTTGGTCCGAACGAAGTGAGCGTCAATTGCGTCAAAGGAGGGATAAGAGATGTGTACGCAGGGGGGTTTGAGAAGGGCGGAGATGGAGCAGGGCATAATTGGTACAGGTTCTTCGCGAACTATGGAGGGTGAGTATCTTCAATAGATTACTTGACGCTGGGAGTGCTGACGATATGCAGCGTCGATAATATGTTCTCAACCGGAGGCAATAAGAGACATTCGACGCGGAAACGGATGCTGAGCAACATCTACAGCAAGTCGGTCGTCACTGCGTCGCCCGCACTACTTGCGCAAACGGCGTCAATCCTCTACGACCGCTTTCTACCTTACCTTGCATCTACCTTTTCTCAAAGCCAGCCTGGCGTTCTCAATATCTATGCTCTTCTCAGTGCGACGACTATGGACATCGTAACCGGGTACATCTTCGGTCTGCAGTCGAGTTCGAACTTGATCGACAATCCGAAGCAGCTGGCCTGGTACCTGGACCTTTACAATTCGCGCCGGTCATACAACTTCTGGCCGCAAGAGCTGCCAGGCTTGACATCATTTCTCGAGAAGTTGGGCTATAGGCTAGTCCCGAAGTGGGTGGACGAAGCGAATAGGGAGATCGAGAAATGGACGAAGGGCATGTGCGAAAGAGCTGCTGGTGCACTCCGACAAGGAGAGATAGGGGTCAAGGAGACGCCGGTTGTGTACCAGCAGCTCGCAGTGGCACTGTCGAAAGAAGCGAAGAAAGCTGGCGGTGAGAAGACGGATCTAAGCTTACCGATTGCGAGTGAAGTCCTAGATCACCTCGCCGCAGGCTTTGACACATCGGGGATAACACTTACTTACGTTATCCATGAACTCTGCCTTCATCCGGAGATTCAAGCTGATCTTCAGCGAGAGATTCGCAGCCTCTCTCCACCCATTGTACCCTCTTCTGTCCCCACTCTTCCCGCTCCCAAAACGGTAGACGCGCTTCCACTGCTTCACGCCGTGATATGGGAAACCCTCCGTCTACACTCCGCAATCCCTGGCCCACAGCCCCGTGTTACTCCTCCACAAGGCTGCTGTCTCGGCCCTGACGAGCATCCCTACTATGTACCAGGCGGTGTGAGGGTGAGCGCCAGCGCGGGGCTACTGCATCTGAACGAGGAGGTGTATGAGAGGGCCACCGAGTGGAGACCGGAGCGGTGGCTAGGCTTGGACAAGGTTGACGAGGAGAAGAGGAAGGATATGGAGAGTAGGTGGTTCTGGGCGTTTGGAAGGTTAGTCAAGAACGCGTTGAGCTTGCGTTCGGATACTTACTCTGGCAGTGGCGGGAGGATGTGTGTTGGAAGTCACTTGGCTGTCTATCGTAAGTCTATCCTCTTCGCCCCTCTCGAGTGACATGTCCTTTGTGGACAAGGCAGTGTTGGTGTGGCAGGTGGAGCGGGGTCCCGGCCTCAAGCGCCATTCTCCGAGGAGGTTGCGAGGCAAGGCTAGCCTTGGTTCTTTGCCCTCATGCCAGAGCTCATCGGTGAATTGTGGCCGGAAAAACTGTGCGAGAATTATTCTTGTAGTGACACTCTCGGGTCGAGCACCAGGCGTCTAGGATGGGAGCCATGCTGACATCAGCTCACAGAGATGAAGTATATTATCGCCGCGTTATACTCCAACTACACAACCACCGTCGTTGACGACACCGGAATCGAGCAAATAGACTCCTATACGGCACCTCCTAAGAGCAACAAGCTCATGGTCAGATTGGAAAGGCTAGAAACACGAGGCATGTGAATACCGGGTAATCTCCACACCTCTTTCCTGTGTCGCTCCACGCTATCTGTGAGAGTAAAGCACCAACAGCTGGATGCGCGTGGGTCCAGCCAGTGAGCTTCGAGTTTGGGTAATCTGGAGAGGAGGGGTAGCGGTTCGGGAACGGCCGGTGTCGGATGGGGTAGGCTATGTAGCACAAGTGTGCGTCTCCGAGGTCTATCCTGATGCTGAACCATGGTCGTAGCAATTAGCTAGCGACGGTGCGGCAGAATGACACGGGATTACCAGTGTTCGACGTGTAGCCTGAAAGAAATCTGTGGAGGTCATTGACTAGTGCGAGAAATGATAGTCAGCTGAGCATTGCGATTGGTGAACTTTAGGAATTGGTCTTGCTGTGTCATGGAGGGGCACTGCGCTGCATCTTCTGAAGCCGGAATGTGATGTGATCCCTCTTTGTGCCTCCTCGGCCGCTCCCTGTCGTCTTCAGAGTCAGTGTGCAGATCTCGGGAGGCAGGTCAGCATCATGTCGAATCAAGCATACCTCAAAGCCAGACAGGTCTTCAGATCGTTTGGACCCTCCACTTCCGCAGCATCCAAGCGTGCAGCGCATGCTGCGAAATAGTATTGGTGGGCTAGTTTGCGTCACCCAGTCACAGAGCGCATGCGCATAACGAACGCCTCTTGGCCCACATGAAGCCGTCCCACGCACGCCGTACAGCATCCTGCCGTGGCCGCCCTTTTCGGTTGTTGGTGCAGGTCATGGGTGAGCGTGGAGACCCTCTGCCGCAAGGGGTATGGACTCGAGTTCGTCCAGACTCGTTCTTGCTTCATGGCGCCTGTTGCTTCAAGCTGCTGACTGTGTGGGTTACGCAGTGTGGGGGTTTCTTCGAGGCCCGCCCAACACAAGATGATGGGGCTCGAACTTACTGTACATGTGCTGAAGAGGCTTTGTAGACGAGCCTACAAATACAGGAGGCCGGGCTGTGAGAATGAGCGCCCGCTCGCACCACTGCAAGCTGCTACTCGCTCACGGTTAGCCGACACTTGCGTTGAGCCCAGATAACGACAAGCTGCGGGACAGGGGCTCTCGCGGATGCAGACGACTCGGCCAGAGACCCGAAGCCAGAAGATTCTAGCCACTTGCCAAACCAGCTACAGACTCCTAAAACGCGCCGCTATGTGCCCCGCGGGGTCTGGAGGCTTGCAATCCAAAAGAGGGGTTAGTCGGTGGGTGAATACTCGCGTTGGCCGTAGCTTCTGACCGCAGATATTGCTCGGAAGCTCTGATTAGCCCATAGTTATGGGCCCAACTGCTAAGAGACTGTGTCGAAAACGAAGATCCGCGCGGAGTCAAGGGCCGCGCGGGAAGTGAGGGCTGAAGAGCGTCCCTGATGATCAATGAAGCTTTGATTGTAGGGTCCCTGCTAGAAACCGTATGCCAGGTCGCAAAATCTCCGAGAGAAAGAGGGATCACAGGAAACATGTGGTCAGTCACCCGTCCGCTTCGAGGCCGGGCATAAGCGATCGGTCGCTCGACGCCTGGGACGAGCTGCCTTGCCTCAGCAATCCGCGTGCGGCTGCAAAGCCTGGTCCACTTGCCCGCTCTTACCAGACTCAGCACTCTGCAGTATTCATCTAGTGATGGGAAGAACCGGACGAGAACTTGCCAGCGAGGCGCAACCGTGACGCGCACAATATAGCGCAGATCACCGGGATGTGCGTAACGCCCACGGCCGGGATGCTTTCGCAGCATAGGGATCAAAAGGCTCCAAATTGATGTTGATGATGGACGAGGCGCTTCACGGTGACTGCGATGGAAGTACAACCGCTAGATTGCGGATCAAGCCACACCCAGCCCATTGCTCGCTGGATTGATTGCGCACGAGATTAACTGCGAGTGTGTCCGCCAGCCAAGCGCAATGGCAGCAGCGAGAACATGTGCCGTCCTGCAGCAGCTCTGTGGCGCTTTCCACGGAGTGCATGCGTGGGCCAAAGAGGGAAGGCGCGGCGTCGTCGAGGGGGCTTCCCTTTTCGGACGGCCAACAACAGAGGGGCGCCAGTTCGGGGCCGCGCGCTGCCAGTGAGGAGCCCTACGGCCGGCGTGGACCGGGCATCAAGGGCGATTGGGGGCGGAGGCATTGCGGCGGGCACTGCGGCGGGCCCGCACGTCGGAGCGGAACCCGTTTGGAGGAGTCGGGTCGCCTGGGCCTGTGCTGTTGCTTCCCGTGACGACAATCTACCGTGTCTCAGGGCGAAGCATGGCGGAAGAGCGGCGGCGCGGGCGCCTGGCCGGGCAGGATGCGTTGATTAAGCCGATATAGGGCCATGTTTGAGCGTCATTTGCGCGGGTGGAGGCCAGCAGCGGCATGTGCAGTCACGTCTGCAGGTACCGCGGCCGCGCCAGATGAATATCATCGGGGATGGAGGGTGGGAGAATGGGCGCTGGATCCGCTGAGCGCTCTGAGCGAGCAGCCCGTTCCGAGGGAGCATTGTGCCGCAGAAGAGGCTGTAGCAGTCAGATTGCCGTGATGCGCCAGAGACGACGAGAACCAGGAGGTTGATTGCGGACCCGGCGCGCGAGGATTGCTAAGACCGGGACCGGCTATATTGCTGCTGTCAGGGGAGAGGCTTCCGGGCAATCAGACGCCGCTCGAGCCCGCGCAGCGCCGCCAACCGAGCGCTGTTTCGTGGCTAAACGGGCAGCGAATGGCGATGCTGGTGGTGGTGTAACATCGTAGAATTCTTCAGGATGCGGAGAGGCCGCAGCGCGCCCCGAGCACGCCCCATCCTGGCAGGCAATCTGTCCCAGCCACCGCAAGATTCAACGGCGATCTGCTCCCCACTTTGCACCTCACCGCATCAAACGACATCATCCTTCACGCCTCTCCGTTGTGGGACGCCATTCTGCCGCGGGGGCCCCTCGCTCTTCCGCCGTTCCCGCGAGCCTCCGCCTCAACACCACGCTGCGCATCGCCATGCTGCTGGCCACGCGCAGTAGGCGCTGCTTACTCGTCCTCACGATAATTCAGGGCCGAAATAGCACGCCGTACCGGGCTCCTCCATCGCCTTTTGCGCCGTCCTCTGTCGTGTGACGTGAGTATGCACTGGTAATGCAGCCAGCACCCTTAGCTCCCAGCGTTCTGTCATGCTTCGACGCATCGAGTCTTGAGGTACCCCAAGAGCACTCGCCGGCGCCGCTGAGCTACCTGCGTGCCAGCCGCCATGTGCGCAGACGTGCCCCGTACCACGCTGGCCGGCAGCGAGTGGTCGCAATGGCCGTGTTGGCGAAGGACTCAGCTCGTCCAATGTTTTGTGCCTCGAGGCTACGGGTCAGAGGAACATGTAACGAACAGGCTGGCGGCGGAGGCTGCTCAGATATTGGGCGCCAACGGGAGTTATATACGGCCTCTCAAGTAAAGTAGTTTCAATGGCTAAATTCCGAGTGCTGTTTGGGTGTTTGCAGGCCTGTGGTTCTACCACTTCTGCACGCGTTGCAGCGATCCGGGTCCCCCGTCGAGCCCTGGACGGCGCCCATACCACCCCTCAAACCTGGGATTGCCGTTGAGTTGACGCACGACTGAAGGCCCTTAGCACCCATGCTCTGCCGCCGCCGATTCCGCCTGTGCAGCAGTGGCCGCTGCTCCCAGGCTGCATGGGTCCCCCTCGCAGTGGTAGAATGTGACAGGCGGTTTATTGTTCCGTTCTACTTCAAAACAGGCCTTGGCTGGTAGTCTTTCTGCGCCGACCGTTCTTGACATATAGACGTCTCGTCTACGTTGTTTTCCGGATCCTTCTGGCGCTCCAACCGTCCCTGCGCACCGCCGTGTTTCTTTTCTCCCCCCCAGATGGGCGTCAGCGGGCTGGACGAGCTTCCTTATTGATCGCGTTTCCGGCGTTGCGCTGAGCACATAGCGTTCGGTCGTTTCCCACCACATCCCGGCGTGACACCGCGAGCACGTCGTTGCAGCAACAGAGCCACGAAGAGGAGCATCTCCCAGACTGACGGCGAAAAGCAAAGAGAAGGAGCAATTCCCAAGGCGGACCAGACTGCAAAAGAAAGGCTTGTTTTGGGCATCGCTGGGCAGCGGACCAAGAGTTCGACGCTTCTTACTGGCTGGACTAGGGAGTCAGTCTCCTGCAATCCACGCCGCCGCTCGTTCACCTAGCTCCCCCAAATCCGGTAGCGCCGGCTCTTAGCCGAGATCAGAAACCTCGACGTCGACTGTGGCGTCGAACCAGATCCGCGCCCGTTGAGCTTCTGACTTGACGCGAGAGTAGCGAGCAGGCGTGGAGGATTGGAAAGTGGGCTTGGGCTAGACGACGACTGCGGAGAGGCCGTGACCACTAGCGCTCTCCCAGAGGCACTCCCGCCCGACCCACTAACCCAAATATTCCTCCCATTCCACCTGGACACGGCCACTGTCGTTCTGGTTCACTTCTTCATATTCGCTCTTCACCTTCCCAGCCCCGTGCGGCCCCCCGCGACTGCGACATTCGAGCCACGCGGTGGGCATTTTGTCGACTCTCCTGGACGGATCGTCTTCCTGGTTGGCTGGTCCAGCAGCTGCATAACGCTCGCAGGACTCTCAGGCGATTCTCTTTGTTCTCGGTCCATCCTACCGTGGTTCGGACCAGCATCCGTGCGGCATTGCGGCCAGCATAGCGCTATCCGGAATCGTTGAAGGGTGAGAGGTCGGCTTGGGAGGGCTCTTTCAGCAGACTGGGGGTTTCTGGTACGCCAGTGCACCCGGGCCAGAGCGCAAAGGCAGTTGCCTGCGCCCGGCGCTACGCCATCCTCCCGCTCGACAGCGGCGGTCCGGTGCGGACAACAGTCGTCCCAGGGCGTACCGTCTGGTGCTGGTTCTCGCTGGGCGTTGACAAAACGGAGCGACCACCACCACCACCACCTGGCAACTCATCCACTCCCAACGGCCTTGCCCTCCCTCTGCGCAGGCAGCGTGCGGTCTGCACAGGCGTCGACACAGCGCCCGCGGTTGCACAGGCACCTTCGAGCGGCGCGGCAATAGTGCTCATGGGTGTGCCAGCCACGGTTGCTCCTTCTTCTTCCCGGCCCAACCGTGATATCGTCCCTTCCCCACAATCGCCAACGCGCCTGCAGAGATAGGCCGAGCCCTCTTTCCCCCAACCGGCGCTTTCCCCTTCTGCACCGCTTCTGCTGCTCGTTTGGGCGTCCGCTCGCTACCGTCTCTCCCCGACCCACCCAGCGCCACCCTCAGCGCCCAATGCTTTTGTTCGACATCATCGGTCAGCCCTCTCCAGCATCTCCTACCGGCACAGCCTGCTCCTGAGCAGTCTTCCAGACATATCTATACCCGGCGGTCCCCTCCACCTCCGGCCAGTTTCCCTCGACTCTGTGTTGACCGTGTTCCAGAGATACACAGACTGGTCCTTCTAGCCGCGGGAACATCGCCATCTCACAGCATCATCAATTCAATCTCTCCATGATCCTCGGGCCTAGCCCACGTTGCATTTGTCCGACAACTCGCTGAGCCAGGTACCGTGGGCGCGCTCCGGCTTCACTCTATGTACCCTTATACCTCCCCCGCGAGTCTCTATCACCAGCCCGCGGTGTCGAGCCACCACATTCCGCTGCGAAGGTACGAGAAGAGCCCAGCGCCAGTACAACGGACGCTCTCCATCAGCATCAGGACCGGCGCTAATTCAAAAACCCCCAGCACCGATATCTCTCTAACCCTACGCCAGCAGCCCAAGGAAGCGCTGGTGACGGCAGAGGGCAAGGAGAAAGGTGCGTAGTCCCCTGTGAAGCCTTCCGGCCAGTCCCACTGACATGGACCAGCGCGGAAACCCGTGGACCCGCCCCCAATTATACAACTCCATGTCGAGCAACGCGCGGACCCCCCACAGTGAGTGCATTCATCAAACCGACCATACTGCCTAGCTAATTCACGACAGACATTTCCTCCAGAGCCCGTATCTGTTTATGTGCACGAGTCTCTGGAAGGTCGACAAGAACGAGCCTTGGGATGGCGTCGGAAACAAGTCCTTGGCCGGCTCTCTAGTGTCGTCGCTACATAGGCTCAAGGATATCGACAACAAGGATGGAGGCTTCTTTGTCTTCGGAGACATATCAGTCAAGGTGCAGGGGACCTTCCGCCTGAACTTTAGCCTCTTCGATCTTCACAAGTAAGCAGGCCAGTGCCGTCACCTTAGCTAGGCCAATCACTGACTACGTGAAGAGATACGAACGAGGTGCAATACCTAGGAGGCATCACTTCTGAGCCGTTCAAAGGTATGCCAACGCCAGGATACCCACCTCGCTTTCCTTCGCTAATGTGTGCTAGTACTGCTGCCAAAGGACTTCAAAGGAATGGAGGAGTCGACCTACCTTTCAAGAGCGTTCTCAGATCAGGGTGTTCGATTGCGTCTTCGCAAAGAGCCGAGGGCGATGATGGGCAACAAACGACCCTTTCCGTACGGCCCGGACGCGCCCATCTCCAATACTCCTATCAGGCCTAACATGCAGGAATACTCCTCGTACGGAGACGAGTCGACATCGCCGAACAAGCGTTTCCGCCCAGACACCGAAGACCGCAAGGAGCAGTACTCAGATCATACCGGAGCGACCAGCTCGGGTTTCTCGTCGACCTACACGACGCCACAGTACCCAGTCCGGAATTCAAGTCTCTCCAGCGCATTCAGCATGTCGCAATACCCGACCTTCGGTGGTCTGACCACTGGGAGCACGTCGCCCTACCAGTTTCGTCCTAGTATCTCGAACTCGTCAAGCTTCTACAACGACTCCTTACTCTCGACATCGAGCGCCGGCCCCGTCTCTGCCCCCATGCCCCCACAGCAACGGTATAATGAGTTGCAGCCATCATATACCGGAATGTTCTCAAATTTTGCGCCGCATCGAAGCACACCCTCTTCGGCACTTGCATTCTCGGACGATGCTGCCGGCCTTGGGAGTTACCGACCAACATCGGGCGTGGCTCTAGGCGGGGAAGATCACCGGCCCGCAACGGCTGCCGGAATTTCTCCGCCCATGTCGATACCGCAGGCGCCGCAGTCGCAGCCATCTACACACCAGTCTCATGACTCTCTTGGTTCTTCCAGAGGTGCGTCCTATAGTCACTCCCCTGAAATGGTCCGGACATCGGGCTATTCAGACCGCGTGCAGCTAGGCACACAGCTGCACAGCGCAAATCGCTCCGCAGCGCGTCTTGACGACCATTTCCAGAGCAACGTACCGGTATACCAAGGTCAAAGGAATGCCCTCCAGGTCCCTCCTTCAGAGCCGAATTTGACAAGTCATACAGATACTGGAGCAATCCCGCCTTCCCTGCACTACAATCCGGACTTGAGTCAATCCACTGAGGCGCACAGTGCTAACAGTGGGTGATGACAGTTCCAGCTCGTCGCGATAGCGCTACCTTCCCCGAGCAACTCGAATACTAGGAGGGCGGGAGTGGCTGCAAATCGGCTCGGCGAGGTGCTGTGCCAGCTTGATACCCTTAGAAGGCGTTACGGACCGGCAATAGGAGTTTACGAGGGGCTGAAGCCCTTCGGGGGCCTAGGCAATGACTGTACGTTTCAGGCGGGGGGTTCCGTGGGAGGGTAGGCTATTTGATTTCGCTCTTGTTCTCTTCTTTACTTGTATTTGTTGCGATGATTGTTACTGCTGATTTAGAGGAAGGAGGTGGGGCTCTAAGGGCTTCGGGCAACCATTTCATGCATGGGGTTAGGCGCTCGGGAGCACTGGAAGGGAAAATGCATATGGGGGCACTACACTAATGGGGATGTCATGCACTGTTATTGATAGGATGGATTTTCGGCAAGCTTTCGAGCAGGGAGGATGGTTTCTCGCATGGCATGTATGTACGCACGCTCGAAGTCATGAAGGCGTTTGCTGATAACACTTGCTTCTGCCAATGCACCTGCCCCTGCATCAGTTCCTGCCACAACCGGTAGCACTAGCCAACAAGCAAGCTTTCCCCTCCCTTATCATATGACAGCCTCCAACCCGAGACGCTTTTCCTTAGTTCAAACCTTCTAAGGTTACCTTTCACATGTCTGCACGCTCCCGACCCAATCAGCACTAACGCATCAGCCTCATGTACGTCCTCATTGCCCTTGAATGCATAATTCCCTCACGACGCAGCATCGAAGCCCGCACCGACCACCTGCTCCCCGCCATATCGGAGCGCCCCTCCGACGCTGGTGAACTGGCCAGCATGTGAAATCACTAGCTTTAGTCGCTAGTCTGCCGCATCATCACCCTCGGAAGCCGGATAATTTTCACATTCAGGTTCAGGCGCGGAAAAGCCGCAAATGCCCGCGCTGGAGCCACGGATCGCTTCCGATTAGGCAGATTTGGGTTTGCATAGACTCAAGATAGAGTTTGGAGCGGCGCTGGCTGGCGCTGCGCCACGCTGGAGGGGACCACGCAGTTTTGGGGTTAGTGAGGGTATGACGTGCATGAGGAGGTGGTCAGGTGATTTGGCGTAGTTGGGATGGGGCGTGTGATTGGCTGGGCGGCGGATGAGAGTTGGGACGGTTTTATTGTGTTCGCAAATGCGATGGGCGTTGAGTATTGGGAAGATACAAAGGATTCGTGGTCTTGTGAGGTTACCGAGGAAGAGATGCAGAGGTTAGGTGCTTCTTAGGTGTTCATGAACGTTGCTAGGGCGGAGGCAGCGGCCCGATCGGGAAACCTGTTGAGGGTCATATCCTCGGCTTGGGCTAACGAACCGACCTTCCCGCTTCAACCTCAATAACCGCTAGCTGTTCTTTTCACGCCACATGATGCCATATGCGCAGGACCTAGGTGGGGATAGCGATGCCAACATACATTATCAACGAGACAGCTAATGGGGGAACGATATGGTAAGGTTGTGAGCGTCCAAGGTCTAAGTTCAAGACATCAAAAGTTCCTGGATATGAATAGAAAATCTTTAATGGTTTCCGCGGAGTTCGCATTCCAATTGTAATTTCTTTTCACGGCGCGTAGCCTTCGCGTAGCTTGATGGCTTCTAACAAAAAGTGGGCTCGTACTTAATAGTTAAGAGGGAAATCGCTTACACATTCGCAGCGCTGCTCGAAGCAGTAAAACCCATTCCTTCCGTCGTTTTGCACGCTTACACATCCTTGGCTGGTTTAAGGTGATAGCATCAGCGGCACGGCCCTCCCGCTCCTGCCGGAGACCGCGAGTGGCACGAGCAGAAACACACTCAGCGAGTAAATTCGTATTAGATGCTTAACACATTATGCTATATGCTTCATCGTAGAACTGCAGTACAAGGTGGCCTCGGTACAGGTTGAGGCCGAAGCGTAACAGGGGTCAATGTTGGCTTTGCTGATCCTATAACGCTTTTTCGGGAAGGCGATAAGTATGCTGCGGAACAGCGCGGAGTTCTAATGTGGTAGATTCCGAGGTGGGTTAGCTGTTCGGGCTAGTGGTAGAAGTATAGAGGGTGGGTATAAAAGCCTATTTTAATGCCCTGTTCCATCTCTCCACCAGCAGCTCAAACTTCGAACGTTTCCCTACTCTAGCTACCTTCCAGCACTCATAATTCTAAGCTATGTATTTCAAATCCCTTCTCCTCTCTCAGTTCCCCTGCTTCACCTCCGTAACCGCCCAAAGCCCCGGCGACCCGGACTTCTACAACACGGTCGCAGAAATCTACTCCGGCCCCGGCTGCGCTGAAGAATACTTCGTCTGGGCGGATCCCATTTTCGGTCGCGGAGGCATGTGCCAGAAGCTCGATCGGAACGATAACACGCCGGATATTTTAAGTTATAAAGTTACTTCGCAGTATCCTGGGTGCTCTGGTAAGTGTTGCTTTGACGAATTACCGGGAGGGAGAGGTGTGACGGAGCACTGACTTATTCGTAGCGACGCTTTATACGGATGATGGATGTATGAGCACGCCATATCCGGCGCCGGTGGGCGAGTGTGTGCAAGGCGCAGATGGGGCACCTTTTGTTGTGGCGTTTGTGGAGTGTCCATTCTCGTAGAAAGTGTGACAATGGATCATGTAACAGAAGGAAGATGAAAAGCAGAGTATGTGTGTACACTAAGGTTGGCTTAAAGGCATCGGATTCTTACCACCAATATCTCCGAAAAAGGAGGCATCCATGCCAACGCCTTTGGGGTACTCGGATAGTAAATAACCCGTAGTTAGCCGATACAACAAGCACATAGCTAACCGTGGTGCAAAAGGATCGCTTAGTGCTCTGCAGAATAATGTCAAATCTCCGGTGCCACTAACATATTAACGGTACACCTAATATCTGGATTCTTTCCGCTACCTCTCCTTTCTCCTCTGGCCTGGCTTCTCCGTCTTATTAACCCCTGCATACCTAATACAGGTCTTCAATAATGCAGCGCATCCGTTGGACTACCTAATGTCAGCAACTCCTTCATCGCATCCTAAATCTTTCTTCCATTGCCCATTGATATATCTTACTCTATAGCCTGGAGAACATCTAGGGTATACGTGGCTGCTTTTCCCGTAGCACGTGCTGAAGGTATCTACCTTCTCCTTCGTTCCTCTGGATCGTGTATATTTAATCCTTCCAGCAAGTCCACGAACGTGTTTATTCGAAAAACCAGAGATTCTTCACGACTTCGCATCTAAATGTTAAAAGGTTTACCATATTTGTCTTTCCCTTCGAGATAGATGCCAAGCCGAGCAGCGCGATTAGTCCTCATACTTTGTTCCGCACAACCATGTGGATGCTGACCGGAAATAAGGTTATATTTGACAAACACAACGGCTCCATGTTCAAGATGAACTACTTTTCGGCTGATTCCAAAGATCTAATGGGATACAGAGAAGCTCTGGCGCTATTTGTCGCACCGAACAGTACTGCTTCTCCCCTGTGCAGACTTTTGTGCCGATCTTTGGCGGGTGGTCTCTGCTCTACTTAACTGACTCACTCGTATTTTGTGTTTGTACAACTCTCGTAACAAAGGGTTCAGCGAAGTTTTTAAGGCGAAAAATTCTTGTCGGAGCCTTGCGTAGTACGCCAGGATTGAAGGATCCTCGGAGTGGTAGATGTTATCGCACATCTTACCGTTGAATAAGATTGCCCTGGATGCTCTGATAGAGTAGTAGGGCAATATTTAGGTGTCTGTCTGCGTAAGGTGCTAGTGTCCCCTCTAGAAGATAGGCTCGTAGCGCAATTTGAGTGAGGGTTTGAAGTATTAGACAGCACCACATCTCTAGTAGGCTTAGAAGAATATAATCTACACCTTCTTCGATGATAGCGAGAAAGACAAATTCTTCTTTAACCTCAAGCTCCTTATCTGCGATTCCTAGGTCCCAGACGTAGTAATGTAGACTTCGATTCCGTGCTTAATATTTCGGATCTCTATGGTTCTTGAGTCTGTCCAACGTAGAGGTAGAAGCAATATGGATTATCCTTTTGCTAGAGAACATGAAGGTATATTCCTTTCTTCGCTGGCTTACCTTCGATGGCCAGGAGACTAACTGTCCGATTAGGGGTATGTTTTGGTGTGAAGATATATATGATGTTAAAAAGCTTACCTATCGCGAGTGTATGGTTTTGAACGTAATATGCCCCATGCTTGGGGACACAAAATATTTTCCATCTTCTGCATGATATCGTCTTGAAAATGCGACCTTAAATAGCCGCCGTATCTGTCACCATGACGTTCCTGTACCTTCTGTAACATGTGGCGCAGAATATCCACTGGATCCGGTGGGACAAAGCTGCTCTTTCTATGGTCCAAGAGCGTGCATTCACCTTTTACCTATTCTCTTATTCTGGATTTCTCATCACACCTCATTCCTTTGTACTTCGTTACGGGCTGAACTAAGAGCGCATTCTTATCTACACACATGCCTATTTGCTGAGACATTTCTCTCTTGGCTAGAATTGAGGGCGGCTTTGGGTTAGATATCTCTAGTGGCCAATCTTTATCCCTGGAAAGGTTTGACGATGTATTAGAGTCATAGTATCTATGGGAGGTTACGAGAGCAAGAGGAGCACCGGGCCTGCTAGCTATGGGGACAAATCCCTGTTTGAGTATAACCCGTTTAACTGTAAGCTGTTTCGTAGTGTCGGTTTTGCTGCTCGGCTTGTTCTTTTCGTTAAACCTTAGGACAGTGGATAATGGAACTAGCGATTGGCTTTGGTACACGATTAATTTAACCCTGTTGCGTCTATGAAGGGAGTCGCAGTGCAGGTTAAGATATGAGACTGGTTAATCTAACATGCTATTAGTATATATTGTCTACTTTGTTTTATGCAGTTCTACGCCTTGGTATTTTCGTTGGGGTTGTAGATAAGGCTAAGCCGCAGATAATTTTATTTGTGAAGTAGGGCGATACTTAAGAGAGATCGGATTGGTTAAACTAACCGAATTGGCAGGCAGGCACACAAATTAGGTATCAAGTCACTATAAAGAGTTAGGGCTTCAAAGAGAGACTAAGAGAGTAGTAGCATTGCTTCAATTAATCAGCATATATATATATCAAATAAGAAAAAAAATCTCGTCAGAAAACAACGGTCTCTTAGCTCAGTTGGTTAGAGCGTGGTGCTAATAACGCCAAGGTCGCGAGTTCGACCCTCGTAGAGACCAAAACTTTCTTTTTCTTTTTCTTATACTACATCGCTGTGTCTCTTTTCCTTTTGTTTTTAATCCTCTCTAGCTGTTATTCTATCTGTATTCTCGCGCCATGTGCCCCTTAGTACACTACCCAGTACCTGCCCAGTATTTTTATGCAAGTAGGTAAGCTCTTTAGCTATCTAGTCGTACGCATAGTTAATCTATAAGTATAATATAATACACAGCCTGTTAGATTTTGGCAAGCAGGCTCAGAAGAATTGCGGCTTGGCTGTCTGCCGCCATTCCAACATCCTCCACGTTGCTGAAAGGACACATCGCTCCTTGTAACGCAGAAGTCTCTGTATTTACATTCACCTCCCCTCCTCCTCCCGCCTCCCTCTCCCAAACATCCTCCTCAACCAACCTCCACCTTCCCCTCGCGTATCATCCTGCTCTTCATTACCTCTTTCTCGTCTCCTCTCAGTATCACTTCCGGGCCTTTGCCGCGCCTCCTCCATCCCCTCCTCCAACGATCCTACCATCGCCCACAACCCCAACGGACTCAGCCTCTGACCACCGTACAAGAGAGGGCCCGGCGGTCTCTCAGGTACTCTGAACAGCCCCTGCCGGCAAGTAGGACAAGTGTTGTGCTTCTTGAGCCAGAGCTTGAGGCAGACTTCGTGGAAGGCGTGATGGCATTTGCGGATGAAGACTGCTTTGGGGTTTGGGGAGAGGACATCGAGACAGATGGGGCAGTTGGATGGGCCGACGTCAGGGCGGGGTGTAGGGGTGGTTTCGGTGGTGGTGGTGGTGGTGGATACTTCGATAGGAATGCAGGGGATGAGAGAGTTTGCGAGGAAGGCTTCTTTTCGTTGTAGACGAGTCGCAGGTTTCGCTGCCCGCGGGCACGTATTGTCGGGCCGCGGTGGAGATCTGCCGTGTGTAGACATCTTCTCTAAGAGGTAAATGGAAAGATATGGGGAGGCTCCTATTCGGATATTTGATGATTATGCGAGGAACCTTTGAGTGAATGAAGGGCGGCGCGAGCACTCATGGCGGCATCGTGACAGTGGTTTGGTATCAGCCTGGCAGGGCGAAGTTGCGCTGTTCGGTGACTTGTTGAAGGTGTCCTCCATACCATTCGTGTTGTGAAGTGAGTAGTCAGCAAAATAAAGAGCGATAGGGTATGAACGGGTCAACATTAGAGAGGGTGATGCAAAGATGCTACTGCACTGGCCCTTGTGGAATAGTAATGCCTGTTGCTGATGCATTAGATACATTGCCCCGATACGCCATTAGCTCCAAAAGACACCTGACCTGGCTATGCATAGACAAGACCACGTATGCAGTTTGCTGTTCTCCATCGTCCTAAGCATCACCTGGCTCATTCTTCACCTTCCATCTTTTTCCGTCAGCTCATGTCTCTGCCCACCGAGCAACCGTAATGCTGGTCGTGTAAACCATGGCGCAAACGCCAATGACCATCATGGCGATGTCACCGGCTTTTACCAGTGCCGAAGTCGCGACACCCTTGAAGTGCAAGTAGGCCGGATAGATATACACCAACGGCACGCAGGCGAAACTTCCAATCAGCGCTACGAATTTGTCCAGGTCGCTCGCGCCGACAGCAGAAATGAGCCCTGCCAGTAGAACAATTGAAGTCCGGAAAATATTCTTCTTCCATTTGGTGAGGGAGCTCTGTTTGCCTGAGCGGTGACCGAAGATCTTCCCTTCAATGATACGGATGGCGGGGAAGAGCTGAACGGGTTCTCCGACCATGACCGCGGTAGCGTACAGGAACTGGACTGCGTTGACGAGCTTGCTGGTCTGCGGGAAGTTGGTGATGACTTCAACACTGACGCGCTCGCCAAAGGTACCATAGCAGAGGACGCCGACCGAGGTGAAGATGACAGTGATGATGAGCATCACAATCAAAAGCAGCTTGTTGAAGTTTTCCGGATGCTTCATGCTGGACTGAATAGGAAGGATCAGGCCAATACCCTCGAAGGTGAAGATCGCCGAGCCAATCGTGAGCGTGAAGTCTCGCGGGTTGAAGAGGCGAACCGTCTCGTGGAAGCCGCCCATCTGGGCAAGCCAGGAGACATCGTACCAGTATATGTACGTCAGACCAATTAGGATGAAGACGTCCGCGAGAAGTGCCGCAGGCCCGAGCTTTGATATGTTCCGGATGAAAGACATCGGAATGAGCGCGACAATTTGGATACCGATGAGAACGTTCGTGGAGAGTGGGATGTTCTTTCCCCGCGTGACAGCAGCGAGGAATGAGGAATAGTTTTCTGCCGTGAAGATCATTCCTGCGCAAACGAACCCGATCTGTGATATAGTGATGGAAGTGAGGATGAGTGACCGCAGCCTCCGACCTCCAACAGCGTGTCCGAGCTCTCCATACCCGCCGCCATATCGCGATCGACATTGAAGGAGTAAATGGAAGCACAGCATAGTGACCGCAGCCACTGTGACGAGGGTGATAGAGGAGAAGAGCATTCCACCGTTTTTGAATGCTTTCGGCAAGAACATGATTCCGGTGCCGATGAATGCTTTCAGTAGAGTGAAGAAGGACTGGACGTTTGAAGCGTCTCCTTGCTGCCCAGGTCTTTTGGTGCTTCGCCTGCGTCCAAGCAGCGGTCGTCGTTCGCCCTCCTCAGCAGCCTCCTCGTCTTCAATAGCCTCCTCATCTTCGGATTCGGCAAGATCTTCTCCGGCGAAGCTCCCGTACAGCTCCAGGAAAGAGACGAAGTTCCTTGTGACTGGTGCAGCGATGTAGCTGACACGGTCGCTCTGCCGCTGTAGGAACTGCCTTCTGAAACCTCCGGGCGCCAACTGCTCGGGAACAGGCAGCTCGTCATGGTCGACCTCGGAAGGTTCGTATTCCGTAGGATGCGAGAACGTCTTCGCTCGCTGATGGAGCTTGACTCGCCTGGCATTGGCCTGGATGCGGTACAGATCCCGGTGTATGTCGCCGCCTTGCAGCCGTAGCGACGATTCGGCTGTTAATTCCGGAGCGGACTTGGAAGAAGTGCCTTCCCCGACGGTTTCGGGGGTGGTGCCATCGAATTCGGCTGTGAAGCCAGGGTCCAGATGTTCGGAAAGAACCCTGGCGTCCTGAATATTTTGCTCAGGATTCCTAGTAGGGCTGTCCGACATTTTGAAGCGGTGCTCCCCAAGAGGTAGCTGAGACTGCGCGCGTTGGAGACAAACTGGCGAGACTGAAGATGTGTGTAGGTGGTGAGCTGGGCCAATGACGAGAAAAGTCAAAAGGTGGTACGTGCGCCTGACATCACAATGCTCGCGCTCAGTATCGCGGGTATCACAATAATCCCCAACGCCGTCAAAGCAGGGACAGAGACAGAAAGGCAGATCCCACGGGAGCGACTGAGGGTGTTGGAGAAACAAGGGGAAAAAGTAGGCTTTAAACGCGAAGCTTGAAGCAAAGATGCTGGAACCTTCAAGATCTGCAGGGCTAGGCATTTGTGGGGAAATGCTATGCCTTTTATGGTAAAGTCCGGCAAGAGTACTGCACGTGATGTTCCCACGTGGCGCTCTCCGTCGCGATGCGGTCATTGGTCGATAACCGAGCAGCGACAAGCCTGGCAGAAGATACCGGGTTAATCAATTCACAATATCGGCATTGGGATTCACCCATTAGCCCGCAGTGAACACGTTTCGTCTCGTCCCGGCGCGGAGCTTTTTAAGCCTCACAAGGGAGCCTGCTGCAGGCCTCAGACTTCACTCCTCAACCTCCCTCATCATGGCCCCTCCAGGATTTGCCCCACCGGGGTACACCAAAGAAGGCATCCCCACGCGCTATATGAACAAGCCAGCTCCGCCGCCGGGCGTCGATACCAATGGTCGCGCCTACCTCGTCTTCTTCGGCTATCTGAGTCTTTGCTTCTCGTTAACTGTGTTCATCATCCTCAAGCTCGTGAAGAGCTATACCAGACTATCTAAATCCACAACTGCACGACCACCGCCAAGGGGATATGTGCGGCTGTTTGCTGGTCTCGCTGCAGGCAGCTTACTCACAACTTGGTGGTATATGCTTCAGTACTTCAGGACCTCATACCAAGCATGGCTCATGTGGCGGTCATACTACGATCTCGAGCCGCATCAAAGGCATTGGGGACTGTGGCTGAAAGAAACGTCGCTGTTCAAGGAGGCTTGGGAAATTGCAATTGTGGGCAACGCGCGGTACTGGTGGACACACCAGATATTCTTCTTTGCTTGCGGCCTCGGGCTGTACTTGGAGCAGAAAGGTATGCCTGCATAGCGCTTGCGTCAATCCAGTGCTGACGACTTAAGGGATCCGTCGAGGCATCAAGCACACCTGGGCATTCATGCTGCTGGGTCAAATCGTCGCCATCAGCTTCGCCACGAACCTCTTCCTCCTTGCTCTTCTTCTGAGCCCGCCACCACCGCCACCACCCTCGTCGGCCGGGATCTATAGGAAGAAGTGGCTCGGCCCGTGGCTCATAAGCCTGCTCACGATCATAGCAGCCGAATGGCCAGCTTATATGCTCGCCGACGAGCACTATTGGTACCATAGGACCCAGTTCGTGTCGATGCTCCTGACCCCACACATTGCTCTCCTTATTCTACCCTTCGCCCGCGCCATCATCCCCGAAAAATATCTCACCGACTCGAATGTGGAGCTTGTGGGCGACGTTTACAGGTATCTATGGGTCGCGACTATTGTTGGTGGTGGGATGATGTTCGTACGGGTGACCGGTTTAGCCTGGAGTTACAGTGGCGTCTGGGGCATCTACGACCAGCTATGGGAGCACCCAGCTGTCAGCAGTGTCGCATTTGACGTGATATTTTGCTGGATTTCATGGTACATGTGGTGGAAGATACAGAGGCAAAGCGGCAAAGATGTACCTGGGGCAGAGGAGGCGGATAAGGAAGGCGAATGGGTTGCCGAGAGCTCCGGGACGACGGCCGCGGGGGCACGAGAGGATGACAGCGGGGTGCGCAGACGCTGAAAGGACTCGCGGAGGAGAAATAGGTCCAGCTTGAAATTGAGCTTGAGAGCTCGATGGCGATCTCGTTCGGCGAGATGTGAATGAGGAGACGAAGATCTCGTATCGGGCATGGGCGTGCAGAGATTCATAGAGTGTGTCAGCGTCCAACACCTAAGACCCACCATAATAGAATCATATTAAAAGTCCTATTCTCCGCTCAAGTATTCTTCTGCCTGATTCCCTTCCAGTATCCATCGATACTATGCCCGCGTTCGTCATTGCTTGTAGGCGTTGCTACCCACGAAGCGGAAGAGCAATCCAATTCATCACGAAAAGACTGAAGGCAGTGGTACGGTTGTCTCAAGCTCATTGAGATACAACCTACCACAGTGGTAGAAGGAGTGGTTGACGATCAGACGCGACGGACCGAAATGCCCGCGAACCGGTCCCTTTCCCGCTTAACTAAATTGAGCCTAGTTGATTTTGGAGCTCTCCAAGCTACAAAGGTTTCCCACGTCCTCTGTCCAACGCCTAATCTCTCCAGCAGAGAGGCTATGTCCGCAAGAAGCGGCCAAGACACCAGTACATCACCCCAAGCATGAGAAAACATGAGTCAATCACATGTCTATCGAATCGCCCGAAGTAGGCGCTGAATAATCACTCAGCGCCGACATCCAATACTCTCGATATTGCATCACCGCCACCCCAGCCTTGTACCTCTTCTCACAATCCGCTATCGACAATTATCGATTTCGTAAAAATAAACGATCTTCGACGAGGCGGCCATGGCGACCGTTGAAAGCTTCACCCGATACGGGCCTGCCACAAAGCTTCACTCGCTTCTGCAGCGCACAGATCTATGATTTCCCTATCCAAGACAAATTTTGCGAATTGGGAAAGACTCGGCCTGCGAATACGAGGTGCTCGCTGGATAGTGCGAACTTGAGTTCGGATGCGTTGTGCCATAACGTCACTTTCCGGGGTTGAGAGCGATCGACAGAGGTGCTCGTGACCTCTCTATGCACCTATCTAAATAACGATACTAATCAGCAACGCTAGAAAGTTGATCAAAGGAAGTGGGGTTGCAAAGTGGTATATAATGGAGAGGGCTTGCTCCTGACCGTTCCATCACGGTGAGAATCTACAGAGCTTCGAAGTATTTGATCTCGATACCCCAGCCAGACCTACCTTAGTCACTCGCTTCATACACCCATAGACAAGATCAACATGAAACTCGCGCTTCCAGCCCTCTCTCTAGCCCTCGCAGCATCGGTCGCCGCCCAATTTTACAATGAATCCGCCGCGTTCCAGCTTGTTCTCATCTCAGACGACCCCTCCGTCAACGGCGATACCCTGTCCGCCTGCCACTCGGGCGCTGCGATCGAAGCCCTCTGTCTCTCAAACAGCAACACCACGTCCAAACCGGATCCCATTCCCGCCGCGTCCTTCCATTTCAATTTCTCCGATTCCGTCGTTACCCCCAACGAGACGCTTGGCCAGCCCGGCATCCTAACTTATTGGCTCCAAACATCAACAACACCCATCCCGTCCGCAGTCGAACTGTACTCTGACCCTACGACAAATACCGCCATTCCGCTCTTCTATCCCGGTGCGGATCGCGCGACCACAATGGCATTTGATGAGAACGACATGCTGAATATCCAGGGTTATATCAACTACTCCACCAGTCCGCCTACTGCAGGTAATACCACGGCGTATTATAGGTGGTGGGCCTGCAGGATCTACTATATAGGGTACACGTATGAGGCTCTTGTGTGGGTGGAGGGACCTGGGGAGCCGGAGACGCCTAGATGCGCAAAAGTTGGAGTTAAGAGGGTCTTCATCTGAGAAGGAGGAGATCTCGAAGACTCTTTCTGGGACGATCGTCGTTGGTAGTTTGGAAAGGCAAAAGACGTAATGGCTAGATGTGATGGTCGACGCGACGTATGATAGTAATGCTTAAAGAATAATTCATGTGAACCCTACTCGTTTTCCCAATTACAGCCGGAGAGTCTAGACGCGAAGAGACCTACGCTACTCCAGGCGCCACTCGTGCGGCCAACGTTGTCGAATAGCACATTACTCTCCCTGAAGCTCTTCAGAGGGCGAAGATTGATCGTGAGTCTCAGTAGAGCCTCACTACTTTATCCACCTGAGTGTTAGGAGCTTTAAGGTAGCTCATATCACAAGCGTCTAAGTAGGCTTGATGCATACAACTCCTTCCATATTCGCAGAACGAAATGTCGATCCCCTTTCTGTATCCGAATTACGCACATCACTAGTCTTCGGGAGTGAAAGCCACTATTTGTCTGCGCAGACTGTATTAGAAGAGAAATCTGAGAAAGTATCTAATCGTTGAACGAGCGGACTACTTTTCGCGACATATGAGAAACCGTCCACTTGTGCACCCCAGCCAAGTTTCTACCACTCCTCTTCATCCCATGCGTCATCTCGGTGATGATACACCAACCTTCACCTAAAATTACTGTTCCCCTTGTCAGTCACTGCATGAGGTTTCCCTAGGGAAGATTTAAGAACTTACCTGGCAGTAGTAGATGCTACGGCAAGAAAACCCACTGCCGGAGAAGTGCACCCTCTTATTATCCTTGCGGCACGTAAAGCTGCGGAATCCGTTGGACCCCGAACCCGCAATGGTGAAGTCAGCCTGACTCTGTGCATTCTGCACAATGCTGCTCGTGAAAGTCACACCGCTGTTGAACCTGCAGCTGATTGAGCGGCCCTCCCAGGTGACGAAGCTGCCGCCTTGCACACCACAGGCATCATCGTAGCCGCCATTGGCGTCGTGGCCGGCCTTGTAGTAGTAGAAGTAAGAGCCATAGGTGCCGGCTGGGTCGCAGTTGGAGAGGATGACGGTCTCGGGGGCTTGGCGCTTGGAGAGCGAGGCAGAGGCACTGGGAGCGGCTGGCGCGTTGTCGATGACTACGATGTCGGCGTCGACCGGCCCGGTTGGCGGTGTTTGCTCAATGGCGAGCGCGGAGAGGAAGAAGGTGGAAAGGAGAGAGAAGGTGGTGAGCTTCATTTTGGATTGATTGAGGAACTGGGACTGAGAGTCTCGGAAGATGCTTCTGGAATGTAGTGATTGTGTGTCGAGTGTGCGGTGATGGAACATCGGCTGGGAAAGCAGAGCGTCTTTATAGTCGTCTTCAGCTGACTTTGCATTGACGACATATTCATGTCTTCATCTGATCTTAGAATCAATAGTATCGAGTGCAAGCACCGTACCAGATCTAGTAGGTGTCATACCATACTTGGAGCTTGATAACTGGAGGCTGAAGCTCCAAGCTCCTTCGTGAATTGTCGACCGGGGGGGCCGATACTGCCTTGAGGCATACCTCGACGAGAGTTGCGTTGGCGATAGATGAAAGAAGCCTAGTGCATGCATGCATTTGAGAAGAAGGCAGAGCCCGGAATAGGGTGTAGCCGGTGTTCTCACCTCCTAGTCGAGAGCTCTACACTGCTCAGCCGAGGTATGGTGGCCTTTCAATCTGATTGGGAACTCAATTTACACTGTGCTGGCGTTATACTCGTGTCAACCTCGGTGGTGAGAGTAATTCGTCGGTATGCTGACTGGTTAATTTGCAATACGAGAGCTGGAAGTTAGGCGAGTCGGACCCCAAACATTGACACAGATGGAATAAGGAACTGGGCATACACGAACCCATATAAATCTGATTAGTGAGCAATGCTTGTAGTCTTCTCAATCGTGTGGTGAGCCTTGAATGATGGTTCTCGCGAGCGCTGAGTGGCTGGAGCCGAGTAGGATGTCCAAAAAGGGTGCAACTCTGTCACCGGTCTAGGGAGATGGTGACTTCGCAGTCGGCCGAGCGTGATGACGCATCAGAACCCGTGGTTGATGCGAATGGGAGAGCTGGGGTCGCGCCATGACAACTAGGGTCCGAAAAGGCATCGCTTTACGAGACGGCGTCTATGGATTGACAGCGGATTCGCCGACCGAAACGGTATGCATCGGGAAGCCTCTTGCAGTTCAGTGCGCGTGATAATCTCGTTTAAGGACGAAGTCGAGCTGTCAAAGACGAGATGAAGTCGACATCAGGTTCTGCCCAGGCTTGAACCGGGAGCGGTGATCGGCTAGTGCCAGAAAGGACTAGCGTCTTCTCGTTCTTCCTCGACCTCAACGCCAACTCTTCTCGTCTTCCATTTCTACGAGAGCACCCTTTGTCTTGAAGCACTGAATCTGCCAGCATTTTTGTCGTATGTGCCGTGGATGTGCTAAAGCACGGTTACGTCACGGCTCTGGACCTAAGGAGCCCTTCATATGCCACTGCCACTCATCGTCAATAGGACGAGTATTCTCGACAAAAAACAAGCCGGCCTTTCTACTGCAGCACGGTTACACCATGTCAGAGAGCAACTTAGTGCAAAGCTAATTCATTTGTTACAACGTACGATGCTCTCGTCCGCCTCCAGGTATTCAAGTGATTGTTCCAATTAGCGACGGGCGTGGATGGGTGCCGCAGTGTCCGCTCAATTCTTTTACTCTACATTATCGAATTTCTAGATTCACTGAACAGGAAGGGCCGGACTTAAATGACGCCTTCCGGACCATCCGGCGCGACGCGTCGGTCCCAACCAGCAACGGCGATGCGGGAATAGCGGCTTCCGCATGTCGTCGTCACCACGATAGCTTCAACGATAGCTTTCGCTTATATGGGCCACTGCGAATGCAACCCCGTTGCTGAAGCACCAAGCTCGACAGTGTTAGCCAGGCGTCTTCAATCGTATGATTGAACGAATCCCGCCATTCGTTTGTTGTTCACATTCTTCGATGTCTCTTTCTATTGCCTCTCTGCTAGCCATTCTCTCTATCACCCGAGCCGCGTTCGCTCAGAGTCCAACCTCCGGTACTCCTTCAACGACCCCTATCGAGCCATCAACGAACCTAGAGTCCTACCTATACGACTATGGAATGACACTGGAAACGAGCCTCTTAGGAGCAGCCTATCCGACCAACCTGTCCTCGTCCTTGTCTCCTTTTTCGCCTACTTCCTCATCGACCTCCGCATCTCTAATAGCTATAACTGGAACTTCAAGTTCGACTCCACCTCAAAACGCCACCGCTTCTGCTAGCACAGCAGCTCACGCGCGACCTACGAATACACGACCATGCAATGGTTACGCGGAATTCTGCAATCGGAAATTCAGCAATGTCTCAATGGTCGTTGCGCACAATAGCCCATTCGTCGTTCCAAACAACGCTGCCAGCAACCAGGATCTGAAAGTCCTCACGCAGCTCGAGGACGGAGTGCGTGGCTGTAAGTGTGCTCGAATAGCGCTCCCAATTTTGAATGCTAACGACTTCCTCAAGTGCAATTCGAGACACATTATCCTAACGCCACTGTAGGGCTACGCCTCTGCCATACGTCGTGCGATCTCCTTGATGCCGGCTCCCTTGAATCGTACCTTACGATCGTCCAAGGATGGCTTGCTGCGCATCCCTACGAAGTCATTGCGATCATGATGGGCAACGATGCTCGCGTACAAGCGACTACGTACGTTGAGCCATTCCAGAACGCGGGCCTGATACCCTACCTATACATTCCACCCAGCGGCACTATGACGCTGGATCAGTGGCCCACTTTGTCTGAGATGATTTTGCATAATACGCGAGTCGTCGTTATGCTGGACTACCTAGCAAACCAGGCCGAAGTGCCCTGGCTACTCGACGAATTCAGCTACCAATGGCAAACACCCTTTTCGCCAACAGATCCCGCTTTCCCCTGCACGCAGCAACGCCCACCCAACCAGGCAGACACCGTGTCTAGAGATAAGGTATACATGCTCAACCATAACCTGAACATCCAAATCCCGCTCTTCGGGCAGGAGGTCCTCATCCCTGCATACACTCTGCTCGACGAAGTCAACGCGGTGTCGGGAAATGGCAGTCTTGGTTTGAACGTCAACAACTGCGCAGCTATGTGGGGCCGGCCACCAAACTGGTTGCTCGTAGATTACTACAATTTTGGAAGCTTCAACGGATCGGTGTTCCAAGTCGCTGCGACTGCGAACAACGTATCTTACAACCGGGGCTCCTGCTGCGGCACGGAAGTCACGAATGCCGCCAGACGAGATTCTGGGAACGGCATGGGGTCCGTTTACGCTGTTATAGGAGCCTTTTGTTTCCTCATCCTGCTGTAAGTTTCATGTCAGCGGACATGGAACTTTCTCGTTTCTGATTGCCCTGCTCACTCGGGACAGGTGGGCCTGGCATTACAACTGGTTGCACGCTGTCTATGTCTTCTGCAGCTTCTGCCTTTGGCACACTGGACAGACGCTGGCTACCTCCTTATGGTTTTTTGGGGTAAACGCGAGGGTTTGCATCGGATGCTTGGGCGCAAAAAAAGCTGTAGAAAAGCGCAAGGTGTTGATGGAGATGGATCAAGCGGTGTGATGTTTAATTTGCGCACGGTGGCTTCGGTTTGTACGGGTCTCAGTGCACCATTCAAGAACCTTTCTTCCCCTCCACTCTTGCATCTCGGTCACTCTTCTATACCTTCCCCGGCCCAGTGTGGTAGGAGGCGTTCCATCACACCTAAAAATTCACCATGAACCGCTCAAGGGGGAACGCCGTATACCTTCATCGTGCCAAAGTCAGTGCACGGTCGATCTCGCAACTCACGCTCTCTGATTCCACAGTCTATATAAACTACACTCGGCGCAAGCGTATTAGCACACAACTTCCTCAGTCTGCTCCATCTAGACTCGGCCCTTAATCAGGACTCGACTTAATCAATTGGCCATCACCATGGGTTTCAATCCGCACCCCCGTCTTCTTTCCCGCCTCGCGACTCTCAAGCGTGATGCTCGAGCCGGCGACGATTACGCATACACCCAACGCTTCACACTTATGACCCAATCGCCAGAAGAGGGCTCACTCATGTGGCGAGAAGACGTGTACCGGTACAAGTACGTGCCTATCCCCCAACAGGATGACCCTGTGGCTCGAGTCATCATCAGCATCAGCAAGGCACTTAAACGCGAGAACTGTGATTTCGCAAACGTCAGCATCAAAGTATGGGGCACTACGAGTGCACCGCCCATTTGGCCTCCCCAAGCATGTCCTCCAGGCCACTCTGTCAAGTTCTACACCTTCACGCAGGAGGCTCAGGAGTTCCCGCTCACGGTCCCGATAACTATCGTTCCGGCATTCGGCCCACTGTCCCCTGATACTCTCTATGTCTACCTGGGAAACTCGAAAGTGTGGACGCCGCTTAAGGAGTGGCTGCCTACAATTCCTGACCTGAATCCCATCTGCGCTCGCACCCCTCCCGAGATGACACGGATATGGCGGACACGCAACGGCCGAACGTTCTGTCTCATGGACCTACCATCAGAGTTACGTGCCATCATCTTCGAGTACACCCTCGGTCCTGAGATCTATCCGCTTAGCAAAGTGCCTGTGAGGCTGCAAGAGCGATCAGCAAACGCGCAAAGACGCGGAGATCTTCCTGGGTTTCGGCTACTCGAATAAACTCATGAATTCTGAGCCCTGCGTGGACTACTGCTCGCGGCCGCACGTCCAGGAGAGTCGCCCCATCATATAGCGTCCTAACTATGCCATCTTGCGCGCAAGCAGGCAGATCTACGCTGAGGCAATGCAGGCGGCCTGGCAAGGCACCACGAAGCATTTCACCGACTTCAACATCTTCACACTGGTCGCTGACACCGAAGCCGGACCCGCGGCGAAGTATAACTGCCTTTCAAGGATCCACCTCAGCTTCACGAACGTGGAGTGGTTCAAGTTCCTTGGCGTCCAAATCACCGCTGATGGCCTAGCTGTTGATGATACGCACTCCCTGGGCAGCTATCTCACCGAGGCGAAGCTGCCCAAGTTGACGTACCTCGAGATGCGCTTCCGCAACCCGGAGGACGGGACTATGGAGCCCGTGGGCGGATAATGGAAGGAGCGGTCTGCGTAACTGCTGCCACTGCACGTTTGCTTTCCCATTCGTATCATGGATTGCGAGAGTCAAGCTGGTCGGCTTTGTGAAGTGCGACACGAAGTTGAAGTGGGAGTACATTTTTGCACACGCTCACCGCGACGAACACAACCACGAGGAGGCCCTGCAAGCGGTTCTCAGCACGCCATCGTATCTCCTGCGAGTACCAACCCCTCGACGTCTTGAACCTGCAGTGCTAATTAATGTGATGCATAGCCCACCTCCATGCACCTGCCCGAAATCCTGCGCCCAGAAGCGTCGCACTCGATGGTACACGAAGCTTGGCTGGGAGCGTCGGGGTTTTAAGCCGGGCAACTCCTTCGACTTCGACTTCGAGGACGACGAGATCGAGAATGCTGAGTTGAATAAGTCGAATGGGTATACCGCGAGCAGACGGGGATATCCTACTAAGCGAATTCGGGACGAGATGGAGAATCTTGAGTAGGGGTTTGGCTCGAACGGTGGTTACACCCACCGGGTGACGACGTGTCTGTTATGAGGCGAGTTTTGTTCCACTGTAAACACCTGCGAAGGCCTCTAGGGTGGCTGTTACGCACGCCGTTATATCCGGACAATCCCGCACCGTAGGAGGTTGCGATATTATGAGTTAGTGGCAAGGACATGTTAGATAGCTTCGAGCAAGGCATATAACGTCCTGCAGAGCCTCGAGTTCCCACGACAATATAACGTCCCTATACACTCCACAGCGGCAATCAAGCACACCATGACCAACGCGACATCGCCATCCCAGAATGTCCCCTAAAACTTCCCAAAATCTATTAATAATTTCTTAATCCCTTTCAGGAAGTTTTTCCCTCTTCTTCTTCTCCACACGCACGCCAACCTCTTCCGCACGAAATTGACAGGGACGCGCAAAAAAGCAAGCTCTACATACATACCTTCCAAGAGACCCATCAAAACTTCCCAAAACTTCCTAAAATCCATTAATATTTATGTAATCATAATCGGGAAGAATTAGCCCAAAAAAATGCGTACAGACCGCAAAAACAATCCCATTAGCCCGTACGATGCATCTGCCAGGGAGGGAGACGGAAGGCAAGATGTGTACTTGCCTGATTTCCAAAGTGGGGACCAAGCCTCGCGCGCAATGGAGCCGCATGCTCATCGAATTCTCTCTCACTCGCATAGATGACGTCAAAAGGAGAGGGGAGGAAGAGCACATGCGCATCGCGATTTTGCAGTTTCCAATATCCCCAAGATTAGATTATGGCGGACCAGATCTACAACGTTCATGCCCCAATAGTCCTCATCACCGGCAGTCCAACCCAATCGTGACAATACCCAGATACCCAATGCTAATACTCAATACCATGACCAAAGGAGACTCGTCGTGCCGAGGTCCAGGACTACAAAGCAATACAAGACAAAAGCAGTGTGAGCTAGGAAGCCCACCTGCATCGGGTATCAAACCGCTAGAAACAAAAGATACGAAAAAGAGGATGCAATAGTAACAAGATAGAGATGGAAAAAGGAGAGATCGTGAGTAGCCCGTAGCCAGAAAATAGGAGATGGAGGGTAGACGCCCGACGCGACCGGCATGATATCCAGAAGACCAAAAGATGACGGGAGATAGGAAGTGGAGGTGGGCCGTTCAGTACCTCAGTGTGTCGTAGTCCCTCATCCCACCAAGGCTGCCCCAAGCAGCAAGCACGTCTTCGCTGACACTGCATCTCGTGCTCGCTGTGCCCACAGCCACAGTCTCCTTCTTCATGCTCGCCATGCTGCTGACGCGGCTCGCGGCCCGGCTTGACCTGCGCTCCCGCGTACTAGCGACGGGTGAAGATGTGCGGGAAGATACAATACTGTTATGCCTGCTTTTAGGAAGAACGGTGGTAGATGCGGAGAGGGAGCTCTGCCGCTGTGGGCTCTTTTTGGGTAGCTTTGGCTGGGGCATGGCATGTTCAAAGATGCTTGGTGTGCGAGATGAGGGCCGGGACGAAGCTTCAGAGAACGGAGGAGGGTCGCAGGATTCGCGGGTTGTCAGTTTTGATCCGAGGGGCGTTGGCACATCGGCTCCGCTAGATGCCGTGCGACGGCGTTGGTGGTGGGCAGAATTGGGTGGGTGCTGCTTGATGCTCCCCGAGGGCATATCGATGACACCCGTCTCAAGAACTGTGACTTCGTCATTGTCCCCATTGCAGGAGGGCTCGCTGCCGGCAACCTTTACGTCGACATCGTTCTCGCCGTGTCGTAGGCCTGGAGTAACAGGCGAAGGAGGATGGTCGGTAGTCGTTGGGGAGGCAATGCTCGCGGTGGGGGTAGATGTCGGGAAGGGGTCAAGAGGCGAGGATTCAGGTGGTGGGGATAGATGGTGTGCAAGGGTGGCTTGACTTGAGGGAGAAGGAGAAACCTGGCGTTCGGAGCCGGGGTCGCAGGACGAGCTGTCTCGGAGCATACTTGATCCCACGGCTGACTCGTAAGCTGCCTTAATAGGTCGACCCCGGGACGGGGCTAAAAGCAGCGGGGACGGGGAAGGAGCGAAAGATTTTCGGGCAGATTTTTTTGTCTCCACGACTCGCACGGGGCTCGCGGACGGGCTCTCTACCGAGAGGAAGGCAGACGTCCGATGTATTTTAGAGGTCATCTCGGGCGGTGTCTTCTGTCGGACGTCCTCTTGACCTATCGCAGTGTGGTAGCCTTCAGTCCAGCTCTGCTTTACCATCGCGGCTCGCTTCTTCCGCATCATCTCCAGCAGTGCCTCCTCTTCTGCAGTCACTGCCATCATCTTGTGCGTCATCTCTCCGCGGGGACGTGGCTCGCTCACTGAAGTGCGAATGCTGTGGGAAGACGGAGACAAGGGGCGATGAGCAGCTGTCTTCGGTCGAACGTCTTCATCCTCGGGTATCACAGACGGTTGCCTGAGATGGCTCGACCGCCTGCTGCTGCTATGATTCCTGGGGAAATGTTGTGGCGTGTAAGGTTCCGGGGTATACATAACCTCGATTGTCGCTGCATTTGTCGACGTGGATAACAGACTGAGCTTCCCCGCAGATGGTCGCCTTGAATTACGTGGTCGTACCTCATATGCTTGGGCCTGGCCGATAACGATATCTCCATGATCTTCCGTCATGTCTATGCTGTCGCGTACCGGTACCCTGCCCTTGGGACGCTTGACATGCTCATCTTCGTCCTCCGAGGACGAGAAAGACAGAACACTTGAATCCTGCAGGTTGCTCTTCGAGAAGGCCGATTCCTTGGTCCTGGTGGTAGCGACTGATGATTGGCTTTGCACGGAGAATTGACTTGGCGAGTTCAAGCGGTGAGCCATCGATGAGTTAGCGTGAATGAATTGCTCCTTCCTTGGGTCCGGAATGTATTGAGGGGCACGTGAGCCCTGTTGCTTTGCCATCCTGTTGTCTGGTATGAGCCGCCCAAGAGAGCTTTTCCGCATAGGAGCTAGTGGCTGTCCATTCGGGTTCACAGGTATAGGAGCAGGGACCGGGGTTTTTTGGTCATCTAGCAGTTCGTCGCTGTCCTCGTCTAGGCCTTCGAACCAGTGCTGTATTCCGCGAGGGGGTCGTCTAACGTTTATCTTGGCGTTGTCGTACGTGTCGCGCTTGTGCAACCGGACCGGAGACGTCGATCTTGGGGGTTGAGCCGAAGGATGCTGTCGCGTCGCGGGCTTCGTTAATTTTGCGTGACCCCTCGGGGTTGGAGTGGGCTCGCGCGTCATGGGGCGAGGGAAGTAGTCTGATACAGTCGACAAAGCTGTGGGAGAGTTTACCAGCTTGTTCGGTGAGAGGAGAGGACCGGCGGACCCCTGTCCTCCATGGCTCTTCGGCTTCGGGAAGAGTTTGGACAGATCCAGCCGTGGAGGTTTGCTTTTCCGGTGTTGCCTCTTGGCCTCATCTGATATTTCCTGGGCCAGCGGGCTGGGGACGTGATCGTGGTCGTATGTTCCTATCGGTGGCATCCCCCTCCTGAGCGCCCTGTCGCGGACCGCGGAGTCGGACGTCTGCTGCGAGATATATAGGGGAGACGTCTGGGGGTCGTAATGGGAGCGCATGGTGGAATTGGAGGTACTGGGATGCAAATGCCGGCTGACTGAGCTACAGTTCGATCCACGCCTTTCCTCCCCATTATACGTAAAGGAAGTCGGCAAGACGTTCGACGACGCGCGGTTCGACATGTTCGGCCGCCGTGGAGGTATCATGCCACTCTCCTCTGTCGCTGTCGGAGATGGTTTGTCGCCGAATTCTGATCCAGGCTCGGAGACGGTGATGGTCATATACCCGGGGCTGGGTGGGACGGAAGCTTGCCTCGACGAGGGGCGGAATGGCGGTCCAGCTGTTCCCAGGACTCGCTGGGCTTTGGAGTAACTCGAGGGCTCGTCGTAGCGCGGCGCCCATTCGGGGACGGCGGGTGTCGATGTTATCGAAGGGATGGGGCTCGCGTCCGCCTTGTTCTTGTCGACTTTGGGGTTCTTGTTGCGCCCGGGGAGGGGGAAGGAGAACTTCGGGCCACGACTGCGACCCATGATGGGCGAAATGGACTGCTGGCGTGGCAGATTTGGTGGCTCGACTCTAAGACAGGCTACGACTCAGTAAAAGGCAGAAAATGGCGGACTGAGTCGCGGCACCTTTCGGGGTCTTGGGCCTATCTACGGGACTGCATCGGGCCCAATTGGCCTGGGAGAAGACGGCGGCGGGCCCCAGTTGCGCTGCCGGGGTCTCGAGTGCCAGCCGGGAACATGTGAGGGCAAAGCGGTTGGAATTGGCGTGGTTGCGAAAGGAGCGGCTGCGGTGGAATGGCGGCGGCGGCGTCGACTGGGCGGAGGTGTGGTTCAAGAGCGGGCTCCTGCTCTGTGCATGGCCGCGCCAAAAAGGTGCGGTACCTGAGTCCAAGCTTGCAGATAGACTAGCTGCAGCGCTCGAGGGGCACGCCCGGCTAGCACCAGGGACGCATGAGAAGGCTGACAGAAAGAGGGGATATGCGCCGGTGGGAGTAAGACTCAGGAGGGCGGCCACGACAAGTATGATAATTGTTTGTTCTATCCGCTGGGGTGGACGTCTATCTGCTGCCCATGCTCGCTCGTCACCTGCGCCAAAAAGCCGGCGACGTGCCGCCAAAAGTCGGGTCAACCTGGAGCTGATCCAGGGGCCTCCGGGCGCGCTAGGGGCGTGGCGCCGCATGCAATTGGCTGGAGGCCGTGGATCGCTGCTGTGGCGGCCAGGCGCTTGCCCGCATGTGGACAGCGCAGCCTCGCATCCCGGTGCATGCAGGTGCACGTCGCTGTCGCAACTCATGCTGGGGGCGCTGCAGCGGCGCCCGCTATGCCCCGAGTATTGATGGGGTAGAAGTCGCAAGCAGGACCCCGTCGCGGGGTGTGCCAAAGGCTGCGTTCCTGTGAAGGTGTAGCGTGAGCCGCTGCGCTAGTAGCAGGAGCCTCGGATTATCAGCACGCCGACATATATATGCCTTCAGGGATTATTAGCAGAGCATGTACGCACCCAAGGGACCAAAAGAGCCAAAAGGGGGGCTAAAATAATGACAAGAGTGGGAATCCACGCGATGAGAAACCTTGGGTAGGGCAAGCTTTCGCTACCGTTCAATTGCTAGCGCGATCCATATTCTGAAGCCGCTGAGAGGTCGGCGAGTCACATGCCAGAGGTAATCGCTTTGTACCTTCCGTCACGAATATAAACTCTGTGCTTACCTACACGTGTTGCGCCGCAAACTAGAGGCATACTGTAGAGAACACGCACTATTCACGCTGCAGCCTTCCCCGTCTCATCTATAGACGGACCTCCCGCCCAAGTAGGATAGCGCCGAGCAATATACCTCCCGACCCCTTAGGAACGTCACGTCACGTCACACAAGGCCGGAACGCTATCGGAGGCACTGCGACTCCGGCAACAAACCTCTGTAAAAAGCAGGACGGCGCATGCGGTGTCCACCCCAATTGATTACCTTTAAGAGTGGATCAGCGGCTCCGCGTACCTTATTCGCCTATTCGTCTCTCCGGCCAAAGTGTGCCGAGCGCATCACGTCGCATCGCACCGCGGATCATTGCTGGGCCGCAAGCCGTCGCGACCGGTACAGCACGGGCTCCCCCCCTCATTCTCCGTCCACTCTAGCATCAAAATCGCGTCTCCAACAATTAGGTCGTCAAATCGAGTTCGAGCATGAAGTGCTTTGCTCGTCTTGCAAGCGCCTCGAGCCGTCGCCGCGCGACGCTGTCGAAACGGAAGCCACGGCATCCCTGAGTCGCGCCGCAATTCCATCCATGACTTGCAGGCTTGCAGCCATTATTGACGCCACCAATCAATTGGCTGCCCGTCATCATCATTGCTTTTTTCGCCTTGTGCCCTTTTCGGCTGGTGGCGTAGCTGCCTGGTCCCCTTCCCTTCCGAGGTGCTACACCAACGACATGGTCAAACAGCAGCAGATATGTACCACTACTATGTTAACGCGGCCTGTATAAATATATACAGCAAAGGAGAGACCTATCTACTTCACCTCAGAACCCTAGGAGTACGGTGCGGCGTTCGCTCCTGACATCTGTTCATTCTAGCTAAAGCGCCCACCCGTCGCCTGCATCTGATTTGTTATTTTGCGCGAGATGAAGGAACCACAGTTAAAAAATTCTTATATGAATGGACATCCGTTGATCCTGCGCTCCGGCCATATTTCGTATTCATGTAGACATATGACCCGTGAACTGATGCATCCATCAGCGCGCCCTACCCCGTATTTCTGAGTCTGAATCTTGTACTTAGCGCCCGCGGAGCGGGGTGTACAGTTCATTGAAGCTAAGATCAGCCGTGGAAAGATGTGGTCTCTTCGACGATGGGGTCTCGAGAAGAGAGGCATGGCTCGGGCGCTTCCGGGACGGGCCAGGAGATACCACTGACGATTCGGCTCCCTCTTGTGACGGGTCAACGAGAGCTGGCTGCATCTGGGTGGCCCTTCGGCTTGAGCTGTCCGCCGCCTTTCGTCCTCCACGTCCCGCCGGATTCAAAACATTATTGGCCAAAGGCGCGTTTGAATGAAATGACGAGAGAACAAGCTGTTGAGTAGTAACCAGTTAGCGTCTGTCCCTAAACGGCAAGCACAGTTGGGCTCTTACAAACTGCCTGATCCCAAATGCAGGGTCGAAGTACTTGTCCATCGTCGTACGGATCGCGTTTTGAGATTTGCATAGGCCAACTTTCTTCGCTCCATTCGACTTTTTGGAACGGTTGATGGGTACGGTGATGCCTTGATTTCCGAGCTCTTTCAGCAGTCTGCTGGAATCGCTCTTCTTGCACCCTTCTCTTGTTAGCATTCAACATAGTGCATGCTTCCAATGCGTGGGAAACTTACCCAAGGCGCTTGCAAACTGAGATTCGGACTCGAAGTCGCGCTCCTCAAGAAGGTGAATGGCGTGGCGTTTCATCGCGAGAGCCTCGAGTTCCATAAGTAGGCTGTCGTCCTTATCCTGGAGGAGACACGCATAGCAGGCATGTTCAACTGGGGCTCTCGCGTCATCCAATCCTCGGTATCCGTAGCAGTGTATATGTTGCCACGTCTCGCAGAAGGAGCAGCAGATCTGATTCTAGTCAGTACAATAGGAAGCTAACCGTGAGAATGCTTTCGTAAACATACCATATCGTCTCCATGGTCATCGTGTCCACATTGGCACTTGACCTGATCAACCGGGCCGATCATCGCAGCAGACTCTGATCGCCTCTGAATACGTGACTCGCGCCATCCTGGGCCAAGGCGGAGGTTGCGCTCTCCGTCTAACAGCGCGAGGGTATCTTGGGTGAACTCGATCTTTTTGGCCATATCGCGCAGATCAGCCAATTGCTGAGTTTCTTGTGCGTTTGGGACCTGAAAAGGCTGCTGCTGCAACAGAGTGTTAGGACGATAGTGTAGTATTGGGACACAAGATGACGACTTACCATATTAACGAGAGCCCGCTGAGCCAAGACATCATCTCTCCGAATCTTTCCAGTGCCATTACGAACTCCCCCGTGTGGCAAGTCCAGGTCAACATCCTCGGTACTCGGTAGCACTTCCTTGTCCGCTCGTTTCTTTGGCGGAGTACTGTTTGTCTCCTGTCCAGCCTGGCTCTGGAAGACCTTGCTGCTGACCGGAAGTTGAGAGTCGGTAGTGGCATCGACATCATCATGCCTGCCTAAAGTCTTGCCATACATTGTGGGATTTGGTATAACAGCTTCGTCCTCCTGATGAATCGAAGGAGTTTCACCCTTGAAGGAAACCTGCAAGCTGACCGATTGGAATCCGGTATGCACCGTACCACAATGTGTAGCCGGCTGCTCCCATTCAGAAGTGGGAGAGTTGAGAGGAACTGTAGTGGGGACAAAGCCTTTAGTTTGGTAGCTATGAGGACAGCGGGTGTTGTATAGTAAATGTAGTCGTACGTGGGGCTGCGCCGGGAGTTTCGGAGCCACACCGGCTACACCGACGATTCTCATGACTACATTCCTCAGGTCTTTTCGCGCGTCACGAAGCGTGATGGAGGTTCCGTTCGGCCCACTCATGTTGACATTGACCAGTGGAGCTGCATCTGTTCCGGGGTGGGTGTACTGGAATTGGAAGGAGTACAGCTCTTGTATCTTTGTGTCGTCTGGACCGTCCGTGATTGCGAGACGCATCTCATCGACATAGCCTTTCTTCACCCCCTCAAATACGCCAGTCTCCTGGGGCGCCAGGTAAGCAAACAGGCGACGGACACTGAACGGGGCTTTTAGTACTCACTAAGTATTCGATGAGCTGGTCGGCTCTGGTCGATGCGCCCCTCTTCATAATCTGCATCCGGTAGATGGGGATGTCGTCGGGCATGTCTTTGAATCGCTCCTGCTCTTGACGTATGAAAGCGCCATAGCTCCAATGCTGATTGACGACTCCATAGACTACCTCGTCGAAGCGCTCCTGGGGAAGAAGGTTTCTATAGCACAGAATGGAGCTCACTGCGGCATATAGGAATATTTGCGATATTTCTTGGCTCTGTTGAGCAGTAACGGTCTGCTCCTGAACCGCTTGAGGGCGAATCTCTTGGATCTGGGCTTGAGCGGCTGCCCCGGAGGCTGATGTCCGCGTTGCCCTTCTCTGCGGCGGCATGGCGAGTTGGACTCTGGAAGCGTGTCCAGGTGGGTGAAACTGAAGCAGCAAGTGGGAAGAAGGAAGGATGGAGCACTAGAGGTGAGGGCCCAGGCGAAGCTGACCTCAGGGTGTTTACAGACCTAGGGACGTCGCTTCCTGAGCTGTAGCAGCGGGAGGCGGTTGAGGAAAGAGCGACGGCCAGATTGGGAGCACCTCACCGTCTAAAGCCAGCCGCACCCAGGCCACAGCGAGGGCTGGTGCATCGCTGTGACGAGAGCACGGCGGCGTGTTAGGCTGGGCCGTCTGCGTTCTATCCCGGTGATGTTGGGATGGCGGAAGTGGCTGCTTTCCATCCCAGAGTATGTGGGATATTGGACTAGGTGAAGGCGTTGAGATAGCTCCGACTATAGACACGCACGTTTGCGTGTCGTCCATGCCGCCCCGATCCAGATCCAGGGTGGATTGCTGAGGCTGCTCCGCCGATGTGGTGTCCACCTGGGCACGGGTCCGTTGAACTGAGTATCACGAGGGTCACGAACCGCTTGTCTCAAGCCTCGGAACTTCACCAGCATCTTGCCATACATAGTAGCAAGGAATTGGGCGGCGATATCATCAAGAAGCCAGGAGCGCAAAACTAGATAAAGACAAGAAGTGGTCTTCCAGAGGGGCGTGGTGATTGGTGGACGGCGCATCGCAATATACCGATCGCTATTCGAGATAGCTGCTGCAGATTGTTTCCGCAGGCCACGCACACAACAGGCGGGCCTGTCACCTGCTACTTACCTTGCGCGCACTCTTTCTTCGATTATGTTCGTTTGTCGTTATGGCAGCAATTCTGCTTATATGGAGCCTCGGGACAAAGACTCAGGCCCTGGCATGCCTGTGTCGCCACACTGCATCGCGGCCGCGCGAGGCGTCCACAGAAACTCATCGGACTGCGTCTCAAGAAACACAACGGGGCTGACCAGCAGAACGGGGAGACATCTGCGCCGAGAGAATCCCGTCAGCTGCAGCTATAGGCGGCGTGTTAAGGGTGGAGGGGAAGTGGACTGGAGCTTTGAAAACGGCAACGAGAGCGTGCAAGACAATATTTAGATAGAAGACAAAAAGAGGGATGAAACGCCTGGCCGCGAATATGCAATTAAAAGCGTACGGGCATGACGCGCCGCGCAGGAAATAACAGTGCGCAGCGCGCTGAGGTGTGAAAATCAAATGGCCGGGCGTGGCAGGGCAAGGCGTCGACCGATCCAGTGATTTTGCTTGCCGAGAGCCTACTCCCTCAACCTCGCCAGAGCTGCTTCCCCCACCACATCCTCTCCCCATACCCGCGACCTCGTCCCTCTCCCCTCACTCTTAGATTTGGGCATCGTGGGTGTTGTTTGCGTGCTCCGGCGTTGTGCTTGTCGCCTCTCCACCTTGGGTCCTCTCTTCTTCTCTCTCCTGTCTCGCCGCTCGTCAGCGGTGATTGCCCGAGGGACACGAGCGCGCCATCGGCCACCGCCAGAAGCCGCTTGCCAGCTCCAGATTTGATTCACCGCGGCTTCGACCATACCGATGCTCTTCTAGGTCTCGACGTCTCCTGCACGTTCCCGCCGTTTCATCCTCGCGTCTCGAGGCTCCCCAACCTCATCCCACACGTCACCCTCGAGTGGATGCTCCACCTCGTCCACAGAGGGTGAACCGCGTATCCCGACACCACCGCCCTTCAAGGGTCGTTCGTAGCTATCAAAAAATCTCGGACCGGCGTGTGCAACATGACCTCCCCTCAGGGTCAGGGCTGCGAGGCCGCTTCGAAGATAGTGCAGCAGCAGGTGGTAGAGCCGTATGCCACCATGGGGCAGCTCTCGATAGCACCGGCCACAACTACGACAGTCGTCACCACGACCACGACCACAACAACGTCGTTCCCTCCGATCCTGTTGAAGCCTCCCCGAAATCTTAACGAAAGGGACCCAAAGGAATACCCACTCGCTCATTCCCAGGCTCCTGAGTCGATCCGCAAGTTCTTCTTTGAAGCCGGCGGCGAGCAGGCCTGTTTTCAGGAGGCAAATGACGTGGTAGACTCAATCCAAGAGGTATGCCTGCCACACTCTGGGGACCGCCTGTGACCAACATCCTTCACATTGGGGAGGAAACTACTCTTGCACATGGACTGACACACTTCTTCCGCAGCACAAAACGCTCCATAATGACCTGGCAACTTCCAACGGTAAGCTTCGCACAATCGAATCGTTCAACGGCCCGCCTGCCTTCGCCACGCCAAACAGGGTAACACGACCGAATATAGCAGCTCCTAACCCAGCCCTCCGCTCGATATCCGGCCGACGAAAACGATCCTCTTCCCCGCCATCCATCGCTGAGGCTGCCGAGATTGCTAGCCTGCACCGTCGGAATAAGAAGCCTCGAACCTCCATTCAAGACTACAGAGGCAGGCCCGCTGCTCAGATTAGCGCGAACTTCACGCCAGAGGATATGGATGATGCAATTCCAGCCACTCCGGACACAGATGTTGGCGGTGGAGGCCCGTTCAAGGTACCGAGAATGAGCGCAGGAACAAGACGCACAAACTTGAGATCATGTTCGCAACAGACCCGGCAGCAGCGACGGCCGCCATCATGGCAGCTCCAGGAGCCTTTTGCGGGTCCTACGAACGGCGAGAAAGACGCTCCTTGCGACCAACAGCGCTCACCTGACGGTCACCACTTTTCTACATCGATCGCAGAGGGTCCGGGCATCGCTGCCACTCCGCCAATTGCGGACACAGACCTGGAACCGGTTGGCCCTTTCACTACCGACGATAGCTCATACGTCCACGTTGGACGACCTACGCCTCTTGACACGGTGTCTGCGCAGGACGCCAGCTTACCGAGCCCTAGTTTGTCGCCCATCACCGCCGCAGCCACTCTCGCCCAGCAGAACAATCTTGGAGCGTCGTTGATCGGGGACGAGGGCGAAGACGACCCAAACGATTTGTCTAGTCTAGACATATCGCAAGGTACCACAAACGAGAACAATACAACGCAGACCCTTGCACTGTCTTCGTCCAGGTCGAAGCGGATTGAGCTCCCTGAAGTAGACGAGATTACTCCGAATCCACAGCTGCCAACGCCCACTCTCATGGATATCCCTACTATGCTGGACTCGTTCGATGCGTTGCCCGAAAAAATGAAAACCTACGTCATGTATCAGCTTCTTCGTAGGTGTGCAAAACCCACGCTACATTTCGTTGCCGATGTAGTCAATCCGGCCCTGAAGTGCGATTTCATTGCTTTGCTTCCGACCGAGCTCAGCCTCTGCATCATCAGCTATCTCGACGTCAAGAGCATGTGCAGCGCAGCTCAGGTTTCAAGAAGATGGCGAGAACTGATCGATACGGACGAGCGATCATGGAAGAAGTTGCTGGACAACGATGGGTACAATATCCCAGAACACGAGCTGGAGCGGGCCATAGAAGAGGGATGGGGATGGCAGTATCCACATTCTCCAGAGAGCTACGAGCGGGATCTTCGCGTCTTATCAGCACATTCTAGGTCGGATCACGCAAATTCTCCAGGATCTTCCGGTTCGAGCGTATTGGGTAGTGTTCTCGATAATGAAGGAGCCGTGACGCGGTCCTCCTCAACCCGGCAGAAGAGAAAGGCTGCTAGCAAGCATGCCGTATCCAAAAAGCAGCGCAAGAAGGGACCGTCCCCGTCAAAAGCCCAAGCCGTCTTCTCCTCTCGGTCAGTCGTCGCTCAACAAGGGCCTCTCTCTTATGCCGACCGAGCCAGGGAGGCAATATCCGAGCCTGAGATTGGCCTGCCAAGCTTGCGCAAAATGCACCTCTTCAAGTCTCTGTACCAACGGCATCATCTCATCCGCAAGAGCTGGATGGAAGTGGAAATGAAGCCAAAGCACATCGCGTTCCGAGCACACCAGCGCCATGTGGTGACCTGTCTGCAGTTCGACACTGATAAGATCTTAACCGGTAGTGACGATACTAACATCAACGTCTATGACACCAAGACAGGGGCTTTGCGCAATCGCCTTGAAGGCCATGAGGGCGGGGTTTGGGCTCTTCAATACGAAGGCAACACCCTGGTCTCTGGTTCAACCGATCGTTCGGTGCGCGTGTGGGATATCGAAAAGGGCAAGTGCACGCAGGTGTTCCAAGGCCACACGTCTACGGTCCGATGCCTCGTCATTCTCAAGCCCACCAAAGTGGGAGAGACGTTAGATGGCCGGCCAATCATGATGCCCACGGAGGACCTGATCATCACTGGCTCACGGGATTCCTCGCTGCGTGTGTGGAAGCTGCCTCCGCCGGGCGACAGGAGCATCATCCAGACCGGACCGCCGGCCAACGACAGCGATAACCCATACTTCGTCCGCGCACTCATTGGCCATCACCACTCGGTGCGGGCTATCGCTGCCCATGGTGATACTCTCGTCAGCGGCAGCTACGACTGCACCGTGCGTGTGTGGAAGATCTCGACCGGTGAGGTCTTGCACCGCCTCCAGGGTCATTCTCAGAAGGTGTACAGCGTTGTCTTGGACACCGAGCGCAATCGCTGCATCAGCGGGTCGATGGATAACATGGTCAAGGTGTGGTCGCTCGAGACTGGTGCCTGTATCTTCACGCTTGAAGGCCACACTTCGCTCGTCGGCTTGCTGGATTTGAGCCATGGACGCCTTGTTTCGGCCGCCGCAGACTCGACCCTCCGCATCTGGGACCCCGAGAATGGCCAGTGCAAGAGCAGGCTCTGTGCTCACACGGGAGCTATCACCTGTTTCCAGCATGATGGCCAAAAAGTCATCTCTGGCTCGGACCGCACCCTGAAGATGTGGAACGTTCGGACGGGCGAGTTTGTGAAAGATCTCTTGACTGATCTGAGCGGCGTGTGGCAAGTCAAATTCAACGAACGACGGTGTGTTGCCGCCGTTCAACGGAACAATATGACATATATCGAGGTATGTCATTGACGCAAACTCTCTTCCATGTATACTCTAACGCATTACTAGGTTTTGGACTTTGGTGCTGCTAGAGACGGCGTGCCATTTGACCAACGAGGACGCAGAATAGTCGTCAATTCGAAAGGACAAGAGACTGAAGACGTGGATGACATCATGGACGTCGACGCTGTGTAGCGGATATCCGACGTCGTCAACACATCATCCGATCATGGTTCACGGCTCTATCAACACGACCGCATGCATTCTGGACATTTTCAAAAGCAATACCCCTCATGCATTCACCCGGCTTGGGACCTATTAATATCTCTTTTTCACGGTCTTTCTACGTTTTTATCTTGTATCCGCCCTTGTCTGTTGGGGCTTGCATCCGTGATTATTCATACGAAAAGAGGCGTCTGATGGGGGTTTACATTTGCATATCTACGGCGTTTAATATTTGCCTGCCCTGAGCTGCATGTCATGGGCACTGGCTGTCTTAGGACGGGATTCAGTATGTAGTGATTGGGCTTGCTGGAAGTACACCAGGCCTTAGGCACTGCGCGAGCTGGACGTAGAAAATACATTGCATGAATAGATCAAGCTCGGTTGCGTGCATACTCCGTACGAAGGGTCGACGGTGAATTGATGGCGAAGCCGACAGGCGGTGGCGCCACAAGCGGCCCGCCACATCCGCCACATCCGCCACAAACAGACGCCGCTCAGATAGCTCCATCGAACTTACCTACCTACGTTTGCACAAATTTGCGCAACCCAACCTGCCACTCTCAGTAGAGATGCGTGCCCGGCGTAGACCATCCTGATGCCGGAGTACTTCTTCCACATTGGCTTTGAGCTCTACCCAGCGCGCTCATCGCCCGAAACGACTTTCACCCCGCCTCCGCAGACCGACATTTTCAACTCAAGCCTCCCCGCCCACAGCTCAACGTCTTGGGCTTCCCTTGGACCCTCCCGGCAGAGCTGTAATAAGCCTCTAAATTCCGCAGGCTCCAGTAGCGATACTTCTCACCTCTCGCCCACTCGAGAACGCCCCCCAACGTCCCGCAGATATAGTCAGCGAACCCGAACGTCCTTCTCGGAGCATCACGATAGCCCTGTTCCAATCGTCAAGCCGCCTCCTCGGCCCGCACATAAGCGGACGCAGAAGAGCTTCGCGCCGAAAGACTGGCGATTCGACACTATCTCCATTCTCAGCATCGATATGAAGCCTAGCGATGGCGACGAATCTACAAGACCCCGCGCGAAGTCGCTCAAGCATCCTGCCACGAGTTCCGGCGGCCTAGCTACGAAGGGCAAGTTCATACCCTCATATCCAAAGGACACTGATGTGGGATGGGGCGTGGTGCACTTGTATCGCGATGGACAAGAAACACCGGGCCTATATGATGACGGGGCAGGTACAGATTTCAACGAGGAAGATTGCACGACGCTGTGTATGCTGGCAGTACCCTCATATATGACACCCTCGGACTTGCTAGGCTTTGTGGGCGAGCAGACAAGGGAGAATGTCAGTCATTTTAGGCTTATTCGGACAGCGAGAGCGAATAAGTATATGGTGTTGATGAAGTTTCGGGAGGCCAAGAAGGCGAGGGCGTGGAGGAAGGAGTGGAATGGTAAGGCGTTTAACAGTATGGAGGTATGTCTAGTCATCTACGTCTATGAGATATATCGGGGCAAGCTAACTGTACTGAAGCCAGAGTACTGCCATGTCGTCTTCGTCAAATCCATCACCTTCCAGACCGGCGACTCAAACCGCGATCCGTCTTCGTACCCTGACCTGGCGAACGATCCCTTCACACCAGCTACGACAAAGCAAGCGACAGCCCCTCTCCCGCCATCTTCTAGCGTTTCCTCACCCGTCGAACCTCCATCACTCGCCTCGTCCCTCACAGCCAAACCGCTCGCTCCCCCCACACCCTCCCTCGTCGAACTCCCGACTTGCCCTGTTTGCCTCGAGCGTATGGATGAGACGACCGGGCTACTTACGATTCTCTGTCAGCACGTATTCCACTGCGCATGCCTCGAGAAGTGGCGAGGCTCAGGCTGCCCCGTCTGTCGCTACACGCAAAACGACGCCTTCACACATCGCGCCCTCGACGGCGACACTCCCGACAACGAATGCTCCGTCTGTGGCTCCACACAAAACCTCTGGATCTGCCTGATATGCGGTAACGTCGGCTGCGGACGATATGACAGCGCCCATGCTTTTGCACACTACGAAGCCACAAGTCACACCTACGCCATGGACGTCGTGACGCAGCATGTCTGGGACTACGCAGGTGATGGCTACGTCCACCGCCTCATTCAGAACAAAGCCGACGGCAAGCTGGTCGACCTTCCCGCTTCTGCACATGCGAACCCCTTCGCGGGAGGAGGCATGACAGGCTACGCTAACGACACCGTGCCCCGCGAGAAAGTGGACAATATGGGCATGGAGTATGCATACCTACTTACCTCGCAGCTCGAATCCCAGCGCGCATACTTCGAGGAACAGGTCGAGCGCGCCGTTGATAAAGCAGCTAAAGCAGCATCCTCAGCTGAAGAAGCGACTCGCAGCGTCGCGCACCTCACCCAGGAGCTCGAGAAACTCCAATCGCAGTACTCAGAAGCACAGTCCACAATCTCCTCGCTCGAAAAAGAAGCCACGCGCAACGCAGCCAAGGCCAATTCCGCGTCAGAACTAGCCCGCAAACTAACAAAGCAGTTCAAGGAGGAGCAGACGATCAATGAGAGTCTCATGACGCGTATACATCATCTGGAGAAGACAGCTGAGGAGGCGAGTGCCAAGGTGAAGGAATTGGAATGCCAGAAGGCGGATCTAGAGGAACAAAATCGGGACCTCTCGTTCTTCATTTCGGGACAGGAGAAACTGAAGGAGATGCGGGGCAATGAGATAATGGGCTTGCAGGAGGGTGAGCTGGAGAGCGGATATGTGGAAGTCGGCAAGGATGAAAAGAAGGGTCGCAGGAAGGGGAAAGGGAGGAAGACATAAGGGAATTCCCAAGAGGTTCCGGTGTGTGCTGGATACGCCGGCTTGCATTATCAGGCGTTTGACCCATTCAGCAATTGGGTGCATGGCATTTGATTCGAGATACCCATAGGGCACACAGTGCAATCGTCCAGATCGGACAATCCATATTATCAGTGATCCATTCAATCCATCTTCCCCCGTTCACCAGCACAGTTTCTTTCAGCCCGCTACACGCCAGTTAGTTCAGTCACATCATCCTCACTACAGGGACTGCACTAGCGTAACAATGAAAGGCTCATGAATTCCATCCCGGCCTGACCTAGCACCCCGTCCGTATAAGCTAGTATACATGGAAAATAACAATGAAGTTCGTAACCGTCATGTCTTGCCAGCGCTCAGCCTCAGCTCATAGATGCCCTTTCTCAAGTTGATAGCCGTTACGGTCGTCAAGTCATTAGTGATGATGCCCCCAGTCATTCTGGATAGCCAACTGAAGGAAGGAAAGAGGAAAAACATCCAAACCCTACCAACCCATTACACTTCCAACGCCCCCTGGTGTGTGAAATAACCAAGACGGTAGGTATGAACTTAAGCAATCGAGATGCGCGACCGAAGCTAGTGAAGCAGGCAGTTGCCCCCAAGGAATCGGATCCCCGACGATATTGTTCGTTGTGCTCAAGCTCGGTTGAGGAGATTCAAGTCGGATTATTAGGCAATAGGCCAATCCAAGTCGAAGGTGAAGCATGTGGTCAGCCCGTCCAGAATGCAAACGATGTGGAAATGTGTGGCGAGCGATCCAATTTCATCGACCACCTCTTCAAATCCAGTCATCGTCCTTCCCCGCATTACCACCCACCTCCTTCTCAAAACCCAAATCGACACCCAGTCCAAGCCCCAAATCCATCTTCGGGGCCTGAATCTGCGGCGCTTTCTCCGCCTTCTTCTTCGGGCTCATCTTAACCGGACTAGGCGGCAGTTTCCCGTCCGACGGACCCATCCGTACAGGCTTGACATCCCAGCCATCTTCTAGCGCCGCTGCAATCCACACTTTGGCCGCATCGTGCACGGCACCGTAGTACTTAGGATTGCAAGTGCGCAGGTGACCCATGACCTTTTCGAAGCCCGAGATTTTGAGTTCGGAGCGGAAGGTGTTACGGGCTTCGCGGGTGGGGAGGGATGCGAGGAGACCATTGAGAAGGTCAAGATGTGTGGCGATGTAGTTGGTCGCGTCCCATTCCACACCGCCGACGTAGGGAGCTGCTGGTACGATGGCGCGGGGGCCGGGGAAGTAGGCCTTCGAATAGGGCTGGGGAGCGGTGTCAGAGGCGGGTGGAAGAGGGATGACATTAAGGTGGTGTATGAAGATCCAGAATACTTCTTTCGTGACGTTCGTGATTTCCTTGCACCAAACCTGGTACGGGCGAGGCTGGTGCATCTGGAGGATAAATGGGACGGTGGAGGACTCCTTCTCCTTGATTGGGTCCTTGAGGTACTTCAGCAGCTCCATCGCACGAGAGTGGAGCTCTGATTCGGGTGCGGTGGAAATGTGGGCAAAAATGATCTGGATGATAAGCTCGCGAGTAGTGAACTCGCTCGGCCCCTTGTGTTCCTCGTCGAACAGCATGGCAAGCAGTGCTGGGAAAAGAGTAGATGCTACCTCCGCGAGCTGCTTAAGGGCGGAATCGGTGGTGCAGAGCCCCTTGAGGCATCGAAGCAGCTCGTGGAGTAGGGTGTCCTCATGATCTTCGCGCCATTCAACTTCCATCACGCGGTGGAGCACAACAATTAGCTCCGTCATTCCGCCGGTCTGGATAAAGTTATCGACCCATTCCACAGTCTCGTTTCGAAGCAGCAGGCGAAGCTTATGCAGCTTTCCGACTTCCACATCTTGCGGCTTCGGAGTCTTCCTCAAGTAGGATATGAACTCGTTTGGTGATACCGACTTCGCGCCCTTCGACACTGACCTCTGCGAGGAGTTCGAAGCCAACGATCGCGAGGACGGGGACTTCGGGATCGGGCTAGCCCTCGAGGATGCAGCGTCGCCCTTCTGCTTCTTTATAGGAGAATCGCCCTTGCTAAAGGTGAATGTCCTGCTCCGCGGGCGCTCCCGCTTCGAGCCTCCCGATGTGGCTGTCTGCAATGGCACCTTCTCTTCCTCCGCAGAGCCATCTCGAGACTTCGAAGATCTTGTCATCACCGGTTTGCTCGCTTGCTTACCGGCGGTCCCTGCAATTGTAGAGCGTGCAGATGGTGCTCGCGATCCTTGAGGTGTATCCAACTTATGTGTCCGTACGAAATCGGCTTTGACTTCGAGTTTGAGTGTGCGCATCTGGGCGCGTTGGTGGGTAGGAATATTTCTTGACTCCTGATAATGACGTTAGATAGACCCTATGTTGTTGACGCCGCGCACTTACTAAAACCGCTTCAAACTCAGCATCAATCACCTTCGGGTCGAGCTTGGTAGGAGACGTCGTAGGAGTTCTGCCGGAATGCGTCTGCTTCGACTTGCCGTTGAACGCGGCGACCGCGGCCATAACTCTACTAGGCTTTTTGGGCGAATCTGCCGCCTTCTTCGGGCTGTTGTCCTTTCTATTGCTCTCGGAGCTCGAGCGCCTCGCCATGCCCCGTGTAGTGATGCTCTTGGATGAATCACTCTCCTTCAGCCTCCCCCCATTGCCCCTTGTATCTCCGAGCGGTACTCGGTCCTCGCTCCTCTTACGAGTGAATGTATCGAGTAACGACGTCGTGGAGGAACCGTGCCCGCCAATGAAGGACTTCGGGCGCTCTTTCGCGGGTCCCTTCTTCTGCAGTGAGGGCTGGCCGTAGTCGAAGAAGTTGCGCTGCTTTGAAGGCGAGTAGTCCTGGGGCGTATAAAGGGCGATTTCTTCCTCGATGCTCCGGCGCTGGTCGTTCAGTGGGACCTTGCTTGTCGTGGTGATTTCCTGCAGCGGCTGCGAGCTGAACTGAGCCCAGATGGGAGTATGTACCGGAGCGGGGGCATTCGAAGAGCTGGGCGGCGTGGTGTTCTCCTTATCTCGCCCTGGTGTGCTTTTCTCATCCTTGGACTGTTTACCCTTGCCAAACAGACCAGCCAGGTTGGTCGACGACTTTGTCTTCTTCGGGCTTTTGGCCATCTCCCCCTCTCGCGTCCTGCTTGGCTCCCTTGACTTGCTCTCCTTCGTCCTCTCCTTCTCCTTGTCTTTGCCCAGTGATCGCAGCGAGACTGAGCTCAGCGTCTTCTTGTGCAGGCTCTTGGTCGGGCTAGTAGCCTTGCTGTCCTGTGACTTGCGAGGCGACGATGGCGCGTTTGTAGGAATATTCTGCATTCGATTTGCAACGCGCAGCTGGCTATGCGGGTGGTCTGGCGGCAGCAACGGCGCCCCAGCGTTGACAAACCCAGCCGGATTGTATGGTCGACTACCGGGCTGATTGCTGTTTAGCGCGGTGCCATCAGAAGGCGAACGCTTGTGGTTCTTTGGTACAATAATAGACTTGAGCACCGACGACGACTTGTTGCGCCTGTGGCCCGCGGGAGCTGGCGTCGCCATGATGCTCTGGTGAGCCTTGGAACAAACAAACGTAAAAGGGGAAGTGGGAACTGAGGCCGGGGGCAGCCCCCAGGGAAGAAATTGGGAAACGGGTTTTGGCTATATCAGAAAGATGTCGGGCATTATACAAGAAGGCGACGGGGTCGGGGTTGCGGTGGTCGTGTCGTTGGTGGCGCCCAGTAAACATTGGTCGGGTTTCCATAGCGACCATCGCGCTAGCGGACGCGGGGAATTCGTGACCACGTGATCGCCCCTTCCCGCGGCGGACCATCTCTGCGTCGTTAAGTCCGCTCAATTTACCCTAAGCAAAGTAGAAGGCGCAAGGAGAACGGTGGTTTTGATACTGGGGGTGCAAACACGATGGATATGTACGAAGGTAGCGAACCTCATCTTGCTGGGAGAACCCTAACACGTTTCCATTTCAAGAAGTGAATCTAGGCAATGTTATGCATCTGCAAAATGGCTCCCGTCCATCAAAATGCCCCAGCTCCAATCCGCCAGCATGCTCCACCACTCATCGCTCACAAGCCAAAGTTGAAAACTTTATCTCCGACTCTTCCAAACTTCTTCATAGCGCCAAGTTCCAGAGAGCCCCCGGAAGACCCACAGCCCCCTGTGCCAACGCAGCGTCCGCCGTCACAGCAAGTCCCACCGCCGGGAATGCACACAAAGCCGACGTCGCAATCGGCGGTCTCGCTGCAGCTCGGCGTACTAGCGCAATCTATCTCTCTGTTGAAGCAGACTCCGGCACCACCAGTTTCTAGGCCACAGACGCAAAACTCCGTACCGTTGCTACCGGCGCAGCTTCTTGAGAACTGGCAGGAGGAATCACATGGTGGACGAGTGCAGACGCCGTTGGTGCAATCGAAGCCTGCGGCGCATCGATTGCTGCAGGCACCGCAGTTCTGGATGTCGGTTCTGAGATCGACGCAGGCACTATCGCAAAGATCAACACCGGGTCCAGTGCACAGCGGAGGCGTGGGTGTGGGAGAGTCCGAGGTGGTATTCGTAGGCCCAGCTGTCGAGGTGGTATTTGTAGGCCCGGCCGTGGTAGTTGCGTTGAAGGAGGTTGAGGGCAGACTGGAAGTGGAATTGCTGGTCATTGATGTTGCCGTGGTGTTGGTGTAGGGTGGAGTAGGCGACTGCGTAGTTGTTGTGCCACTAGTCGTCGAATAAGAGGTGCCCGACGAAATGGTGCCAGTTCCGGTACCCGTTCCTGTTCCAGTGCCCGGCTCCGAGCTCATGGTTATCGTTGTCATCGATGTTGTAGAATTTAGGGTCATAGTAATAGTAAAAGTGGTGGTCGTCCCCGTGCCCGATGTCGTCGAATTTGAAGGAACTGACGTCGTGGTGTTTGAAGGGGCCGCCGTTGTGCAAGAAGCAACAGACGAGAATGTGATTGTGGTCGTCTCGGTCCGAGTAATTGTCTAGTAATGCTTAGCGTAGGTCTTTATCTTTTGCAGTCGGGTACTTGCCGCGCTCGTTGAAGTGACGAGCGCTGAGGAGACGCCAATGCAGGAGCATGCGCTTGAGTAATGCTCATCGGTGCAAGCACTGGTGGCATAATACGGCACTGTGCCATGGGTGCTCTCGAAGGAAGTGGTAACCTCTTGCCGAGGTTTGACCTTCTTTTCCATTGCGAATGCAGGAATAGGTGTGGCAGTAGAGAGGGTCACGGAGGAGTCAGTTGGGATTGTTGGGCAAGGCGGATTGATTGTCTGGGTAAACGAAGTTGTGACGGTACTGGTGGTAATGCTGGGCATGCTGATCAGTGGGCTGGATGTGAAGGGAGGAAAGGTCCGTACATGGGGTCGACAACGACAGTAGTCGTCATATATTTGGCACAGTCGCCCAGGGCTGTGACGGGATGGCTCGGTCCGCGCCTCGTGCCATTGACAGCTCGAAGGCAGTTGTCTTGGTAGCATGCCTGTCTTGCTTCCAAAAGGACTGCTGCGATAGAAAGCGAAGAGCCGGAAAGGAGAATGGCCGAGACGAGCTTCATGTTGGGAAAAGGAGTTACCGTGACTTCCTGACTCAATTGCTCACGATATGTAGAGTGGACGCACGACTGGCTTTATACAGACGCCTGTAGAGCCTGGTAAGGCAGTACACCGGACAGGCCCTCATCTTTCCCCCAATGTCGTTGCTTGAGCCCATATCGAGCAAGCATAGCGGGAAGCCACTTGTACACTCGCGAGACTTTGTGCCCCGTTCTCTTTCGCCAGAGCACGTTAGCTTCAATCCGAGAGGCGTGGGATTGCTGGCCGAATGAACGGCTAGCAATTTGTGGAGTGACCACCTCTTCGGCTTTGAGGGCACAATTGCAGGAAACGGCGCAAAGTCGTTGAAAGCGAGATAGTAGGAGCGGAAGTGCCCAGGCACGGTCTAAGTGTTGAGAGCGACTGTCGCAAATGTCGACGCCCGCTTACCACGACAGCTTTGAGCTAACTGCAATTGGGAGCTAATCAAGTACAACAGGAACACGGAGCAGCCGAGCATAGGCGCACAAGCTCCCAAATGGTCGATGAGGAGCGAGGAGAGCGGGGCCGATGGTAACCAGTGAATTCGCGATCGCAAGGAATATGTGAGCCTAATGCAGGTACGTTAGATCTCGTCAATGTACGAGCATTCGGCTGAGACATACGATCAGATGCTGGATGGAAGCAGTTGCTGACCCGATATTGGTGGCTGCGGACATCTACACTCGCTTTCGCGAGAGTTTCATCAGGACTCAGGTGCAAAGGCAGGATGCATGCCCAGATATTTGAGGCAACAAAAGGTCTTCCAAGGCTATGGTATCGGTATCGCAGAGGAGCAGTTGTAAACACGAGATACGGCTCTTGTAGCCCTCGACCAGTTTATGTTACGGCCGGTTTGATGGTAACAATGGGCAAGCCACTTAGTTTCGCAAAACGAGCGTTTGCAGCATTAAAACAATTGATAAGGCGGATGTTGGCGCAGATTAAACTTTCATTCACGCTTTGTCAGAGGTTGCTTTTCCGTCTGAGAACACACCTTTTGCTGCCCGCAACGATCTTTCGTTGACAGGTGTCATCTGTAGGTTTAACGCAGGTTGCCTTGATGACACGGAGAGTGTGGGGAATAACGTCGAAATGCGGTGGCGGAGGAGCGTTGATCACAAGTGCAGCTACGCTCCACAGTTCGCGCCACTGTAACGCAAGCGGAGGACCAACGGGGAGACCCAGCAGGTTGGCAAGTTTCAGGGAGCAGAGACCGTTGGCAACGCGAACAGCGTGGGTAATTTTCATCGTATCCCCAGCTCTTGGTCCATCGCCGATATGCACGCTTCATTAAACCGTGCGTGGCGGTCTGTTCTCATTAAATTGAAACATGTGGAGCGTATTGTCTATGAAAGTAGGCGCGAGTTCCAGTATCGAAGACGTTGGGTATTTGTTCCCTCACAACACATGAGATGGAGGCGAGCAACGGTAATGTTATCCTCCGCGCAAGGTTTGCTACGGACCAGGAAGCATGACTGCTAAGCAAAGTCCGTGAGTTTCGTGAGGGGCCTGCCCACAGGACGCAATGGCGTTACGGCGGTAAGCCGCGGCCGGGTGCACGAGGAGACGAAGGGAATAGAGAGCAATCATGGGAGCTAGGCGGGAGGGAGGAAGCTGGCGAAAAGCGTGCCCTGCATGATGGCGTACATTATGAATCCGCGGACCAACCATTGAGGCACCCGTTTTGTCTTGCCTTCAACTTGAGCCATTCGCCCCTGTGCCATCCGCTGTGCGAGCGCCAAATACCAGACCGGATAACCGGAAGAAATGCGGTTGATGATTTGGACATGGAAGGTGGTAGCTGCCATGATGACGAGTACAAGTTGAGGTAACGCCAACTGCGGCAGGCCACAAGACACCGAGTTGAAAGTGTTGGGACTTTCATTTCCACTTGGCGGCGGTATATGAGCACTCGTCGAAGGCTGAAGAGGACCGTGACGCAGGTATGCTACACCGGACTTAAACAGTAGCCACAGCATCGGAGCTGCAATCAAGAACAGAGGTAGGTTTGACAAATTCCAGTAACGGAGGAATCCCACATTCCTGAAGACTCTCAGCAAAGACTTTGTCCGGGGGGATTGCACTCACCAGTATTGAACTTGCACCCAAGAGTAGATGCTCGGTAGCTTGTTCTGGCACCATGGTCTTGTGGCAGAGATACGCTTAGTGACGCAGTATTCCCGGTACGCCACGTACTGGGGGAGGAAGTATCCGACTGCGACGAGAGAACCGGCAACACACGTGACGGCGATTCGTCTGATGTCGATCCGATTCAGCTGAAACCTGCAGGCTCTCGGTAGATACCTCGCCACATCGTAGGCGAAGATCAAGCCGCTTAGCAAGCCATTGCTTCTCACTAAAGTTGCTCCAGCAAACACTACTCCAGAACTCAGAAGTAGTGCATCTGCGCGCACAGCCTGGTTCTTGCTGGATTCCTGAGCTCTCTTGGCCTGGACGTAGTGGAGCATCCCGGTGAAATTAAGCGCTGCAAAGAACGCCTCAGAGTAGGGCGCACTGAGAAACATGCCGGCGGGGCTGAGGATGTGTAGCACTGAAGCAATAAAAGGGATTCGAACATTTTGCTCGGGGCCTAAGACGACGTTTAGGAGCCTGAACAAGACTAGGACAGAGGAAAGATGGCATAGATTCGACACGACAATTCCCGCCCAGACGTAATGTTGCAATGAGGGTTTCGCGTTTCGGGATAAGACTTCTAGGGAGTTAGCAACTATCCCAGCTGCGCAAGAAGAACAGCCGCACATTTGCCCGTGGTCTCCAAGACCATGGAATACGCCCAGCTAAACGCCCACTCTTGCTCGTGGACGTACCCTCTTTGGGCCGTCTTTACAAAGTACAGCGCATCCCATCTGAGATGGTTGAGCGTAAACCGATCCAAGATAGTCCAATTCCTAAACTGCCTGTGTCGATGCCGGCTGGGGTTTAAGAGGATGAGTGCTGAAGTGTCGTACCCTGGTCCAGGAGAGAGGACCGCTAGGAGGAAAAAAAGAGCCTTCCAGGCAAGGAAGATGAGAACCAAACGCCCTGCGAGCTTTCGATGCAGGAGACTGCGCGTGTCCGTCATCGCGGCCCTGGCAGCTATCAATGTGGATGGTGGTTAGGTGGTGCGCTGATTGGACAGTATCGGCGCATAGTTTTGCCGACCCGTGTCGCTAAGCGAGCCCACACGCTGAACTTTCGGAGGCGCGACACCCACCTCCCTCTTCGACAACACCAATTTCGTCGCCCGCCAACAACCACACCGTAAGCTGGTAAGCGCAATCCTCACCTCTCTCGACTCTGCATCACATCCATCGCATGCTCCAATGGCGGAACATGGAGATCTTGAAGATGGCTAGAGCGCAGAATGGCAGCAATGCCTTCTCGCTCTTAGAGAAGCAGAACCTGTTTAGTGAATGAGCATTCGCTAATGGTGTCTGTTCTCAATGACAGCCTCGACGAACAAGATGCCACCAAAGGGTAAGAAAGCGGCGCCCGCGCCCTTCCCGCAGGGCAAGGCCGGTGCAAAGAAGCCCGCTAAGGTATGTGACACACTCTGTCTCCAGCTATCTCAGGCATTTAGCGCTCTAACTCGCGCAGAATCCCCTCCTCGAGAAGCGGCCGAAGAACTTCGGTATCGGTCAAGACATCCAGCCCCAGCGCAACCTCTCGCGCATGGTCAAATGGCCCGCCTACGTCCGTCTCCAGCGCCAGAAGAAGATCCTCAACATGCGGTTGAAGGTCCCGCCGTCGCTCGCCCAGTTCCAGCACGTTCTCGACCGAAACAGTAAGGATTCAACGGTGGATTGCAACGAAATACATGGCTAACAGATGGTAGCCGCTACCCAAGCCTTCAAGCTCCTGAACAAGTACCGACCGGAGACCAAGGCTGAGAAGAAGGAGCGTCTGACCAAGGAGGCCACCGCCATCTCTGAGGGCAAGAAGAAGGAGGACGTCTCGAAGAAGCCGTACACCGCCAAGTTCGGTCTGAACCACGTCGTCGGCCTGATCGAGAACAAGAAGGCATCGCTGGTCCTCATCGCCAACGATGTCGACCCCATTGAGTTGGTTGTATTCCTCCCCGTTCTTTGCCGCAAGATGGGCGTTCCGTTCGCTATCGTGAAAGGCAAGGCCCGCCTCGGTACCGTCGTCCACCAGAAGGTACGTATCCCGTATACGCCTATTTTGATAGAGAAGTGGTTAATTCTTTCCAGACTGCCGCCGTTCTCGCTCTGACCGAAGTGCGATCTGAGGACAAGAACGAGCTCTCCAAGCTCGTCTCCGCCGTCAACGAGGGTTACGCCGAGAAGCACAAGGAGAGCGCCCGTCACTGGGGCGGTGGTATTATGGGTGCGAAGGCAAACGCTCGCATGGAGAAGCGGAGAAAGGCGTTGGAGAGCGCTATCAAGATCTAAGCGGATAATGATAGCTTGGGGGTGGATATGGACTTCGGCGTGTCTCTTCTCTCTGCATATAGCGGGCTTCGAGCAATACCACGGAGTTTAGGGCGGCCAAAAGCGGTCACGAACAACTGAAATCAATCATCAGGAACGTTTACCCACCTGGGCACGCTGTGCGGCAAAATCCAGTGATGAATAAGCGCCTAGTGGGGCTAGAGCTAGCACCTCTGACTGAAGTTGCCCCTCAGTGCCCCGCTAGGAAGGAGACAAGCTTCGCAGTGAAGCTTACACTTTAACTATGGGCTTCCCTCTTACATCGTACTGCTCACTATGGCTAAAGGTTAATTGACTGATCCAGATACTTCGCCGCACTTTTCTCGTCCAACCCAAACCCGAGAATCTGCAAGTACTGCGGTATGCCTCTAACGATCCTCACGGACGCGGACGTCCGCAGTCTCCTCTTTAGCCTCACAAGGCAAGACATCTTGGATTTGCAGCAAAGCTTAGCAGACGCGCTTCATTACTACTCGACTTCGACCGACGCAGACCTCAATGGCTGCAGCTCGTCGTACCAGCCCCTCCGCACCGCGCTCAAGCGAAGTGATGGCCAGACCACGCTCTTCATGCCCGCGAGCAGCAACGATGGCCTGGGAGTGAAGATCGTCACTCTAGCTGTACCGGAGGACTCGAAGAAGACATTAGATACAGCTAGTCCAGGTTCCGGCGCCGCGTCTCTCGCATCGTTCGACTCGCTCTCCATCTCCCAACCGTCTACCTCGTCCTCAACGACCGCTTTCGATGTCCCGCCAGACTCAGTCGCGAGCTCGCAAAGCACGACGCCGAAAGGGAGTCTCACGCTGCTCGACCGCACCGGCGCGCCACGAGCCCTCGTCAACGCCGAAGAAATAACCGCCTTCCGCACCGCCCTCGTCAGTACAATGCTGTTTAAGAAACGCACAAACGTACACGACGTGGTCGTCTTCGGCGCCGGCAAACAAGCATACTGGCACATCCGTCTGGCTCTCCTGCTCCGCGGGCCAGAAATCCACCACCTCAACATCGTAAACCGCACCTTCGACAGCGCCCACAATCTGCTCGAAAAACTGTACAAACCGACCTCCGAGCCCGCCGCCTTCCCCAAGATCAGCATCCCCACGCCCGAGACGACGGATCTTGCTCGCCCGAAGATTCAGATCCTCACGCCGAATGCGAATGAGTACGAGAGGCTGCTGAAGGCTACCGTGAGGGCGAGTAGTGTTATCTTTTGCACGACGCCCTCGCTCAGCCCGCTCTTCCCCGCCAGCTACCTTACCAACACCGAGGGCCGCAAAAAGGGCCGCTACATCGCCGCCATCGGATCGTACAAGCCGCATATGACCGAACTTCACCCGGACATTCTGCGGCAAAACGTCGCGCCCGACCACGGCCGGCACCACCACAAGCACGCGCTAGAAGGCGGCGCGGTGGTCGTCGACAGCGTGGAAGCGTGCCTGAAGGAAGCAGGCGAGATCATCCAAGCGGGCCTGACGGGCCACGAAGTCGTCGAAATCGGCGAACTGGTCATGCTGCGACGAGACGCAGAGCGCAGACGCATGGAATGCCAGGCGAAGAAGAGTATGGAGGGTTTGGACGAGGGGGGTGTGGAGTTGGGTGAGTGCGAGCAGAGGAAGAAGAAGAAGAGGAAGAGTGGTGGTGTTGTCAAGGAGCAGGAGGATGTGGCGGACAAGGGGCTGATGGAGTGGTTGCAGAGGGGAAATGTGATTTTCAAGTGTGTGGGCATGGGATTGATGGATGTGGTGGTTGGGACCGATTTGGTCAGGTTAGCGGATGAGAGAGGTGTGGGGACGAGGGTTGAGAATTTCTGAGATGGCATGAGTGGAGGGTGCGTATTGGTTTTATGGGTTCAACCGGATTACCCTTGATCAGCCATAGAACATAGAGTTCACATACAAGCATAGCCATCTACCACAGTTGCATCACCACCAAACCGGAGACTCCTCCTTCTATCGAAAGATGCCTTTAGTAGTAGTAGTCTTAGACTCCTGCGCCGCCCCATGCAAGCTTGATGCGTCCGAAAGCCCTACATCCGCCATTCGCCGACCTATAATACACACACCGTGGAACCTGTCCTGAACCATTCCTTGACCAAATTGACCGATCACCCATCGTGCTGACTCTTGAATAAAGAGAAAGAGACCACACGTCCTCTACGCAAAGTAGCTCTTCCACAATACGCCTTCCAGATCCTCTAGCTGTTCTTGCTCGAAAGCCTGATATATCCGTTAGCATCCATTCACCACAATGTTCTAGAGGGAGGACTGGTGGTGGGACTTACCTTGACATCCACATGCCAAGTATCCTGCCTCGTCTTTTTAAAATCTGCCAGTACACTCTTCACACTTTTCCCCACCATACCCGGGTCTGCCGCCGCCTTCCTTGCCAATGTAGCCAGCACATCCGGCAGCCAGGCCGGCGGCGGACTCGTATACGGGAATGCCTGAATCAATGCTCCCAGCCCGAGAACCGCTGCATGCCGCGTCAGGATGAGTTTGTTGTGCTCGGGCGTCGGCGTGCCGGGGATACGACGTTTTGGCAGTGGATTCTTGGCGAGCTTGGACGTGAATTCCGCTTTGAGTGTTGACACCATGCGTTCGCGGAGCGCGAGCGGCGAGCACCGGATCATACCCGAGAGTGTAGTGGCGGCGCCCATCCGCACTTCGAGCTGCACATCGCTGAGCATGCCGGAGACGCAATTGTAGATGTCGAGTTGCTGCTGCTCGCTCATGAGAAAGAGTCTCCGGAAATATATGACCTGGATATTGATTAAGATCCTGAGGCGCTGATGCCAGCTCGTCGCGGTACGCCCGATGCGAATTAGCGCGGCGATGAAGTCCGCGTCCTCACCCTGTCGGTGCGGGATGTTGGGTAGATGGCGGAAGACGTGGTACGCGAGGGATTGTAATTCCGGGTCTTCTTTGATATCCATCATGTGGAGGAGTTGCTCTGTAAAGACGTTGGGGAAGAACTTGATGAGTTGCGTGCATTCGTAGGACGAGAGGGTCGAGTTGAGCCAGAGAAGGACAGTCTTGCCACCGGACGTGTAGGACGAAGGGGTCTGTTGGCCGGCGGGACGTTGACCGCGCCAGACTTCTAGACGCTCAAAGACATCTGCGATCATCCTGGAGAATTCTTCCGTTGGCTCGTACGGACGGACGCCGATAGACGAGGCTTTCTTTTGCGCCTTGATAAGCGTGGAGACGTCCTTGTACGATTCATGATATCGCGTGCGGTAGATGCAAGCGATCGTCTGACCCATGGCTTCACGAACACCCTTGTATGGATGGTCAAGGTGCTGCATGAAGTCTTCAATAATGGGCTTCTCCAGTCGGAAATGCCAGCCTGCGTCGGAGATACATTGCTGGAGCAAGTGGATTTTCGAACTCTCCTTAAAAGCCGCATTGGAGTCCATATCGAGACGGAAGCTTGATAACCAATCGACGAGCGGCCATCCTCGCCTAGGATCCTTCGATTGAAGCACGACATGCAGAAATGTAGTCCAATAACCCGCGTTGTCAGGTGTCAGGCCGTCTTCGAAGATACCGCGGATGATTGGGAAGACGTACTCCCAGATCTCCTGGCGCTGCTCGGCCTCCAGATCTGGAGCACAGGAGAGCAAGGCACCCATGATCTCGGCTGTGGCACGGTGTTGATGCTTGTCGCTTCCGTCACCGTACACTGCCTGGGTGAGGTCCTTGATGTCCTCATATGTAGCTGAGCTGAGGCCGCAGAATACAAGCTCGAAGGCGTGGGTAAGCAGCATGGCGCTAGACATGCGGAATCGATCGGCCCCTGAGTCACGCGGTTCCTGCTTCATGAAAGCGAAGTAGTTTGAAAACCATGAACGGTCTAGGAGCGACCCAATCTTCTTACGGACATGGGTCTCCGTCTCGTCATAGGACATAGGCGGCGGATTTGGCAGGTACGCCGGCATCGTCTTCGTCCACACCAGCCAACCGGGATAATCGAAGTCGACATAGTACTTTGCTTCGGGTTTGGCGAACATGCCAAGGTATTCTCCGGTCCAGTTGGGATCGTCGGCCTTGGTTGGGACGGATATCTTGTCCGGGACCTCCTCTTCGCTAAGGAGGTACTTCTCGTAGCTATGCCCTGTAATGGCACGGGTCTGAATGACTGAGAAGAGCCCGACCAGGGCACCTGCGTACAGACCTCGCAGGCTGGGGTGCTGATCAATGGAGCCTTTGGCGACAAGTTCGATCATCTCATCGGACGCTATCGTATCGTAACGCATGCCGAGGTTGACAATGATGGCGGCAGTCCGGCTGACCTTTTTCCAGTGCGCAGTCCGAGTGGTGTCGATCAGCTCTTTGGAGAGGTCGGCCTTCTTCCCTTCGATACGAGCCCGTTTCCGCTTGATGAAATTTCGTCGCTTGACGACTTTCTGCTGGACGCTCTCGTCTTCACTCGCATCGATGACATACGCAATTGCTTCGACGACCTCCTTATCGAGGATGACCATCCGCTCCATTGCCTTGCCCATGTCCATGACTTGAAACGTGGCATTCGTCGCAAGTTTCTGGACGGAGGGCTTGTCTGCGCCAGTGACTTCGATGAAAGCTTTGATGAGGGTCGGTGTGAACCGCCAGTCCCGGCTGATGGTTTTCGCCAGGCTGCCAAACAAAAGCGTGAACATCGCGCCCTTGATACGAGGGTAGTCGTTCTCTGCGACGGCTTTCACTAGCGCATCAAGGAGCGGTGGGATGACGAGTGGTCGTGCACCTAGGACGCACTTGACGGCTGATTCATTCGCGGTTTGAGCCGTGCGTCGAATCTCAGTATACAGTGAGATACTGGACTCAGCAAGGTCGAAGAGAAGTCGCTTGTCCAGATCGGTCTTCGGCCGAGGGTTGGCATTGTGCCGTAGCCGCTGGAGGTGGTAGACATTGGCGCGCCGCACCAGCAGGGGGCGCGGGTACTCCTTTCGTAGCCCACTGAATCTGAAGGGACCTTCGTCCGATTCAAGCAGCCTAGTTATCCGCTCCAGGACATGGGCGGATCGCTCGATGCCAACGTCGATAAACCACGACCGATAGGCGTTGTACAGCGCGTTGAAGCACGGCACATCATCCTCCTGCTTTTCGCTCAAAAACTGGTGGACTTCGTGAAGCGTCTCTCCAACCTTTTGGCGAAGATTGTGAATGAGCTTGTAGTTACTGTCGCCGCGCCTGAGGGGATACCCAGTCTCGTACACGAAGGTAGGCTTGACTTCCTCGTCTTCTGCCTCCCCGAGACCAGCATCATCCTCGATGCCTTCGGTGTCTATAGCGTCCGGATCAGAGCCGTTGTCGGACTCTACAGAACCTCCATCGGCAGCTTGCCCATGGCGAACATCAAATAGCACCGAGATGCCGGATACCAATAGCCTCAGAAGGACTAGATTTCTAGATATCTCGTCCGACCAGTCCTTCCCGGTACCCTCACGCTTAATAGGTGGGTTAGCTGAGACGAGTGCGGTGAGAGTGTTGATGGAGTTTTCCGCCTGGAACTCGAACAACTTGATGGCAAAATCAATCTCCTCGGGGTTCGGCTTGTGCCACTTGATGTTGATCTTCTTCACGTCGACTTGCCTGCCCCATGAGCTCGTTGTAAGACCCCTTTCAAGCTCGTCCTCTTCGTAGATGGAGTAGTCGTTGGTATATGTGCAAGTGAGGTTGAGGAGGAGATGATGAATGAAGTTGGACACATGAACGGTAGGAGTGCCTCTACACTTCCGCTGCATGTACTCTGCAATCTCGAAGAGCTCGTCTTTCCATTGCACGACGGCATCGCCAACATGGACCACACTCATGCTCAAGATGCACAGGTACCATACGAGACCGCGGTCTCGTGGAAGAACATCAGCGCCCGTTGTCCGGGAGGAACCAGCACCATTGTCCTCAATCTCTGTCCGAATACCGGCGAAGATAGGAGGCAACAGTCGCTTTAGAGACTTCTCTGGGTTGACCTTTACCAAGCTGTTGCAAATGAACGATATTGCGTCTCGTGCTTGATGTATGACATGATTCGAGATGAAGTTGGCGATCTTGTCGAGCGCAATATCGAACAGTTCGGGGGAGAGCGCCGCAAGCAGCGGGGTGAAGGCGGCCGGGAGATGGTTTGCCACGAATTCTTCGGGGGTTCCACTACGAATCCTCGCAGCGTCTGGCAAGTTCTCTAAAAGGGTGAACACTCGGCCAAGGAACGACATCAAGAACTCGGCAAGCCCGGTTGTTGAGGAACGTAGGATCATCTCTTCCTCGTGGTCGCTGAGCTCCTTATCATAGTCGATCTCGATGAGCCCCTTGGCGTTCTCTAACCGGTCGACCTGCTCTGTGATCCATCGCACGGCGAGCCCGGTGTCGGTGTCAGCCCCTTCCATCGGCGTCGCCGTTCCGCTTGTTCCACTTTTGATGGAGGCACCGTTCGCAAGCTTGCTCTCTTGTGTGAGGTCATGGAATGGTACGGTGTAACAGACGCCTTGGATGTAGGCCAAGGTCTGTACAGTCTTGTCCAAGTCATTTGGGTCGATGCCGGGTAGCGCAAGCCCTAGGAGCGTCGTAACGTGACACCGGTAGCCTTTCGTCCTCGCCATAATCTTGGAAAGTACTTGCAACGCCCGAATGGAGGATATCGTCCGATGCACCTCGACCAGACCTTGCATCGCGGGGTATATCCGCTGTAATGCTCCCGGCAGGATCAGGGTCGGTTCCAGGTATGCGAGGCTCTGGAGTGTAGATAACGAGTACGCCACCGCCTTGTCACTCTTGGAGAATATGCCCATGAAGGTTACCTCGCGCAAGCAGAGCACAAAGCGTCGCTTAAGAGCGTCATTCAGCCTCCGTCCCTCAGGAACATCCATCTCGCCACTGTGCTCTCGGTTCCAGCGCAGGACGAAGAAATCAGCCAGGTAGTACACCAGCTGCGCTAGCGACCTTGTCCAGCTGCCTGAATTTGACGGATGGAAAAATGTTTCGACGGCTTGAATAAGACCTTCGAGCTGGCTTAGAACCGAATCTGAATGGCCCAAGCATGCCGGGGAGAATGACATGACAATGGTACGCGAGATGTGATGCGTGGAAGGATGCTTCCGCTGGTCTCGGTCGAGCATGACAGCTAACCCGGCGCCTAGGTCCACAGTCTCCATGTATGGTGATGTGGCTTGCCCGACGGGTATCTCAAGTAGCCTCAGAATAGCAGTGAAGATGAGAGCACACTGTTCGCCCGTGAACATGCCGTATTGCGAAAAGGATATATGCGGCGCGGTGAGCGAATCCCGAGCGAGCCTCGATAGCATGTCGAGGAAATGCGCATCTACGAGCCGTGATCGATTGACCAACGACCAAAGATGGAAGAAAAGCGGGAGGTACTCCTGAGGCTGCAGATCCGGCCTATCATCTGGCGCTGGGCTCGTCGGGAGTAGTAGGTTTAGGAGGCCTATGACGACGAATGCGCCTTCGGAGTAGGACGTGCTGAAGAACGGAAGAATCTCCTCGAGTATCGCGGGTATCTCCTGCGGATCGAAATAGAGCTGCGCAAAGGTGCACAGTTTGGTCAGGGTGCGTATGTTGCGCTTCACATTTGGCGGTTGCGATCCTCCCGATTCTGACGGGAGCACGAACAGCTTCAGTTCCCTAAACAGAGGCCGCCAGTCGAGCACCAAATCTTTACCCGGTCGAAGGTAGTGTTTCCGCCTGTCCACCATGTCAGTTGTGCTACGCTTGATGCCAAGACGTGTCAAAAATGTCACTCACTTTGTCAGGACCATGAACATGCTCGCGAAGCGCTCCGCCACCAGGTAGTCCAGCCCCGGAGCCAGAGCAAGCTCGTAGTAGAGGTTCACCAGCTTGACGCGCGTGCTGCGGGGGAGGTCGAATTTCAGCGTCAACCATCCGCGGATCTCGCGCGTCCAGTGCACTGCACCCGGCGCAAAGTCGCCCGCGGACACGGCAATGTAGAGGTGCTTCAGACATGTGTTCAGGTTGTCCTCGCGCTCGCTCTGGGCCTCGGTGTCGTAGGGCAGATACTTGAAGTATGGGAAGGTCCGCGGGCGGCTGCGATTCTGCTTGTCCTCGTCTGTGCCGTTGACGCTGCCGTTGGCCTGTCGCCAATCGGCGCCCGGTGAGGTCGCACGAGACGAGTCAACGCCAGAGGCGGCATCGAGGGCGCCCATGAGCTGTGATATTCGTTCGCTGACAGCCATGGTTGCCAGAAGGTAGACTGTGGATGAAACAGGCCTACGGCGTGGGGTTGCGGCGGTCGGGGCGGGCGGTCATCAAAGAATATGCGTCAATGGGCAGTCGGGCGCGGCGGGAGATAATCTGCGAGCGCAATCTGTTAGCAAGGCAGTCCAGTGACTTGAAGGCTGTGCGAAGGGCGATGAGATCCACACGAGACCAGGCTGGCGGAGGCGCTCGTCCATAGTTGTGTGCAGGACGTACTGTACAGATTCTGGGCTCTGGATCTAGCGCAAGTGCAAATGTATGAGAGGGTGTAACTGGGCGTGGTGGGAGAAGTTGGAGTCGCAGTTCATGTAGGTAGCCGACGCCTCGCGGCTCCCGCAAGGTTGTGGATGACCGGGGACGTGCTGGAGCTATGACCCGTGAGGCTGCCGTCGCCGGTGTGCTCGATGAGCCGCTGCCGACTAGTAGCTACGCGAGGGACGACCGCAGCACTCCCGCCTACTTTCCCAGCTGCGACCGCAACAAATCAACCAGGACGAGGCAAAACAGAAAACTCACCTTGAAATCTTTCCAGCCAGTTGCCAAAGGGACGAGCGCGACTGATCGGGGATTTCGGGGATGCGCGCGTCCTAAAATACGCTGCGGCCCGCACCAGGCATTCACGACGCGCAATTCGCTGCGGCAACACAGGTAGGGAGCATCCCATACCATGCCGCAAAGTCACGGCAGCAGCTCCTTTCCCAGCTTCACTGATTCGACCGTGCCTTCTGCGGTCCAAACACTATTGTCTTCCCCTTTCACTTTTCCGCACATCTGTTGCATGCCGAAAGGTCGGGGTCTGGTGGCACGACACGCGACAACGCTTATTGCCTCTGCCGTTGGAGCACCTCCGACTGCTGGCTCTGCACTACAACGTGGCATCCATCCTTGCGATTCTACTCACCAAGGCCCAACTTCCCCTCTCGGCACTCACTGACTGGAAATCGCTTCAGGATGGGTTCCTACTACGATGTGGACGCCATCCTCACAGACGCGCAGGCAAGTGTAGGGCCAGTTTTCGCCTCCACAAGGCTTACAAATGTCTAGAAAGTCCCATGCACTTTCGAGCTGACGGTGCCCGGTCTGGGCTTCCTGGAAGGCAACATGAGTGGCGATGTAAGGCCTCACTATTGTCTACGCCCCGAAGTGTCTAGTGACCGTGTCTACAGATGAAGCAGGGGTCCAAGGTAGAGTTGCCGCTTTGGCTTGGGGAGATGCTTGCGCTGAGGTAGGAGTACTTCACTCGGACAAGTACAGGATTTATTAATATTCGTGATAGCCAGAGTCTGAATACATCGTCTTTGGTCACACTGGATGCTCCGTCAGCCCTGGCACCGCGCGTCCTAAACGCGCTGAAAGCTGATCCGCGAACGGTCGACCTTCGAGCCCTTGCACCGCACTTCTACAACCTGGGTGCGCGAATCCTTGAGCTTTTTGACGAGGAAGAGATGATCGAGGTGTTGAGCGACGTCCGTACACGACACCACTGGAAGACTTCTATGGCTGACTCCAACTAGACGTTCAAAGCCAGGGCAGCTGTTATCGCCGACCAGGCGCATAACCCAAGGGGTGCGCTAGGCGAAGGAGCCGACTTCCTGCGCGGGCTAGACGAGAACGAGAGGCAATGTGAGTCGAATCCGCTATGCTTGACCATTCCTAGTAACCTCCAATGCTGACCATCCAAAAGTATTCCGAGCAGCCCACGACAGTGCAAAGGCTGTTCGGGCATGGATGACCGAGCTGAAGAAGAAATGAAGAAAGAGCAACTCCGCTAAGTTCCTAGACGCTCCGAGGTCTGACAAGGAGCTCTATATTATTGTCGAGCGAGGATCAAGGGTCAGCATGAGACGAAAGGCTTCGAGAGCTACGGAGGCAGAAAGTGCATGCCCAAAGAAAAGGAGGATACTTGGAAACATATCATCGGTGGATGCGAGTAGGAGACGTGACGGGATAGCACAAAGCAGCAATGCAAGGACGATGCTCAGGGGTGGTCAATAAGCTCCTACCTTCCAATTACGTTACGGTTACCTGGTGAAAGCAATTTACCTGAACGTAACATCTGGCCTGAAATACCCCGCGAGCCTTTATCGCATAGTGGCCCCAAGATTACTGTTCTGTAACAGGCTGATCAACTGTTCCGGGGGATATCCAAGGAAAACTGGCCCGTTGAAGACCATTTGTGGGATGACCTTTGAAGTCTCATGCTCCGGCCTCTTCTCCCCGACCAATTTCGGCTCCACCTGGGGTTCATGGGGCTCAAGCGGCGGTGCTTCTGGTTCCCGCTCGGGTTCCTGCGCTGGACCCTGTTCAGGAGCATCGTGACGCTCTCTGACTTTGGTCCCATCCGCCTTAACCAAATGGTCGAACGGGCATTGTCCCGTCTTCCGTGGTGTCTCGCCAATCGGACGGTCCGTCTCGAGGGGCAACGGAGGTGACGCCGTTGGGGCCGAACCCACGGAAGAAGAGCTGTCCGCATTCGTATACTTGGGCGGTATGGAGATGCCCCATGGCCGACTAGGAGACTCGCCAACTCTGATCTCTTTGAGCGGTCTATCGAAGTGGGCCGTCCTCGCCTCGTCGACTGCTTGCTCTGATGATTCTTCCTCGCCTGGAGTGCAATCTTGGAGGCTAACTGTTACATCCTTTGCCCAATTTTCCACTTTTGCATCGGTCTTTGCCTCCTCTTCAGCGACGTCAGCTCCCTCTTCCGGCTCCTCCGGTAGCCATGCTTGGTGCTTCTCGCCCAGGCCTTGAATCATGCTGACGAGATTGCCGTATTTGCGGTCTAGCTGACGTATGCTATCAGCGTTACTCTGGAAACGGCTGATGCAGACCTCGTGGCTTCTAGGAAGCTCGTGCTTGTGCTTTTCAAAATACTTGGCGACCTCTTCCGGAGCGTGCTGATCAAGGAAGCGGATGGGGCATACGGCGGCGGAGCCTTCGATGGAGGCTGACGCGGAAACCGGGTCATTACCACATATTTCGGCACGTATGGGATCATTAAACGACGGTCTTTTGGATCTGCGCCCCTTCAAGCTCATCCGAGATGGGGAACTGAGTGGCGTGGCGAGCGGACTTTGTCTTGCACTGCCGTTCGCGAAGGGACAGCCTAGCTTGCTAGGGGTTCCAGCGGTTGTAAAGTCCTTCTCCATGTGCGACATATCTACATCGGACTGTATCCGCAGCGCAGACCGTTCCTTGTCCGCAGATGGCCGGCTCCATATCATCACGCCGGTGTCAGTCTTAACACCGATGGCGCCGACGGGATCCCGCAGGTTGGCTGAGGCTGATACGGCTTGTTTGATGACACATGCCCGATTCCGCCGTTGTTTATCATTGCTTTCTGAGAGCTTTTCAATCCAATCGTACTGCGAGCTAGGCGGTTCGGAGGCTATGCGGTCAAGGTCCTGCAGGAAGACGAGGTGATCTTGGGAAAGGGTATCTGGCGTGAATCGTTTGAGCAAATCAAGATACTAGATATGATCAGCGCTGCAACGATGATTGCCGCATGAACCAAAGATGAAGAAGAAACAATCAGTTATGGTAAATGTTGTCTGTCAAGGCCGCCACGCGGCTGCAGGTCTAGAGCTAAAAAGTATTCATCACGAAGACTGAGGAGATTCTTGTGTTGCACATACCTGCTGCTTAGCCCACGACAGCTTGCTCTCTAGCTGCCGTTGTTGCTCAAAGAGGATTTGGTATTCCCCGCTCAAGGCCGCGAAGCCCGCGGCAAGCTGCTCCGCGAGATGGAGGGCAGACGGAGTGTCGGCCATGAAGACTTGTAAGCGTACGATCGCAGTAAGTGAGAAAGGACGGCGAGTGCAGGACGGTGGAGACCAGCTCCCAAAAATGCACAGCGCTGGCAGAGAAAGAATCTAGGTCAGTGAAAGGCGAAGTGGAAGTGTTGTACGCGGAGCAGGGATGTGCGCTGCAGATGCCTCAGGGCTAAGCCGTGCCGACGCTAGAGTCCACGTGATCCAACCGGGCCGGTGGCGCCTCCAAGGTTCCAAGCGAGGCAAGTTGCACCAGCCTCTTGTGATTTCTGGGAAGTCGCGTCACGGCAGCGCTCAGCCTCAACATCGCCCGGGTTTACGTAGCAGGGTCGCCATTGACTATATTCTTATGCAGCATGCCGCCAAATTCATGATTGTCCTTTCTCCTTCCGCATATTAAGCGTTCTGCAGAGCGCATTTGTACCTTCACTCACTTCCGCTATTGCAGTCAAAGTACCTATAAGCATACCTTCCCTCAACGCTTCCCTACCATGTCTCTGCATACTTCAGGCATTTCTAGATGGCTCGCAGCCTCTCCCCCAGTCGCATGGACCGTCCGCCAGCTACGAGAGCTCCTCATTGGCGCCCTTAGACAGGGCCCGATCCCGCAGCATGTCGCATTTGTTATGGACGGAAACAGGCGCTTTGCGCGCGAGCACCATATCGAGACCGTAGAGGGACATAATATGGGGTTCGAAGCGCTAGCACGAGTATGTTGATCCTCCCATTGTCCCTCCAACTTCCGCGATGCTGACCTGCGCCAGATTCTCGAGGTTTGCTACAAGACCGGAGTAAAAGTTGTTACAATCTATGCCTTCAGCATCGAGAACTTCAAGCGCTCAAAACACGAGGTGGACGCCCTGATGGCCATGGCGAAGCTCAAGTTGGGACAGTTGTCGGAGCATGGAGCTCTCCTCGATCGTTATGGCGCCTCTATCCGGATTCTGGGTCAGCGCAACTTCGTCAAACCCGACGTCTTGGAGGCCATCGACAAAGCCGTTGCCATGACGGCACACAACAAGAGGTAAAGTCTTCAGCAACGTCTCCCAGTGCATCCGCTGATGAGCCTCCAGAGCCATCCTCAATGTCTGCTTTCCCTACACCTCACGAGACGAGATCACGTCTGCGGTCAAATCAACGGTGGAGCAGTTCAGCACTCCGATAGAGAACATCCAAACGCCCTCGAAACGTACCTTCTCCGCGTCACACATAACCCAGCACATCCGGAAGAAAATGCTGGGAGAGGACAACGGGGATGTATCCGAGCAGCCAGACTCGCGGTCAACGTCCCCTGCATCATCGAAAGAAGGCAAATCGGCTGAGGATAACCATTCCTCGTCGACATCGACAGCGATCAATCCGCCAGAAAAGGAAGAGTCCCGAGGGCCAACGCCGGCCTATCCAGATGCGGAAAGCATCACAGCTGAGACGCTGACCGACCACATGTTGACGGCCGGGGCACCGCCTTTGGATTTGCTGGTTCGGACTTCGGGAGTTGAGAGACTCAGCGACTTCATGCTGTGGCAATGCCATGAAAACACCTCGATCGTCTTTCTCAAGTGCCTCTGGCCCGAATTCGATCTGTGGCACTTCCTTCCGGTGTTGGTCGAATGGCAGTGGCAGCAGAAGAAACTCCAGGAACAGCTACGAGGCCGGGGTCGGTCCAAGGCGGATGGAAGTAGGATTTGAGCGTTGCGGCACCGCAGAGAAGACGAAGCGTGAGCTGAGACACCGGTACGCATTGATACCCAGGAGCAAAAGTACATATGCATAGAGCGAGCCGGGTCTGGCATCCGAAATGCTAGGCGTATGGTCGTTTTGAGTCGAGAACAACGCTTCAGCAGCTTGGTACGACGCCTTTGCAGGCTTGTTGGCACCTAATAGCCTTTCAGGTCTTTATCTCTAATCGCGGTTGCGCCTCAACCGAGGGTTGCGATCATCTGATCCCATCTGTCGGCGCTAGCGTCCTCGTGCAACCGGCGTGCAGGCCAGCCGTTGCTTCTTCACGCTGACTAGGCCTGCGAACGTCATCCGTCCCGCGATAACTAGAAAAACTCCATTTTCCCGAGCAAGCATCTTTCTTTTCGTTTTGCCGTCCGCGCCTTCAGATTTTTGCATCAATTGCCGATATCTTTGTACCCAGGGCTTTACACAGCGCTGAACATAGTGGGGCAGAGAAAGCAGGTTTCTGTGCCACATTCTGTCCTTCCTCTATCAGCCGGCAAACCTGCAACCCAGAAACTGAGCGCCATTCCTTCTCTCCTCTTCTTAGCCTGCCAAAGTCTACAGGAGCAGCGTCTATGGCTTCACTCCTCTCAATCCCAGTCGAGCTTAGAGAGTTTATCTATGAACATCTCTTCAGGTCATACACAGTCAAACATGGCTTCGGCATCTCCTCATCTTCTAATCGGACGGCTATCCTCCAGACTTGTCGGCAGATTCATTGCGAAGCATGGCGGCACCTCCCTTTAAACATTTCCTTCCATTTTCGCGGCACAGAGGCGATGCTGGATACACTGCTGAGTGTCGATCAATCCGTTGTGACACGTCTACGTCACATCCGCGTCAAGGCATTCCCTTTCCCATTATACGAGACGGAACGGGCAGAGTACTACACGACGTACTACTTCCACAATGCACTATCGCTCCTTCCCGGGCTGCATCTCGATCACCTCATTGTGGAAGACAGTTTCCATGGCTTTGGCCTTGTCGACGGGTGGAGAGATGTGGTGACCTACTTCGATATTGAAAGTTTGCTCAAGAGCGACGCATGGAAGGAACTCGTGTACATCACGCCAAATACCGATTTCATCGCATCCGGATACGACCACCGACGGAAGAGAGTTGCGCAACCCGAAAACTGGGATGCTCTGCTCAAAGAGAGGGACGGAAAGGAGTCCGGCGCTGAGGTGCAGATGTGGATTATGCCACAGTCTAACAGCTCTGACGGGTCCGCACAACAGCGTGCTGAGCCGCAGCAATGGTCAGCGAGGCCTGGGCACGAAGTAGTCGAGAATTGGCGACTTGCCACGCCAGAGCAGGACCTAATCGGCGAGGTCCAAATTATCGCTCGTAGGGGAAAGAGAGCGAGATACGTGCAGCTCGGTCTGTCTGAAAAGAAGACTTGGGCGGAGTTGAAAGGTAAACCACGAGCATTTACCAGGGAAGGTCAGTTGATCTTGATTTGCTTGCCACTCCCGGAACACAGGATGCTGACGAGTCCGCAGATTGGACACCATATTATAATGACATGGCGGATGCTGTGGGATGGGTCTACGGCGGCTGGGGTCGCAGAATGCAGCTCGCACATATGGCTCTCGATCATGCGTGAGACCCTCACATTCCCTCGCCATGGCTGCCAATGCGGTACAATCGGAACATTATTAGAGGCCAAGAGCTTGTGAGGCTCTTAGGACAATGTCGTTGTTATACCCGGATCTTGGTGCTCGCACGACGTCTCGTGCCGTTGGTGACCCTTTGCGCAATGCTTAGTTTCAGGTACAGGATATATATTTACCCCAGAGTTTTGCTCTTATGTTACACAGCAATCTTAACGTTGGTTTGATGGCATTCCCCTTTAGCCGCATAGTGGATGTCTGGGGTGCAATCTAAGTAATGGGATCGACGTTCTGCTTCGTGTTGGCGTCCCGGGATTCTAGTTTTAGGGCGGACCGTCAGTGTCAAAACTGTAAGTTCTGTCAACATGTTGGCGTTTCTTAAGGGACTCGCTCCGCACTCAAGAGGCACCAGTTTGAGGATGGCGGCATGTCTTCGCAATACCATGGCCGCGTTTGTTTGGCGGTAGCATTATGCCTGGTCACCTTGTTCTTCATCTTGAAGATACAACATGAGGGACGAACAGGCGCATTCGAATTCACAGCTCAATATTATCATTCTAGCCGCACACCATCGAGCGGTATCGCCAACGATACACTGGGGGTACGTTCTCTCGCCTGACGTTCGCACTTCGAAACCATACGCTGACAACCCTCATCAGTTTGAGAAGATCTTCGTGATCAACGCGCCATGGAGAACAGATCGAAAAGACTCCATTTCTCTAGCGGCATCATACGGCGGTATCTCCCTTGAGTGGGTCGACGGTATCGATGCGGAGGCGATTCGAGAGAGCGCATATCCGCCTGGCAATCATCGTCAAATCAACCATGGGAATCTTGGTAGTTGGCGAGCTCACATGGATGCTATGCGGGAGTAAGGCAGTGACCCATTCCTGAACGCCGTTGCTTGTAGCTCACATCTGCTAGGGTCATCGTTCGGAACCTCACCACTGCATTGATCCTCGAGGACGATGCTGATTGGGACTTCCGCCTCCGTTCCCAGCTGGCAGACTTCGGCCATGCTGCACGCAGATTACCAGAGCTCATCTCACGAGCCGATGCACACGCGCAAAGACTCCCTCCAGCTTCCGAACAAAAGATACCAGATCCAATCGAGCTCGCGAAACGCTCCTCCATAAGCCTCCCTTCCCTTGGCCGCCGCAGCATCCCTAAGGCGGATCCATATGGTCGTGACTGGGACATCCTTTGGCTAGGCCACTGTGGGGCTCAGCTCCCTCCGCCTTCTACAGCTCACCCCGACCGCATCATGCTCCTCAATGACCAGACCGTCGCGGGCCCCCAGCATCTGAAACCCTCCCCCGGCGCGCCTCCTGATGCGATCTCCTCCATCTACCCCCCATATACGCGTCTAGTCCATCGCGCCAATGCCACGCTCTGCACCCTTGCCTACGCCGTCACGCAAGCCGGCGCGCGTAAGATACTCTATCGATTCGGCATCCACGACTTTAGCAAAGGCTACGATTTCGCGCTATCAGACTATTGTAATGGGAAACTGAGATACATGACGAAGGAAACAACGCCAATGTGTATTACGGTGCAGCCGCCGCTTTTTAGCCATTTCTTCGGCGAGCGCGGCGGCAGCGATATAACAGGCACCGGTTCTGCAGGACGGCAGGTTGGGAGCAGATACATAAGGCAAAGTGTGAGAGGGAATCTAGAAGGGTTGGTTAAGGAGGATGAGGGCATTAGTGAGCAGTGGGGGGACGAGGAGAACAAGGAGAGGTGATGATTGCAACATTCATGGCTGGCGTATCTGGGTGGCATTATTAGAAACGGATTACGAACTTGCATATTCCATCGAGCCTTGTGTGCTGTCATGGGTCTTCGGCCATGAAGTCATGCCTTTGACGTTTGGCGTGCTGCAATCTTTGGTCTTGAAGGTGGTTCTTCCTGTCTGAGAGCCCGAGTACCACATAGCATCTAAAGAAGCAATGAACCGTGACGTCGATTCACATGCCTGAGGCTACTGGCTGCTGGCTACTGCAGGGAGCGTTCCTTGGTTGGCTCTGGTGTGGCGGGCCGGTACGCGACCCAAGCGCCATGCGGCGGAGTGCTGGGCTTGCCGATCTGCAGGTCCGCCAGGGCTCAACGGCAACGGCAACGGCGCAGCGCGACCCGCGCCCTCTTTCCCACCTCCACTTCAAATGGCCATTGCATTCTCGCGCCCTCGCTTGCTCTGTTGGTTTTGCCTTCCGGTGGAGGCAGGCGCGGTTCAGATGAGCTGGTAAATCAAAAGTCGAGCTTCTGCGCTTCTCTTCTCTTCTTTCCTTCATCCCATTCTGTCACCCGCTGTTGAATCCTACCAACAGTACGCGGAGCCGTGCGACCCAGGCCAGACGTTGTGTCTTTTGGCCCCAGGTGCCTCCGCTCTTTATCCAAGCTTCACTACCAGGCTTGTTATCCTCATTCCCATGCAGTAGCTCTTCGCTGCAGCACAGCCAGCATGGCCGGTTTCCTTCCAGCCCTGAACACCAGGACCAAGCTGACATACGTCCCGTAGTTCCAACTATCGCCAATCGTTGTCGCGTCTGCCCTCGGTCTCGCCGGCTGCTCAATTGCCCAGCAGTATCCTCCGCCCGTCACCTACGATACCGTCCTCAAGTCACCCATCAACCCTAATATCACCATCTCATACAAGGAACCAGATCCGGGCACCTGCACCACTGTCTTCCCTGCCCAGAAGCAGTACACGGGCTATGTCAACCTCCCTCCCTTCACGCTCGAGCCATTCCAGCAGGACTACTCCATCAACACATTCTTCTGGTTCTTCGAGGCCCGCACCGAACCTGAGACCGCGCCCCTCACAGTTTGGCTCAATGGCGGACCCGGCAGCAGCAGCATGATTGGTCTTTTCCGCGAGGCAGGCCCTTGCGAGGTAGTACAATTGGCAGACGGCTCTTATGGCACACAAGCCAGCACATTCGGCTGGGATCGCAGCTCCAATGTGCTCTTCATCGACCAGCCTACTCAGGTCGGCTTCTCCTACGATGAGGCTGTGAACTCGACGGTGGACTTCCGCACGGGAGTCATCGCCTACCCCAAATCTCTTCCACGAGATGACCCACCATGGGTCTTGGCGAACGGCACTCTCTCCTCCCTCAACCCAAACAACACACAGAACTCGACCGTCATTGCAGCCAGAGCTGCCTGGCACTTTTTACAGGGCTTCCTATCTGCATTCCCTCAGTATAATCCTGGCCAACATCCCAACAGAACGACAGTTGAGCCCGTCGGCGTCAATCTGTTTGCCGAGAGCTACGGTGGCCAGTACGGTCCTACGTTCGGCGACTTCTTCGAGGACCAGAACGAACGGCGACGCACCGGAGAGATTCCCGCGAACAGCACCCTTGAGATCAAGCTCAGCTCGGTTGGCATCATCAATGGCTTGGTGGATGCGCTCATCCAAGCGCCGTCCCTAGGCAACTTTACGTACAACAATACCTACGGCATCCAAGCGATCGACCAGACTGAGTGGTTGAACCTAATCAGCGACTTCAAGGCTCCAGGAGGGTGTCAAGACCTTGTCACTCAATGTCGCAAACATATGGCAGCTGGCGACACCGAAGGCGAGAGCTTCGATGCTGCAACTTCGTCGGTTTGCGCTGAAGCCAGCAACGCTTGCTATGGGATTATGGGCGAGGCTATCAACGAAGCCGGCAGGAGCGCCTATGACATCCGCGTCATGCCGCCTAACTCGTTCCCTAGCTACGCTTACCTGGAGTATCTGAACAGTGCCGATGTTCTGCGGTCTATCGGAGCAAAAGTCAACTATACGGAGACGAGCACAGCGGTCTACAACGCCTTCGGAGAAAGTGAGCATCTCTGTCGCTACCGTCAATGATAGGTGTGCTAACGCTGGCCAGCTGGTGATATCGTACGCGGAACGCAGGTGCAGAAGCTAGCGGACCTTCTTGCCCGTGGTGTCCGCGTAGCTTTCATCTATGGCGACGCGTAGGTATCCACCGCTTCAATCCCCTGCATTCAGATCTGACGCTTGCTAGTGATATCATTTGCAATTGGTACGGAGGCGAAGCTGTGTCTCTTGCTGTCGCTCGTCTCTCAGCTTACAACACCACGTTCCCGGCCGCCGGTTACGCCGACATTGTCTCCAACAGCTCCTATGTCGGCGGGCAGGTCCGTCAGTACGGCAATCTCTCCTTCTCCCGCATATACGACGCTGGCCACACTGTTCCGTCGTACCAACCTGAGACCGCGTTCACCGTCTTCACTCGCATCATCCAAGGCAACGATATCGGCATGGGAAAGGATGTTGATCTCTCCACTTTCGGAACTGAGGGGCCCGCGAATTCTGATCACGCAAATAAGGCTCCAGCGCAGCCCAAGAGCACCTGCTGGATCCGAGCTATTAACGACACTTGCAATGACAATGAAAAGAGAGCCATCAATCAGGGGTTGGGCATCGTGAAGAACGGGATGTGGTTTGCTCAGGACAGCCAATACACTCCCTCTGCGAGTTCGGTGCTCGCCGGCAAGCCAGGCAGTCTTCCCACCAACGGTCCTACGGCTACTGTACGGAATGGCAACCCTACGACGACCTCGAGTATTGCTCTGACAGGTGTTTACACTGCTACCGGTACGCCTAAGCCAACTTCGGGCGCCTCCCGACTCTTGTTTCGTGTTCAGACCAGACGCTTTCGCCATGCTGAACGCGACGCGCTCCTCGATTATGATAAGTTAGAAGGCGATCAATCGAAGGAAGTGAGGACAGGTCTTATCGCGGCACTCGCTGCTGTCGGAGGACTCCTGCTGCTGTGAGTTTGCATGCCTATAGGACATTACCTCCAACAGTAGTCTACTTATGCCTTCACTCCCCTACCAACGCTTCATGGCAGGGCAAAGGCCTCTATAAGTATACTAAACAGGTGCATTGTAGGCTCTTACTACTATCGACTTGCTGCCTATGTTGGCGTCACCACCGTTCCCGGAAGCACAACCGTCGGTTCCTGGGTGGCCCTCGAGACACACCGTCGCCTCTTCCCACTTCAGAGCCTGCCACGCCGAAGCTGGAGGCGATAGCCGAGCCGCAGAGAAGGAACATTGTCCAGCGGATAGCGATGAGGCGCCCGAGCTCAAAGAAAGAGCCAACCCCAGCCGCTGCACCCGTTGATATTGAGAGGCCGGAAGATCCGCCGTCATTCGACGAGCAGCGTCGCCCGTCTCGCCGCCTGAGCGCGCCAATGGAACCCATCCCTGAGTCTGCATCGCCGCGACCGAGTGTAGACTTACGTAGACCTTCGGGGAGTCCGCCTGCGGGAGGTCATCGCCTCAGCGCGCATCCAAATGCGCCCATCATCGTTGAGGAGCCGACGCCCATTGTACAGCGAAATGCGGCCCCTCCGAGCAGAGCACCTACTGAGCTAACCACCGAAGAGCCCCCGAAATCTCGACAGCCAAGCAGGGTGGCATCGGAGCCAGCGGTGCTTGTTGCCTCACGGAAGCCCAGCGCAGCCCCCTCAAAACCAGCATCCCCAGCACCAGAACCAGAACCCATGCCACCCGTTCAGCGCTCAGCCTCCCTCCCACCGGAAGACGTCCCACCTGAAGACAAAGCCCCTACACGCGCCCCTACACGCGCAAATTCAGTGGCTACCGAGCCTGCTGCCAGCCGCAAGCCGTCGGTTCTGCAGCGCATGCGCACCGGCTGGCGACATAGTCTCGGCAACGGTGAAGCCGCGCCGAGCGTCATCGATGAGCTAAACGATAAGGCGGCGAAGGAAGAAGAGACGGCGGCTGACGAAGGTGTGAAGGGGGCAGAAGAGAGAGCCTCGACCCCACCTCCACGAGTGGCTACCCAGCCGCCTCCCGAACGCGCTCCTACTGTCAAGGTCCCGGAACGTTCGGCTCCGCAGCCTTCGATTGGACCCGAGGAGGGCGAGAAGGCCCGAGGCTAAGTTAATCTTTGAGGGATATTAGTGTCTGGGGAGCCTGGCTTTCGACTGCTGTGAAGCGGCTGAGGTAATTCCAGCGACGGACTTGTTGCTTCCATTAGCTGTGGGCGTTGATTGGCACCTTGCATTTGAGATTGGGATCCTGCTTGTTGCTGCTATTGGGACAGGGATAGTAATACGAGGAGATAGTAGAGGGGAAGGGAAAAAGTAGTGGTGTGTGGATTGCTTTGGAGTCTTTAGTTTCCTAGTTAGATACCCCTTGAATTCAGTTCTAATACCCCTTCTTCATTTCCTGGGTGCAGTCCGGATGCGCACGTGCTGTGCTTAGCGGTATTGTCATACAGAGAGCTATGGCCGAAACCTTGTCCTGTTTACCTATTTCCTCCATTATCCTTTTACCTCCAGCGTTCCTAGTCAAGAACTTCCGTATTCCCATATGCCCACTCCTCATCCACACGATCCTCCTTCCACGGCCGCATGTACATGTACATTCTATACATCCCCGCACTGCCCTTGATATCTTGTTCAGGCAGCGAAAAAGCGTACTTCTCTACCACTTCTACGGCCCACAGCGCGAGTCGATCTCCCAAGCCCTCTACGGGTCCATCCTTGGAGAAAGCGAGAGCGAGGGCGGAGGCAGGGAGTAGGCCCGGTGCACATCCGAGAGCATTGAGTCTTTGTAAAGGCGGAGGCTTCCCATTCGCAGTCCCAGTGCCAACAAAATTCGCCACTACCTCTTTAGAGAGACTTGCAGCCTCCTCGCAAGCGTCAAGCGAAGGCAGCCCGTGCATCGCAAATAGCTCGCGCGTCCACGCGTAGACTATGCTATCGTCGCTCTTCTCGTCTCTTGTAATGCAGAGGTACGCGAACAGGAAGAGTAACAGGCTCCAGATCGAGAGTTCCGCAGGACGCGCATTATCTTCCTCGAATGCGGCGATTTGCGCGCCGTACGACGCCCAGTCGGCGATCTCGACGCCGTAATATGTGGAGAGACCGGCTTTGAAGTGCGAGAAGTGGGCGGGTAAGTCGGCGGAGAGTGTGATCAGGGCTTCGGTTGTGGTGATGATGACGGGTTCGGGGGGAGGGATCTGAGAGGATACGCGGAGGCGGTTGAGGACGGTGGCGAGTTCGGTGCGGATAGAATGAATGATGTTGGCTTGGCCGTCGCGGTAGATGGTTGCGTATTTCTGCTTGTCGTTTGGGAATGTTTGTGGAGGCGCATCTGCGAGGGGCAGGGTCTGACTCCTCTGGTCAATGGCTTCGTATAGTAGTAGTAGGACTTCGAGAACGACCCTGGCTGCCGGGCGCTGCATATCGACGTCCTTTGGATGCATGTTGAGGTTCATCAGAGCTCGAACATAGAACACGTGGACAACGTACGGAGGTATTCCTCGGAGCCAGAGTACGTAGTTCTCGTAGCGGCCAAATGGATGGCCTTTGGGACGTAGGGCATGCTGCTCTTGCTTTGGGTCGCCGTCTAGGAAAGAGGGGCCCATGCCGAAGGGTATGTTGTTGGGTTCGAATAGGCCCATTTGCTTTGCTGCATCCTCGACGGACGGCGGGAGCACCACCTTAATAGTGAATTGGTCGACCGGATTTTCCGGTATGCAAAATCCATAGCCCAGAAGCAGCTCATCGTTCTGTTTGGGGCCATAGTTGTTAAAAATTTCATCTCCCGGACGCACAGCTTCAGGATCGACGACCTTCAATATGAAGTCCTGCAGGGGGTGAAAGTCCCATTCTACCTTGGCCTCGACTGTATGGTTCAAGATGTCGATTACCGGGAACAATATCGGGAATGTGTCTTGGCTTGGGAGAATATGGGTCGAGATGAAGGACCTCGAGGATATAATAGTTGCAGCCCAAACAAAGCATTTACTGCCCCCAGTCAGCGAATCCTCCGACCATAGGCTGTTCTCTAGCGTTCGAGTAGTCTGCGCCGTGTGCTAAGTGGAAGGGAAACGTCATCTTGGCAGGCAACAGCGACTCTGGCGTCATAGCACGGCAAGAGCCATGTAGCGTATCATGTCGAGTTGAAAGCAGGACAGTAGCTAAGCGAAGCTTGCCTCTTTCTGGAGAAGGAGAGGAAGGAAGTCATGTCCGGGTGTCCGCGGACAGAAGGTAACCATGTGGCGTCTCACCACGATCCTCGTGCAAACACTTACAAGTCGAACTTGTCAGCCATGGTCGCGTCAGCCTGCCTCATGACGTCCGTTGCTTGCTCCCACTCCTTCCTCAGCTCCTCCCGCTTGTCTTTCGTCGCCCTCGCCATGCTGGTACCTGAGAGGCGCCTCATGTCGTCTTCATCGAACCAGAGAGGCGTCGTCATGGCCTCCGGCTCTGGAAGGCAAGCGAGGTACTCCTTCCATGGCGATTGCTCCTTTCCAACAAGATAGCGCTGCTCGATCAGAAGAAGGTACGTCAGTACATGGTTGGGTATGCGTCCCAAACACTTCCGGAGTGGGCTGTCGACGTGGGGTACGGCCGACTGTGTGGGATCAAGGCTGAGGTAGGAGAGTGTAAGCGGTAAAGGGCATGTTACCACAATGGGGGAAGTCAATGCCCTGAGGGCGCGAATGTGGAAGCCACGCGAGCCGCTGTACACAATCTTCACGTCAGAACTTAACCAGCCTCCATTCTCCCGGAACCAGGTTTCCAGACGGTTGGCGACTGGCTGTGTTTCATAGGCGGGATTGGCCTCTGGACGTTTGGGGGAAGTGCTGGCTTCACGCGAGGTCTCGCGCGAGGCATCTGACATTGTGGCTCGAGGCGATCTCTACTGGCTGACGAGAGCGCTGAAGATTTTCGTCGGTTGGTCCTTTCGCTTGTCATGCCACTACGGGCAAGTACTGGCAAGTGCCGTCGCCGTCCGTATTGTGCGTGTTCGAGCTGGATGATGATGAGTACCTGTACCTGTACCTGTACCTGTCCACATGACATTCGCTCGGATCACCGGTTTTGCGAGGTGCCGACCGCGAGGCGGAACGGAGCGCGTCGGATCCAGGAGCTGGACTCGGGCCCGATCAGAAGAGATCCAAGCCATGCAGTGATGGAAAAGGTGGGGATGCAGAGGATGCAGGATACAGACAAGATGCAGTCTCGCTCGGCAGTGAAGCCTAGCGGTGAGGAAAGCAGCCACGGCGGTCGCAGTCGCAGTCGAGCAGTGCCATGGCCCAATCTGCGAGCCAATGTTGTCCAGGCGGCCTGTCAATCACCGTCACGTACCTGAGGACAGCGGACATCAGAGACGAGCTGTCGAGAATGCGTCAATTGTCGCAACGAAGTCCATAGTATATGCAGTGCCGGCGCCCAGAGTCCGCACCTTTGCGTATGCCTGCTCGTGAGTACCGTGAAAGCTGGGAGTGGCGGCGGCCGGCCAATAGTTCGGCCGCATTTACGGAGCCGTCTTACCGTTGTACGCCGCGCTGGCCGTTCTCGCACTCGTCTGTCGTGTTGGAGCTCACATGTGCCGCGGCCGGATGTGCGCGGAACGGTGCATTCTGTGCCCGGAAGCATCTCTCTGGCGCCACCAGGCTTGTTCTGCGTACCAACTGCCAGTACCTGCTCGATAACCTCATGGGCTGACCGGAAATATGCCAACGTAAGCCGCCTTGCGAACCAACTAGCCAGTGCTTATACGTACTCGGTTGCCGACGGATGAGTAACCCTCGCAGCATTGAATGCGCTATACATAAACAAGGACATACTAGCGACGGGCTAGCCACATAGAGGCGTGAAACAAACAGTCCCGTCCAATCGAAACGGAAGAGGTCTTGGCCGCATGCGGAGCAATTTCGTGTCTCGCACCCGGCCCCCGGCAGGATGCGCCTGTGGCTCGAGGGAAGGGTGGAGCGACGGACAAAAGATGGCTTGGAGTCTCAGCCGGACGGCGGCCCTGCGATGTCTTCTTTGATCAAGCACCCGCGGGCTCATCTCACCACGCCCATAAGTATGCGACGCCGTGCCCGCGGTCCGAGGGTACTGTGGCACATTGCTGAGGCACCAGACTGCTCGTTGCGAGGGTTGTGCAGCGCGGACGGCCCTGCATAGGAGCATTAGCTGTGGCTTGTAAGTCCGAACTGAGCGTCAGCCCTGTGTTTGGCGTATCCCGCGCGAGGGGCACCATCCATCCAAACCTCAGCGCACAGCCTCTGAGCCGCCCTCCTCGCTCTCCCCATAAAGCCACGCCGCCCCGCGAGGGGACGGCCGGCGCCTGTCTCTCTCTGGCGAAATGCCGCGTTCTCCTGCTAACTGCCCGCATAGCTGGTCAAGCTACAGCAGGTAGCTGCAGCCATGCTGCTGGACATGTGGACCGCCGACACCGCAAAGCACCGTCACGACTGCCCGCCGCCGCACCACGCGCCTGCCTCCGCGAAGCATGGCTCCTTCTTCCCCGAGATGCCGCTCTCCCTGCTCGGCTCGCTCCTGCGCAGGCAGAGCCCCTCGCCCTCGCCCTCGCCCTCGCCCTCGCCCGCTCCCGCTCCCGCGCCTGCCAGCCCCGCCGCCGCCGACACCACCCCGCCGCAGACCACGCCCATGAAAGTAGACCCGGGCGCGCCTGAGATATCTCCGACTCCCTCCCGCCCTGCCTCCTCGAGCAGCCTTCTGTCCGCCGAGGACAAGCCCAGGAAGCGCGCCGCCCGCCCCAAGACCACCTACAACCTCGCGCAGCCGCCTCCGTCCTCGCACCCCAAGAAGCTCCACATCCGCCCCAAAGTCCTGCTCCAGCTGCACCAAGTGATTGCCTCACGCCGCCCGAAGCCCGTCTACGAAGTCATCCCGTTCTCCATCCTCGCCCCCGTCTCCACGCGGCGCCTGGCTCGCACCTTCCGCAGCAGAGAGAAACTGGGCCCGCACGATCTGCTGATTGTGAAGGCCGAGGAGTACAAAACCAAGGATGAGGACGACAAGTCCGACGACGAGCGGTGGGGCGCGCGCGATGTCATAGCCGTCATCTGCCCTGGGAAGAAAGAAGGGGACAACTGTGTCAAAACGGAGGTGTGCATGGACGACGGCTCAAGCTGGGAGGTGACCAAGACACCGAATGGCGGCTATGAGTTCAGCTATACAGATGAGCACGGCCTGACCCTGAAGTCGCGCTGGGTTCCGAAGCCCCCACATGCGCGCCGCCAGTCCACCATGTCGAGCGCCTCATCAGCCTCGCCAACGCTGCCCGAGGAACGCAAGTTCACGTTTAGCACAATCAGCGCGACTTCTAGGCGCCACCCCATCATTGCAACCCTGACGCGCGAACGCATTGAAGTATTGGATTCGTATACAATGCCCAGCGCGACCTCACCTCCTACGCCTGGCCTCCCTCCTTCCGCCCTAACCACCCCTACAACCACACCTAGCGTCGAGATGGGCTCCTTCTTAGATAGCGCCAACGAACGACTACCTGTCACAACCGATGACGCACTTCGGCGCTTCATCATCGTGACCGGCATATGGGTTGCCTTCTCGGAGAATTGGTCGCCTGCGTACTCTTTCTCCAGGGTCGCCTGTCCTTCGCCCTTGTCTACTTCCACGACCTTCCGCCCGGCCCAGCCAAGCCGCACCGCTTCCATGCCGTTCATTGACTCTCCTCGCTCCGCGTCGCCCGCCTCTACGACTGACGAGAGCCGGCGCACCATTCCCAGGATCATAAGAACCGGAACGCAATTGCTCCACCGCAACGCCAGCTTCAACAGCCCAGCTTCGTCGCCAATAACTGAGAAACCTTCCCCTGTCTCGACTCCTGCTAAGACGCGTTCGCGCCGCTCCAATTCAACGGGCAACGCAGAGTTCCCGCGCAAGACCGGCAGCACGAAGAAGCGGTTTGGCCTTGATTTGGAGGACCAAGTGCTCCAGGAAACCGAAGAAGAGAGGCAATTCAGACGCAGCACCGAACTTCTCCGCATCAAGGAACTTACCGTGCCCTCCCCGCCAGCAGCAGCTTCGCAAACCCGATCGCAATCTCTTACGCCTATCCCGTCCATTGAGGCCCCAGCATCAGACCGTTCGCCTTCTCCCGCATCCTCGGATCCCAGGGCAAAGAAAACGAGGTCGGCGTACAACCCTGTAACAACAGCTGGTTTGTGGGATTCCGGGGTCGCAGACGGACCGGGGCTTAAGACACGACCTACGAGCATGGTCGTAGTGAACGAGAAGCAGAAAAAAGCGAAGCGCAAGGAAGAACGATCCAAGAGCAGGGAGAAGGGCAAGGAGAAGAAGGACAAGGACGGGCGACGCAAGAGCGAGAGCTTCAAGCAGCTGTTTACGGGAATGTTCCGACGAGAAAAGAGCTCATCTGGATCCTAGGGAAGACTACGATTTTCTTCCTTGTTGATATCCACTTGTCTACACGCCTTTTCCTAACGTTTCTTTTTGCATAGCAGATAACGACCGTCTGCTTGGTGTTTGGGAAATTGCTCATTTTGCCGTGGTGGCATTTTTTGGTGTTTGAAATGGTCCGATTTGGACCCCTGCAGCCAGGCACGCATCGCAGTCGCTTTTCCTTGTTTCTTGTCTATATTCCTCTCTCTAGCGTTCCCTTGCTGCTATGTCAATATCGAACTATACCCCAAGAGATACCTAGCACGTATATCTTACGGCTCAATATCAAAAGCTTTCAACCTCATGCGTGTCCATGTCTAGTCCTCCACCGTTCCCCTACTGTGGTTCACCCTCATGAACTTCTTCCTCACACCGCTATTTCATCCTTCTCCCTCGTCAACGGAAAAGTCCGCCCTCGCACATCCGCGATCCGCCTCGCCCGGACCCGAACTCGCCGTCCTCGGACCTCCGTCGACCCCCCGTCCGACTCCGCACAATCCGCTTCGGACCTTGGCAATTTTTTTCTTCACACCCTGGGGGATAATGACGTCCCTCTGCATACGGACTCTTGTCATGCGGAGAGGAGAGGAGGGGATGCGGTATTTCTTTCTTGCTTGCTTTCTTTTGATTTCTCCGTGTGTGATGATGTGCGCGGTTGATGCGTGCATAGACGGACGCTTGGCATATTTGCGGTATTTCTTCGTCCTTGGCTTACCTTCTGGCGATGACATGGATTGGGGAAATGGTAACTGTCCTGGAGAGGAAGGAAGGAAGGAAGGATGCATGAGGGGGTTTGGGTAGGAAGAGGGAAGGAATGGGTGGGATAATAGCGCGCAAGGTGTGCTTGATGTGGAAGATAAAAAAGATATCTCGGCCTGATTCACTTAACTTTGACTAAACCAAACCAATACAGACAGAGCCCAAGCAAGCAAGCCATTCGGCAGGCTAGCTCCTAGATGGGAATTTCTCAACTACACAGTACGTATCCCTCACCCCCCTGAATGGCCTCATAGCCTTGATCAGCTGTCCAGCCGGGGCGCAGAGAAGGACATCCGTCCTGCAGCGATTTATTTACCCTCTCCCCGTGTGTGCTTTCCGTAGCTGATGCAGATGCAGAAGTGCAGAAGCGCTGTTCTGTCCTGATTTCTTCATACAATATGGAATGTAGTGTACTAGAGGCGTGCGCGCGCGATGTATTGGCACAGGAAGAGTCCGACTGCACGAGGGTAGGTATCTGGAAATTGTAGAGAGGGGGTGATAGATGGTTGAGTACTGTTGCTGTTGCTGTTGTAGCCAGGCTTTCTCTTTTCCTATGCAGCTCCTTCGTTCGGGGTCCACTCTGTGTCTTGTCTCCTCTCTGGGCCCTCAAAAGGCCCTAGCGAACGAGACAAGACGAGACCTGCACACCCAGGCAGGATACGAACTCCAACGACTCACACTCACGCTGTATACGTCTCACCAGAGCCGGAGGGAGAAAATGGCTTGCTTCTCTGCTAGAGGGATATTATACTTGGGAGGAGACAGACGTCTATATAGCACTAACTGTCGATCCGTGCAAGGTGAGAGCTAAGTCGGGGAGAAGGTTGGAGCGAGGCGAAGTGCAGTGAAGAGCTAAAAAAAAAAGGGCCGAGGAGGCAAGCACCAAGCATGTGAATGGACTTCCATATAGCGGCTTTAAGGAGCCCGTTCGGAGAACACCGCACGTTGGATAGAGCTTTGAAGTACTTCATCCGGATTACCTACGCTTCAGTGCCTGAGCCTTCTCTACCGCCACAAGTCGAATGGGCGTTGGTATTGGTTATGGGTTGGCTTTTACGATATCGTGATATATATATATATATGTGTGTATGTATGTGTGTGTATGTATATGTGTGTGTATGTATATGTGTGTGTATGTATATGTGTGTGTATGTAT